AAAAAGAAGTAATGAAGATATAAGTTTAAAAGGTTCGTAGTTTTATTAGGCATAGCGCCTTTTTTTAATATAGAAATTACGTACCTACGTAATTTTAACTTTAAAAAAATTTTTCTATATTAGATTTCTTTTATGTTTTATTCTTCTTAAATTCGTTTTACTATATACGTTTTTTATCGTAAATAATGTACGCTTTATTTAATATAATATGCGTTAACGTAAAAATTTAAACTAGTTTCGAATTTATAAAAGATAGTTTCGTATAAACTATAAGTTTTCTATATATAATTTCTTACGTTTTCTAGGTTTTCTATAATAAATAAAGTTCGTAGCTCTAAAAATCGTTATTAAATAAACTAAGTATACTTTCTATATCTCTCTATCCTCCGGATAGGTTATTATTTTTAGCGTTTACGTTAAAAATAAGCCCGAATTATTCTGCGAAGCAGAATAATTCGGGCCTTATTTTAGAGGGGTTCTCGGGCGTATAAGGTGCAATTCGGGTCCGAGGTAAACAGGTGGAAGCCGATGCCTTGGGCAATTCTCGGGTTAAGATCGTCGTCTATCCATCCTTAACCCGGCCCACGGGGACTAATTATATAAGACGCAAGAGATGAGTTGTAGGGATTCTCAGTTCCGACCAGGCAACTGAAACTAACAGTTGGGTTCGATTATGACTTTAGCTAGGCTATCATCTTCATCGCCTTGTGGCATGCGACGGACTCGGATGCAATCCCCCTCTTCCCCCCTCTCTCCCCCTCGGGGCCATGCGCCGGCATTATACCACCGGATGCGTTTCGCGTCCGATTTTCTTTATAGGTCTCGATCGCGACTATGGGCGACTCCGTAAGACTAGAGACCGGAGGCACAGCTTAGCGGAGACGGGATGCCTAGGCAGTTGAGCTATCTAGGGGCCAACACGCTGATTGTTCTGGGGAGAAGCAGATGGAAGCACGCACGCATTCGAATGTCGACGATGCGGCCGTGGGGAGGATGATGGCGCCGGGGGGGGTCCGAGCTGGCCTGAAGGCGATATTCTGACGCGGCGCCCGCGAGCCACGTACGACGGGCCGTCTGCCTGGTCTGGCCTGGCCCGTCGTTCGGGCCAACTCGCTAGGCTCACCATGATCTAAACTAGACGCAGCATTGCGGCTCGTGCTGTTATGTAGTTGTGGACAGCCGGCCTACGAATCCAATTTGCCTAAGGCGTAGCTTAAGCCCGAGACAACTCAGTCAGCCCTTCACGGCTTACGCAATCTCGTCGGCGCGTCTTGATGCTGTTTATTCAATTCTTCACAGACTTGTAAGCGTAGAAAAGGTACGTCGAATTGTACTGGGAAATGCGTCGCGCGACAGGTTAGTTCTGTCATAGTATGGGTGGGTATTAGTGAAGACCTATCACCAACCACGAGGATCGGGGGTTGACTGGATCAACGCTTACTGGGATGGAAGCCTCAACGTCGCGAATGAGCCAGCAAGTCGGATTCGCCCCCCCTGGGTATAGATCAACGCGACAGTTTAAGAGTAGGTTCTCCCGTGTCATTGCCCATTTCGAGGCTTCGACGAACCGAAAGTCGTCGGCCCTACGACCCTCGCTCTCGATCGACGAGGAAGAACCCGCCGACATCGAACCGCCACTGTCTTCGGCTTCGCGAATTAGGTACCTCCAAGATAATTTATTCCTGTCTGATAAGACTCTAAAGACGTATAGCCATGTCGCATCCCGTTGCGTCACTAACGACCTTTGTACGCAGTAAAGGCCTCCACTAACAAGATAACCTCAGCGCTCCCCTCGCGCGCATGCTCTCACGCGCGGACGGCCGGGCCGCCGACACTCCCTCCCCGCCCCGGCTGTAGCTACGTCCGCGATACCTAGCTATTTTTAGTAGGGCGGTGCAGCAGCAGCTGGGCCTCGTCGCTACTGGGATGCAGCCTGCGCATCGCCAACTGTAGACTCTGGTGCAGATGCGATGTCGAGGTCAGAAGAAGATCGGCCCCCTTGCATTAACGGCATGCGTATGGTTAAGAATAGCCGTCGAGGCCCCCGCGGATACGCCTGGTTCCTGAGTCCGAAAGTGTAGGTAGAGGCTGGGTCGGCGACTTACGTACTGGCTCATGCATCGTCTTCTTATTCCAACTGCCAGATTCCCACTCCTCTCCTTTCCGACTTGGAGCAGGTTGTGGAGACGTTGGATCCGGGTTTCCTTCACGAATAAGCCTGAGCTCGGATTGCTTTTGCTAACCCGGTGTCTCGCTCGTGGCGTAAAGCGTCCTATCCAATCGACAGAAATTGGACGGACCTACGTAGCAACACACTTGGGATGGAGGCAGTCTCCCGCAATTTCCATCCCGTGCCTATACAGGCACGTAGTATAAACATGCTTCGATGTCAATAGCCACGATCCGAAGCGCTTCCAAGGTGGGAGACATGAGATGCCTAGCCCAAGGCAACATACTCACACTTCACCGTCGAAGCTGCAATGCTTGTGAGGTAAGTTAACCTACACGCACCTCCACGGGCCACTCCTCCACGAACCACCTAAATTGAGCATCACGTTTCAACCACCACAACAATTGAAGATATTCACATCACTAAAATTAATTGAAGCCTGCTAATTATGGCGTTGCGACCTTGATACAGTCTTCCACCCGCGTCCCTTCGCTTTCCGCCGTCTCCGACGCCGTTTCGTGTTCTCTGGGCACTTCATCTTCGCTTCCTTCGTCTTTATATACCGCCCTCGTGCGAAGCGTCGCCCTGGCGTTAGGCGCATCTTCCTGCACTTCTTGAAAGCGACCCTGGCGGTTAGATATTCAATCTGTGCGTCCTTAGCCGCCATCATTTTTAACTGCTGATCCAGGACGTAACCCATTTTGCGAACAAATCGCCTGACAGATGCGTTATCAGAAGGACAGGCGTCGAGGAGCATTCGACAGAGCTTTCGATGTTCTTGGATAGTGGTGGCGTTTTTGATGCGCTCTGGAACAGACAACATCGCGGAATCAGGTGCTTTAGGTCTTGCAACCATCTCCGATTGCTCCGGCCGTGATCGAGAGACGCCCCATCCTTCATGACCGTGAATCTCGACGATAGGGGCTTTTCGCGGTCCTTATTCAGCGCCTCTCTGGTTGGTGTGCGAGCGAGACGGCGCGTCGGGTATGAACGAGGGGTGCGCGATTCGAGGGCAGCTTTGTGGATGCTCATGTTGTATAAAGCTTGTCGTACAGTGGCATCGGCGCGGACTCGGGAATCTTTTGAAGATATTGCTGAATCGGTAAGAAATCAGGAAGAGATTGATGGCAAAAGGAAATCCTGAAGATCAAAATTGACCGAGAAATTAAAGGGGTATTTACTCTACGGAAGGGCATCACGTTGAAAAGCGCGTTCGTGGGTCTCAACGCGGTGGTCGGTGAAGGCGTGGTCGGTGAAGGCGTGGTCGGTGAAGGCGTGGTCGGTGAAGGCGTGGTCGGTGAAGGCATGGTCCGTGAGGGCGTGGCCCGTGAAAGCGTGGCTTACCTTACCTACCACCTACCTAGGGTGCTATAGGGTTGATGGGCAAGCCGTCGGACGGCTCCCAACCCGCGCGGCGGAACGCCTCGACGATCGCCCACATGCCCGGCTGCAGCTATGCATGACCGTGCATGCTCCTGTTCGCAGAGCCGAGAGCCGGTAGACATAGGTATAAATAACTACGAGGAGGAGGAGAGGTACCTACCTGCCTTAGGTCGGCATGTGACAGGCGCAGCACCGCCTCACATAGGGGGGTCACCGCGGGAACACATACCTCTGAAGCGAGCCCACGATGGCCTCTCTTCAGGCGGCGTCTTCCCCCTTCCGCTATTACACGGGAAGTTGTACGTGTAGAGGGAGGCGATACGTGAAGGTCTATACTGTAGTTAATATTATAATATAGGTATGCATAAGTAGGTATATACGTGTAATATAGACAGGTATGTAGGTACCCCGCATAGGTATTATAGATTACCTAGTTACCTCTTGTGTATGCCCCAGCAAGGAAAGTAGGGCACGGTGCCACGCAAGGAAATGAGGCCGGCGTCGATAACCGCTCGGGCTGGACTGGCGTCAAGTCCGAGTCCCATCTCCTCCTCTTTGCCCTTTTCGCAACCCATCCCATGTTGTGGTGTCGTGACCCTGATGCCTCCTTGTCGACGGGAGCATTCTCCACACCAGCGGCAAACCTCCCCCCGCTATACTTGGACACCACTAGTGCTACCAAGCCGTCGACGCCCCCTCGCACCGTCGACTCCCCCCTCCGTCAGCTCGAGACCAGAGGCGCAGACGGGCGCAGACGGACGCAGAGAGTCCGATCGGTTGGCAACGCTCTCCTCCTCTCTACTTACAACTCCCTGTTGCCACCTACCACGACTCTCTGTCGTACTGCCGCCACCCTAGTAGGTAAACGTAGGTAGGTATGTACCTTAGTAGGTGGGCATGTCGTGTTGTAGAGAGCGTCGTCGAGTCTCCCAGCTCTCTCGATGGCACATGCCAGGCGATATACCAGGGACGGCAGCCAGTCACGCAGGATGCCCATGCGAGGGAGCCGGCCGGTACCTGTCGCGTCCAACCCATCAGCAATCGGGCGCTTCGAATAACCCTCTTCTTCCGCATTTCCCTATACCTTAGGCGCCTGCTCGACGGCCGCCAATCACTCAGGCCTGTCAGGCGAACTGCCAAGCAACAGCAGAACCCATCGGGTCTGTGGGACAAGCTGCCTCCCCCTCCCAACACGGGTCGGACGGCTGGTCGCATATCAGAACCGCCTCGAGGACATCTTGTTCTTCTCAAGTTTGTTTCGTCTGTCCGTGTCGCTTATGTCTGTCTTGTTTCCGTCCTGTAATCCGGCCATTCCCATCTCTTTTCTCACCTTGAAGTTGTCAGCTTGAGCATCGCCATCGATCGTAGCCCAGAATCTAACCAACCATCGCATCCCCCCCACCTGGTCGCCAGAGATCCGACCCCATCTGCTGTCCACCTACGCATCCTCCAAACCCGGTCGTGGAGGGGCGCCGTACAGGTAAAATTTCGTCGACGTCACCTCTGCCTGCGCCATCCCGCGCCTGCTGCCCTCACCTTGCGCCTGTCGGTCGCCTCGCGCTCCGCGTACAGGAGAGGACGTGAAACAGGATGGATCGCCGCGGGAAGCCGGATGAGATGTTCCTCAGCAAGCCGTCGGATGACTGCGACAGCCCTACCGTCGAGCCTCTGAAGATATTCAAGCCCCAGAGCCCCAAGCCCTCGTCCGATCGCTTCAGATATCCCACGCCGGTATCGTCCAGGCCGACCTTTCCCCTGCCGCCGGGGGCCTCGAGCTCTGCTGCGCCTCTACCCTACCCTGACGACGACGACAGTGGGTTGGGCCAGCCCTCGCAATCGACTCGACCCCCCTACCCCGCCGACGAGCGTCGGCCGTCCGCCGGGAGGGTGTACGCGAGTCCCATCAACACACACACTCCCAATGACACCACCCCCCGATTAGATACGAGCCCCGTCGACAAGAGGGGGCCTGGCCTCGCAGAGCGGCGGGGGACTGCCCCGAGACCTCTGCCAGGAGCGCTCAGCCCCGGCAGCCCCCCCGCGGATGACGGTGGTCTCTTCGCGAAACCCCTGGCCAACCCACCGAAGCCGGCTGCCGTCTCTTCCGCGACGACCTTTCCTAGCTATCAAAAGAAGCCTTACTATCCGCCACCCAAAGTGAACTCCGTCGGTTCGAGCTCAGGTTTGAACAGCAATGCGCGACTTCAGACTCCCGACAACAGCAACACCCTCGGAATGCCTGCAGAAAGTGGCGTCAACCGCTTCTCATCGACGGCCTCCACGTCAACTACGCGGGCGAGCCGAGGGTCTCCGCCCCCGCCCGAGACGCCCGTCGTTGAGCCAGGCAACATCCCGGGAGGCGGGATTGAGGCGCGGTACGCCGCCGCTGGAATATCCGGCACCGCGACACTCAGCAGCCTCCAGAGCCCGGCCGCGTCCCAACGACTGGCGCAATACGCACAACACCCGGCTATCCAGCTGCCTCTAGCTACGCAGCTACCCCCGGCTACTCAGCTACCTCCTCGCCCGTGGACACCGACGGAGGCTCCGGATCAACAACCTCATGGACCTCCCACGGTGTACCAGGGAGCAAACCCCGTCGCCAGCCCTGCCGTTTCCCCTGTCTCCAGCGCCCAGTTGACCCGGCCGTCGAGCGCCAGCACAACCTCGAGCGCAAACGTTAACCCGAGTGCCAACGCTAACGCCAACGCCAACGCCGGACCTGCTCTCCAGATCAGTGTGCTGGAACAGGACTTCCAACGGATGCAGATGTCGCCCAGTCCTCCACCCGCCTACTCTAGCATCAATCCGGCTGGAGCCTCTTCGGCGTACCCCAACGAGAAGCAACGGCCTAGCCAGCCGAGCTCGAGCTCGACGCCTGCTCAGGCTACCCAATCAACATCGCCGCCCAAGAAGCAGGCCGAGGTAGCGGTAGCGGCAACAGCGGCGGCAGCTGGACTAGCATCTCCGGCTCTGCAACACCCTGGACACCCCGCATTCGCCAACGATCCGCGGCCGGAGACCCAAGCGAACGGCCAGCAGGCTCAGGCCGTCACGCACACACCCTCGCCTTTCCAGGGACAAGGTCCGACCGAGCCGCCACCGCTACCGGAGGGTTGGATCGCGCATCTCGACCAGAACTCCGGCCAGTACTACTATATCCACCTGGCGACGCAGGCGACGCAGTGGGAGTTCCCCAAGGGACCCAACCCTATTCAACATGAAGTCGCTCCTCTATCTCCTACCGCGTCGACCTACGGCAACCCCCTCGCCTCGCCTATGCTCGGCAAGCAGAGCGCGTTGGCGTCACCCATGTTCCCGCCGCAGACGCCCGGGTACGCCGAGAGTATCATGAGTGTCGCAACGGCGACACCGACCGCCGCTGGCTTCACGGGCCCACCCGGCGGCACCGGCGTGGATATGTACAAGGTGCAGCCGACGAATGGCGTATACTTTGGCCCCTACCTGCGGTACGTCAACATGGATGTCGAGAAGGGCGTCTGGCTCGGTAGCATCCTCATCGTCACGGACACCCCGCAGCCGCCGACGATTCACCTCCACCTCAGCGTCGACCTGTCGCCGAATCCGCGACAGCTAGTGCCTCACAATATATACACGCACCAGCGGTGGCATTTCTTTAAGTACGACGTCGACTTGCAGATGGGCGAGACGACCGAAAGATGGACATACGCGGTGACGTCGCATCTGGGGTGCACGCGGTACGAATTCGTGGTCGCGGGCCGCAGCGAAATGGGCTGGCGGATCGTGGCGCACTCGGGCAACGACTTTGCCGCTAGCACGTCACAAAGTGAGCGTAGCAAGCTGGGCGGGTTGGGCTTCATGTGGAAAGACGTGCTGCAGAAGAACGTCGACTGCGGCGGCTTCCACGTCCAGCTCGGCCTCGGCGACCAGATCTACGGCGATCGTCTGTGGAAGGAGGTGCCTCTCCTCAAGCAGTGGCTCGCCATGCCGGGTAAGGACAACAGAAAGAACGCGGCGTGGACGGCGCGCCACGAGGAGGACGTTACGCACGCGTATTTCCACTTCTATACCAGCCACTTCGACCAGCCGTTCCTACGCGAGGCGTTCGCGCAGATCCCACACATCTGCCAGATTGACGATCACGACATGTAAGTTGGCCATAGCCGTGCGTGACTGGTTGTGCGTGGTGCGGGTACTAACTCGGCGTGTCAGATTCGACGGCTACGGCTCCTACCCAGACTATATGCAGAACTCGCAGATGTTCAAGAACATCGGCCGGATTGCAGTGGACATGTACCTGCTCTTCCAGCACCACACGACGCTCGAGGTCCTGCGCAACGTCAACCACGACCTGGACTTGTTCACGGTCACTGGCCAGGGCTGGCACTTCGTCAAGTACCTAGGGCCGGCGGTGGTGGTGGTGGGTGTGGACCTGAGGTCGGAGCGGACGCAAAACCGCGTGCTCGCGGGGCCGACATATCAGGGGTTGTTTCCGAAGGTGGCGATGTTGCCGCCTAGCGTACAGCATTGCCTATGGATGCTGTCGGTGCCGCTCATCTACCCGCGGCTGGATACGGTGGAGAGCCTGGCCAACACGTTCGCTACGGGCAAGAAGGCGGTCAACACGACGTACAACGTGCTCGGCAAGGTGACGAGTTCGGTAGCCGGCATCGTCGGCGGAAAGGAGATGGTGGCCCAGGGCTTCAGCTCGGTCAAGAAGGCGGTCGGCAAGTCCGGACTCATGGGTAACGTCGTGAACCAGTTCGGCGATCTCGATATCGGCGAGATCTTGAAGGACATGTGGACCCACGAAACAAAGGACCTCGAGCGAACATATCTGATCCGTACGCTGCAAGGCATCTCGCACCAGAAGGGCTTGCGGATGACGTTCTTGTCAGGAGGTACGTACATTGTCTTTGTCCTATTGTCTCGGACCATCCCGTCCCCCTCCCAACCCCAGAAGAAAAGCAGCCTGTAAGAGAAAGAAGGCTTACCGAGAAGTGCAGATGTCAACGCGGCAGGCGCCGGCCTTGTACACGACCCGGCGCACCCGCACGATCACAAGACGATGTACCAGATCGTAACGTCGCCGATCGTGGCGGCGCCGGCGGCGCACTACATCCTGAAGATGCTGAACGGCAGCGGGAGCAGCAGCGGGCGAGCGCACTACGTGCCGGCGAACGGGCAGCGCTCGACGGCGCACGAGGTGAGCGACACGAAGGAGGACATGATGGAGATCTTCCACACGGACGCGAGCGGGGCGCCGCGCGAGCTCAAGCGGCTCATGGGGCGGCGCAACTACGTCGCCGTGGTCGCGTTCGACCCGGACGCGGCGGCGCAGCAGCAGCAGCACCAGCTCCTGATGCAGCTCCAGCAGGCGGGGCAGGCGCAGCCGCTGCCCCAGAAGGAGGGGGGCCTCACGAAGCTCAGCCTCGCGGTCGACTTCGTCGTCCAGGGCGACGGCGCGTTCACCGCGCCCACCAAGTACGGGCCCGTCATCGTGCCGCACCTCGAGTTCGGGCGGTAAAAGGCAAGTTGAGTGGGGGGGAGTGTGGACGGGAGGTGAGGAGGAGAGAAGGGGAGGCAAAGGGAGGCAGAGTGAGCGGCGCTAGCTGCGGTTGTACCTAGCGGTAGCTGTCGTGGTGATGGGCGATGGTGTGTGGTGGCGAGATGTAGTCTGTACGCATGTTGCCGCGCGGTGTAGTTAGTCTGTTAGGCTGTGCCATGCTATGTCGTTATCGTAGCTACATTACCAGCGTGCGGACATCCGGTTTACGTGTGCAAAGGACGGCCGGGGCGGCGCGTCTTCACCCCCCTTTCTACCTCGTACCTCGAGAACCTAGCGAGTTAAACGCCGAGACCCAGATGGGCAGATACTCCTCCCCGCCTTCTCCCTCCTCGCATCGCCAGTACGGCTACTGCCACTCCTCCCTACGTATCATCACTCGAGCGCATACTCCCGGGTCTCCGTTCTGTCGTGGGTATTTTAATCTATCGGACGGGGGAGAGAGAAAAAGAAGGAGAAGAGGGCACGGGCACCGCTCCTTTCTAGGGTCGTCACTCAGCCTTCATATATCTAGCCAGGTACGGCGTTTACTTCTTTGTATATATCTATATATATATGTGTGTGTGTGTGTCGGAGCGTATGACTATCGGAGCGTCCGTCCAACCCCGGCCTCGCCTCCTTTTTTCTTATCCCTCCCCCGCCCCCTCCCCCCGCGGCGCCTCGGTTAGATGTCGAACAACTCCTTGAGCAGGCGCAGGGTATCGTCGGGGCTGCGGACGGCGTGGCCGGTGACGCGCGGGTCCGTGTAGATCTCCCAGTCGTTGCCGCCGGGCTCCGTCTTGTCGCCGAAGAAGTGCACCGTCTCGTACCGCACCCCGCCCGGCTTCTCCGCCTCCGCCTCCAGGTGCCGCAGGCAGTACCGCTTGTCCCACCCCTCGGGGAACACGTCGAACGAGATCTGCCCGCCGATCGAGAAGCTGCACGCGCGCGCGGGGTGTGTGTGTGTGGTTAGCGCGGGGTTTGGGTGCGTCGTTGGCTTTGCTTTCTTTTCGTGCGTATCTGCGTAGAATGGCAAAGAAAAGAAAAAAAAAGGAAAAAAACTCACGTCAGGCCGAGGTGGGCGAAGCGCTCGCGCATCTCGGCGACCATGGTCTCGCGGATCTTGTGGACCTTGTCGTAGGCCTCGTACTGGTTGCGCTCGTCGGTGGAGGCGTTGCGGCCGACGGGGGAGATGTTGACCATGCCGTTGCGGAACTCGACGAAGGTGCCGCGCTTGAGGGGGAGGCGGAGGTCGGCGACGTAGCGGAGGACCCAGTTGACGAGGTCCTGGTAGGGCTCCTCGCCGAGCCAGCGGATGAAGCTGTTGGAGGGCAGCTCGGCGCCGAGCTTGTACGCCGTCAGCCCGTTCTCGCTGAAGCAGTAGTCGAACAGCGCCGCCACCGGCCGCCCCGCCGGCGCGCCCAGCTGCTCCTCCTGCTTCCGCAGGTCCGAGCCCCCCACGAACCCGATCGCCACCTTCTGCCGCAGCGCCGCCAGCGCCGCCAGCATCTCCGCCGACGCCCCCTGCCGCGCCGGCGTCAGCGTCCCGTCCACGTCGAACAAGCAGATCGTGTTCTTGATCGGCCGGTCCTCCAGCGGAGGGTACGACGGGGCATTGGCGGCCGCCATGGTTTTTCGGCTGCGCTGGCTGCTTGGTGGGGGTTCGGTAGACTGGGGCTTCTTCGTCTTCTCTCCGCAGCAGGAGAGAGAGAGAGGGAGGGAGGATGGAAGGATGAGTGAATATGCGGTCTCGGGCGAGGGTACCTCCGGTAGATGGATGGTCTGACGAGCTGCGTACGAGGCCGGTCGGTATATGGAGGCAATGGGTTATGGCAGTTATTTGTAGAGCGGAGGGGGAATGAAAAGGAAGAAAGGTGATAGCTGTCCTGTCTTCGTGGTTGCTAGGTTGCTAGGTCCCGAAATGGAGGGGGAGGGGCTCTGCGCTGAGGGGTACATTGCTAGGTTCCTGTAGGTACCTATCGCTAGGGCGACGTCGTGTAGGTCCAGGTACATCATATTTAAGCTATGAATATGCGCGAAGAGATGTATTGTATACAAATGGCGGTATGAAGAGCGCGAAGGCGGTCAAGAAATGCTATGGGCATACGCCAATCGGGACCCGGCTCGGCCCACATGCTCTGTCCATCTTAGAGGCAGGTAAGTACTAGGCAGGTACCTAATGCAAGCACATGGGTCGGGTAGGGGAGCTGTGAGCTGTGTCCATGTGTCTATAATTGTAGGTACAAGGGAGGGTACAATACCTACCTGGGTAGGTACCTAACCGAACCATATGATGCATAAACCTACCAAAGGTTAGTAGACAGAACTATTCAAGTTGAGTTCGCTTCAGTATACTGCAAGGTTGGCAAATACCTTGGGTGCCCATCTGCCCTAGACATCTATTTGTTCTTCATACTCGAGGCCATGTCCCGTATCCCGGCATGCCATGCCTATAAGCCTCCCAATCACCTACCTCCCTATGCAGGTACACGGCATGGCATGGCATGGCATGGCTGACGACACGCTCGCAACCGGTGGTAAGGAGAGCCAATCTCACCCGGAGAGGCCATCGTGTTCGCTACTAACTCCGGGGTAGCCATATGCCCTACGAACGTCTGTGTCATATCCGGTGCGAAGTAGAATACGATCTCCCGAGACACGACACGGTGTTGTCTTCTATTATCAAGCCTCACCATGACTCCCAATCACACACCTCCCTGTCATGCATCAGTCCCCTGGGCCGGCTCCCTGCCCTTTCCTCCGCGCCTCGCGACGCGCGTCCGCTAAGCCTCCGAATCTCCAACGTCTACCCCTCGTTACGATAGAGAACCCATGCGAGCGCTCAGAGTGGAAGCGGATAGGGGGGTGGGAGGATAGCCGACAGCTGTCCGGGTCACGACGAGAGAGAGACTAGGGTGCCAGACAATCTGTCCCGAAGAGAGGGCGTCGCGTCTGGGGCGTCTAGCTAGTGAGCCCCGGTCTCTTCTCCTACTCACCCATCTTGCGGTTGTATTCCGTAAAGAGGCACCTTATTTCGAATGCCGAATCCTATACGGGTAGTGTTTCATGAGATCACATCGGAACTTCTGGGCCCTAACCATCATGCCCGTGTAAGTTGTTACCTTTTCGATAATCTATCAGGTTCACTATGAAGCCGTACTAACCCCCTTAAGAGGAGGCCAAAAAAAAAGAAAGAACTCATCCCAACTTTTCGCAGTGTCACGACTTAGACGGAATTCTCGGTGCGTTACGCCGGTTTAGGTCGTCAAAACTGAGGTGGGTGGAGCATAACAAGCGACCGCTGCGCATGCCATAAACGGCAATCGTATCTCTGCCGCCGGGAGTTCGTCGGGGGCTTCTATGCTATATCACTCCACACACCCGTTATCTCGATGACGAGGTTCATCACCGTGCTGATGGACCAGAGCCCGATCAGACTCCACCCAATCTTCCTGCTCATAATCCATTTATTTATCGGGATCACAGCGAGCAGCGCGAGCAACGTGAAGAGCAGGGTTATCGCAGAAACCATCAACGTCCCGGTAACTTGTATGCGGTACGGTCGGTAGTGTATCGGCGTATCGGGGTCCCTACCCTCCTTCGCTGCGCTTATCGCCTGGTATGCACCCCCTAGGCCGATTCCGAGGAGTATGTTCAGCAGAGGACCACCGAAACAGGCAGATCTATGACAGAGGTTAGCTAAGCAACCGACGGGCGGATATTCTGCTGGGGAACAGCTTACAGGGCCATGACAGGATATCCGAGCCGGGCCACAGTCACGTCTGCTACCAGGTCGCCAACCGAATTGCCGACCGCGAACACGGTAAGCCCTAGTATTGCTTCCGATATGTTTAGAATCACCCCAAATGCCTTCAGCACGCCGACTACCTCGCCTGCTATCGTGGAGATCCACGCGATCGCGATGCAAAATCCGAGAAAACAGAACATGAAGTAGTACTTGGGCCGCCGGTCTGGCGACGTGGTGACGAGCAAGAGGGCGAGTAAGACTAGAGAGCATACAAGCGACATGAGCGAGGCCTTCACGAGGACTAGTAGTGGCCGATCCAAATCCTCGGCCATGTTCACCCAGACGATGCATACACAAAATAGGGGACCGGTGAATATCTGGAGAATTAGCAGCCAGCGGTTCCACGCTGGTTCGTCGTCGGTTACCGTCGAATCGCCTTGCCCGAGCTCGGAAACAGGCTTCGGCATGGGCACACCCGACAGAAAAGAGACCACTGCAGCCGGATCTTGGCCTGGCTCTTCTTCGCCGCCAGGCACCGCTAAAGAGATGAAGCTGGGCGAGCGACTGCGACTCGATGCCGTAGACCTTGTGCGCCGCCTGTAGCGTTGCCACTCCGTTTCGGACTCGACAGGCACCTCTACTTCTAGGGACAACGTTGGTGCTGCTGTATTTCCCGCGTCGCTCGGTGCGAGTAGTGGTGCCTCATCTGCCACGCTCTCTGCTTCTAAGTCGTCATCTGGGGTCTCGTTTTCCACTACGGGCAGTGTAATGACCAGCAAGAAGATGCTTGGGACCGATATCACACTAACGAATTTATCCCAGATGCCTTTGCTCCGCCACCCCTGCAAAGTGGGAAATAGAGTGGTGAAGATAATGTAGGGAGAAGGCAGTAATCGGTAAGGCCACCACCAAATGGGTTTCGAGCCAGAACGTTGGGTAAAAGGAGGAAACAGGCGGTCTCGCTCCTCCCTAGGGGTCGGAAGCATCGAATGCGGATGCCTCGGCGAGGTTGGTGTGCCCGCGGGGGGCGAATCCGTATATGCAGGGAATGGTGACAATGTTGATGTCGATGCCGATCTCTCGCTGCCGTGGGAGCTAGGAACGCGAAGATGCAACAGCGGCGGGCGATCTGACGCGCCCTTTTTGGTAGAGGCATCTGCCTGCAGGCCTCCAAACTGGTCGCTGAGCGGAGGAGCTAATTTCCCATCTACAACATGCGGGCTTGGAGTCCTTCTCCCCCTATCCTCCGAAGGTTCTGGGGGGGCGAGGCTTGCATCAAAGGTAGACAGGATGGCCCCAGATGACAGGGAGCGGTTCCTTGTCACGGCAGAAGCATCCTCGACGCCCTGAATTGTTTGCGCGCTGCTCCTCCCTCGTATGACAGCAGAAGTCTCGATATCCAGTCCTAGATCCGTGAGGTCGGCCGACGTGCTGCGGGCATGGAGTATTGGCCGCATGCGTACGTTGCCCTCCTCCTGCAACGACGACAGGACCGATCTGAACTCAAGCGCGCCCACTAGACTGGGCCGGATGGGAGTGATGGTGGTATTGCTCCTCCGCCCACGGGGGCGGTTTATTCGCATGCTGCTCGTCATCTCTGCGGCAACGTGTTGTCTATGATCGTTGTCATCGTCGTCGTCGTCGTCGTCGTCAGGAGAACCGATCTCGATTCTAGGCGCTCGTTCTAGCGCGCTGATATCGGGGGTGGCAGTCCGCCGTTCTGAGGGTGTGGTGTCGTCATCGTCTGGGTCGTCTCTATAAGGCTCCAGCTCGTCATTGCTGTGGCCGCTCGACGCAGCGTAGAAATGACTGCGGGACAGGGACTCCCGGGCCCGCTGCGCTTTCCTCCTCTTCGTAATGGCATGCCAACTGACGACTACGATCACGTAGAAAATGTAGAAACCGATCATGATACCACACTCCCAGAGATACAGGTTCCCGTCGGCCAGGAAGCCCATGGCAAAACTGACAGACGCTATAAAAAAGCATATGTCTCGCACGAAGGTCTTCCTGCTGACCCTGAATTCACGTACCAGGGCCATAGAGCCAGCGACGACAGACGTGATGAAGCCGGCGGCGCCGATCAGCTCACCGACGGCCATACTCCCGCTATTAGAGCCCATGGCGGCGAAGGTGCTGAAAACATCAGGTGACCCGTTCCCAAAGGCCAAGAAGGTGACGCCAGCGAGGCTCTCGCTCAGGCCGAGAACAGTCGAGATGGTGCTGAGATTGACACTGAAGAAGTCGCTCGCAGCCAACCCGATGGTACTGAACAGCAGGCCCAGCCATATGACCATACCCATGAAGGCAACGGGCCGTGCTCGCTCGGGGCCACAGTAGTAGAAGGTCAGGTATTCGAATATGCCCGGCTCGTCGTCGCGACAATTCCGCCTTACGAAGTCGCACTTGTCTCGGGCACTGTGGACTAGATGGCAATCTTCGCCGGACCGCTTCCCCAGACGCGGTCCCTCTTCGGGCGGCCCGGAAGCTCCCCGTACAAGGAGGGAGTAGGTGGTGAGAAGGGTGAGGAGGAAGACGACGGTATAGAATGGGCGGGGGCTGAATCCCCTCTTCCGCCCCTTCCGGGATCTGGAGGCGTCCATGTTGTCAGAGTGCCCGGCGCGTCTCCTCAGAGAGCCATAGCGATATCATACGGCGAGTATGGTACGGGTGTTTCGTGGGAGCACGCGTGGACGGACGGAGAGGGAACGGTGATACGAGGGGGCGCGTATCGGGTGGGCAAGAGACTTATGGGCCAGCGACGGCCTGTCTGGGATGATTCTATGGACCTATTTAGGAGTGGTTCTGTTGCGATGGATATGCAACGAAAGGGAGGGAGAGAGGGGGGGAAACATTGGGGATCACCGACGGACGAGTGGCGGTTCGGACGAATTTGACGTAATGGCTCATAAGAACAATAAGTGGCAAGAGAGACAACAGAAGATAAGACTATAGGCACCTGGATGGGTAGGTAGAATCAGTATCAGCAGCAGCAAGTTGTGGTAGATTGGGTTGGGTTGATAGGCCGCCCAGGACTCAAAGAGGGAGGGAGAGGAAGAGATACGGGGGGGGAGGGCAAGGATTGGACGAGGATGATGATGTAGAGAAGAGGTTATGAATTCGAGATTGACATAGTTTCTGCCCTCCCCCGGACCGGTCGGGCGGGCCAATGGCGTGGCAAGCAATTGGCGGTCGACGCAATCCATTGGATCCCCTGGAGGAGGAACCTCGCAATCCAGGGGCCGAAGTACAGCGGGTATACCACGTATACCGCGTGCGTGAGGTACCATCCGGTACGGAAACGGGTACCTCAAGTGTACCTAAATTATCTACCTACCTAGGTACCTGTAGGCTGTAGCCGTCATCTCGGAGGGACCTTAGGTACCTCTCATGAGTAGTAGTAGGTCACCTTATTAGATGCCCAAGGTACCTAGGTGCCTAACCTATAGACCGTGCTTTATCTGCCCGACGGTGAATGCGAGCACGCGACAGGTTCAGTTCGCGACTTGAACGTGTACCTCGTGCATGGATTGGTATAGGTTAGGTGCCTACAGACAAGCGGCCATGGGCGGCCTCTGACAACCTGTAGGGGTACACACCAAAGACGGTCGGTCTATGGTCAAGAGGGAGAGGACGAGGGCGGCAGTTGGGCGGGCGTGTGCATGGCTCTCCGGAGAGGTGTGCCTGGCTCGGTGTAGGTACATGTGGGTACGGAGGCATACAGGCCTTTAGGGACGCTGCACAAGGGGGGTGCCCAGCTCCGTTCCACGTCGAGTGGCATGGTACCTGCTCCGTACAGGCACAGGCCGTGGCGATGCGACAGGCGACCCAAAGCGGCATCGAGCCCGGCCGGCTGGATTTCCTGCGCTGCCCCTCGCACCGCACTGCAGGGAGTCGAGGCGTGGCGCGTCTCCCCGTGACGTTGGCTATCTCTCGTCTCTCCGTCATATCAGCCTCAAGATTGGCACAGTCTTCCGCAAGCCGGCCGGTGACCAGCCTCGTAGCGCTCCTCCGACCGTGCCTATCTACGTAATATTGTCGCCGACAACACCGTCCGGGGTGACGATATCTAGAGGCAGTGCCACGCACGACGTAGCAGTAATATATGCAGGGTAGAACGATGGAGGAGGGGGGAGGGGTACGAGGTTCCCTTGTCGGCATCCATCACTCATCACCACCTACCTACCTCCTACCTAACCTTGAGCCCATCTGAGCTCGTACCTAGACATACCGGAGGTGTTGGGCACAACCCTCTAACAAGACTACGCGCTACGTGCCTCGTCTCCTACAGGTAACATACGATCTTCATACGCGCCTAATGCAAAAAACCGCCGATAAGAAGAGCTACGTCGACACCACTGGTGTTACGTGGCACCAAGCACGGGGGGGATCGAGATGGCGTCGGATTTGTCACCTGTGGGGTGCCCGTCGAATGCCACCGACCTGTGGCGCAGCCGCGCAGCACTGTGGCGTAACACGTGCGTACCCATGTACTCCACGCTGACTCAGCCGCGTGCCCCTGCGCTTGATTTCCGTCCAATCAGCGCCGACTCCCCCGCCGTCCGTCCCATCGACCCCATCTACCTATCGTATGTCGAGGAAGGGGATTGGCGCCCCCGTCACGATTGTTTACTTACGCAGAAGTCCAAGTTGTCGGCTGTCAGGACGCGGCAGGCTATTCTTTGCGACCTCACATCCCGAACTTATCCACAACCCAACAACCCAAACCCCCATCGAGAGCGGCGTGAAGATGCCTCGAGTGCCACATGTTCCCCGCGCCAGCACCGGGAGTAGAAAAGCCTCTACTTCCGGTTCTCCCTTCAAGTCTCCCCTCAAGTACGTCTCCCCCCTCCCCCGCTGACCTAGCCATCTCTCTGTTTACTCCGGCTCTCCTCCTGTCCCCCGCCCGGCAACCCGAGCCGAACCGCTCACCTCGACTTGCAGGATCCCGCTCAACGACGACGCACGAGAGAGGAAAGGGCGGCTGCACTCGCGGAAAGCCCTACACGAAAAACAGATCAACGAGCTGCAGGCGGCAGCGGCGACGCCTGCGAAGAAACGGCTCACCGACGGCGACAATGGGTCGGCCCGCTCGACCCCGCGGGCGCCGCGGGGCTCGGGCGCTGCCGAGGACGACGACGACGTCTTCGTCGTTGGCACCGCGACTGGTGTGACGCCTATGAAGCGTGTGCCCATCCTGGCCAACTTCGAGGAGTGGATGAAGATGGCCACCGACAACAAGATCAACGCCGCGAACTCGTGGAATTTCGCCCTCATCGACTACTTCCACGACATGTCGCTGCTGAAGGACGGCGACGGCGTCAACTTCCAGCGAGCGAGTTGCACCCTCGACGGCTGCGTCAAGATCTACACTAGTAGAGTCGACAGCGTAGCCACCGAGACCGGCAAGCTGCTCAGCGGCCTGGCCGACAGCGGTTCGAAGAGGAAGGAGAGAGACGGGGAGGGGGACGGCGAAGAGAGCGAGGAGGAAGTCGACGAGGACGGCAACGTGGTGAGGAAGAAGACGAAGAAGCGGGTAAGGTTGAACTCTCTCCGGCGGAGACCGGCGAGGGCGCTCGCTAACGCTTTCGCAGCAACGATCCTCTGAAGCCACCCTCGCGCCGTCGTTCGCCTCGCTGCAGTTGAAAAAGTTCGAACTCGAGTTTGCGGTGGACCCGTTATTCAAGAAGGCCTCGGCCGACTTTGACGAGGGCGGCGCCAAAGGCCTCCTCCTGAACCACCTGATGATCGACGGGAAAGGCCGCATCGTATTCGACAGCAGCGACGACGCGAACGACGCCTCCGCTGCGGAGATCAAGCCTAGGAGACGAGAAGATGTTATTCCTGAGGAGGACGAGGAAGGGGCGGCGGAAGAGTACTCGGCCATGATCGCGGAGCAGCTACAGGCCGCGCAGGAAGACGACGAGGAGGACGTGGAAATCGACATCAGCGCGCTCGGCGCCAAGTTCTTCCCCGACCTGGCCCAGCTGGACGAGCAGGATATCTGCCCGTCCCTCAAGACCTTCGAGCTCGGGAACCCGTCCGGCTCCCTCGACATACCCTTCCTCCGCGCGCTCGAGGACAACGGCGACGACGACGAGAGCGGGAGCGGCGGCGTGGGCAACAAGTCGGGCATGTTCATCGACGAGGACAACCCGGTCGGCTTCGACGACATGACCAACATGGGCGGCTTCGACGTCGGCGACATCGCGTTCGGCGAGGGCGGCGAGGCTTGGGCGCGCGAGGCGGCGCTCGAGCCGCAGATGCGGCCGTACAGCGTCGGGCCGGACGACGACGGGATGCCGGGGGCCGACGGCATCGACGACGAGCGCGAGGACGGCGGCGGCGGCGGCTACCTGCTGTCTGCGAGCCGGGCGAAGGGCGGTGACAAGACGCACGAAGACATCCTCGGGTACTTCGACCAGGCGCTGCAGAAGAACTGGGCCGGGCCGGAGCACTGGCGGATCCGCAAGATCAAGGACGCGAGCAAGGCGGAGGCGGGCGCGACGCGGCCGAGGCGGGAGAAGGAGCCGTTCGAGGTCGACTTCGCGTCGGCGCTCGACCCGAAGCTGGCCGAGGCCATCTTCACGCAGGCGGCGAGCCACTCGGCCATCTCGCTACCCAAGAAGGACTGGAAGTCCAAGACGCGCAACCTGCTGCCGGACGACAAGCACTTCAACTCGAAGCAGCTGCTGAGCCTGTTCCTCAAGCCCAAGGCGCGCGCGAGCCGGCGCAACCGGTCCGGCGGCGGCGGCGGTTTCGGGCTCGGGAACGGCGCGCAGGACAAGAACGGCGGCGAGAACATCCACGCGGGCGACATGGACGAGGCGTTCTGGGCGCAGCGGGAGCAGCCGGCGCACGCGGGGGGCGCGGCCGGGGGGGGGGAGGAGGCGGGGCCGCAGGGCGACTACGACGCCAACTTCTTCGACGACGAGATGCCGCTGCCGGGCGGGGGCATGCTCGACGACGACGACGACCTCGAGTTCGCCGACGCGCGGGACCACTTCTCGCCGGGCGCCGACGGCGGGCCCGGCGGCCCCGGCGGCCCCGGCGGCGCCGCGAACCCGACCCAGGGCGACGTCGGCATCACCGGCCTCGTCGGCGCCGGCATGACTACCACCCTCGGCGGCTTCGGCACCCAGCTGGTCACCTCGACGCGCCGCCTGCGCCCCGAGTACGTCCAGTACGCCCGCGTCGCCAAGAAGGTCGACGTCAGGAGGCTCAAGGAGGAGCTGTGGAAGGGCCTGGGCTTCCCGGATGAACCTGTGAGTTTCTTTTTTCAATTTCTCTCTTCTTTCCCCCCCTTTTCCATGGGAGGGTCGGTTGGAAGGTGGTTTCTCTCATTTACGAAGGACTACGGAGACTTGGGAGCTACGCACACTTCCGTGCCCCTCCCCCCCGGCTTTCAGACGAGATGATCACGCTTGCGATTTATCATTATTTTTACGATCACTACTACTACTATTCCTACGAAGCGCAACCGCTAACACCACCCCTCTCCTCGCAGGACGCGAACGACCCGTCGGCGCCGACGCCGACCGAGGACTCGTCGCCGGCGAAGGCCAAGCCGCCGGGGTCATCGCCGGCGCCGGAGGAGGAGGCGAAGGGGGGCACGCTCAAGTTCACGAGCGTGATGAACGACCTGCGGACGGTGTACCCGAAGGCGGTGATGGACGACATCTCGACGAGCTTCTGCTTCATCTGCCTGCTGCACCTGGCGAACGAGAAGGGGCTCGTGATCGAGAACACGCCCGAGCTGCTCGAGCTCGAGATCCGCAGGGACTGGTCCGCCGAGCTGACGGGCGAGGCGTGAAGCCGGGGGGGGAGCCGGGAGCCGGGAGCGACCCGAGGAAGGAATTAGGGGTGGGGTGCGGTGGTGGGTTGGGAGATTATTAACATAAAAAAAAAAATAAAGTAGAAAGGGAGTCAAGCAAGGGAGTGAAGACACAGAAGAGGGGCAAAGGGAGGAGAGGGGAGGGAAAGAGATGGTGCGAAGAGGGAAGGGGGCGGCGAGGGTGAGGGCGCGCGCGTGTGGCGATCTCGTACGAGTTACTACGAGATCGCCGCCGAACGTGTCACGACGCCGCGCGTGCATGCATGCATGGCGCGGCCGGCGGGGGTGCCAGACCTGCCTCGCCGTCGCGCGCGGGCGGACGAACGAACCGAACGACGACAGCTGTAAGCAGGGCTGCGAAGGCGACTGACGAACGAGAGGCCGCCGCCGCCGCGGCCTGGGAACGGCAACGCAGGTAAGACATGCATAGCGCGCCTATAGGGCCTAGGGGGGGGGGGGGGGGGGGGGGGAAGGGAGGGGGAAGGGCGGCTGCTTCTTTTTTTTTCTTGCCTTCGTTATCTCCCTCCCTCTCTCTCTCTCTTTCTCTCTACCTATTCCCCCCCCCCCCCCTCCCTCCTCCTCGTTTCGGAAGGACAGAGAGAGAGAGAGAGAGAGAGAGAGAGAGAGCCAGGTGGCCCGGTCCTATTTCTAGAACCCGACCAGGGGGAACGTCGCGCGCGCGATTCGTCGGCGAAGGGCGCTAGCCTGCTGTCGCCGCGTGGGATTTCCGGATGCTGCGCTGCGGGACATGTGTGCGTGTGTGTGTGTGGCGCGAGTAGTGGAACTGGAACTGGGCCGCCCGCGTGGTCGCAGCGAGGAGCAGTAGTCGTGAGAGAGAAACGGGAAAAGGGGGCGCGCGGATATGAAATGTACTTTTTCTTTTTTTTTGGCCGTCCTAGCTTTCGGTCGAAGAAGCTAGGCCGGTATGTATGTATGTATGTATGTATGTATGTGTGGACATATCGTGCAACCCGATATACCTCCACGTTGCCAGTCATCCGCCGTCGTGGCACTCCGCGCGCACCGTCGACGGTCGGTATGACGCGACGCGACCACCTCTCGCTTCACTTTGCGTCCGCTTCTGGCCAGCGTACGCGTAGCGAGCAAGTGATTCTTTTCTCGCACAGATTTAAGATTACAATGCACGGAATTGTCCTAGCAATAGTCACAGCAGCTTCCCTGAGAAGTTGAAGGGGTTTCATCACGTGGCCGGGCGGACTGTAACCCCCGCCCAGGTTGATGAGCAAGGGACGCGAAAGCGAGATCAAATAAGGAGTCAAGTCCCCCCCCCCCCAAGTATGCGCCCTCCCCGCCAACGCCTTTTCCTCGCCCCTTTCCGTCTTGTACGGAGCACCAAACCTCGACAGCAGTCCCGAAGAAACTCCTAAACATATAAAACAACCCCCAAGGTTGAGATGGTGATGGTTGCCTCTTGTCGGGCAACCAGACAAGCCCGAATCCTCCCCCCCCCCCTCCCCGTCGTAATGCATTGCTTCGACGAGTTGTGCGGGAGCACCAACAGAGGGGGGAGGGTATTTGGCTGAAAAGCTTTGCACTTGTAGCCGCAGTTCATCATACCCTCCGGGGATTAAAAAAAAAAAGAAAAACGCCGGCCCGTATGAAGTGCAGAGTCATTGCAGTCGGTCCTCGTTCCTAGCTGTCGTGTCGTCTTTCACAATTTCCAAACGCTCGGATCCCTTTCCGGAAAAAAGCCCATATGCCATTGATAAGTAGAGGGATGTCATAAAATACGAATTTCTTTCAGATCAGAGAATGGCCGTACGCCACGGGTTCCCAGGATGTACAACATATGATGAGCGGAAGATCTCTGGAGGAGGGGGGCGGAGCCATGGCACGAGCTCTAGTTACCGCCGGTCCACGATTTCTCGAGCCTTGAGTAGAGCACTGATGCCATCCAGGCCATTCTCGCTACTCCCGTTCAATTTAGAAGTAGTAGTTAGCTTCGGCTCAGCTGGTACACCGTATACTGCTTCCTTTTGGAAGCTGGGTATTATGTACTTAGGCGGGATCGGCCCGGGGAGAAACCCTACGACAATTGTCAGTTTTAGAATGCACGCCACGGAGCGAGCCAGAAGGAAGAAAAAAAAGAGCCTACCATTTCCGTGGGTCTCAACCATGCTACCGTTTAGCCGATCTCCTGGCGGACGGCCAGGCTGCGATTGCAGGATTGACAGTGGCGCATGGGACACGGTGGTTTGGCGTGAAGAATACTGCGGTTCCGGTTTTGATGATAGGAGCGCGTGTATCGGCAGAGAGGCGTCGCTTGGGGTCCTCGGGGTATTATAAGAACTGTACGAACTGACACTCCCAGCTGAAGACTGCTCGGTCTTCAACGATGGTGGCCGTGATCCGGACGCCGACGACCTTGACCCGCGAGCAGATCCGTTACTCAGGCCCAAGCTCGAGACTGGCGTAGGCAAGCTACTCTCTGGCGAATGTGCGAGCGATCCCTGGATATTTCTCGGGTCAAACCACGAGGCGCTCGTGTGATTAGACTCCGCATACATCCGCTGGCTCTCCAACCAGCGAGATCGACTGCTCGAGTGGTGGCTAGGGGAATCGCGAGAAGTAGGACTCGACAGCCCACGTGGTCGCCCGTTAATTTGCTCGTCGTACGAGAGGGTCCTCGGGGAATGCAGCGGCTCGTCCCCATGATGTATCCCGTTCATCCTCGGGGAGAAATTGCTGTCGACCGTCGACGTCGACGATCCCATCCTTTGCTGACGTGTTGGCGGCGGCTCGCTACCAGGCTGGCTGTCGGATCCGCTACCCGTGCCACTGGTCGTACCACTAGGCCCCGTCGAACCGCCACTCGTGCTACTTCCGCGAGTACTGTCCGATTCTGTCTTGAGACGCTTGGAAGCGTCTTTTTCTGAGAGACGATGTCAGGGTCTGGCACCGTCTAGGATCACGACACCGCCTGCACGACACATACCTTGTAATTGGGCCGCCTGTCGTTTTCGAAACTCATGCAGGTAGTCGCTGTATTTCCTGAAGTCGTTCGTCTTCTTATAGGTGCTCAGCTCGCGATTGTACTTCTCCTTTGCCTCGTGCGCTTGCCTTTCGAAAGGCTCCTTCTCAGCGCGGTTGAGGTTTTGCCAATTCTCACCGACCAGTTTAGCGATCTCCGTGAACGTCAAATTCTGGCCTCTCAGATCCTCTCTCATTTCTGTCGTCGTTTAGTATACACCCTAGGCATCGCTGAATGCAAGCTTAACTTACTGTTCGAGAATAACACATACGCCGAAGGCGGCCGTTCGGGGGCATTTTCGTCAGGCTAGCTCATTGGTCAGCGGTATATTCTCATTGGCCCCTGCTACGTCGCGAGAGGTCATCGCAAAAGGAGCCGGGTTAGTCGGTTGGGGGTGGGAAGACAGACCTTGGGGTGCCGTCTATACTTGCGCTTCGCAACGGTAGCTCCGTCCGACTTGTCGGATTTGACAGGCTCCGCCCGAGTCGAATCGAGCCTAACATCTTCGATGCTGGTACGCGTAGGGGATATCAAGGACGCATCAGGTGCAAGACCTCGGTAATTCGCTATACGGCGCTGGAGTTTCTTCGCGACAGTCAGTGCGAACGCCACACACACACACACACACACACACACACGCACACACACACAAATACACACGCCGAGCACTACTCAAAAGAACGAGCGGTCTTACTCTTCGATGGCCGAGCTTGACACCAAGCGCGTCCCTACCGCCGAAACGTCAGCCATTGCCCGAGTTAGGGTGGGCTAGGAAGGCTCACAGGTCAGATTCGGTAATGTCTAAAATCGTGTCCCACGAATCGAAACCCTGGTCGACAAAGGCGTCAAGGTATTGAGAGATGCCTAGCTCGCCGAAGATCGCTTCGAGGGAATTCATATAGCTGTTTTTTTGCCGCGTCTCAGCGGATCACTCGCTAGAGCTCTCAATTCAGCATCAGGCTTTCCTCGAGCCTGCGCGTGGAACCCTCGTAGGTGCGGCGATTACGGTGCGGAGTGCAATGTCTTGTTTACTTTCTCTCTTCTCGTCTTCTCTTAATCCGGCGAACGGACTCTCCCGGATCGGCGTTCGGCTCACGATGGAGAGAGGCCTGGGGGGGAGGGGGGTAGCTCTGCTCCGTCCACACCAACAACTCTCGGACAAGTTTACCCTTCCTCGCCGAAATCGCTGGTCTAGTAACCAGCGTGGTAGGGGGGACGCTTTAAGCCGCTTGCCTTTCCTATTCCTGGTGTGCTCTTCCTCTTACGATACTGACCCGCCTATACCAGTCGGCAATGGCTCCCTGCGACTGAGCAGACACGTGGGCACGGAGTGATAGCAGCAGCGGCAGAAACAGAGACGCGTCGTAGGCCTGAAGCGATAGAGGCGGCCCGGATGTGTGGGGCGTGGGGCGGCCTAGGAATATAAGGAGGAGTGCGCGTTGGTGCGTGCCGGGAGAGGTGTACGTAGGCAGGACCCAGAGAGAGAGAGGGAGAGAGTGAGAGAGGGGGGGAGGCAGCGTAGACGAAATCCGCTCGAAGTAGGTAGACGGCGTTTAGGGACGTCGGTCGTATAGTACGGGTTGCGGTACGGTCAGGCTGTGGCAGACGTTAAAAGGGTTGAAAATCGGATTTGTCTGTTTGCCCCGTAATGGTCAATGGCAATGTTTAGGGGAAATGTGGAAATTTGGCATTCTGGATCCCGGGCTGCTGTGGTGATATACGATCCCGCTGCATTTTCCCAGATCTCGATGAGCAGCGTAATCGATTGGGGATCGAGCACTCGGTGTGTCACAGCTCGAGGGGGTAAGAAAATAATAATAATAATACTAATAAAAATACACAGCTGCGGCAAGCCCCAGAACAGCTAGCGCTCTGGTTAAAGGGAAAACGGAGATAGAGAAGAAGACTCACCTACAGGATTAGCTCCCATTCTCAGATGGCTGGCGGGAGGTCCTGGAAACATGCAAGCACAAATGGGCTGATGGGCTGATGGGCAATAATATGTTCGGCCAGAGGACGCGGTACCTGGTCTCGTCCTCGTAACCTATGTAAGTATCGAGGTATGAGGTCACGCTCTGCAGGCCCGGACCTTGGGCGAGACTCTTCCCAGGAACGTGACTATTCCTAGAAGATCGCAACCTGGACCTATTCCAAGACCCATATATGCACTGTTGGGAAGAATCAAGCTCGTGCAGCCGAGTCAGGGCTAACGCTTAGTTGCTTCGTAGGTCGTAAACAGACGAGCTTCGCCCACTGGCGAATCGCCCGTCTCGCCTCCTACTGTGCGCCATCAAGCTCTTTAAACTCGAAGCTTCTCTCTCTCGCCCACTCGCTCGCTCACCAACTCACGAACACATACACACATCCTCGCCCCCTCTCTGTGTGCGTCTCTCTCTTAAAAGAGAGAGAGAGGGAGAGGGAGGGAGGCAGGGAAAGCATGCGTGGCGTGTGTGCGTGTGTGCGTGTGCGTGTGCGTGTGAGAGGGTCTGTGAGAGGAAGGAGACCCGCGAGAAAACGGGTGTCGAGAACCAGCTCCTACCGCCCCACGATTTGTGTAGGCGAGCATGGGATGAAGCTATCGGCACACCAGTGGCCGAATGGGGTGAAGAATGTGTGCGAAGGGTTACGGGCTGAGCGCGCGGGATCGAGATCGCGGCCGAGGCTTACGACAAATGAGAGTGTTGCTGCGCGTGGGTTGCTTCATCTCGTGTCTCTTGCCGGGATGCGTCTGTTTCCGAGCTCGCCGCTCTTCTTCACGCGATGTACCTTTGACGTTCTCGACGCTCCGTTGCCGGTAATATCAGGCGTGCTTGCTCGAATCTAGAACATAATAGGCGGAGGCGAGGATGTCTTGTCTGCTCATCCGCCTCGTCTCCTTCTTACTCACTCACACACCCACATACACACCCACATATACATACACAGGCACACACACACGCAGACATACACACACGCAGACATACACACACGCAGGGTACATAACCGCTCACGCACACTCACTAGGGGCGAACGAGCTCCCGAAATAGACCGGCCTCGGCTACGATCACCCAGCGTGCCGACGATGATGCGATTCCTGCCTGGGTATATTTGTCAAAAAGAAAGAAACAGGAAGAAAAAGAAAATATCCCGGGCAGCCCATCATCTACCTACCTCCCTACTATGGGGAGGTGGTTATCGGGGCGTCGGACCACTAGACAGTAGTGAAAGGGGACGCGGGAGCCAAGAAGGGCTGGCAGCCGTGAGCCAATCAGGGTCGATAGGATTAGGAGAGGGTAGGGCGCCGCAATCGACTTTTCAGCCCGGGATCGAGAGTCTTGGCGTCCCCCCAAGCCACGAACCCCAGACTCTGGAGCCCATCAGATGTTTTTCTTTGATTAGGTATATTTCCATTTTTGCATCCACTTTTGAATGTGGTCGACTCGCAGCCCCTCCTACCCCCCACCAGCGAGACCCGGTATCGTGGGATCGTAGTATTCCGAATGACTTGACTGTCAGATGTCACCTAGTCAGTCGCTCCGTCGGGCAGTCGTTCGGTAGGTTGATGAACCGCATGGCTCCCGAGACGGCCACAGGCCAGATTCGAGACTCGGCGGAAGCAGGACGAAGAAAAGGGGAATGGATCCACATGCTACGCTATTGATAGTCGTCATTGTGGGACAAGATCGAGATTGGGGGAAGCGAGCGAGAGAGAGAGAGAGGGGGGACGAGAGAAATAAGTGAGTGAGAGAGAGAGAGCGAGAGAGGGCGAGCGAGCGAATCTGGCTGGTTGGGTAGGATAGGGTCAGGTAGCATGGCGGCGGCGGCGGTGGTAGGGTAGGCTACCACATAGGTGTACGTGCGTACATACGGACGAACACGGCGGCAACAAGAAGAATGGGGTTAGAAAATGATAGTAATAAAAATGACAGAACCCCATGAGAGCACCGTCAACGAAGGCGACGACGACAACATCGACGACCTACATGCATAAAAGCAGAGAACCATCCAGCCACGAGGTTTGGGTGGGATAACAGTGTGGGATAGGTCGGCGGCGTCGCTTGTAGGAATTTATGCCTGCCAATCGATTCTCGAACCCGCCCAAAGTATACCGATGTACAATGACGGGTGATCACGTGGCAATAGCCAGTACCCAAGGTGGCATCGCACACAGCCAGCCTGCCTCAAGCCTCGCACTTAGGTACCTACCCAGCCCGACGACATGGCTACATGGGTACCTAACTCACGTATCTTAGGTACCTACCTCCTCCTACAACGCAAGATGTGGGGAACGTTGGAGCACCGGATCCACAGAAGGCACCTAATCACAGGGTTCATGGTTCTACAATATCTCTCTATACGGAAGTCGGGGCTATAGGGTCGTATCTACCTAACTAGGTATGCACACGTATGCATACATATGCACCTAACCTAGCCTACTTCAAATGTCGGACGGATTAAGAGATATATGCCTAACGGAGGGGAAGCTATACACATTTGCCGCTGCGAGTTATTGCCTCAATGGGGTTCGCGCATTACTTAGGTAGGTACCGTAGGTAGTAGTACACTTGCAGCTACCTTAGCTACCTAACATACCTAACCCGTTCCTTTCACTCGCACTAGCTCGAGGACCGAAGTTGAATCATCATAACCAGAGAGGAGGGGGTCTAGTGGGATTCCCGCGCAATTCCATCAAATCCCCGTGGAACTCGATGGAATCCCTCCATACCTACAATCGCTATGTCCCGCACTCTCTCTCTCTGCTCGTGCCGGCGAAGCTGACGCTGCCCGGCTACGTAGGCCATCACTGCCGAGCCCTCCTTGCGCGATCTACTTACACAGCGGCATAGGGACGAGATAAAATTGGCGGCGTACTAAAATTGCTAGGATCGTCGCCATACCTCCTTCCAGAAGCCCAGAGCGCCTCTATATCCGGCATCGTTGCTCGGTACCGTACGTCTCGGTACAGTGGCAGCGGGGACGTGAGATGTGAGTACGATATATACACGTGGTCTTGCAAGGCTGGCCGGACGAACAACACCGCACAAGAACCATGATAAATAATATCCCGTCTCTCCCACGGATCGACTGACGACCGCGGCATCGCGTAAACACGGCATATTTCCCTATTTCCCAACCGGTCGAAGAAAAACCGTCGCGAAATATGCCGAGACACCGGTATGGAGATCTAGACCGCCGCGGACGGGGACAGTCTTGACTAGCTGGAGCGAAAGATCTACATCTGAGGCCACCGCTTTCAACCCCCCCTGGCCATAAGACCATGTCTGCATACGTCCACATTGTACAGACATATGTACGTAGTACCATCCGCCGCGATACGACGAGCTTGCCTGCATCCTTTTGCCAGTTCCGAACCCTACTGGGTATTTCTCACGTGGGGAGGCTGATAGGTGGGACCTATCGAGGAATTAAGAAAGCATGCCGTTCGCGGACTGGATCAACAATCCCATCCACCAACCTGCCCAGGTGTCTTGTCTACTCATATTCATCCAACTTCAATTTTCTTCCAAGACCCGTCCCCCTGGTACCTCTCTCCGTCCCTCGCCACGCGTCTATGGTGTTTTTCCGAGCAGCGGGCTGACTAGCGAGCACAGCAGCAGCGTCTTACACAGGCCAGACCAGCAAGCCGCGAATCACCCACTCCTCTCGAAGCCCACCTCGGATTTTACTAGGGCTGGACCGCGGGCCAGGCATCGTAACCCAGACAATCCTGTTACTTCTTCCGCCTCTATCGGACCGGATACGGCACAATACGAGCGAAGGCGGCCCTGCCAGTCAACGAAAGCTTCACCAGCATGTCGAAATCGCCGTCGGACAGCGACCCCACCGCGGCGAAGACACATGGGCCCAATGACAGCCCACAAAATGCTTCCACCTCAGCCGTATTGAGTCAAGCAGACATAGCGGAGGTAAGTTTGCACGCCCGACCAAGACGGCATCTTCCCCAACGCGGCGGGCAGACACCCTTGTCTAACTAGGACGGCGTTTAGGCATTTAAGGACCTTGCTAGGTATGTATGGGTGATATTTCCGATCCGGAGTGTGCCTTGGGGAGATCGACAGCCGATCTGGTCAAGTTTTCTGTCCTGGCGTCTAGTATCTAGAAAGGATGGACACATGGAAAATGGCGAAAATTTGCCCGTGTGTGTTGCGTTGTTTAGCATGCAAATCGCCCCCAGACCCCTGGGTTTCCCATCTTCCCATCATGCCAAAGTCCGCTTCTGCATCCGCGCCGGTGTGATCAGCCTGGCATTCCCCATTGCGCGGCCCCCTGTCTGCCCCGAGGCCTAGATCCCCGCTTCGATACGACGAACCTCCTCTAGGGCCACTCACACTTCGCCTAGCCAAATCCCGCTCGGGGTGTCAACTGTGCGTGGGACCGCTCACGTCTTCTTTTCTGCCATCCCCTTCGCCATCTCCTACCTTGTCGTCGCGGAACTTGCCAGACGTGGGACAAGCCCGGCTGGCTCTCCCATTGTGTCACGTCTCTTTTGTCCTCTCGTTTACGTGCCGACGCACCAAAGTTACCACACATCGAATGCCTGACAAAGTTGTATAGGCCACCCACTGCTTCTTTTGCTGGTCGTGCTAGTAGCAGCGCTGAGCCCTACAACTTGCGAGCCGTCTTATGTTTTGACACGGCGCTCCCCTTTTCTGCGCCATATGCGTCGAGTTAGCAATCTCAACAGCTTCGTACGCATCATAATCTCGTCGCGGGGGGCCGTCGAAGGCCCTTATGATGGTCGGCCGGCCCTATCAAGGGCGCATGTCAAAACCCTACGCGCTATCCGTCACGATTTATCCTGTAGATGTTGCAGAATCTCCCAGTGCTAATGCGTGGCTGAACAGAGGCGAACAGCAGGCTGCCGCTCTAGAGGCAGGCCTCACAAATCTAGAGAAGAAGCTCGACGCCCTATTAGCATCGATCGAGGGCGGTTCAGCCTCGCCCGAAGCAAGTCGGGAGGGTAAAGGCGAATCCAAGGACTAGGCGCCCGCGGCGAAGAAGTAGCATGATGTGGTGCCGTCCCTACACCCATCGTACCATGGTGTGGTTGCCATCAGCGGAACAGTCCGCTCAGGCGTTCCATCTAGATCCAGGCAGATGACTACTTCTGTACATCGCAGCCTTCAGGGAGGGGGGATTACCAACGGTACACGGCGCGCTCCATATCCCAGGTCAACACCTTTTGCCACCTCCTCGATAGCTGCTCCCTCCCTGCCACCATATCCGTCTCCACATCGCAGGTTCCATCCAAGGTTCCGTACGAGCATAGCGTATTTCAAAACGACGAAAGGAAGCTGTCGTGGCCATTACCCCGCAAGGATAGCAACCGCCAAACCCATCCATAGAGAATTGTCAGGTAGATCAGTATAGAGCCAAGCGTGTCGAACCCCGTGGGTAGCAGTCATCTCGAGATTTGATCCCACCGTGACGGGTGGCAATGTGACCCATCCTCAAGGCGGATCGTGAGCTAATAGGGCAATCTGACGGGAACCAGAGGCCCAATTTAACGAGTCGTAATTCCCGTTGCGAGAGGATGAGCTAGAGGGATGTAGAGCTTATGGTGCCGGATATGCCGTCTACTCGACCAGTCTGGCCGCTATCATCCCGCGCCAACATGTATCTATCGAGCTGACTCGCAAGACGGAAAGCAGCTACCAGATTCGGCCGCTCATCGAGCGTAGCTGCGGTGACTGGCCTCGATCGATGCCTCCTCCATCTGTCCCAACTTCGTTGATCTGAGATCGAAATACCGCCCAGCAGCCGAGCCCAAACGGGAGAGGCCGCCCTCGTATCCGAATCCAATAGTCTGTCAACATTCTACAAGCAGTGTCGCTTTTTTCTTTCATCCCGTTCTCACTACCAGTCACCGGTATCTATCGACTTTCCTTAACTCATCGAAGATCCATACCTGTTTCCCTCTCGTACATAGCTTCCTAGTCTCCAATTTCACCTCCCCGCGTGCACAGTCCTACAGCGGCGCAATAGGCGGGACGGCGATGCGCCAGGCGGTTTTATTGATTAGCACATGGCGTCGACGTGAAAAAAGCCACATGCGTATGAATACAGGAAACCCAACCCACACGCGATCGGTTCAATAGAAGCTGTCGTATCAGTTCACCGGAAAGGGGGGTGAGATGGGGGGTGAACACACCCCCCTCCCCGCGAGAAAGGTGACGACTGATTTCTAAATATTCAAGCATGTCACCGCACTACTCCTATCTGAACACGGATACTTTGGGCGTGAAGCCGTCTATGTACAGTAACCAGAGAGACAGCTTGTACCCCCACACTCTTCCGCCACATTGAACGAGGCAAGAGTCTCGTCACATCTTGTAATGATCGACGGCCAACGGCTGTGTGTTACACCATCTTTTATCGACGGCAGCGCAGAGTCGCATAACCGAGGATTGTACCTCGGGATGCGCCAGATGGACGAGAATGGCGGACGACAAGTTACTTCCTCAAATGACTAAGAGACCTCGATACGCCCGTCCATGGGCGTCGGCCTAGAGCGTGGCGTATGCGTAGCTCGCACACCGGCACGACGGTGGTAAGCGGGTTGCGACCAGCAAGAAGTTGACTCGACAACTAGTGAGGCATCTATGGACCACTCATACACGGTGGAGACGGCAGTTCCCACGTGGAGGATAAGAGTGACGGAGGGGATACATAGCAGGCGTTCCTTCAGATGGACGCTACCCCTGGCAATGGTCTTTACCCCCGGGGAGAGGACGTAGCATAATTGACGCGTCTTCCGCTGTGTGCGACGAGGAGAGAAACGGAGAGAGAGAGAGAGAGAGAGAGACAGGGAAAGGCAAGCAATCGAGAGAATAGAGGAAGGATTGGCGTTGCTTAGCCGAAGTCCAGCTACCCTCCCCCCGAGGAGGACCAAGCTTCGACAGACCCCAGTCTCCCTCTCATCTCTCTGGACAGACCACGGGCTGGTCTACCCAGCCAAACCCCCTCCCATAAATATCTCATCTTGTCCCGTTTAAGCACCTACGGGAAACGGCTCCTCCACCCGTTCATCCATCCATCCGTCTTATGTACCTATCCGTAGAGGAATAGGGAGATAAAAGCAAGTAGAGGGAGCACAGCACAGACGTCTGCCCCGGTTAGCCGATGTATATACCGACGTGGTAACTTCTCAACTGGCTAGAACCCGAGGTTATGCTCTTACGAAGGTCTGTGGCGCGACTTGGCTATCGCTAGGGACTTTAGCCAGGTATTTGGGCAGGCGAGGAGTATCGTAAGATATCGTAAGATATATGGTGGCAGCATAAGAGGGTAAGCTTCCGCGGTGCCGAAATAGACAACGATCCCTCTAAGGTACCGCCTGGCTTCACTACGACTTCTCCCGCGTGAGGTACTTTGTCGTCTCTCGCTCTCTCGCTCGCTCGTTCGCTCCCTCTACCTACGTCCCCCCCCTTACGCACCTGCTTCCCGACCTCGCCCTTCATAACCCTTCCTCTGCTCCCTCCGCCCTCACGTCCTCCTCGCTCCTCATTTTCCAGCTCTGCCTTCTCTTCCGCCTCACCCCGATCCTCCAAGCTGCCCGATCTCTGTGCATATTACCCCATTCTCTCCGCTCCAATCGCCGCCCCGTTCGCGCCCAAGAGGGCGCCGTCCGCTTCATCGATGAGGACTGCGATATTATCCTTTAATTATTGCCTCCGATCCCCTCAGGATATCCCGATCGTACTCTCTAACTAGGTGTGTATAGGTAACGAAGCACCGGCAGACGACCAGGCGCCGCTGACGGACCTGACTGCGTATGACCCCATTTTGATGGGAAGGGGGTAGACTCGGTCAGATTCGGCTGATTGGCCTAGAGCGGTCACGGGCCGTGTCCAGAGTACAAGTCGAAGAGTCGTCAGAGAGAGAGAGGGAGAGAGACGGCACTAGGAAAATACAGCGTGGGAGAGTCACGAAGCTTCAGATCGTCTGGTCGCTCGATAGAAAGAGCAGGAGAGACGAGAAGAGACTCAGACCGGTAGTATCAAACTAAATGATAGCGATAATAATAACAATAGAATACTAACTTGTCTTCGAACTATCTGCCACGTCAGACTATAGTCCTCCCGTAGCTAGCTAGCTAAGCCCAGTCTGTACGGAGAGTCGTAAAGGGGCCAACTCCCGAACCTAAGCTCATCAGATACGCCGCCCGCCATTTTCCCCGCCCTCTTGCGTCGCCGACGAAGCCAGCTTTACGATGCCAGAGGACGACCGTAGCTTCCTCGACAGCAAGGTCGTGACAAATACAGTCCCGCAACAGCCTTGTACACTGGGGGGAGGCCTGAAGTCCATCGGCGCTCCTCCACCTGTACTCACTATAGCAGTTGCTTCATCCTCGAGGTCGCGAAGACGAGTCCCCGGACTAGTCGCGGCATGGTTATCTAGATGCTCACCAGTATCCCAGGATCACTTGCTGCTATCGAGCACAAGTTCTTTCGTCTAGGGGGGGTACGAATATATATACCGTCGATAAGCAGCAGGAGCGCGGATGTCTCGACGACGCGTGTTCGCATTCCAATAGAAAATGGCCTCAGGCCGACGAAGATAACAATACCATCGCGACTCCGTTACGTCGACCACGCTCCCCTCCCCCCCATACCTACCACGGAGCATACATACGTCCGTATAGACATACGTGGCACATCCCACAGGGGACAGCACCGACGACCCACAGCTCGGTCTATCCGAGCATAAACACACCAACCCGACGCCACAGAGTAGAAAGCAAGTCGGCCACGCCGGAATACGAGGGAGCAGCCGAGCTCTTTCTCTCCCCCGGCCACTTTTCCCCTTCCTCCTTTACCGAGAGAATGGACAGCCTCGCGTGCTCCCCGTACCGAGGACAACATCGCCTCCTCCCCCTCCCCTTTACCCGCCATATCCGCATCCCGCGCCGAACACCCACCGCCGCCGTGATACCTAGGAGCACGCCGGCTCGCAGCTCACGCAGGCACCGCGAACCCTTCGCCCCCGTGAGAGAGAAAACCCCGTCTATCCACGCCCACAACCCAACTTCCTCCCCCCCCTTATACCTCCAGCCCACCCCCACCCCATAACACTCCCGCGGGCCCATGCCCTCTCTCCCTCCCTAGAACACACACACACACATATAGACATATGCCGCAATACCCAGGGGCGCAGCAAGCACGGTGCCTGCGCGCGGCGAGCAGAACTAACCTTAGCGCGCGCGCGTGGCGAGCCGGCGTCTCGGCCGGCCGGTCGGCAGCGCCCAGGCGGAATGGGCGCCGAGCGCGGTTTTGTTCCGCGGCCCCCTTTCCGCGAAAAGGGGCCGAGACAGACAGACAGGCAGACAGGTGGGTACTTAAGACAGCTATAACTAGCTACGTAGATGCGATCTGGCATCCGCCGGCGGCCTGCTCGGCACTAGCGATGGCGGGGCCGTCCGCCGTTTTAGTCAGTTCCAGTCAGTCAGTTGGTTAGTTAGTTAATTAGTTGGCTGTAGAGAGAGATATAGATAGAGAGAGAGAGAGAGGGGGGGGGGGGGGGGGAGGGATACGCAGCGGAGCATCCATTCACTCTTGGGAATCCGTCTCCTAGCCCTTCTTGCCCCGAGCAAAGCAGAGCAGAGAGGGGTGGAGGCTAAATTCCTGGATAAGAAGAGGAAAAAATGAATTCCATAATACACGTCTCGTGTCATTCCCGTTCCAACACTGCCCTATTTACTTTCTGCGCGACCACTCGTAAGCTATTACGGAAAGGAAAGCAACTCCTTAGCAATGGGGCGCGTGTCCCTCCCTCTCCTCCCCGTCTCGGCCCCCCCGCCCCCTTCCCTTCTCCTCGTTTCTTCTCTAGCATGCTGTTCGCACGATCCGACCCGAAAAGCTTCGTTGTTTGTTTCCCCAAAGACAAATCCCGCGCCCGCCCCTCCTAAGCCATAGACCAAGCAAAAATATAAAACACAAACGGACAGCTGGCAGCAGCAGCAGTAACAGGAGTAGCAGCATCGGTGACCTCACACCTCCACCCCTACCTCTCCGCGGCTTCACCCTTGTCCCCTGCCCCCTTTCCGTATGAGTAGCATATTCGTAGACGGCCCTCCGCTGATGTAAACAAACAAAAAAAAAAGGTTGAAAGAGAACGCCCAATGAAACACCGGCAGTCGCTGTAAGCGCTGCCCAACATAGAGAGAATACCGCATTCATTTTCGTATGTTAGTTCAAAATAAGCGCGGACCCCAAGAAGGAACAACAGCAGGCGAGGTGAGCCGCCCCTCGTAATTGAGCTTGCATCGAATGAACAAGAAACTTGGTGGCGGCACCTAGAACTGGCGGCATTCTCCAAGGCCGTGGGTATCGAGAAAACGATCAAGCACCTATAGTCTTGATTGCGACAAGAGGGGAGTGTTTCCTGACAAGTAGCAGAAGACATCACAACCCCGAACAGGCACTAGTTAAGGCCCCCAAAGCCTATCCGGCAATGGAGACTGATCAGGTGCTGTGAGCTCTCACAAGGAGCTGATCACATGACCATATGTTAGTCTTCTTGAACGCGTAGTTCAGGGAGGGTTGAACGTGCCCTTTGCAACGGATCGTCCTGATTCGACACAATGGATGGGCTGTCTATACCTCCTCCTACCAGAGCCTCGTTCGACGTTATCGAACGTCCCTCTAGATTAGGCCGCAGGAGTGCCGATCCATTTTGCTGGCCGTTACTGTTGCTCTGCTCAGCTTGACGCGCCAGCTCCCGTTCCCGGTTCTTCTCAAGTAGTGCGCCGCCGAGGGTCGCGCACTTGAGGATGGTCTGTATCAAATGGTTCTGCTGTAGCGGTTTAGACAAGTATTCGTCCATCTGGGCTTGTATACATCTCTCCCGATCCCCCATCATCGCGTGCGCCGTCAGAGCGATGATTGGAGTCCGGTGTGCCCCTAGGCTACGTTCGTACTCGCGGATCTTGTTGGTGGCCTCGAAGCCGCCCTGCGTACAGTTAGCGAGTTATAATAACGCGTCAAGAGCTCTGTGGCGGGGATCGAACCATTATCGGCATCTGGACATCCATGAGAATCACGTCGAATTTCTTCTTTTTGACAGCTTCCACCGCTTCCAATCCGTTTCCAACCACCGTGACTGCATGGTGGTACTTCTCGAGTATCTTCACCGCTAATCGTTGGTTAACTCGGTTATCTTCGGCAAGCAGAATCTCGAAAGACTTCGTATTGTCAGCTAGGGAGGGCGTAGCCCGGTTCTCTAGAGCGGGTACCATTCCGTTCCCTAGGTCGATTGGTTTGCAGGGTGTGGTCATGTAGGAGGTTATGCCTAGATCTAGACAGGATTTCAGGCTGACGTGCACGACTGGAGCTAACAGAACGATGGGAAGGTATTTGAAGTCTTCGATGGCCCGCAGTTTACGAGCTGTGTCGATAGACTCGACGATGATGACATCGTATGGCGGGTCGTCGGAACCTGGAACGTTAGGATTCCCCTCGGTGTTGACAACGACGGGCACGAGGCCCAGCCGCTGTAGCATGTTGACAATCTCCCTCCCGTATTGAGTGCGGCCCTTGTCGATAAACAGCACTTGGTGTGCCTTGTACGGCTTTAGCTGTTTCTCGATAGAGGCAACCTCTCCGTCTGCCAGCTTCACCACGCAGGTGAAGTAGAACGAGCTGCCCTTGCCGAATTCGCTCTTGACCCAGACGTCTCCGCCCATCAGGTTTACCAGCCTCTTCGAGATCGATAGACCTAGACCAGTGCCCCCGAACTTGCGAGTCATCGACCCGTCTGCCTGTTGGAAAGTGTCGAAAATGAGATCGAGTTTGTCCGGTGGGATCCCTATACCCGTATCCGAGACAACAAACTCGATCGCGTACTCGGAAGGGTCTTTAGGAGTGGTATTCTCGGCCTTCCGAATGGTTAAGCTAACCTCCCCGTGCTCTGTGAATTTGATGGCATTGCCCACCAGATTGAGGATGATTTGCCGCAAACGGAAGGAATCGCCAACAACGTAATCGGGTACGGAGCTGTCCACGCGATATGTGAGGTCGAGGAACTTCTCGTTAGCTTTGACCGCCAACGTCTTCAAGGCATTGAAGACAGTACCCCGCAGAGTATACGGGATTTCTTCTATTACCATCCTCCGCGCCTCAATCTTGGATAGATCTAATATGTCGTCGATGATGGTTAGGAGGCTGTTGGCGAGGTTGTTCACAATGTTCAACATTTCCCGTTGGTATTGCGTAAGGTCGGTGTCCAGAGTTAACTGAGTCATTCCGATGATACCGTTCATAGGTGTCCGGATCTCGTGAGACATGTTTGCGAGGAACTCGGACTTGGTCTTGTTCGCCTGCTCGGCCGCCTCCCTTGCCTGAGTGTTCCTTTGGATGCTATCTCGCAGGTTGTACACCATCTGGTTGATCTTGCGCTTGAGCTCGTCCATCTCACCGGATGCTTCCACATCGACCAACTTGGTGAAATTCCCGTCGGTGGCTGCGTTTGTTATATCGCCGAAAGCCCGCACTTGGGTGGTCTGAGAGGTATACCTGTTAGCAATGCGAGGCTCGCTGCCGCTTTGTTTGGGATGGGTGGGGAGGGGCTCACCAAATTAGTTGCCATCGTGTTCACATCAGCCGTGATCTCCTTCCATCGCCCCTTGAGACCTCCTACATCTGCCTGGCCTCCCATCTTGCCGTCCACGCCGACATCCTTTGCCACGCGTTGCACTTCGTTACAGAACACCGACAGGCGGTCAACCATATTGTTGATGGTTTCCTTGAGGACGAGTATCTCGCCCTTAGCCTGGACGTCGATCTTTTGGCTCATGTCACCGTCGGCGATGGCCTGAGTGACGGTCGATATACTCCGCACTTGAGAGGTCAGATTTAACGCCATGGTATTGACATTCTCTGTGAGGTCTTTCCATTTCCCTTCCACGTCATCGACTCTGGCTTGACCACCCAGGGTCCCGTCGGTTCCGACCTCCCTCGCGACCTTGCTAACCTCGAACGCAAACTTTCCGAGACGATCGACCATAGAGTTTATCGTGAGTTTGAGTCGTAGGATTTCGCCCTTGACTTCGACAGTGATTTTCTGGGACAGGTCTCCTGCTGCGACAGCCGTAGTGACCTTGGATATCTCCCGCACTTGGGTCGTCAGGTTCATGGCCATGCCGTTCACGTTGTCGGTGAGATCGCGCCAGGTGCCTTCAACATCGTTGACCGTCGCCTGGCCACCGAGACGGCCTTCGGTTCCGACCTCTCTCGCAATCTTGCTCACTTCTCGCGCGAACTGGGATAGCTGCTCAACCATTGAATTGATCGTCGATTTGAGCTCGAAAATTTCGCCTCTGCATTCGGCTTGAATCTTCTGGGTGAGGTCTCCCTTGGCGACTGCGGTGGTGACCTTGGCAATGTCACGCACTTGAGTGGTAAGGTTGTTTGCCATGGCGTTCACGTTTACTGTCAACTCATTCCATATACCTTGGACGCCCATCACATCGGCCTGGCCACCCAGTATACCTTCGGTACCCACGTCTCGGGCGACGCGGCTGACTTCCGAAGCAAAGGTGCGTAGTTGTTCAACCATGGTATTGATGGTCTGTTGAAGCTGGAGTATCTCGCCGTTGGCAGGTCTCTCGATCTTCTTAGTCAAGTCACCGTGGGCGACCGCAGTCGTCACAGATGCAATCTCTCGCACTGGGGTTCTCGTTAGCTATGCCCGAATAAGCGGAACCGCCGTGATACAAACCTTGGTCGGTCAGATTTTGGGCCATGACGTTGACTAGGAAGCTTGTTAGCTATTTTCCCAGCGGACGATCGACGCAAGATACGTTACCATTGTCTGTCAATTCCTTCCATGTTCCATCTACGCCTTCGATCATGGCTTGGCCGCCTAGGATTCCGTCCGTGCCGACCTCGCGGGCGACTCGAGACACTTCGCTAGCGAAGACCTGCAATTGGTCCATCATAGTGTTGATCGTCCTCTTGAAGGTAGTAATCTCTGGGTCCATTTCTACGGTGTTCATCCGAACCTTCATAGTAAGATCGCCGCGGGCGACCGCGGTGACGATCGCCCCGATCTCACGCAGCGCCTTCTGAAAGGCTTCGTTGGCTTTCTGATGTTTCCATAACTCCCTTTCCAAAGTTGCGACTCGTTCCTTCTCGATTAGTTCCAGAGCCTTTTCCTGAAGCTGTTTTTGCTCTATAAGCTGGGCGTTCACATTGGTGAGCTCCTGACGTTGGCTGTCGAGGAGCTTGGACTGGTCAACAACATGTTCGCGAAGTCCCTCGAGGTCCTCGTCGGTGAGGGGAATGGTCTTGACGGGCCGATCTTCTCCCGAGCCGTTCCGAGTCGGAGGCAGGAGGGGAAATCTTGATCGCTTGGGCGCTGGGAAATTGGGAGATTCGTTGCCGAAGAGAGGCTCGCACGTCTCGTTGGGCGTATCAGGGAACGTGCCACCATTCGCAACGCTAGCCTTGGTCTCGAGTTGCTGGATCCTCACAACCAAGGCGGAGAGCTCGCGCTCGAGAGATTCCTTGGCGTGGCTTTCGCGACCGGGTAGTCTGATCTGAGAATTGGCGCCAATCACAACCGGAACAGCGGCGGGGTCTTTGGAGGCAGGAGCCAAAGACTTGACGATGGTAGCGGCAGCCACCAAGGTCTCCTCGTCGGCCATCACTTTCATGGTTATCTCGACGTCGAGCCGTCAGGGGACGCAGTGCCGATTGTCAATTCGATTAGCGGTCGTAGCAAAGGGTCGGACCAGCGTTCGATAGGCGCCGGGATGAGCTTATGACGAACGCATGGAGCAGGGAGATGTCGATATCAAAGGCTGTTACCGCAAAGGGGGGGAGGGAAGCAGCGGAGCAGAACAGATACTACAGGTATCTCACGTTTTCGCGGCACACTCGCCTCAACGGCGGCGGTCGGGTCGCCGTGGGAACTCGGATTGTAACAACAACGTTGCCAAGTAGGCATACAGCTATACAACGGCGGGGGTGTACTCGGATCTGAGTTGCAAAAAATGAAACGGGTGACAGGACGGTGCTCCGATGGTATGACTCCAAGAGAACGGATCTCGGAGGGGGGAATAGGCCTCTCTACCGTCGGGTTAGGAGAGAGGAAGAGAGAAATGTTGCCTTGGAAGCCGAGCGGGTGGAGAGATGTGAGAGAGAGGGCTCGGTACTAAGGGTTGGGTGATGAGGAGGTGGTATGGATGGGACGGGCGGGTGGATGGATGGATAGATGGACAGATAGAGAGATGTACTGTAGGTAGGTCTGTAATGTAAGTCAAGGGCCGCTACGTTAACCTGACTGGACGGGCGGGTCTCCCTGTGTGTTCCAATAAGAAACCCTTGGCAAAAGAAGACGAAGAGGTGGGGGAGGAGGGAGGCGTGGAGGAGAAAAGGATGTCCACGAGCATTTGCCCCCCCCAAAGTATTCGAACAAGAGCACAATATGAATATATGTATGTCAATACCTAAGGGCCAAAGACAAGGATTTAGCGGGGAGGATACGGGGCTGGGGTTGGGGAGGGGGGTTGATGAAGATGAAGCCTGAAGGATGAGAGCGAGAGGTTGACAACGATGACCTCTGGGCGCCTTTACGTGTACGTAATGGGCTAGGCCACCTAAAGAGGTACCTACCTAAGTCAGTCCACCTAAGTGTACTTCCCATCAGCCCAAGGTAGAGATACCTCACCATCGGTGCAACTATCCTGGTGCTCTATGGGCAATAGACAGCGCCTAAGCAGCTCTGCCCGGGCTTGCAAAGACTGGTGGGTAGGTACATTAGGTGCTTGGGCTTGGGCTTGCGGGTGGACACCACCAGGGTCAATAAGGCACCTGTAGTAGGTAAGGTAAATACTCGACATAGGTGCCTGCCATGTTAGACTTTTGGGACCAGGGTGCGGTGTGTTCCATTGATCACGCTACGGCAGAGAAGTACACAGTACCTGACTGCATATTACAAACACATATACAGCATAACCTATATTGGTGGTAGCGTTTCCTATGTGTTAAGTATGCGGTACCTCTACCTTTTAGATATAACCACGCATATCTCCACACCCGAGCCATCACCTGTTGATTCTTTTAAGCGCTGACCTTGGGACCCTCCGTCCTTCAGCTGTCTTCCCCCTCCACGATGGGGTCCCGCAACCCACCCCGCGAGACTCCCGCCAAATACCCTTCATTCCCTCTTTGTCCCGAATCGCTCTTTGCTTGCTAACCGATGTTTAAAGATGTTGATGGGGCTTTACTTTAATAAGCATACCTGTCTGGTACATCGCATAAGTACACCCATACTTACAGGCAGGTAAAGACTTCCGGTTTGATTACAGGTACCTTAGGTACCTAATGTACATTGCCTCCACAATGATGTCAGGTACCCCTTCCAGTGGTTTAGCTGCTAGATATAAGTACCTACCTACATACCTTAGGTACCTAGGTATATAGCAGCATGCTTATCACTACATCGAGGTACTGCCGCATGCTGGTAGGTACTCGTTCAACTCACTAGACGCTAATAATAGGGGGGGGGGGTTACGTAGGTAGGTAGGTACAAATACGGAGTAGGTACATGATGGTTAAATCCGTGTTGGCATACGATCCAGATAAGCTTGTACCTAGTACCACGCCTCGTCTCCTGGAACTCACCCACCTGTCCGTCTAGCCATTTATCGATTCATAAACGAGGTCAGGTATTGAGGCCAGGGGGGGTGGGAAAGGTGGCAGGGCAAGTGGCCTCTAACCCCCCTTAAGCGTCTCTGCCATATCTATCATATATTACCTCGCACATGAACAATCTCTGTGCTCGCAGTCTATATGGTACGGACAGCTGGTAGGGCAGTATTGCCCATATCATCGCAGATCTGGAGTGACATTCTGGCGTATGTGCTCGCCCTTTACGGGAAACCGAAAGCTGGAGCTGGTAGGTAGACAGGTTCGTCGCCTTACCAAGCGGCTTCGCCGTGACATATCATACGGGACATACCATGCACATTCGTATTCTCACCCAAGGGGCGTTCCTCCAGAATATCTGTCCTAAACTGCATCACAGGAGTCGCACAAATGGATTTCATGAATCTCTAGGAGCAAGCCGAGCTGCACATGATGGAACTGTAGGTACCTTCATTTGCCTGCCCGCAGTGGATTGTCCACCTGATACCTACCTACGTGTAATCGGATCCACTGGCCCTGTCTCCGGCACCATCAGGTGGGCAGCGCAAGGACGGGCAAAGTGGACAGCCGTAGAGGTACCTACTGTGCAGTGGGGACTAACGCTAATTGTTATGTACCTACCTACCTAGGTACCTAGGTACCTATCTAGCAGCGCCGACTACAAGAGAGGTCCTTTCCTCGGAGGTAACGAGGAAGGCCGTCAGGTATGCCTCCCTTGATCTCTAACCACAGGAACCCTACAAGGTCCAAGTTTGTCCCGTCATCATACGCAGACGTCTGGACGGGTTTATGGTAACCATGAAATCAATCTCAAGACGCTAGATGTAAGTCCTACTACACCACATGCCCATCCAACGTTTAGGCATGTACGTTAAGAACAACATTAGGTAGAGCCCACCTAGGTAAGTGCCCCGGTAGGCCTAACGGAAACTAGGTACCTATTCATATATTTCAGCCGCTCTCGTGGCGAGTGGAGTGGCACTGTTTAGTCCATACCCGACGCCAAGGGCATAGACGCGGGTTTCAATCTATTGTATGTGGGTGTCTATCATGGTATAGGGGCACATATCTCGGGGTGTATTGTCACTTATATTTCCGTGTAGCTAGGGCATGTATCAATGATATCTGATAGCTATCGATGGGGATGCATTCTGTACCTAAGTGCCCGCGGCCTCAAAGTAATCTGATTTGTGAGCTGTGATGGGTTTACCGAACCCGCCCGCGATAGGACAGGTGCAGGTCCTGGAGCAACGAAGCGGTAGAAAGACGTTGCACGCAACCCTCAATAGGAACCTTAACCTGCCTAACTAAATACCTCCTAGTACATGAGGTTATTTCCCATGTCAGGTTGGGCTACATCCCTCGTGGAGGCAGGTACTCGAGGTAGTTAGGTCTCGAGGTATCTGAAAGGTGTCTCCCTCACGGGACTTCTTCCTATCGGGTACCTAAGGTCCCTAATCTCTACCACAACTACCTGCAGTTAGAGGTACCTAACGCTTACCCGTGTGTACCCAGGCACCCCGGAAGCTCCGCTGTTATCTGCCCACGCACAGGCGCGCTGACGTCATAGGATAATTATCCGATGGTCCAGATGTTAGGGTCTGTTGAGCTTTTACTCATAATTCTCCCTCTCCTTTTCTCTGTCTCTTACCCACGGCGTAGCTATTGTGTCGACTCCCCAGGCCTCACCCTCGGCCCAGATTTGTCGTGATGGCCACTCGGATTCCGCAGCTTTACGCCCCCCCGTTGGTCTAGACCACTTGCAAGTTGCTCGTGCGTGTAGATACGTGCCCATGTATTGTCTGGAGGTGTGTGGGAGCGAGGTACTACCTGCCTTGCCTGCATGCTGCTGCAGTCTCTAGGGTTGGATGTCCCATACCGGCTGGGACTTCGACACCGCGTCCAGTTAGATCCCGTCGCCTGCTCTCTCGTCTGACCACCATCCTCACCCGTACTCGCCATCCTCTACATCCTCTACAGCGGGGGATTGGCCCCGAGCCCTGCTGCCAACAAGCCGATCTCCACCAGGCCGGTACGCCTTGGTGATTCGCACATGGTCGAGATGGATGGAGAAGGGGGAGGAGGCAGAGAGACCGAAAAAAAAAATATGAGCGAGTGAGAGAAGAGACTTGTCGCATCTTCTTCGCCCGTTACATCCCACACCCATTCATATCCACATTCACATACATCCCATCCCCCATATGCCTAAATTTCAGAAGGGCATTTCATTCGCGATCTTCCAGCAAAGCTGTCTTTTCGACCCGACCCGGTTTCTCCAGTCGCTCGATCGCTCATTCCACTCGCCTGCCTAGCTGGGATCCCGAGGGTCAGTGGCCCATCTCGCTCAAACATGACACAGGCCCTTAACTTGCTGGCCGCCTCTCGATTGCCCCTCTCGTCTCTCGATTCCGTGTTGATCGACAGGAACACCAACCCATCGAGACCTCGCCTACCCACCGTATCGTATCTTTGCACTCGTAAGCATTGTTGTTGTCTCGCGTGTAGACTCTGAAGCTCCACATTCCGATTTTTTTTTTTTCCCCTGGACATATTCGCCGGCCACTCCAGGTCTGGTTGCTGTTCTGATGTTTTGCCCACCTCCCACATGTACAGGTATGTGTACATGTCTATATGCACGATACCTATCAACTGGCAGCCTGCCTACAAACCTGTCCCCCCCCTTCTCCGGTTTTATTTTTTATTCTTTCTATCTTATCTATGTATCTCATTTTTGTTCCCCTTTTCCTTTTTTCCTTCTTGTTTTCGAACGGGACCCTATCCAAGGTTCGTGCTTCTCCTGGCCTCCATCTTATATGCCCAGTGACGTCACAGCATCTGCAAATCTGCATGTGCACCCAGCCGGGCTCCAACAGAAATCTCCCTGCCCGCCCTACTCCGTACCGTGTCTTGGCCTCGAAGGGACACGAAACCACCCCCGAGGGCCTCTCCTAGCTGGTACTGTGCGGTGCCGTAGAGAGGGTGCCCGGATGACCAGCTTATGAAGAGGTCACAAATGGCCCGAACTATATTGCGTAGGGCTTTTGCATGCTGATGCCCATTTTATTTCGCCATGGGATCGGGCAGATTGGACGACGGAACATTCGGTTGTCGCGATTCGAGAGCACCAACATGACAGAGGACCCTTGAGACTCCTTTTGCAATCGGCCTATCCACTCCACAGAGGGGCAACCAGGGAGGAGGACTTAGAGGCCCTCGCCGGCGTCAAGGAGTCGCCGAAAGTTTCCACTTGGGCCAGCGACAGAGACATCTCACCTTCACTTGGTGATAGGCATGGGATGCTTATGTCGTTGTAGCTTCAAACGTACGGTGCCGAAACTAAATCCTCTCGAGTGCTCCGTTGCCAACCCCAGAATAGCGCCCTGCCCTAAACGCTCATGCCGGCATACGCAGCGTGTCGTAGGACCAGGTAGCCGCCAGGTAAACTGGGACTCGTGTTCCGACGGCTGCCACACCAAGAATTGACGCGAAGATGCGAACTACGCATACGTTTGGATCGTGCAACGGTAACCTACTCCAATCTATTACTTCGAACCCGATGTGGAAATCCCTGGCGACTCACACAGATTACCCTGCAGGGTAAGATACTTTGGGCGTTTTCTTTTTTTACTCTTTTCCCCTCAAAGCTATTCTAACTGTACCTTTTTTTCTCTTGCCCTCCCCCCATCACAACCCATCTTTGTCATGAGGAGGGAACATTTGTATGTCATTGTCCGTGTTCGTATATTCGACAGAAGATCTCCCGAGAACCATTATCGTATTGAAGACCCTGAGATACACATACGTTCGAGAACCCCCGAGAGGCCGTAAGATCATGCCAACCTGCGAACTCGAGCTGCGCCGCTTTTAGCCGGAGCCTGGCTTGATTTGAGCCCCCAATTCGACATGTCATCGAAATAGAGATCTGCACAAATTCCTCTTTGGTACAAACGGTCTTTAATTAAAAGTTATGTATACGGTGTATGGCCCTCAAACGGCATGTCGCCTGACAACAGACGTCGTGGCTAGACCGTTAGAAGCAACTTGAAGAAGCCGTGAGGCTCCAGAGCGATCAAACTGTCACCCCTGATCTACGTCGATAGAATGGATTTACCTACATACCTTATTCATTTCAGGCCTCAAGAATTTCGAGAACCATCATCTCCCCCGATTCGATTACGCCATGTTCCTACCCGACATTAGGACAGCGGCATAGTGACAGCGTCCTCGCCCATAATCCACACTCAGGCGTTGAAGGAGGTATAGAAGACGTCCACATGTCTTAGACAACCGTATGCATTCTGTTTTGCGTGAGCCATATGGATATTTCTAGGAAGATATGGTAGGGTACTTTGTTGATCAAGGTCGTCTGTTGATTTAGTATCTAGCTAACCTACATGACGTAGGAGGCTTCGAGGCGCCTGAGCCGGGCTGTTTCATCCAGCGCGTTTTACAAGCGGCCTTTTCAACGACGAGTGTTCCGAGACCATTCGCACCCGAGGCTTAGAGACAAGCGGACGGGCTCCCCTCGAAATCATCCTCGGCTCAGAGCCTGCCAGTTGCGATAGTCGCTCCGGCCCTCGAGTGTGTCCTCAGGTCGAGCCATCCGGTAGTCGTGCTAGCCCCTTTGGAGGTTCTAAATTCGGGGACCCCAGGCTTTTCTGCCAACAATATTTTGTTCTGTGTAATCGATTTCTATTCATATATCGAAGACAATTTCTAAAGACTTTCTCGGAGACTCGACTGCTTCAAACACATGAGAGGAAACTTGCCGGCTCTTAATGCCCGGACTACATTGTGAAGGCAGTTGATTTTGTCCTTTGCGAAACTTTTCATATTAGTCTCCTAGGACTAAAGTTAATAGACTCAGCGTTAGCTAATACTACTACTCGAGTTCGCTACTGGAAGCTGGTAACGGCATAATACTGGTTACATTTGGATTTTTAAGCGTTGTCATTACACGTATCGGCGACTTAGCTGATGCTTCAGGACGCCATTGTCATCGCCTTCCGAGCCCGCTCGCCCGAGCCTAGTCGGATCGACAACTAATACACTCCCCGGTTCCGTTCTCCCCCAAAGTTAAGCTACCGATTTGGTGTCGCTGAGACTACACGTAAGACTCTTATGCACACCAGCTTGGTTGTGGATCTTCATTCGGTTAGCTTCTACTACTCACTAGACTAATGCCAACAGATAGGACTCCTAACAGCAGAAAAGGCGGCACGGTAGAAGTCGATAAGCAGGCCGAGAAGTTGGCCGATACCTACGTTTGTCTTCGTCAAGCCAATAGGGCAGGGAAGGCCTGGATCCCCGGCCTGTATCGCGCGGCTGGGAGAGCGGGAATAATAATTACAAGGTATCATTGTGAGTCGGCGCCGTGGATGAGCCCCACACCTCCGATCGAGGCCCCATCTGCGCCGAAATGCCCGCGACTGGCCAGCCTAATGCAGCGACCATAGCAGGCGGTAGAATCCGGAGAGCGACGTAGGTGCACAGACGCATGATTCGCGTTCGAGTCCATTGTCGAGTTCCGTTCGTAAATGCTTCTAGCTGTTTACTGTATGTGGGAAGATAGTAGATTGTATGCTAACCAAGGCACCTACAGAGAAAACGTAAGTGAGGGCATAGGAGCCAGCCACATTGAGTTTCGGAGGTACTTAATACCTAGGTACCTCCCAGGTAGGTACGTAAAGCGTTGCCGTTTCTCCCTGCCCCGGGACCCGTTTTATGACATAAAATGCATTTCACAAATCCCCTCTGCGCGGCCTGAGGTACGTACCTACGCCTGGGGACATTCAGGGCGGCGCGTGGCAGGCGGCACGTGATGGCAAGCCCGGGTTAAAGCGGCGGCAGCGCTAGACTGGGCTTGGCCACAGAGGCCACGGTTCAGACGCCGGTTTCTTCTCCTCGACCAACCCGCGTCCTTCTCGCCGCCTTCTCCTTGCTGGCCGGGGTCGAGCCATCAGATCACCGACACCGCTACATGGCGGCGCTCCACCGGCACGCGAGGAGGCGGTTTAGGTTTGGCTCGAACCGCCTGTCGCAATCGTCGGGAGAGAGCACAGAGCACTGCGACGCCCGGCAGCTTGGAAATGCCACTGCTACGCTGGGGCTAGCTACGGTAAGCCTGGTCTCCTTCTCGGTTTCCTGACCGTTCCTGGCGCTTTGGAGGCTAGGCCCTCTCTCTGTCTCCCGCCGCGGCGCGGGGCGGAAGTCTCGCGCGCAGCCAACGAACCGGTAGCCGTCGCATGCCTTGGATTTATTGTTATGTAGAGAAGGGATCCGTAACCGCGGTGCCGGCTCCCTTTGATTCGTCCTCTTCGCCCCCCGAGATAAAGGGCGAAAGAAAAAGAAGAAGGATGTGAAAAAGAAATGGGAACAGGGACCCCGTCGATCTCGTGATCGAAGAGAGGAAGGAGAGTTCCAGGGGAACTCCCCTCCCCCCTCTTTTCTTTCTCTCCCCCTTCAATCTATCGACGTCCTAGGGTTTCAGGATACGACGATCGTCGACTGCGAGCTACGGATGAGCTACGGATGAGACCCTCTTTCTAAGGTTGCTCGCCTCTGGACGTGCGTACAATGGCTTGCGTGCGAACACATAGGCTAGTACCGAATCCGATAGGTACATCAGAGGTACGCTGCTCGTACGTCGGCCATCGCACACGCCCGCGAATCTTAGGAGTGCTGAGGGAGGGGAAAGGGGAGGGGTCGGGTCGGGGTGGAAGCCGATGCCTTGGGCAATTCTGGGGTTAAGATCGTCGTCTATCCATCCTTAACCCGGCCCAAGCTACGGAGCCTTGTGAGCCAAGGGAACATTTCCGTCACAGGCGGCGGAAGGTGGCCAGTCAAAATCCTCGGAGCGATGATCGTCAAGTTGACGATCCCTTCTCTCCTCTGCCGTCCTGCTCTCTTTCTCTCTTTTTTTTTTTTCAAGCCCCCCTTCCCTCCCCGAAAATGCTAGAAAGATGACCATGTGATGAACCTGTTTTTTTTCTCTTCTCTTCTCCTTTTCCCCTTCTTATTGGTCCCGCCCAACCAACAAGCCAGCGAACCTGCCCAGCATGCTTGAAGGATAGGGGCGAAGGGGGCGACGGAAAAGCGAGACGGGTTACCTGCCTTCTGCGTAAGTGGCCAACGAATAACCAAGATACTTTGGTCAACTATCCAAAACTGTCAACCCGGCTGTGCATCCGAGCCTGGCTTGGCTTCTCTTTATTTCTTTATTTTCGGGGTAGACGGCGAGCGGTCACCACGCATGTGCGGACGGGGGTCCTTGCCGACAGACAAGACATTTTTAATGGGGACGTCGACGGACCGGCACAACCGACCCATCAGGTCTTGAAGCCCGCGCGGAAGAGGAAGCCGAGTCTATCTTCCCTACCATGAATCGCGTACGGAGGACAGCCGCTAAGAACCTGAAATAAGTACGTACGTGCGCGAAAATAGATGCCTGCCTAATCTAGTGTACCTGGGCTAAACTCCCCGTGATGGAATCTCCCGATCGAGACCTTTGCCGTTTTGGGGGAGGGAAAGGGGAAGGAGAGAGAGGGACCGTTTCTCTTTTCTTTCTTTTTCCCTTCGTGCCACGTCTCGGCCAAGATAGGGGTCAAGAGCCCCCCCTGTTTCCCTGCACATGGTGTGTTTTTCTAGAAGAGGTGGATGCATGACGCCATATACGCCTACCCGTCCTAATGGTAGTGGTGGTGGTGGTGGCAGCAGTAGTACAGAGGCAGTTCGGCGAGGTATTGGGAGGAACTAGACAACTACCTAACTCCCGCTCTACTTTCTCTATCTCGCCCGGCCTTGGGAGGAGAGTTGACTCCCGTTGCTAGAAGTAGAGATAGGCCCCGGATGCTGTGCTACATAACACACTCTCCCTCTCCCTCCTCTCGTCCTTATCAGTCACATTCGCATACTTTTCCTTCTTTTTTTTTGGTTTGTTTCCTGGCTTGGGTTACCCACCCCTCCTTTCCCTTCCCCTCCCATCGCCTCCACATTACCCCCTCTCCTTACACGGCATTTCTGTTTCCTGCTGCTCTCGCTCGTGCTCAGGACGTTGGGTACGCAGGGTGTTGCGTTATGTCATGTTACGTATGTGCCGTAAGCCGTGGCACGGGAATGTTGGAGGGTCTGGCGCGTAGACGACGTACAACGCAGGGTGCGAGCCTTGTTTTCGCCTTACAAGAGGCCAACGTGACAGAGCGGTAAGGGCAGGTTGCCCGAGAAGATACCCTAGATATGGCGGAGAGAGGGAAAAGAAAAGGAAGGAGGGGCGTTATCTACATGCCGCCACCGGGGGTCGGTTTATTACATGTAAGTTTTACGAGGTAAGGGTCCCAGCGTATACGGAGCCATGTAGCCTAATAAATATATAGGCCCGTGCCGGCCGAGGAGAGAGAGAGGAAAAGAGAGGTACGGTGGGCGGCAATATGCAGCTTACGCCACCGACGACGAGTACCGGCGGCAATGTAACCACTCGCCCCGTGCAGAAGAGAGTTGGGAGGGAGGGGGGGATGAGGCGACATTTCGCTAGCGATGAGCGACGTATGCGCGTATATAAAATGGAAGGGTGTGAGCAAGAGGGTGGGTGAGTGGATGGGTGGATGGAGGGCGGGAATAGTTACACTGCGCCCGCCTCTCTCCTCTCCTCTCCTCTCCCTCCCTCTGCACCCGGCCGATTCCTCTAACCTGCCATGCCATGCCATGCCATGCCATGGCACCAACCCTGCTTCCCTGGCGCTCAAGATAGCCGTCTCCGCCGCTCTCGGTACTTCGCGGGTGCATTAGGTGCGCTGTCTAGTAGGCAGGCAGACAGCTAGCCCGTCGTAGCCTCGTCGACTGACTCGCGCAAGACGTACATACGTCGCATGCGATCTCACACACACGCCCTCTCTCCCCCCTCTACATAGGACCGGCTGCGACTAGGCCGGGTCGTACCTGTTAGCCAGCCGGCCAGTCCAGCACAGCCCCTAGCCGGAGCTACGTAGGCAAGTTAGTTTTGCTGCCTCGTCCGCCCACCAGACTCCTCCCTCCCTCTCTCTCCCCTCGGGAAAATGGTTCCCCCGCGGCGTTTGCTCGTAGGTCGAATCCCAGTCGCGAGGGCGCAGCAGACACGGCCGGCCGGCCGGCGCCTCGCCCGCGCCGTCGTCGGTAGCGCGAAGGACGCGTGTTCCCTGGGAACCCGCACCGCGCCTCCTGGGCCGGGCCAAGCCGGGTGGCCCGGAATATAGCGGCGAGGGGATAGCAAGGGGGCCAGGGCCGGGGGACAAAGGAGTAGCGAGACGCATCCGACCAAGACAGACCGAAATAACTACGCTTCCAAGACGTGCTAGTTCGCCCGAGCTGGGAAGTAATATGCCAAGGGGACGCGGAGTCCTGTAGGTACGCCCTCGCTTTCCGCCCGGGGGGGAGGGGGGGGGGGAGGGCTGAGCGATAGCCGCTGCTCTCCTGCTTAGCCTGCCTATCTACCTATCTACTACTGCTGAACCCCTTTTCTTGCTGTCTTTCGTTTTTCCTTTCTGTCGCGTAAAACGTAGACGCCTACATTCACGCTTTGCGGTATGTAGGCTTATATAGGCTGGTTCAATTGCTACGTGACACTTTCTTAGCTAGATCCCGTCCCTCTTTCTCTCGCCCTCCTCCATGACCGGTCGGTCGGTCTACCAAGACGGGAAAAACGCTAGAAACAGGGATAGCATGCGTAAAGAGCATACCCGTGATGAGAACAGCACGGTACCGAGGGGAAAAAAAAATGATAATTAAAATAAAAAAGATATGTCTCTCTCCCTGCAAAGTAAATACACGCGCATCTCGTATCGAACGCAACCTCCCTGCCTTCCCTCCCCTCCCTCCTTTCCTGCCCGCCTTTCTCCCCCGTCTGCCTTCCCCCCCGTCCATTCCTCCATTCTAAACAGACACCGACGACGACGACGACGACCGTGGACCGGTCGATTAGGTTATGTAGGTATCCAGACACGAGAACCACCCACGCAATTTCCTGCTAGGGCAAGACAAAGTAAAAGACTAGTGGTCCCGTATATGCATTATCCTTGGCCTCCACCCCCTTTCTTCACCCTCTCTTCTTCCTTCTCTTTCTCTTCCCCCTTCCCTGTCCCACATTATCCACCACCTCCTTCTCCCAAGGAGGTAAGTGGTAAAAATAGTCCAGGCCGAAAAAAAAAAAACAAAGCAAAGCCTTCCCTGGGACCGAAGAGCGGGGAAAGACACTCTCTCCCAAGGGTGGGCTGGCCACTAAACGGAGGGGCTTAAGTTTGGGAAGGGGGGAGACGTAATTATAGGTAATTGTCGACCCGGTTCAGTCCTCTCTTCTTCTTTGTCGTCTAGGTGGGGGGGAACCCGGCCTCCCTCGCAAGGGTCCTCGGGAAACCCGAGCCCTCCCAATCTCACCGCCTAACGACTCTTTACGCTCTCAGATAGCCACCCCCGAAGCGGACTTCGATCCGGCTAGGCCCGTGGGAAGCCCGCGAGCCAGGGGGGAGGATATCTCAGCGGCGCGGGACTCCGCCCCTGCCGAACCCGGCGCCGGCGCCTGAGTTCCAGCCCTGCGTGACGCTCTGGCGGACGATAAGAGCGGCGGCGGCGGCGGCGGCCATGCGCTCCTTCTGTCGGTGCCGCTCCTTGAGGTACCCGACGGCCTCGGGCCGCATGCGCAGGATGCGCAGGATCATGTCATCCGATGGGTCGGCCTGGGCCTCCTTGCGCCGCTCCTCCTTGGCGCGCCGCATCGTGCCGAGGTTCCGGCTCATCATGATGCTCTTGCCGCGGCGGATCGTCCCCATGCTCGCGAACGCTGGCCCCGGGCGCGGGACGTTCAGTGACGCCGCGCCTAGCGACGCGGGCGCCGACAGCCGGTTCGCGCTCAGATGCCCCTGCATCTGCTGCTGCTCGCGCTGCGCCGTCGCCGCGGCCATGCGCTCCGATGTCCGGATCAGGTTCTCGGTGCTATCGAAGTAGAAGAAGTTGAGAGAGGCGAGCTCGTGATACTTAGGCGATCTGAGGACCTCTGCGGGAACGCCAAGCACTTCACCGTCCTCGTCTCGCGCGTTGAAGAAATCGAATAGGAGCTGCAGCCATTTGTAGACGACGTCGAGCTCGCGCTGGCTGAGCGGCCGCTGGTTGGACGGCTTCTCTGACAACGGCGGCACGAGGAGAGACTCGATGGCCATGAGCACTTCCTTCCACAGGCGTGTCATGACTGCAACCATGGTTGCATCAGTCAGTGTCTCCTTCATTGTGGCGAAATTCTCGTTGAAGTAGGTAAAGAGGGCCTGCAATGCGTTTTCGATTTCGGCCTCCGTGACTTGCGGGATCGTTGACGAACGCTTGAAGAACGAATTCACCTGGGACGCGAGGTTGCGCCCAAGGAGGGTTTTTAAAGCATCGTAGGAGAGTGACGCGTTGATATGCTGCGTAAGCTTAACATAAGGGTTAGCCAGAGTCACTCGTAGGCGGGCTTCTAGACTTAGAGGCGACTTACCTTGTCAGTGATCTTGCGGACCATGTCGCGCTCAGTCCTTTTGAGGTGTCGAAATGCTTTTCCAAAATAGAATTGGATATCGTCGCGTTCCCCTTCCATGCTTACCCGCAAGAGGATCCTCCCCTGCGTATCGAGATCTAGCCAAAACTCCCTGGGCAAGTAGTCGCTGAAGTGTATGGGGTCGAGCTTCAGCGAGGTCCTGCCGACAAAGTCGTGATCTCCAAAGGTGTCGTAATCCCAGATCGTCGCCACTACATTAAGCGGCCCTGAAACCGTGACATCGACAGACTCATCCCACCGGGGATTGAGGGTCCTCATTACGATTCGCGTCTTGTGCAGACGCTTCTGGTACTCGTCCACGAGTACCACGTAGGGGTCACTCGTTCCGTTTGGATCGCATGCCTTGATCTCTTCCGCCTCGACAACCTTGATAGTAAACACATACTTTGCGGGGCGTCTAACCTGCTTCTTAGGACCATCGGCCTTTTCGAGGATCGCGGCACAAGCATCCACATTCATGGACTTCTCAAGCTTGTCGAGCTCCTGCATAGCCCATTCGATATTGTTGAACTTCACCAAGGACTACGATAGCGTTAGTGCTTAGGTAGAAGGACCGGGGGAGGGAAAAGGAAAGGGGAGGGAGGCATACCTCCGGATAAAACTGAAACGGCTCGATCTTCTCTTTGGCATTCCAAGCGTCCTTGGCGTATTGCATAAATCTTCCTTGCGTTGTCTGGGCCGCTGCCACCGCCTCCTTCTCGTTAGGTCTCGGTGTATCCATCTCCTTCACGAATTGTTGGTCCACGATCTCGCAGTATCGAGCGATGCTGTTGGCGAATATTTTCGATAGCGCTGTCATGAACCGAGCATGATGGATATCGTTGTCCCACTCCAATTGGAACACCTGATCGGCGGTCTGGTGGAACAGCTGGAACATGTCGATAATTGAATGGCTGTGACGTTCCGAATCCAGAGATATGTGACCCGGTCCGTTGCCTCGTACTTGGAATGGATCCTGCTTGATGGCACTATCGACGAACTCTTCTGCCCGCGCCTCGGCATTTTCGATCCAGCGCCAGACAAAGTCGATGAGGAGTTCTTCTACATCGAACGTAAAGGGGCGCTCCGGGAGGGATGACCTGTGAATACGCCGGATTTCCACAAGTTCCTTGTATAGGTCGAAGCCATCCTGCAGGGCAATTTCTTGCCCCCTGTCTTTGGCAACTTGTACGATCCTCTTCACCAGGTCGTGTGCGTCGTCTTCGAAATTGGGAAACATCGTGTCCACAAGAACAGTCAAGGGGTTCACGCCCATGATCTCCGGGTTTCTCTTGTAACGCTTCTGTATCCTCTCGCACAATTTCACGACAGATTTACCCAGCTGAACTACATGGCTGAAATCCCAGTCCTGTTGGTTCTGGGGGACCTCGACGTCGAGGAACCCACGGTACACCAGGGCGGCTTGTTCCCTGAGGCCGCTCTCGAGGAGGCGGGTGTATTCTACCGCATCATCTTCTTTTCTGGTGAAGTTGGGATCGTTAAAAATATGATTCTGTAGCACGTGCACCGCCGGCCCGGCTGACGGAGGCTTTGGTTCGTAACAATGCATTAGAGTATCGTAAAGGTCGCGCAGGAGCGCCTCGTTTAGTGTGTACAGGGTCTGTTGATACACAGTGAAGTCTGCCACCGTCCATTTACTCCTATCTATCGTTGCAAGAGTTTCGTTGAAGAGGTAGATGTGAGGCAGCTTCTTGACTTCGGGCTGCGGGTTCTTCACTAGTTCAAAGGCATTATCCAGATCAATGACGGTGAACAGAGTGTCAGCAAACCTGCGAGCTGCAACCTCGAGGAAGACAACGAGCCGAGTAAATTGGGGAATCCGCCAGCGAACGCAGAGTTCTGTGAGGAGCTCCATCGATTGCTTCGAGAACAGGCTAGATTCCTCGCCACCATCATTGCGCATCGCATCGAACTCAAGGGCATATTTGGCGATGACCTTCAAGAACTCGCGGGGGTCGGTGGGGATGAACGTGTAATTCGGCTCGTCAATCGTCCGGATGCTGCTAGTATCTTCGAGCGACATGGACCCGAGACTCAGGGCGTGGTCAATGCCGTACATGGATGTCCTGTCTGAATTGGACAATGCTCTGCCTAGGTCTGCAAATGCCCTGTCGTCCGAGTAGGGCGACGAGGGGCTCAAGGGCAATGCTTTATCAGCCGCGCTGAAAGCCGTCGATCGCCTTGCTAGCTCCGGCCGAGCCGTCAAGACCTCCATCATCATCTGCGAAAGAAAAGGGGCCTCTGCTTTCTTCCATTCCTGATAAGCCTCGTCGATGTCGAAGTCATGGCTTCCCAGGGCGCCGCTCATGTTGGAATTCAAGCGATGCTGGTAGGACTTGAGGTCCTTGAGGGCAGCCTCCTCGGTCCAGTTTTGCCGCTGGGCGTCGATGTGATTTTGGACATCCGAATGGGATAGGCCGAAGATCATAGCCACGGTTTGGACCATAGGCATGTCCTTGACGTCGTAGCTAAGCGGCACGACCACCTCGACGGTATTGCCAGATTCCTGGCCTGTATCGATGAAGAGATTCTGGTCGTTGGTGAGGAGCTTGTTCTCCAACGTGCTCAGCTGGGTTATGAGTTCCGCCCTGTCTCGCTCGTGGCCGTGGTCGCGTAGTATGCTGGTAACGAGCCTGAGGAAAAGGGCGACGTGCCTGTCCACGAGAAGTTTCCAAGAGTCGTCATTTCGCTCGTGGCCGAGGCCGCAGGCCTTGGTGGCAGCCGAGTAGAAGATCAACACCATCGGCTCAAACTTGCGTTCCTTATCAACGTTCCTCCGGAAGGCCTGCTCGGTGAAGGCTGTGTAGGCCTGCGCGAAGGTCTTCTTGACGTTGGCATCATTGTAACCGGGCAATCGTTCGGCACCCATAATGACGCGTTCCATCCGCTTCTCCAGCGGGCCGCGAAAGCCGTGGGGAAGCTTGACGTTGGTAGAGTTGCCCGGGATGAATTCCTTGACCAGGTCTCCGATATTGGAGGTATGGGACCGCGGCGGCGGCTTGGGGGCGGGAACCCATTGCTTTCGTTTCGCCTTGGGTTGGAGGAGGTAGTGGAGGTATGCGACTCGGAGGGCGTAGGTGTAGGCATCGTCGTGGCTCACCGCGAACCGTCCGGCGGCAGCAGAACCGGCACGGCTCCTCCTGTCGGCGTTCTGCACACTGCTCAGGCGATGGTTGACCTGGACCGACCTCCTCGAGGCGAACGACATGGTGCCCGGCAAAAGGGGGCCGATGCTGTGTCGGTGTAACGCAAATCACGAAGGTAACGGCTGACGAGCTATTGGTGATGCATGTTCTAGGCGCGGGTGGGAGGCTAACTGCCACTGCTGAGATTGTTGTTCGCGTGTTGGTTGTTCGCGTGCTGGTAGCGGGTGGGAAGAGAGAGGTGGTGATGTTTTTCGATAGGGTGGCGGACGGGTTGATAGACTCGGCGGTTGGCTGGTTTAGTTGGTCAGGCCGTGGTTAGGTACAGTGTCGCAGGTGACGATGGTGTATCGCGGCAATTGGCTGGGCTAACCAGTTGTGATGGCACCAGAAATAGACGGGATCGGTATGGGGAACTTCGACGTTGGGCTGGGGCGGCTCCCGGCGGCTGGGCCTGTCGCTCCTTTTCCCTCTCTCTCGGATTCCCTGTGTGTTCGTCCCCTTCCTGCTCCTCTTGGTCTGCCTCTTTGCTCCCTTTCCCCCTCTCGAAAGGGCACCAAGCAGCTTCGTCTGGTCGAGCAGGCCGTCGGACCCTTGACAATGCAACGTCAGACACAAGAAAGGGAGTTGGCGTGTTCTGTAGTTGAATGAGGGGTCGTCACCGGTCGCTTTGAATATCGACGGACCCAGCCGCTAAGCACCAACCAGCGAAGTACCTGCCTGCTAGCCTACCCGAGGTATCTATGTAGGTATCTAAGTACCTATCTTACCACCATGTTGACATGAGGTACCTAGTACATAGCGGGAGGTAGCAGGTACCTAAGAAGGAGCTATGGTTGTTAGGGAGGTAGGTACCTCGATGCCTGCTATTAGGTTGTAGGTTGGAGGCACATACCATCGTTAGGTGCGTCTGAGATGCTGGCTTGAGGTGCGACTGCAGTACCTCCTAATCTCCAGTCCTATTGCTATATGGATGACGCGGTATAGGTACCTACCTACATGCCTCTTGTACGTGCCTACCCAGGAGGTACCTAGGCACCTCATAGGTACTCTCCTTAAGACCTGGAATTCATGGGTCGCTTTAGGCTCTGCTAAGATGCCTACAGAGGCGACTTAGGGAATGTCATTGGTATGATGGTCTACCTACATGCGCTGGTATTGCTACAAACAAACTCACAGCGAGGATTGAAACTCGGGATCGGTAGCGAAGGCAAGAAGGATAGACCAGAGGGGGTTGATGATATCATGTGTCAAGCATGCCTCCGTTTATGAGTACAGACGCTGGGATTCAGACAATACCTGATTGAATATGGTATGTATCTGCACCCTTATGGACCTACGAGGTAGGAGGTAGATAGGCGTAGCTGGGCGGTGAGCATCAAGAGAAAATACTACCTACTTCTCTAACTATACGATTTCTACGGGGCCCCAATCTCGGTTTGTCCCGCGAAGACCAAGGACAGCACGAACGTACCTTTTACATACATACAACATGTATCCCGCGTAGCGACCTCGCAGCAGAATCCAGCCTATACATATGGATAGGTAGGTACCCAGGTACGCAAGTCAATTCGGCATCAGCTGCTGGTGGCTAGAAATCCGGAGTTCCCAGCTTACCTGTGACTAACGACTCCGAGTCCCGTACTATTGTCGAGGGAACTCGTATAACCGTTTCAACCCACGGAGGTTTAAATATAGTTTGTGCTCGGATGGAACCGAGCCAAAAGCACAAATACGAGCATGCAGTAGACGCTGTAGTAGAATAGGTAGATAGGAGGTAGGTAAGGGGGCAAGACAGACTAAGGTCAAGTCTAACTGCCTACTTGATCTCCTATCTTAGGCGCACTAGTCTATACAGTCTATAAGACAATAGAGAGAATGCAGGTACCTATATACAGGTGCATAGCAAGGGCTATACTTGCGTGGGGGGTGGGTTGGGGGATACCTACCTACCTGTACCTAGGTATTTAGTATACCAGGTAGTACCTGACAGGATCCAGATGAATTAGCGGGAGCGATCTATTTTCCGGCACCTGTGTGCCACCCTATTATTTACAAGCAGTCATTATGGCATAATGCATCGCATAACGACCGCACGTGCCACAGTCTTGTGAGACAGAAGTTATAGAGAAGCAACATGGAAACTGGCGGAGGGGACGAGATATGGTTTCGTCATCGATAACCCCCTAACCCGGACAAGTGATCCCCCGTCGATAAGGGGCGAGACAAGGCGTTCGAATGGCGACCAGCGATTTTCGCAAGCCCCAACCCCTCAGCTCTGTGTAGGGATACACAAGGGAATAATCACATATACCTACGTTGCTTAGTTACCTGTAACTGGTATCCGTCGATATCCCCTACTCTGGGTGATCAACCGCGGTCGTCGAGTGCTGTTATCCTATGTTGCCGTATGGGGAGCGACGGCAGGTCAGGCACTAAGATTGCCTCCTGAGCAACCTTTACCTATAGACATACCCGCCCGACGAGAGCGGCATGTTAGCGAGCTTACATGCCGACATTTAGGTAGACGCCGACCTACCTACGTAAGTCACAAGTTAGAGTTACCTACTCGCGATGTAACTCTTACCGTACTAGGAGAGATATCTACTACGATCTACATACATCACCTGCCTCTAGGTAGGTAAGTAGGTAGGCAGCTAGGAGGACATCGGCTAGGACTCGTCCGACATCTTCCCCAACCCAAGGTTGGCAAACGCATTAATGCTAGTCGTATTACGCTTCGCCGGCTGCGTATCGTTGTCCGACGAGGCAACTCAAAGTGCGCGTCTCGTATGGAGCCATGCTGCCTACCTACGAATCCGCCTTCAAAACATCGCCCCCTCCCCCAAGTTGCTTCCCATCCACCATCCATCCTCCTTCCACCACGCCCGGGTATCCAATTTCACGACAGCTGTCCTGACAGTCGCCTCTAGCTAATCTACCTCAGCTTCTCTCTGGGAGCCTGGAGGCCATCCTGCCTGCCGGTCTGCCTACCTGCCGGCACTAAATACCGGGTAGGCGCCTACCTTGGGTGCCTGCTGGGCCTGCTGCATCGCTTCGTCCATACACACCACCACAACACATTCTTCTCTCTCCCTCTCGATCGTTCGCTCTCCTCTCCTCTCGCGTCCCCCATCTCGGAATACCGTGAGGCGTGGAGGCAGCATCAGTTTTCCCTTTGACGCATCTTACACGCAAGCCTCATCTAGGAGCACTCCTTTTCGTTGCGAGGCATCATTTTTGACAGGCGCATCCCGACTGGCAACGTACCCACCTAACAATCGGCACGAATTTGGATAACAGTACAGGAGCACGGAGTGACGACGAGAAGCGCATGTTCAGCCGTCCTGGGATGACGGACTTTGGCTCAGCCTTGCTGTTCACGAGCGCGCGCGTACCAAGCATCTGACAGATCTTGCACGTGCCTCACCCGTCGAGAGGAGGAAGAGAAAATAAGAAATAAAAGGTGCGAGTCATTCCCCCCAACTCGCTGTTTCAGCTAAAGGGGATCCTCTCCGTCTGTGGGCTTCCGTTATTCTTTGTCCTGAGCGCATCCCGCCCCTGTCTGGCCCTTAGCCTGGCCTCTTTTGGGGTCTATTCCTGTGATGAATCGGCGCCAGTCTGACGCCTGCGCCTTTCCAGATCCGACTCGGCACGGGGGCCTGGGCCGCACGCTTACTTGGCTGTGACTTGATCGCCGCGGCGTCTGCATGCGAGGCCACAGCCGATTCAGCACAAGACGAGGCCTGCCATCACGCCTTTTCTCGGTACCTCTCGGGTGCTGCGAATAATAATACCACTCGACCCCGCCAAAACCTGTCCACAAGTGCAGCGGTTCGTCTCGACCAGATTGGCTGCCCGCACCCAGTCGCTGCGACCACTGCGACCACTGCTTTTCCTAAATTTGATACATATCTCCTACAAACGTCACTTGGGGGAGCCACCTACCCAATTACTAATAATAATAATCGACCTCGCTTTCGCAGCCTCAGCTATCCTCCCCTTCCCATCACACAGTTGACGGGATTGCTTTTCATGCTATTTTGCGCGGCCTTTCGTCTGGCCAGCTCCTCTCACCATGGGCAACGTGAGCAGCCGACCTGATGACGGCGCAGCCATCTACTTGAGGGATCAGAACCGATGTTTGTGCAAAATCTCCTGTGATGCGCTCGGCGGTTGCTGACGGCGTCTAGTATCGATCGCCTCCCTTGTCATCACTTGCCCTCGAAAGCGCACCTCGACGACGATAGTTCCCAATGCATTTCCCGCTACCCGGGCTACAGCCACGCGAAACTCGGGCGATGCTGGCCCGGTAGACTTCATCCAGGTTGGTACTAGGACGACGCGATAGGCGTTATGCTTTTTGTCGGCGTGTGTTGTGTGACGTCTCTAACAACAAATGCTCCAGGATCCCGAGCCTTCAGTCACACCGAACTTCCTTCTCAAACTCAACAATGACGACGAGCTCGTATTCAACTTTACCTTTGTCATCCGCCAAGAAGAGGGTAGCAGCGGTGCCGACACATTGATCAACGGCTTAACGTTTGTCTACGCTTCGACCGCCAGAGAGCTCGAGAATCTTGTTACTCGAGAGTTCCACGCCGACCCGAATCTACACAAAAATGCGAACGTCGAATTGGTGGGCGACTATGCCACCGGTGGGAGTCCTTCGGTGACTTTCGAGTGGTCGTGGAAGTGGAAGCCACCAAAGTCGGCAGAAGACGGGGGAGGGGGGTGGAGGAATGTTTGCAGCGTATGTGAACCCGTCGAGGCCCCCCGTTGCCCGTGACGGCTCTTGCTAAACGTCGCTACAGTTTGTCGAATATGACCAGAGAGCACACCGGTTGGATACCCTAGCTAGGTTTTCCTATTGGGTGGCCAGTAAGTGTCGAGCGCATCTCCTTTTCTTTTCTATTTATACCTCACCATACCTGACCCAAGTGCCCAGGTACCTCGCCTTTCCAGAGCCATCCCAATTCTCCGTCTCCAGCCTTCCAGTTAGCGGTGCCTCCGAGGATCCGAGCTCCGTCGGCCCAGTCCGTCGAGTCTCGCATCAGCGAACAAGAGGAACCGTGCTCCCCTCTCACCTCCCATCATGATCTACTAGCCGCCGCGCCCACCATCGTACAAAATTCGCGAGAATCCGTCAAGGTCGATGTGTCATGTCCCCGACCTGGCGAAGACATGACCGTAAGCGACGATGGCCCAGTGTTCCGGGCCACCATTAAAGCACTCGAACAGAAGACGGGCAATATGAGAACGCAGATGAAGAAAGTATTGAGGAAGGCCGAACATGCGCACACGGCACAGATCGAGGCAAACGAGGCACTCGTGGGCTTTATGGATGCCCTTCGGGAAGCATCCGCGACGAACGCCAATGCGGTTCAACCCGCTCTGGACAATTATTTCGACAAGATCGCCAAGGAGATCCTTTCTTACGAGCGGCAGAACGCGGTGAATCTGCAAAAGATCATTATCGATCCTATCAGCAAACTGTATACGTACGACATCAAACAGGCGGAATCGAAGAGGCGCGATTTTGAGGAGGAAAGCAAGGACTACTACTCTTACGTATCTCGGTATCTTGGCCAACGTCAAGACTCGGTGAAGACCAAGAAGCTCGCAGAGAGCGATACTAAGTACCAGACGAAAAGGCGGAATTTCGAGCTCAAGCGGTTCGACTACTCGTCATTTATGCAGGATCTACATGGCGGTCGCAAAGAGCAGGAGGTTTTATCCCATCTCACCAAGTTTGCTGACATTCAGGCAAGAGGTTTCTTAGCCACAGCCCAGAAGGTCGAGGGACTCCTGCCGCAGCTGGAGGCCCTAGCTAGCGAGGTGCAAGAAGCCAACAAGGAGTTCCAGTACCAGCGGCGCGAACGGGAGGAGAAGAGGCGCGTGTTAGAAAAGAGCAATCTCCCGTACAACGAACCAGACACCATCACCTCAGCAATCCAAGTGACCCCGAACCACACCTCCAACGGCAACCAGCAGAACTCCGATTCCGAGTTAGGCCGAGCAGACAGCGCCGGGTCTCGACTAAAGGCGGTTGTGACGACCGACTCAGGGTCCACAGCCGCGGTCGGCACGGATCTTTCGAGATCCCCCGGGGGGCTCGGGCATGCTGCGCTGCACAGCCCCGCGCAGTCCTCGAAGTTCAAGGGCATACGTGACCTGGAGGAGAGAGATCTAAGCCAACTCACCAATGCGGAGAAGAATTCGACGCAGCGAAAAGAAGGTCTCCTCTGGTCCTTGAATCGGCCAGGCGCTCACGTAGATCCCTTATCATTGAACAAGCAGGGTTGGCATAAGTAGGTCCAGTTATCCCCACCGCAAACGTCAATACTATACTAAAAACAGTGCAGGTTCTGGGTCGTTCTAGACCAGGGCAAGTTGTCGGAATATAGTAACTGGAAGCAAAAGCTTGATCTCCATATGGAGCCCATAGACCTCCGCATGGCGTCTGTCCGCGAAGCAAGAAACGCAGAGCGAAGATTCTGCTTCGAAGTAATCACCCCTCAGTACAAAAGAGTGTATCAGGCAACTTCTGGCGAAGATATGAATAGCTGGATACTCTCCATCAACAACGCCCTCCAGAGCGCGGTTGAGGGACGCGGCCTGAAAGAGATGCCGGCATCCACCGGAGAGTCGACCAGTCTTAAACGCGATATCGGATCGATCCTGATGGGGAAGAGCAGCTCGCTGAACCATGGATCCTACGGGGCCCACGGGGCCCACGGGGCTCACGGCTCTAATACTGCTGTTAGTTCCGCTGTGCCCTCTCGTCGCACCACGGTTGGAGCGCGGCCGGCGAACCCACGAGCGCCTAGCAGCAACTACGATGACAACCCAGATAAGCTCCTACAAATGCTCCGCGATAACGACCAGGGCAATTGTTGGTGCGCGGACTGCGGTAGCGGGTCAAAGGTTGAATGGGTTTCTATAAACTTAGCCATCATATTGTGCATCGAATGTAGCGGCATCCACCGGTCACTCGGGACGCACATCAGCAAGGTTCGGTCGCTCACCCTCGACATCACCTCGTTCACGCCCGACATCATCGAACTACTGCTCCTGGTCGGAAATAGGGTCTCGAATATGGTTTGGGAGGCTAGGCTTGACCCGACACTCAAGCCGGGGCCTCAGGCCACGCGGGAGCAACGTTTGAAGTTCATTACGGCCAAGTACGTGGATAGAGCCTTCGTGGAACCTATTTCGGCAACCTTATCCCGGTATCCGAGTGCCGACGAGACGCTCCTCGCGGCCATCAAGCGCAATGAGATCCAGCAAATCATATATGCGTTGGCGCTGAAGGCGAACCCGAATGTTCTCGACAAAGTCCGGGGGACTCACCCGGTCTTCCTAGCTCTCGCTGCGGCGGACCCCGCATCGCCGTCACCTACTACGCCCCAAGGCGGACGTCCAGACCCAGAGCCTCGCTCCATCCCGTTCCCGGTCGCGGAAATGCTAATACAGAACGGGGCGGAGACGCCGACCACGATGCCTGCTTTCCCACTGAGCCAAAGCGCTCAGATGTATCTCGAGCAGAAGCGCGGCCGAAGCGCGGCCATCGAGGCCTCGGGTTCGCCGTTACCCAAGAGCTTGAGCCCTACCCCGAGCGAACGCCTCCAGCGGGAGAAGGACGCCCGCCTGCACAAGCGCATCAGCGCCGGTGGACGCCTGGCCAGGTCGCCGATTCCCGAACGGTAGATCCGGCGGAAATCGAATACGTCTGCCTCATCTTCCTCTCCTTCGCGGTCACAGTACTATCTCACACAGAAGAGTCGGTTCAGTCGGCGGAAGTCCGACGGAACAGGTTTAAATTCTTCCTCATCCACTTCCGAACGGTAGAGACGGCGGTCGAATCGCTCCTCCTTCCAGATACCCAGTTTGGATCTCTCCATGACTTTGATACCCTTCTGCCCATTGATGCTCTGTCCTCGGAGATCCGAAACCTCCGCCACCTCCCTTTACGATTGATCGACGACTATCGCTACTCCACGACATTACGAAACGAACCTGTATGAGGAGGGGCGTCTTTTTTTGGAGAGGAGGGGGGAGGACAGGTGGGGAACTGCATTGAACACACGACATGGGTAAAGAACATCTTGATTTCAGGCACGCGTTCGGGGAAGGTGTACGTTTCCTTGTTCGAGGGCGTTGAGGGATTATACCGGGGAGAATACTAAGGCACCCTGGGCATGTTGGTTGTCGAAGTGCTCGCGCAGGTCCTCCGAGCCACGGCAACAGTAGCGGCAACAGTAAGCGGCAACGGCTGAGACAGGCACGACGACTAGCACAAAGCCGGGACGCCGGTGCTAGCAAGGAGGATATCGTTAATGAGCACAGGCACATGTACGAATAGCCCCATAATGCTAATGGTATATAACGCGGGGTGATTGCTGTATCATGAAGCACCTAATAAGGAGGATACCGTCGAAATCGCCTTCCCCCACATGCATGCGCGTGAAGGTATCGCAACCATGTGACAGAAGATCGCCGCAGAACGGCCGGGTAGCGGGTGCGCGACGTTGGAACCTCGTGAATGTTGCGATGCATGTGAGGCGCCGCACCTGGTGTCGGCAAACCGTCACCAGCTGAAAATCGAAGCCGGTCGAAACAGGGAGAGTTCCGCGTGACGGGGCCGAGGGGTGCTCAGCCTCAAAGAGAGGAGAGTGGCTAGGGCTGCGTTCGCCCATCGCCCTACGGTGCTGATACCGACATATAGGTGTGTATTTAGAGGTGGATTTCCCTACCTATATATTTATATTTATCTACCCGGCTGGTACTGTACGCATACATAGTTATAGGTGGTTGTATTTCGTTGATGGGTACCTAAGCAGGTCGGTAGAGGAGTAGGAACATTAGGATGAGGCTCGATACAATGGAAAAACGTCGGGCTAGATACCTACCTACCTAGACTGTGTTTGGGGGGCACCTAAGGTGGACTCCCTGTAGGCCAAATGCTGACGGGGGGCGTACGTTGCGTGATTGTGATGTGCTTGGGCAACAGGCTTCAAGACTGACAGAGGAGATGGGACAAGAAAGCCATACATGACACCCCAGCCAGGCACCCGCAGCCCTACCGACGGGTACGCAGGCACTATAGGTAGGGAGGGAGGCAGGGAGGGAAGAAGTCAGAGTCAGAGGCAAGGTGATGCTGTGCTACGATGCCGGATGTGCACATATGTACGAGGTACCCTGCCAAGGGAGGTAACGGTGGGATAGACCAGCATAGGAAATCTATATAGGGCATCTAGGATCGGGGAACCTCGCTAGGCGTAGCAACGCAGATCCGGGGGATCTGGATAACCGTCGGATAGGCACGTACAACGGCGACACCTACCTACCTACCTATACCTACTCTCGGGCTAGAAAGCTCGTATCCGCCGCTGTCTGTCCTTCCTACGTAGCACGTATGTATGTGCTTGTATGGACGGGCATTCATGGCGTTGGCGGCATACAGGTGCTAGGTACTGTGTAAAGGATGCTTGCGGATAGGTGTTGGTGGCAATGTATGTATATGTATGCAGCTGCAGCGAGAGGATGAGGGGGAAGTGGAAAAACGGCGGGACCCTCGAAGCTGGGGCCTCTCCCCACCCTGCTAGTTATGGTTGCATCCACCCTCCCGGCCAAGTTCGATGTAGGGCGGAATGCGACGGGCTGGTAGGTAGGTAGGTGATATTACCTCCGACACTCACCGGGCACGTACAACGTGGAATACTCCGAGGTGACCACTCTATCAGCTGCCCCGACGCTCTCGAAGCTTCAGCATTTGCGTGCTTTCTCGTGACGCTGGGCCGCGGAGCGCGGGAGGGCGCATGGACGCGTCGCGAAGGGGGAGGCTGACAAATGACTCCCCTACCTTGGGTACCTACCCGGCGCATGGGGATTCGAGTCTCAAGCGACCTTGCCCAGGTTATGCTCCCGTATCCACCGAAGTGAGGCGTGCTTAGCATAGTAGCGGTAGGTAAGTATGTTGCCGTGAGCCGATGGTCCTACGTGCCGATGCGCATACCTCGAAAGCGTTCTCATGATGTACTCGCGTTATGCAGCGTATGTGCCTAGGGACGGGCGGTGGAGCGGGCCAAGTCGCGAGGGTCTTCTCGCTTCCTCGCTCCGGCCTGCTCGCCGCTCTGGCGGCGCGCTGTTCGGAACTGGGCGCAGGGTGCCGTAGGGTCCGCAGCGCGTCGAGCGTGTACAGCGTGAATACCTCACCAGGCCTCCTCCCCCTCAGGTAGGAAGCAGGTACCCAGGTACCGACTGAGTCTTGTCGCACTTGGCGCGAATCTGCTGGGGAGTACATGTTCGTCTATCCAGCCGCCAGAGACGCCAATGTATATCACACGCCTGCACAGGTCGGAGGCTACATGACCAAGATAGTGAACATGTACCTGCAACGTAGATAAGGCCGGGTCTCTACGAGGCACTCCAGAGAAGATCGGCGTTGGGGGCCGTTCCCATGAAATAATGCGGCCGGTACATAATCATCTCTGCCCATACCCTTTTTTTAGACCTTCGCCGAACCCACCAACTCTTTTTTTTTCTCTCGCCATACTCTTCCCCAAGTGGGCTTACGATTTCCTCACTTTTTCTCCTTCTGATTTGAAGCTTGCCCTGCTTCGTCCTCGATTCTCGGGTAGCTGTCGTGCCAACGGTATAACTCTGTGCTATCCCCGTATTCCAGCCACACTCTAGGCAGAGAGCAAGTAAGGGAGAGAGAGAGAGAGAGAGAGAGCACACGCTCGCCTGGGGCAACCGACCATGGCTCCACGGGAGAAGAGCAAATTGAAGCGAGGCCGAGTACGTCCTCCTACCTACCCTCGAGACGTCTGTCCTTGGTTGACCTCGCTTTGTACAGGAATCTCACCCCAGTAACGACCCCGACCTTTCCAAGAAACCTCGCCGATCCGGCCGCCTGTCCCAGAAGGCGGAGAGCGCTTCGCAACAGAAGACCCCCGTGGCTACAAACGAGCAGAAGCTGCCCACCCCCGTTACCCACCAGGCCGAAAGCAGCGAGCTCTACAAGGAACCCACAGCCGAGCCACCCGAGGGGCGGCCGAGTCAGGTCACCCATCGCACCCCCGACGAAACCTTCTCCCAGGCCCACGTCTTCTCGTCGCCTCCGGAGGACACCCAGGCTTTCCCGACCTCCCAATTCGTCGACGCGAACGCTGCCCTATCTAACGAGGTCCAGGATGAGGAGAAGGAAGGCGTATGGGGCTACCTCCTACCCATTTATTCGAGGTACGGAGGGAGCTGTGTGGTCCTGAAGAAGCGGTCGACGTGCCCTATTGCCGATGACGTCTCTGGCGTGTTGGCCAACCCGGAGGCCGGCGCCACCGCGCTGGAGCGAGAAGAGAGCCTCGAGCGGTCCAAGACCAAGAGTGTGCCGTCCGGGGGCTACCTGATCGGACGACACCCCGAATGCGGTATGTGCTAGGTGCTTCGTTGGTCCGGCATCGTCAATGGTCGGAACGGATGCTAATCTTCGACAGACATCATCGTGGACGATCCGGTAGTCTCCAACCGGCACTGCCTACTATTCACCGAGCACAACGGAGACGACACCGTCGCCATCCTCGAGGATCTGTCAAGCAACGGGACTTTTGTCAACGAGGCCATCGTCGGGCGGAACCAGCGCCGCGAACTGCGCGAACAGGACGAAATTGCGGTGATGGACAAGGCTAGATTCATCTTCCGGTACCCGCAAAGTCGCGCGTCCAGCGCCTTCGCCCAGCAATACACCCTGCTGGACCGTCTGGGCAAGGGCCATTTCGCCGAAGTGTATCTGTGCGTGGAAAAGTCCACCGGTCAGCAGTACGCCGTCAAGAAATTCACCAATCCCCCCGGCATGGACGAGAGGTCCAAGAAGTCTGGTCTGGAGCAGGAGATCGCGGTCCTGATGGGTGTCAGCCACCCTAACGTCCTATGTTTGAAGGATACGTTCAACGAGAAGAACGACGTGTACCTCGTGCTGGAGCTGGCTCGGGAAGGCGAATTGTTTAATTACATCGTCATGAAACAGAAGCTGACCGAGAATGAGGCGAGGAAGCTCTTCATCCAGCTGTTCCAGGGCATCAAATACCTAGTACGGCTGGCTACTACCTTCCCACCCGCCCTAGCACGACTAGCTAACGGTGACGACAGCACGACCGGAATATCGTCCATCGAGACGTCAAACCCGAGAATATCCTGCTGGTCGACAAAGAACTGCACGTCAAGCTTGCTGATTTCGGCCTCGCCAAGATCATCGGCGAGGAGTCTTTCACGACCACATTATGCGGGACCCCCAGCTACGTCGCCCCCGAAATCCTAGCAGAAGGAAGGCATAGGAAGTACACCAAAGCCGTGGATATTTGGTCACTCGGCGTAGTGTTATATATCTGCCTATGCGGATTCCCCCCCTTCTCGGACGAACTTTGTAGCCGCGAATTCCCATTTACCCTCTCGCAGCAGATTAAAAGTGGACGGTTCGACTATCCCTCGCCTTACTGGGATTCCGTGGGCGATCCAGCTTGTAAGTCACCAGTCAGCGCTCGACTCATATACCCCGCGCCAGCTTCACCACCCTTTTTGGGGCCCTTGAATCTGATATCTATCTCAGTGGATCTGATCGATCATATGCTCGTCGTTGAACCAGAGAAGCGCTACACGATCGATCAATGTCTGACTCACCCGTGGCTGACCCAAAAGTTGCTGGGCACGAATGACAGCACCGACGGACTGGTCGCCGGCATCGGCGGTCTCGAGGTGCAACGGCGAGGCGTGGTTCGGGAGCGGACGTTACTGAGCTCCATCAATTCGGTACAGGTCACTAACAAAATCCCTCCGGGTCCGAGCTCCAAAAAAGGCACTGTCAAAGTGTTTTCTAAAAACCCGGGTGCGGATACCCGAAATTCAGCTACGACGGAGCAGCCCCGACCTGCGGATCAACGAGATACGAAGGAATTCATGGAGATGGGTGGTAAGGGCGACCAAGAGCTATTCGGTGACGATGCGACGAGCGTCTACTCTAAAACTGAAACTGCCGCGGCCGCGGGCAAGGTAAAGGGGAAGGGGAAGGGGAAGGGGAAGACTAATGGCAAATGAAGGAGGACGGCGGCGACGACGGGGTGTAGTGCTAGGCGGTACACGGAACAGCTATCGTCGAAGACAGCTCGGGGGTCATGGGCGTCGTTTCACTCATGAGTTATGGTATATAGCGGGCTAGCGGATCTTGGTAGTTTTTTCCGTGTCGATTTTCAGATACATGGACGCTTAGCCGCGGGGGAGTATCGTTTTGTTTGCCTCTCGAAAAGAGGTTCTTCCATTTCCAGAGTTATACGGCATCGGAATCTCGAGGAGAGGGTTTCATCCGGACTTGACATTAAAAAAAAGGCAAGGGGATTTCGCCTTAGTTGACATTACATAGCCGTCGGGATATCCCGCGATAATATCTCCGCAACTCGCCTTACGAGCTCTACAATACGACAAATTGAAAACCGCCGCGTCGGCCGAGTCAAGGCCGGAAACGAAGATGCGGTATTTGGATTTACGGGTCTGCTCGTTGAGGTTGAAAACCGGCGGTTTTCCACGCCACTTTACAAGCCTTACCTACCCCCTTTTATGTCTTTATGATTTGTATAGCAGTTGCTCTACTCTCTCTTTCCACGTTCACACACTCTGCTTGCCGAAACAAAGACGTCGCTATTGTCGCCGTCCGCCCGATCCCGAAACCAACAAAAACCAAGAGCAGCGACCCCGCCCACACCCGGTTGGCTCTTTGTCCCGGCGCTCAAGGCGAGACAAAGACGGGCGTGGACTGTATGACGGCGGGGCCGGGAGGACAAGGGGAGGACAACCCTCGAGTGTGTGTGCTGCACACGTCGGGCGACCTACTTAGTGGCTGGCTTCTCTGGATCCTGATCTTTTGCAGATGCCGTCTGTCTAGGTGCGGGCGTACGCTATATACACATATACATACACATATACCTATATACGTTCACACCCGTACGGACACATCCGCCAGCGCGCAGACGCCGACTCGGAGAGACGATGGCTTCGCCTTACCAGGGCCCCCCTGACGAAGCGACGGCCCAAGCCGACGAGGGCAGCGGCGGCAATCTCCCCCCGCCGCCGCCGCCAGAGGCGCAGAAGCCGAAGAAAAAGAAGATGTCCCGGAGGCAGCCTCTGCCGTCTCGGTACCCGCCCCCCGAGGCGCTGCCAGACTACGTCCACCGCGCCCTGCCCCTGCCGCCGCCACCGCCGCCTCCCGCCCCTACGCCTTCGGGCGGGCTGTCCCCGCGGGGCGGCAGCAACGACGACGACGACAGCAGAGGCGCGGCCGAGGAGGGCGCGGCCCCGCGCCGCGTAGCGCCGCGCCAGCGCCACCGTGTCGAGGAGTACGTGGTCAGCCCGATCTCGCTGCCGGCGTCCAGCGTGGGCGAGGGAGAAGGGGAGGAGGAGACGAGGGAAGGATACACCCGCCGCGCCAGGCGGGGGCAGGGGGAGGGCCAGGAGGAGTTATACTTCGAGGTGTCGCCGGTGTCGCCGGGGAGCGAGCGGGAGGGGAGCGGCGACGACGAGACGGCGGCGGTTTCAGAGCTGGACTCGCCGCTCGACGACGACGACGACGGGGACGAAGATTGGGCCGGCGACGTGTCGGACGCGATGCTAGCGCTGCCGCGACAGGGCCCCGAACCGACGCCGAGCCCCGCGATGCCGTCGTCGGGCGTGTTCTACTTCGCGCTGGAGAGCCCGCCGCCGCCTCCGCCGCGGCTCAGCCGGCGGTACAGCGACCCGGCGCACGCCCGCGGCGACGCAGCGGCGGCGCAGATCCCGGCCGAGACAGACGCGGCGCCGCGGAAGCCAGCAGCAGCCATCAACGGCGCGCGCGGCGAGAGAGACGGCGGGCCGCCGCCGCCGCCGCCGCCGAAGACGGTGTCCTTCGGGGGCGGCAGGCTGGGCGCAGGCACGGGCGGCGGCACGCCGGCGACGGGGTTCGCGGCGCGGCCGCGGGCGAGCAGCGGCGCGCGGCGCACGGCGCCGGCGCCGCCCCCGCTCAAGCTGCGCGAGCGCCCGCTCGCGGACCAGTACGTCAAGACGCCGTTCCCGCGGGCGGGGCCGGGCAGCAGCGCGCGCAGCAGCAGCAGCGTCGAGAGCGGCGACAGCGGGGTGCTGGGCGTGGGCGGCGCCCCAACGCCGTCGCCGCTGCGCGCGCCCGCTCGCGCGACGTCCCCGCCGCCCGACCCCGGCCTCGGCCGCGCCGCGAGCCCCGCACCGTCGGGCGCCGGCCCCAAGGTCAAGAGCATGCTGTCGAGGGCGAAGACGGGGCTGGGGCTGGGGCTGGGCCGAGGATTGGGGATGGGGATGGGGATTGTGGGGGGAACCGCGGCTGCCGGCGCCCACGAGCGCAAGCGCGCCGAGATCAAGCGCCAGATCCGCGTCGCTGCCGAGCCCGGCCCCCCGAAGCCCAAGCCGAAGACGGGGTCGTAGTTACCTAGATACAGGCAGGTTAGGGCAGGCTGCTGAGTGTTATTGTAGTATGTAGCGGGCGCAGAGACCGAGGATAGAAATCCTACTAGCTGCTTGTTTCGTGCAGATTGGCTTGATGCCAGCGAGGGTCTCTCCGTCCGGAGGCTCGGGGAGGTTCGTTTCTATGGGACCATGCTCGGGGGCAGGGGAGATGAGCTAAATAATGAAGACTACCAAGTAGCGCTGTTAGGAATCGAACCTATCCTCCATTAAGTAACCCATTGATCTAGGGGTAGCTCGGGTAGCTTCAGTACCTACACCTATATAGGTACCGTAGGTACTGTCTAAGGCAAGTAATTCTTCAAGACGCCTGGGCATTTCTCGGGTACCCCGCAGACGCCGGAGTACCGGCTTGGCCCCTAACACCGATAAGTGTATACCTGTAGCCACCTTAGGGGTCCTAACCTGTTTAACGGTCTTAGGGGAAGTAGGTACCTGATGTACCCGAGAAAGATAGGTTAGGTACTTCGAATCGGAGGTAGCGAAGTCCGTTTACTTCGCCCTTGCTTCGCCCTTGGCTCCGGCCCGGTAGGGGTGTTACAACGAGGTACGTGACTCTTCAGCTTCGTTGTCCGAACCCGGATAACCCAACCGGGCTTACACCTGCACGTCTTGGCCTCTTCTTCCCCCTTTTCTTCTATTCTTCCCCTCTCCGAGATACGGCGACCATGACGACCCCCGCCGACGGCCTCTCCTACGATCCGACGACGACATCGACCGAGAACGCACACGGTTCCGCCCCGCTGGCCGGGCTCGTAGCAACCGAGATCCCCCAGAGCATCCGCAGCTCTTCCCCCACCGCCGACCTCTCCCTCTCGCTCGACCTGCACAAACAAGCAGCGACCGAGGATCCCCCAGACCCGGCCTCGTATTACTGGGATGCGTCGACGATGGCACCGCTCAACGCAGTCTCGGCGGTCAGTATAGCTACCACCCGAGCACGTCATTGCGCGATCCTTACCGATCTCTTCTCATCCCTGTCCCATCCCGCCCCCACCCGCTCCTTATGTATCCAACTCATAGAGGGGAGATAAATCTATACATGTCTCTACGCTCGGTACAATCATTGCCAACGTGCCTGCTAACGCGATCCCCAAGGCCGCCATCGCCCGTCTGCGCGCCTACAAGCCGCCGCCCTTCCCGACCTGGGACCGCCTGCCGGTGAGCCGCCGCGCCGCCGTTCTGATCCTGCTCTTCGCCGACCGCCGCGGCGACCTGCGCGTCGTCATCACCATGCGGGCGGCCAGCCTGCGGAGCTTCTCCGGTACGGCCCCGGCGGCCTGGCTAGCTACCTGCTAGTCCAGCTAACCAGCCCCCAACTCTCCTCCCCCGCCCCCCCCCCCCTTTTCTCGAAAGAGAAAGAATTCCCACTCCCCGAAATGAAAAGGACTCGATCTAATACATGCTTTGCTCCCCCCCGCGCCCGCGGACTAGGTCACGCAGCTTTCCCAGGCGGAAAGGCGGATTCGCTGTCAGAGACTCCCTGTAAGTGCCCAGCCGAGAGGAAAGGGAAGAGAGAAGGGGCGGACGCAGTAAGGCGTTAGGGGGTGGTTGCTGCGAAGATGTGTGTGTGGGAAAGGAGCAAAGAAACCCCCGCAATACCCGCTAACGCCCCCCCTCTTCGCGAACAGACCAAATCGCCCGCCGCGAGGCGTGGGAGGAGATCGGGCTGCCGGCCGACGACGCGCGGCTCCCGCGGCCGTTCCGCATCGAGCCGCTGTGCAGCCTGCCGTGCAGCCTGGCGAAGACGGAGCTCGCGGTGCGGCCGTGCGTGGCGCTGCTGCGCTCGGACGAGGACGACGCGGGCGCGGACGCGGGCGCGGGCGCGGGCGCCGCGCCGGCCCCGCCCGTCGACGAGACCATGATCCCGCGCCTCGACGCGAAGGAGGTCGCGGCGGTCTTCAGCGCGCCGTTCCGCAACTTCCTGCGGGCGCGCGACGAGCCCCGCGGGCCGGGGCCCGAGCCCGAGCCGCTGCCGCTGCCGCTGCCGCCGGGCGACTGGTACGACGGCCGCTGGGTCCAGTGGCACGGCGAGCCCTGGCGCGTGCACAACTTCCGCGTGCCGGTGGACGACCAGAAGGTGACGCGGCCGCGGCAGGCGCCAGCGGCGGAGGACGAGGACGAGGGCGCGGAGCAGCAGCAGCAGCAGCAGCAGCGGTTCCTCGTCTGGGGCCTGACCGGCCGCATGCTGGTCGACGCGGCGCGCGTGGCCTACGCCGAGGAGCCCGAGTTCGAGCACAACGCGCACTACGGCGACGAGGCCATGATCGCGCGGCTCGAGGCGGCGGGGGCCCTGCCCGAGAAGAAGCAGGAGGGCCGGCGCGACGTCGGGCTCGACGCGCTCCGGGAGGAGGTCAAGGATGTCAAGATGTAAGGGGGGACGGACGGAGGAAGCAGTAGAAGCAGTAGAAGAAGAGGGACGACGAGACGGCGGGGGGGGGGGGGGGGTTGCGAGGTACGATGAAGTCCCGTCTCACGCTCGCTCACTCTACTCTTGTCTGCCTCGTCCCCTTCTCTTCACACGTAGACTACACATATAGACAGACCAATGCTAGCGGGCCCAAGCCCCAAACCGAGCGGAAGCTGTGCGTGTGTCTGCGACTTGCGATTCCATTGCGCGACTCGAATCTAACTAGGAACACGATGCCGTCACGCCATGCCGACGCCTGCTCGTGCGATGCTAATTCCCAGGCTCGTACTCTCTCGTCTCTCTCTCTCTGTCTCCAGCTAAGTAGTAGTAGGCATCTAGACGCGTAAGATGATAGGCGGGCGTATTGATCTCGAAATACATTTCCCCCCACGCGCATTCGTGGCGCAGTATCGTGGTGCCGCAGACGATAAATCGGCAGGTCGCCCGCTTCCAGCCCCGTTCCGTCGTCCGCGCCGGCTTCAGTGGCAGGCGGTCTCCTTGGCGGCCTTGGTGTGGGAGCCGAAGAAGTAGTAGCCGAGGCCGGCGCCGACGGCGACGGCGAGCATGACGGAGCCGTTGTAGGTCATAAAGAGCAGCCTTTTTTTGCGTGGTTTCCCCCCCTCCCCCCCTCCGGGCCGGGAGGTGGGGGGGGGGGGGCGAGCAGTTAGCAAGGAAGAACGGAGAACGCCGTACGAAAAGAGGGGAGATGGGTTCCCTCGACTCACATGATCATGAAGGCGTAGAAGTTCTGGATGGCGTAGAGGACGGACTTGACGACGCGGGTGCGCCGGTCGGCCGGGCCGTTTCGTCCTGCCGGCAGCAACGTCGTGCTCTCAGTACTTGGCTCGTCTTTGGTCGTCGGTCGCGGCGAATCTTAGCCCAGGGCCTCCCAAAAGGCAGCTGGCTGGCTGGCTGGCTCGGGATATTATAGCTGAGGGAAAGGGGAAAGGGGAAAGGGGAAAGGGGTGGAGGGAAGGAGGGGGGTGGCTTATCGTGTTACGACGCCCGTGCCTTCTTGTGGTTCCGCAACACATTCCCGACTGCGAAACTGCGTGCGCGGCTAGGGCTTACGGGGGCGTATGGAGCGGGAGGATGGAGACGAAGGGGGGGGGTCGATCGGGTTCGGCGGGTGACGGCGATACTCACTGGGTGCGACGGCGTCGAGGCTCGCGGCGGCGGAGGCGTCGTAGCGGCGGATGAGCTCGCGCAGGGCCTCGTAGCCGGCGCCGATGGCGACGACGGCTAGCAGGCTCAGGACGAGCGACACCGGGCCGCGGATGTGCCACTGCCTGAAGACGATGCACAGGTTGGTGGTGTCCCAGGTGAACAGCATCTATCCGGCGGAGAAAAGCGCCAGGGTCAGCTCGATTTCTCTCCTTGTTCTCTTCCGGGGTCTCCATCCACTTGGCCCGTCGCTATAAACGGGAGGGGGATGTCGGTTCGTCGCGCAAGGGACAAGAGACGGGAGGATGCGGTGCGGTGAGATGGGAGTGGGATACTGACGCTCATCTTGCACATGTCGCCGCGGCCCATATTTCCATGGTCCATACCGGCGGTAGCCATGTGCGAATGGTCCATATGCGAGTGGTCCATCGTTGCTACGTATGTGTCTATGTACGGGTTCGGGATGATCACCACAGTGCTAGATACACGCGGCACGGGGTTCGTCGGCGGGATTCGTATGGGGACGGCGATAGGGACGGGAGTAGGTGAGCCGATGACGCGTCGCGATGGGGAGGGCGGAAAAGAACACAGACAAGACGGAGAGTGATGCGAGCACGGAGGAGAGAAAGATAGCGACAAAGATAGAGAGCTGATTCCTTATATAGAAGGGGAGTGTTTGGATATTTGCTTAAATGTGCTCAACAGCAGAGGGAGGCGACGGGTGGTGTTGTCAGATGGGGTGGTTTCTTAGGTATAGTGGATAGCGAACCAGGGACGGCGAGACTGAGGAAAGGGAGCTCCCCGGTTCAGCTCGCGGCGTTGGCGGCTTGTAGCGGACCAGGGATGATACGCGGGTAGGTACCTAAGGTGAACACGTACCTGCATACCAATACATATAGGTACCTACGCATGCATATATGCATAGAGGTACGCAGTACATGGGTCAGGTAGGTACCCAGGTACCTCAGGTAGGTAGGTACCTATGTATACACGCATACCTGCGCTATCGCGGTATGTACATATCTCTGCTCATATGTAGGTAGATAGACACGGCAAAGAACCCCTCCCCTCCGCAGACAGATGTCAGGATAGAATCGGCGGCATCATATACAATGTGTCTTATCTCGGCGGCAGCGTAGAGGCCGGCCTGTCGAATTGTACCTACTACTCGTCTACCTCATACCGGCCTTTACATTAGTAATCTGCTTCCCTCTACCTAGCTCTCTCCAACTTCGTTATTCCGCTCCCAGCCGAGCTATCCTTAACCAACCCCCATTTCCTACGTACACCAGGTCGGCCTCAGCAAACCAACCCGGCCAATTCCACTCGCGACGAGAAGAGAGGGACAGACTGACTATCTGTTCACCGAGCCTCGAGCCTCCGAGCCGGCGGCCAGGACGAAACTGTATCCTCCCAGTCAGAGAGTACCGAGACACTTATCCCCTTCCTCTTCCTCTCCCGCTTCCCCGTCGTAGAGAAACGTAGCTTCATCGCCTCCCGAAGCTGACGGCGACATCTACATTCATATATTCATTTTTTTTCACCTACACGCTTGATCTCTTGTCGCGTTCCTCGTCATCCGTTTACTTGATACGCAGAACCCGTCCCACTGGCCAGCCCAACCAACCGCAACCATGCTCTCGGCGCCGGTAAACCTCCCAAAGTGGTAAGCTAGCAGAAAACCCACCCATTGGTGTGTGCCTGTGCGGGAGGGGAAGAGTGGTGAGAGATGCGTATAGATCTGGCTCTGACTGGCCGGCGACTGACGGACCTACCAAGGCTCGAGGAGAACTCTCACCTCCTGAAACCGCCCGTCAACAATTACTGCGTCTACAATGAGGACTTCACCATCATGGTGCGCATCGCGTCTACCTAGACCCGTCGACCGTCGTTTTCACACGGTAGAGATAAAGGCTAACTAGCTCCTTCGCGTCTGCCGAGCAGATCGTCGGCGGCCCCAACGCCCGGACGGACTACCACATCAACCAGACCCCGGAGTGGTTCTACCAGTACAAGGGCGCCATGCTGCTCAAGGTCGTCGACGACGGCAAGTTCAGGGACATCATCATCCGGGAGGGCGACATGTTCCTCCTGCCCGGCAACACCCCGCACAATCCCGTCCGCTTCGCCGACACCGTCGGCGTCGTGCTCGAGCAGAAGCGCCCCGCCGACCTGCTCGACCGCATGCGTTGGTACTGCCAGGGGTGCGGCGAGGTCGTCCACGAGGCCGCCTTCCACTGCACCGACCTCGGCACCCAGATCAAGGCCGCCATCGAGACCTTTATGGCGAGCGAAGAGAGCCGGAGGTGCAAGGCCTGCGGCGAGATCGCGAACTCGGTACCGAAGCCCGGGACCATTAAAGATCCAAACCGGGAGTGAAGGAGCAGAAAATCTGGCTGTCGGATCGCTCAGCTTAGCCCAAGGTAGATTACATATCTCCCGTTTCAGTATGCGGTGCGGTTATAAATACGCGTATTTTTACCGTGCGATCAGACTCCCTTTCCAGTCCCTCAAAGATAATCTCAGAGCACTCTCGTCATCAGACTCTCCCACTAGTCATAAATTTTCCATGCTGGTAAGTTCGGGTAGCGGAGAATTAGCTCAGATATACTTCTCTCTCCTCCCTCGCCTTGTTAGGAGATTTATGGAGGTAGAGAGTCATTGGCCTCAAAGTATAAAGGGGGTAGACGTAGCTGCGAAAAGTCTAGTGAGTCGACGTTGAGGTCACTTAGGTTTTCCCTTCAAACTCAAGCACACGCACACGTATCCGTCCACATATCAACTGGCAGCCACTTAAACTTCCCCTGTGATCTCTTCACAGACAGACATCCTCCGGCCGTCCTTCGGATCGTAGTTATGTGGCATCATTCCTTTTTTTTCACACCCGGTCGCCCACGCTCCCTCATCGTAATCATCGTCATACACATCGTCGTATCTGTCGAAAGCGCCGGCTGTGACCCTATCTCTACGTCTCATAACATTTCACTCTAGCCCCCTCTCTAGCTTCTCTCAAGTGCGTTCCCTCCGAGCCTAAAGTCGAACCACCGCTAGGGGCCTCCGTATAGAGGATCGCCAATCCGTACAACCACGACAACGCAGCACTAGAGAAACTACCCAAACCAAGGCACCAAACGAGTTAACGCGCGTGATAACACCCGCAGCCACGGTCGGTCCCGACGGGCTCTACGAGCTCGAATCGATCTACATCAGCAGAAACGTTAAGCCGCTGCCGGCGGATGGAATGGCGGGATTCGCGGCGCAGAAGCGCGCCGAGATAAAGAAAGCATCGCCGCTGGTGGGGCTGCCGGACGAGACGCAGCTCGCGATCAGCTTGTACCTGGGCGTCGAGGACGTGGTGCGGCTGCGGCAGACGTGCCGGCGGTACCGCAACCTGTTCTCGCAGGCCGAGGTCGAGCGGCTGTTTACGCGCGAGGGCCAGGCCGACGCGGCGCTCGCGTGGTGCTGCGTCGAGTGCCTGGTGATGCCGGCGTCGCGGACGCTCGTGCTGGACCTGCACCGCGCCGGCCAGCTGTGGCGCGTCATGTGCGTGCCGTGCTGGCGCCTGCGGCGCAGCGCGGAGTACTGGCGCTCCGGCAAACCCTCCGTCTTCTTCGCCATAGGCTACTGCCTCCTCGAGTACCCCTTCGAGGTGATGGTGTTTCTACCGATTGTGGTAAGCCGCCTCTTCTCCTTCCCCCCACCCCAAACTCCTAGATAACAACTAACCGACCTTCCTCTCTCTCGAACAGGTCTCCTTCTTAATAACGCCTATCGCGTTCTTCCACGGCTTGCAGCGACGCGACGGTGGGACAGCCCCCTTTCTCGTGTTCTGCACGCAGCTCGCCCTAGTCGGCACCTGGGCCCCGGTGGTATATTTCGTCGCGCAGAGAGCCGCCCTCCAAGACCGCAAAGCAACCGTTATATTCCCTGTCCTCGTGATTACTCTGTGAGTCTCTCTCTCTCTCTCTCTCTCTACCTCCCCCCCTCCCCTCCCCCCTTTTCGTCGGCCCCCCTTCGTAGAAAGAGGCCGACACGAGAAGGTGGCGTGACCCGAAGGCAACAAACTAACTAACGACCTCTCCCCCCGCTGGCGACAGAGCCGTCCACGTCATCAATACCGTGGGCTTCGGCCTCCTGTGCTTCGGCTACAACTTCTGGGGCTACAGCCTCCCGGGGATATCGGTGGCCCGGCGCTTCCTCTACGCCTGCTGCTCGCTCCTCGCCTTCTGGGCCATCTCGTACCCCCGGCTACGAAGCTAAGGACCGAGGCCCCCGGCCGGGCCACGGAGGAATGCTTTGCGGAAGAAGGGGGAGTTCGAGGGACCAGGAGTTGGGACTCGGCGGATAAGATTCAAAAAAAAAAGTCAACAAGGGTTTTTTATAAAAAGGAAGAAGGAAATGAAATGAACAGCCGTGGGGCGAGATTTATCGATGTGGGAGGGGGTTGGATATAAGACTACGCTCGGCGCCGGCCAGACACACCCGCTGGCCAAATAGGGGAGAAGCAAGTTGTGGATTTCTCAGTGTAGGAGCATACATACATCTATTATCTAACTGACCTGTCCAGCTGGCTTTATACATACGTAGTCATCTCTCAACACCGACAAACGCGTATTACGAACGATTTCACGGGCTGAGACCAGCCATCCTTACGAACGAATATGCCATGGTATGCACGTATATAATGTAACATTGCACTCCCCGTCTTTAATCCCGCTATCGTCGTCTGGCATGCCTTCCTGGCTGCTTGTAATTAAGTCTAGTACTGATAAGTACTACTACATAAAAAAAAAAACGCTGTCCTCCTCATCAGGCTTCATCCCTTCGTCTGTCCGCCGATCCGTGGTAATAATATACATCCAGTCGTCGTCGTCTCTCTATTCTTTCCGCGAACATTCTGTCCCGCGAGCGCGCGGGTGCTAAAATACAGGCAAAAGAGGGGGGGAAATATGGCAAACCAACCATAACATGAACTGGAAAATCAAAAAAGAGCAAAAAAGGGACAAGTATTATCGCTTTCCGGGGTCGAAAATGCAAGCAGCGCGCCGGCTCTAATTAATCAATGGGGGCCTCCGTGCGGAGATGCGGTGGTAGTGGCATCGCTTAATATGAGAGGCCACCCTCTCCCCTTCTCACTTCTTCTTGTTCCCTCGGTCATTTTGTTTTTGTCTTCCATTCCTGTAACGCCGCAGTCTTCCCCATCGGAACACCGCGGTGGATGTACATGCTGTATTATACGCCGCCATGAAATATATATCGGAAAGAGGAGAGAAGTCGTTATGTGAGTAAGCGCGTGAGGCAGCATGCCGCCTATCCACACGCAGGTAGGTGTATGTATGTTGGGGGGGGGGGGGGGGGGGGGGAAGAGCCCCCGTAACCGAGTACGGGTTGATGAGAAAAATTCGATAGAAAAAGGTGCTTTCTCCGGCTCCCCCCTGGGGAGAGCACCCCTGTCGCGCCGGGGCGGAAAGAACAGAATCAGAAATCGGGCGTAGCATTGGGTCGAAAGGGGGGGGAATCACGTGGAGGAGACCTTCTGGAAGCCCTTGAAGTTAACCCAGACGCAGTTGCAGCCGCCGGTGCCGCCGTCGATCCCGCCGAGTGACAGGTCAGGCTCGTTGTTACGGCCGTTGACGAGCGTCCCCGCGAACTTGAGATCGACAAGCACGAGCTTCGCGTCGTCGGGGTTGATCTCTCCGCTCGACGTCACACCGAACCGGTAATTGATCTTCTTCGCTGGGTCGCCGCCGTGCATGTCCTCGGTCACGGTTATCGGGTACGGCATCGTCCCTGGAGTCTTCGCCGTCGTAAAGCTGTCCTCGCTCTCGGGAAACACGGGTAGGGGCGATCCGCCGTTGCCGCCGAGGAGCTGCGTCGTGTTCTCCATCCGCGTCCAGATCTGCACGAGGAACCGCGTCTCCGCGAACGTCACGACCTCTCGAGCCTCCGTGAGCGCTGCTCCGCCATCGCCATCCTCCGCGGTCGCGTTCACGCTGCTTCGTAGGTAGATCGTCTTGTCAAAGTACGTGTAGAACCCGTAGTGCTCCGTCGGCAGCCCGCGGTCGAACAACCGCGCCGGCTGCTGCCGGGGCAGCGGAAACATACGCGCCGGCGCCCCCGTGCCGTCGCCGTTAACAGACGGTGGTGGTAGCCGGTCCGACAGGCTTGTGGCCAGCGGGCCGCCGTTGTCGTCACTGTCGTCGCTGTTGGGGATCGCGTTGTTAATGCCCTGACGGCGGTTGAGCGCGTGGTTTGGGCCGACTGTCTCGTCGACCGTCGGCAGCAGGCTGATGAAGAAGGGTGTCGGCTCCCCCGCCTTGTCGTCCGCCTCGATGTGGTCCGTTGTGTTACCCATAAATCGTATATCCGTGATCAAGGGCGGCGCCGGGTCGGGCGTGAATCCCGTATCCGTTATATTACTGGTCCCGTCATCGTTTGGGATGTTCCACAATGCCCGCGTGCTATTATCGTACTGAATCTGGAAGATGAAGGTGGGCTGGTTGGGCGCGCGTGGCGCCACCGAGTCGTGTTTTTCCTTCGGCAGCGAGCATGACCAAGCCGTCTGCGCCGTCGCCACTAGGCACCCGGACCTCGCCTCGATGTTGTCCGGTCCGACGACCGTCAGGACACCGGTGGGCATCGGCGGAAAGTCTGTCAGGTTGACCCAAATTGAGGGGATCGGGTCTTCCGGTCTTCGGCGCGTAAGAACGACAGCGAGGACAACAGCGAGGATAATAGCGGCGAGTATACCGCCGATGATTGCCAGACAGATACGTCTCCGCTTCCTGCCCTCCCGGCCACTACGTCCGAAGCATCCACCTTCGGGAATACAGCCGCGACCCCTCCACAAGCCGCCGGCCTTCCTAGCGACTACCTCCTCCTTTTCGTGGCGGCGCCGCTGCCTCTCGACCCGGTTATCGACTCCTCGCGCTTCGTAAAAGTGATCGCCGGGCCTATACGAACCAGGCGCACGGTCGGGGAGTGCCACTGCGGGTTGAGTAGGTCGATCTGCGGGCGGCGTCAGAGGTATATCCGACATGTTGATAGCGCCTCGAGCCGTCATTGTCCCTGGCAAACCCGGAGTTACTGGGCCGGGGGACGGGACGGGCTGGGGGCCGAGCGATTCTGAGGGTGGTAATATTACGGTATATTTAGCGATTTTTCCCGATTTGGGAGGGGAATACGGCGGCGGCTCCTCGCTTGGCGTCTGGTTCTCTTCGGCGAGGATTCTGGCCTTCTCGGAATGTGTCTCAACACCGGTTGACGAAGTCGCCGCAGATGAGGACCTGGCCAATTCGGCTACGGGTTGTTGCCCATGGGTAGCCGCTGATGCACTAGCTATGGTCAATCCCGCCGACTTCGAGGATTCACCCTTCTCGTCGGCTCCTGCCCACAATTCCCGACGAGACGGTTGAGACGACGAGGCGCTAGGCTCTGCTTCTCGTGCCTGCGTCCTGAATGGGTTCCATTGCTCCGGAGAATTGGCCTCTGTCTCTTGTCCTCGGTGTTCGAGGGGGCTAGATTGTTGCAGGAATGGAGTCGTAACATGGTCCCACCAGCCATGGGCCTGGCTGCTGGCGCTTGCAGGGCTCGGTACTGCTGCCGGAATTGGTTTGGCTGACTTACGAGTCGCCATGGGGCTGCCATCCTCCTCAAAGAGGGTGCATGGCGTTCCGATATCATCGTCGTCCAGATCCTCGATCCGCTCGGCCTGCTTCTGCTTGGAATTCAGGACCGCCGGCAACGCAGGCACAGGGGGCGCATCGGCATCAAGGCCGGGCGTACTCGGCTGCAAAGATATGACACTGGAGCGGATTTTAGGGCTGCGGTACGGGGACTCGCTTGCTTCCGTATCCGGGGACCACACCGAGCGTAGCGGTGCGGGTATCGTAGCGTTCCCGCCCCCCGCAGAAGGATTTCGAGAGGACCTGTAGAAGCCGATTGGTGTCTCAATTACTGCGGTATAGGGACTAACTTGGTGTTCGGATAAGTTGTCGGAAGGAACCGAGATGCCAATGACGATTGGTCGGGCGTCCGGGGACAGATCCGAAGAGGCAGGACGTGCAGGTTTAAGGATTGGGTTCGAAGCGGCGTTCATGTTCCCGGGCTTCTGCTTGAGCCATGAGAAGCTACCTATCGAGGCTGACGAGGGCTCGCCCTCTAATGCGTGGAGTGCTGCGGCATCGACATATTTCGCCCTCACATTGCTGTGGCTGCCCGACCGCTTATGCGCAGCTGTCGCTGACCGGCGAAACTTGGTCATATCAGTTACTAGTTTGATGCCTGCCCTCGCGTTCTGAGCCCTCTGTCTAGCTCTGGATCTGACCCGGAGGGGAGGCTTCTGGACTGCATCTCGTGCCGCGCTGCTTCTGCCAGCTGGCGTAGTTGTAGATTTACGGGATTTTTGTACTGTGTCGTTGGAGAAATCAATCAGGAGCCCGTCTTCATCTCCTGCCACTACCCTCGTCCCTGTGTTCTCGTCCCAGTCCTCCCACTCATCCTTAGGGCCCGCTTTTCGAGGAGGTAGATCAGAGGGCATGTCGATAGATGGCTTGGTCGCATCTTTCATGTCCATGTTGTACTGTGTGTTTAGAATATGAGGTTGTCAAGTTAAGATGGAGAGAAGAGTCCCAAAATCATGCCGAACTCACGATACCAGCGTTGAGGTCTAGCTGTAGGGGAAAGAGAATAGAAGGTGATAAGAATGATCAAAGGTTGGTTGGCGAGAAGGCAAGTTGAATGGTAGAAGGGAAAGGAGTCAGTGGAAGAGGGGTGTAGGTATGTGATTTTTTTCACATGGCAGTGACAATGCCTTGAGTAGGTAGGTAGAAATGCTTTCAGGTCTTAAAAAGCCATCGAGAACTCGACTGAGGGTCAAAGAGGTACTACCCCAATAGAAAGAAAAGGACTCGAAAATTATAGAACAAAGGAAAGGCTCGAGAACAATGCACCAGTTGGGAAAGAAAGGCAAGAAGTGTTTTTTTTGTGAATCGAGGTCACTGGATAGGGCTAGTATTAAGTACATGAGTCGATACGACGGCCCGGCAACAGTCTCCAAAGGGACGGCCTGCGCTGCACATCGACGGCAACACAACGAGGACGCGATATCGACCCATACGGGTTGCGTAAGATGCATACTTGACCTCGACAAACAAACCCACCACCGATCCTGTTTGAGAGGGTAGCCGTGTGTGAGTGGATGATTGTTTCAGCGGAACCACTTCATTGCACGACATTAGGCGGAAGCCAGGTCTGGGGTCTGCATAGGTCTCGCGGCTACCGATATTGAGAGGCCCAACTGGAGGCTCTGGATGGTGGAATCGGAGCATGAGGCAGATGAACGAAGGGTGTAGCCGCCGACTCTCCAGGTCGGGCGATGCCCATTGGTCCAACGCGGCTAGCCAAGAGATGACCATCAATGGTTGGGCGGCAACGAATTCTCAGCGCGCGGCTGCAACCCTACCGGCCCACTCCCTGCCGCCCCTGGAGGCGCTACCCGGATGATCTGAAAACATGGTGAGCTGTCGAGACGGCCGGGCGAGGAGATCGTATCGCAGCCGTGTGGGTGTGGGCGTGGTTTGGGTGTGCGGCGTCCCGAAGGATGAGGTGAGGCTAGAGTTGAAGTTGGTGTGAGAAGTGGCGGAAGTGGGTGTGCACTGCAAAATTCCTTAATACATTGGGCGATTTATTTGCCTAGTTAGGTAATGCTTGCTTAAGTGTATTTGAGCTGCTTAGTTGCATATCTCCGCTCTTCTCCGGCTTAGGTGCCTACCTCTTCTCCCTTACCTCCCCGGTAGATGCACCTAGGTATTTCCTTTGCCCGTATGTATGAAGGTATCCGGTGGCTTCTAGACGCATTCAGCATTAAGTGGGACGGAACCTTTCAGTCGGTAGGAGGTTAGGCAGAACCTGAGGCCGGTTGCGAGGAAGCAACCTGACCGTAGATCTACCTACATGACCGCCCAGGAACTGCTCTAAATGTGTAGACATGTCTTGACACGTATATGAGTGGGTATACATTAGGTAGGATGGGCCTACGCAATGTTTCTGTCCGCATAGGTATTTTGGGAAGTAATACCTATAGGAGGTAGGTACTGCGTAAGGTAGTAGGTTACATTAGGCATCGTGCTCTCTTACGTGCCCGCTACCTCTCAATATATCTAGGCAGGTATCTACCTACCTACTACTTGAGGTACCTAGCTATCCGTTTGAGTATGAGTAGACGTGTGTAAACACCTCCTGAGATCCTAACCTCCATCTAACAAGTTCTACGTAGGTAGGCAGCATAGCATGCATGCCTCTCGGTAATTCCCGCCCTATGGGGTATATGCATCTGGCCTACTCTGGAAGGCCAAGTCCTGGCGGATCTGTGCTTGTCGTATGTAGGTGTAGGTACATCTAGCGTCTTCCCCGATATCCGGTATCGACCCCTTTCTGTCCTCGCCCCTCTCCCTCCCCGCCCCCCACCCTTTCCGCACTCTCTAACCTTTATGAGACAAGATGAGATTGTATCGGATCACCACCATCTCACCGTGTAGCAGGATGCCTCTTTCGACCTCCTAACTACATACTGGCGATGTGCCTCGTGGCTTCTATGCATTGCCTACCTACCTCTATTACGCAGGGAGGTAGCGAGAGTAGTAATGGGGCGGTTTTACCCGACCCTACGATGCCCGTACGGTGCAGCCACGGCGTTAACTCCCAAGCTTCTGAACCTCGCCATCTGCGTCTCTCCTGTGCATACTCGGCTCTTCAGCCACGGCCCCGGGCGTCGTCAATGTCGTGGAACGTACCGCCCCAGCTTACGGGGGACGGGGACCGCAACGACAGAGGTTCTGGTCTCTTCTCGCGGCATTCCAGCGCGTGTTGCGTGCTCGGCTCTGCTCTAGGTAGACAAGAAATTCACGTACACGCTCGAGTCCCCTCATAGATGAATTTCACTCGCCAGCTTGCGTAAGAGCTCCAGTCCGGATCTGCCACCCCTGCCCGGTTCGTAAGTAAGATTTCCTGGGCCTCCTCCATTCTGTTACACATGGCCCCCACCCCCCTTCTTCACGTCACGTTCCGGCGGTCTACACACATCTGTAAATATAAACATAATATACATAGCATACGTGCACGGCCTTGTTTCTGTTGCATGAATCCGTATGCCGTATTCTTATAACACGACCCTACCCTATCTCCTCCCTCGTGGCCCGCCAGCGCAATATCCGAGATATCTTACTAGCCGGGGCTCCCCTGCGCGGTCGCTGTGGTCTGGGGAGCTCGGCTGATTCAGAGAATATCGAATCTAGGAGAATGCCTTGCTAGGCTACCGAACAGTTGCTGACGCTACCGAGAAGGGAAACAGGACACCGGCGCTCTTCACTCCAGTGGAGAAACCACCCGTCGATACTAACCTTAACCGACCATGACGCCCGCGCCCGTCTTCCAGGGTAATTGCCTATTCTACAACGAGTCATTGGGAATGATGGTTACGATGACTTACACGTAGGACTACTAGGTAGTACTGCTCATACTCTGATTAAGTGTGTATGCGTTGTCGACACGGTGAGGCTGCCGCCACTCTAACACATCTACCTAATTTTAGTACTAGGTTAACCATAGACATGGAGGCAGGTATGTCACTCCGGAGTGGCAGAAGATAGGGCTATAGTAGGTTGATGACCACCCTGTCGATGGCGATACTTATCAATAGGGTTAAGGAGAGGTCGATCGTGCGAGGTCGATCAGGTCCGGGGGGGGGGGATTCATTCTTTACCCCGTTACAAAAAGAGAGATTCAAGGCCCGCATGCCAAAGTCATCGCGAACATAACGCGCACACACCCACACGGGGGCACACACCTATATACACCCGCCCACACACCAACTTCTACCCATCCAGTCCCCTCGAATAACCCATAAGGCAAAATCCTATCGTCATTTAGCTCGCCGTAGGCGATGGTCGCACACTTCTCTGCGTGCGGAGGTGGGCGGCGAAGATCGGTCTAGACAACCTAGGCACGAGAGATGAACAGCCCACGGACGAGACATGAATGCGCCGACGATGGCCCCGTATTTCTAGGAGCACATGTCGTTTCTCCTCGCTCTATTCTTCGCCCGACGGTGCAGGGCCGGCCTGGCGCCTCAGCGGAATAGCCATACGTGTATTCAGGTACGCAGTAGCAGGTGTGTATGTAGGCGTCGAAGCATGACTGGACTGGGGATGGATACACATCCGAGTATGGGCATAGATCAACCTACACAGTAACTCGTAACGGCACGAATGCCCATCGTACGGAGAGCATATTGGTAAGCGGCACGTCCCTGCCTAGGTAGCATTACCACGTTGCGGGATGCGCGCCGCTAATCGACACCAAGTCGGTCCCACCGGGCAACCCGGTCGCTGTGAGGGAGCGATGAGATGCATGATAACATACGCGTATTGCATGCATTAGGTAATACTACCTACCTCTTAGGAGAGGTGGTTTCAGTAGATCCAGTCCTAGGCGGTATATAAAATAAAAAATAAAAAATGTAGGCAGGCTGTAGGGCTAGGGTAAGCCGTTTAGGGGGTACCCAAGACACCCCGGCTAGGTACCACAGTTAGAGAGTCTAGGTACCTTAGGTACCTAACCTCAGTTGGGGTATTATGCTGTAGGCTGTGATATAGCATGGCCATGTCTTGCGATGCGATGTGACTTGCGGTTTATCAATACCGTTGAACATCCACGTCAGGGTACCTTGGGGTGGTTTGGTAGGTACCTCCTTTACGCACACTATGGGTACTACGTTGGGTGGTTGTGACATACCTAGGTAGGTACCTAGATAGGTAGGGCAGGTACCTAGAGGCAGTCGGCGTTGCTCGGTCCAGCGCACCCCACTGGACCGCTACCAGCTGCTAATTCGGGGCGACATTTCATTCCCTCCTCTCTCCTTCGAACCACTCACCCGCTCGCCCATCTTTCATCCACCCTGGCCGCTCTCAGGGAATCACATCCCCCTATGCACACATCCGTCGCCGCCTGCGCCGCCTACCCATCGATGAGCTCCATGTCTAAGCACGAGAAGACGACAGATATGTATAAGCATATCCGCGTATATGCCGCAATACCACCCCAAAACGGCTTAGACAGGGCGTGGCTACACTACCACGACACGTGTATTGTTATAGAGACTAAGCCGTCGAATCCCCTGACGGCCTCAGCGCGGACTTGACCAGGGGGGGTTCAGTCCGCGAACCAAGACCGCCGCCGGATCCAAGCCAGTATAAGAGACGACGGCTAGCCTCACCAGCGCTTATATAAGAAGGACTGGCCATGGACAATGTGACAGAGTGAAGCGGCGGGCCACGAGTCCTAAGAGTTATTGCCGCAGTCGGTCGCGTTCATCCCGGGTTCCCCTAGCATCGAAATAACACGTGTGCGCCCCTTTCCCTTCCGTCGCGCTACGGCTATACCTACCTGCATAAGTCTCGCCATACCCGCGAGGCGCCATGCGGTGCGGCGGAGGCGCTCTGTCCCGTCCCTCCTGATCAAGCCGACCAAGCCGAGGATTGCGCCATGTCGCTCGCACAGGACGAGAACGTTGACCAATCCACGTCCGCCATGACGGCCCAGAGGTATAACGGCCCGGCTAGGGACGGCGATTGGGTCAACTACCGGGACATCATCACCGCCCTCTATCTCGACCAGAACAAGAGCCTCAAGGAGGTCATGCGCATCATGCGGGAGGAGTATTATTTTTTCGCGACGTGAGACCTCCCCCCGGCCACCTGCCCCTGTCTATCCGTGGACCCGTCTCTCAGCACATCTACCACCGACCCTGAGGACGGAAGCACTGACCCGACACCAGGGAGAAGATGTACAAGATCCGCTTCAACAAATGGGGCCTACACAAGAAGCTGAGGGCCCACCAGGTCGCTGAGCTGCTCGTCCAGCACAGCCGCCGGGCCGCCGTCGGAAAGGCTTCGGTCTCCTACGTCCACGGCCGTAAAGTCGACGTAGACCGGCTCAACACGTACCTCCGACGAGTCTCGCCTGCCAGGCGCAAGGAGCTCGAAGCGATACGCTCGGGCGAAGTCCAGCTGGCCAGCGACCAAAGGCGCAGACTGGGAGTTATCATATGCCGAACCCCATCACCGGAACCAGAGTCGATGCTGAGACGTCTGGATGCGCCCGACAGCCTGCGGCTCCCGGAGGAGTGTCTGCAGATCGTTCGCGATTACGTTCGTGGCGCCTTTGAAGCGTCGTTGTGGCATACCACGCCGCAACAGGAGCTGATATTTCCCCGGATGGGGAAGACGTGGCTGGACCCCGTGTCATGCGCGAGGCAATTGCTCATCAGCGGCCTCAGCGCTCAGGGGTTCAGCATGCTGAACATAGCCTTGAACGACTATCGGGCTGTGCTGGCCAAGGAGGACCCGTCGCTACTCATCGAAACCTGCCTCGCCCTCGGCGCGTTGTTGCAGTCGGGGTTAGAAATCGCCAAGTCGCTAGTGAATTTCGCGTGGCAGCTGTCCATGATCGTCTTCGAGCTGCCTCGGCATCCGTTGCGCCTCCTCTTCTCGCGGCTCAGGACGGCGCCGCTGACGGAGATTAGGCAGGTCATCGGCCTGATCCTGCAAGCTTACCTGCAGGCCATGCAGGTGGGCAGCCGCCTCAAGCCGACGTACCTGGCCACCGTGTACCGCGCCATGCTCAATAGCGAATTCATTGACACGGCGACGACGCAACATCTCCTGCGGGGCATCCTCGCGGGCTTGGAGGCGGTGTCGCCGCCTCCGCCGCCCGATCCGGCCAGCCCGCCGGACCCGCCGCTGCTGGTGGAGCTACGCAAGGACACCAACCTAGTGCGGTACCACCTGGCGTGGCTGTTCGACGTGCACGACAAGCCGAACGAGGCGCGGGCTGCGGCGCGGACGCTAGCGGAGACGCGCGGGCACGACGCGCGGCTCGCGCGCTTCAGCGCGTACAACATGCTGCGGACGCTGCCGACGAGCCACGAGGTCGGCGACGACGAGGTCATCGCACTGCTGTATGGCGCGCTCGCCGAATGCGAGGCCCAGTGGGGGCCCGTGGACAACGCGGCCGTCTCGGTGCTGGCGGTGCTCGAGCAGTACCTCGTCCGCGCCGGCAACGTCGGCGAGGCCGCGCGGGTCCGCGCCGACTTCGACGCGCGCTGGCAGGAGGTCTGCAGGCGCTTGCGCGAGTCGAAGGCGTAGAACGGAGCCGCCTACACCCTTGCGCCTTGCTCCCTGTCCGCCTAGAGAGCTAGACACGCGTGGCGAGCGATGTAGGTGTATTAACATCCCATTCTACCGTCTCTTCGCTTTCCTTCTTTCCCCTTTCTCCTCACGCGCACGGAAGCTTAGTAGCTGTGAACGTACTAAAAAGGTGAAAATGACAATTTTCGGGTGGACGCCGTCGGTCTATTCCCCCCACGTGCCCATACACGTACGGCCGGTGCAACAGCAGAGGCGAGTTGGAGGCAAAGATTGCTTTACGAAGTCGTGGGCTCGCGGCCACGACCGGAGGGGAGAAGTACCAATGGCTTAGACACCTAGTATATACAAATAGACATACCGGTTTCGCATATATATCGATGCGTATTTCGTAAACACACCTAGAACAATATAGATTTATATACGCGAGGCGGGTATTTGTTTATCTGCTCCGCGGGGAGGTATTGCCCACCCCGCGAGATATAATAGGTATTTATGTATGCATGCACCGATAACGCCTCCGCGCCTAACCAATAGGCATCCTACGTAGAAATGTCCCCGTCTTCACTGCCCCTCCGTGTTTCCTACAGCTCGTCGCGCACGGGAGACAGCTGCTCTGCCGCGGGCGCGCTGCTCGGCCGCCTCCGTCTCAGCAGGTCGAGCAGCGGACGGCTCCACGCGGCGTCCCTCTCGCTCGCGCGGCCGATGGCCTCGAGATGGAACTCCCAGCAGGCGTCGTCGAGCGCGCCCTCGCCAGCGCAGCAGCCCGTCGCGCCCTCGCCCTCGCCCTCGCCCTCCTCTGGCGCTGGTGCTTCCGCTCTGGGCAGTGGCGGCGGCCACACGCCGAGCGTGGCGCCCGCCTCCTCGTCGAGGAACGTGTCGGCGACGAGGCGCGCGACCTTGGCGCGGCGCGGGGCCCAGGCGTCGTCGTCGTCGTCGGCGCCGGCGCCGGGGTGCAGCAGGATGCGCAGCAGCTGGGCGGCGCCGCCGCGGGCGAGGAACTCGTCGCGCAGGGCGGGCGCGCGCAGCAGGCCGTCGAGGACGGCGAGGCGCACGCGCGTGGCGTGGGCGTGGGCGCGGCCCGCGGCGCCCGGCGGCGGGGCGAGCCGCGCGTAGAACTCGGCGCGGAGCGACGGGCGGCCGGGCGAGGGCGGCTCGCACGGCGCGCTGACGGCGGCGTCCCACGACGCGGCGACTGCGGCGAGCGCCGGCGGGTTGTTGCGCACGGCGGCGGCCAGCGCCGACGCGGCGAGGAAGTCGGGGCGACGCGTCAGCGCCGCGTCGGGTGCGTCGGGCGCGGGTCCGGCGCCCGGCGCCGCGAGCAGGCACAGCAGCGCGCGCACGGCCGCCGCATCCGACGCGAGCTGCAGCCCGTAGTACATGTCGTGGGCGAGGTCCTCGAGGACCTCGAGGGCGGCGACGAGGGCAGCGTCGTCGCCGTCGGGGCGGGCGTCCTTGGCGGCGGCGAGCGCGCGCGCGAAGCCCTCGTCTTGCGCTTGCGGGGCCTTAACCCTGCCGACGGGCTCGTAGGCGGGAGCGCCGCGCGGGATCTGATCGGGGTCGAGGGCGCCGCCGCCGCCGTCGACGACGACGACGGAGCGGTCCACGGGCAGCCCCGCGAGCGCGCCGGCGTCGGCCTCGGCCGGGTCGTGCAGCTTCGCCTGCCGCTCGCCCGTCTGCACGTCGAGCCGCACGTGCAGGCCCGGCGGCAGGTCCTGGTCCTCGCGCACGACCTGGAACTCGTCGGTCGCCGAGAAGACCCGCGGGTAGCACTCGGCCGGGTTGTCGGTGTGGCAGATGAGCTCGGCCTCCGCCGGCGGCGACGCGGATGCCGGATCTGGGGCCGAGGCCGAGGCGGCGGCCAAGAAGGGAGACGAGGTGAGGAGCAGGAGGGCAAGGGCGGGTAGCGAGTGGGCGAGACCCTTGGGATTGAGGGTATGTGAGGGCCCCATGATGTGCAGGAGACTGATATTGGTGCTATGCGAAAGGTTTGTGTCTTCTCATGGAGGGTTGCGAGAGAAACCAGTCATGAGTATGACGGAGCCGGCTTATCATGAGTCTTATACGCTTTTTTTCGAGCCGTCGTGGTGTAAGTGTCAGTGAGGAAGTGATGTGGCAATGCCAGCCATCTGGATCAGGACAGCTTGCAAGAGCTGAAGCAAAACTGGCCACGAGTGCGGAATCAGACACACGGGCGAAGGAAGAAATGGCAAAAGGTCACGACACGGATGAGAGCAGGAAGAGGACGTTGGACAAGTGTCCGCTATGCTTTCTGTCTCCTGCTCTTACCGACGAGCCTGCTCGAGTTGGTCTGAACAAGTAGAAGAAGCCTATAGAATTCTACGTGCTGTACGTAGGTACCTTTCTTAAGGCCTAAACCCTGAACGTCGTCAACGATGGGAGGTACCTCGGGTACTTGTACAGTAAATCTGGTATCTGCATGTTAAGGCTATGCACATAGACCAGATACCGCTGTAAAGGCCATAGGCCACCTGCCGCTTACCCATTCGAGGCATCCCATTGGCCACAACGTAGGCCCCACCGCGGACCTGCGCCCAGTTCTTCCATCCGCCGCCCGCCCGCCGTCCACACTGCAACATCTTCGGCCGGCGTTGGAATTGATGAGCTCACAGCTGAGGCACGCCGGCACCCACCCCACGACCACCCCCGACGCCAATTGAGTCGAGCGCCCCCGCGTCCTATCCCGTCTCGCCTCGCCGCGCAGCGCGCACACCTACGCACCCACGCGACGCCCCATGATGCAGGCCCTCCGGACGAGAGCGGCTTGCGCAGCCCGACGAACGACGCGGCCCGCAGCAACAAGCTTGCAGCTGTCGCGCTCCTACGCCTCCGGCGGCCACGACAGCCACGGCAGTAGCCACGACCACCACGATCATCACGACGACCACCACCACGCCCCCGAGGTCGATGAGCACCTAGGCGTACGTGCCCGCCCCGTCCTCCACCCCCCTTCCCCTCCCCAGCACCCTGTCCGGTCCGGGGACAGATAGACGGACCCTCGGAGCTCGCAAGCTAACCGCGCCTCGTGTGGCCTCGCCCCCCCACGCCATCGAAACAATACAGTTCGGGTTCTACGCCTTCGCCACCGCGCTGCCGGTGTGTTACGTGGGGTACTCCGTGTCGCGGCCGGGCGCGAACGGGGAGCCGTCGAGCCTGTCGAAGTGGATTCAGAGCTACGAGTACCTGGGCGGGGAGTGGGAGGTGCGCAACAACCTGCGCACGCGGCTGATCGAGCAGGCCGCGCACGACAAGCACCTCTTCAACCACGCCGGGCGGAACACGCACATCGAGCTCAAGACCCCCGAGTACGTTTCCCTCCTCCTCTGTCCTCCTTCCTTCTCTGCCCCCCTCCCCGCCGCTGACCTCCCCCGCAGGGTCTTCTACTCCGGCTCGCCCATGAACGTGCCCGCCGGCCACTACGCAGACCTCAGCCACGTGACCGAGCACTACCGCAAGCACGCGGCCGAGGTGGAGGAGCGCGTCGCGAAGCGCATGCGAGCGCGCGCGAGCAAGGAGCAGGAGCAGCAGCAGCAGCCGCCGCCGCCGCCGCAGCAGGCATGATAGGGTAGGCCCCGGAGCGTGCGCGCTCTTGCGAGAGGCAGAGGGAGGGAGACGGAGGGCGGCAGGGACGCAGAGCGTATGTGTGAGCGGCGTCAGCGCGCACTATCGCGTACCTACCTACTACCTCCCCTCTCTGCCCCCCTTCCGCCTGAAATACAGAAGAAATAGACATACGCCGTGTATATACATCATAGCCAGCACTACCCTTGCCACCACCATCCAGACCTACAACACGTAGACTTGCGAGCGGGCGAAGGAGCCAGAGGGTAATTCCACGGAATGGGCCCGCCGTGCGTGCTTTTTTTTTTTCTTCTTCTTCTGCCTGTGTCCCGCGTCTTCGCCTCTGGGATCTCCCGGGACTTAAAGACGCCCTTTCGTAGAGAAGAGTAGACCCGGGTCCCCTCCTTTAGAAATATAGCAGACTAGCTAGCGCTCGGGAACGGCAGCGTGCGGCGCGGCGGCGCCCGAGCAGAGTAAGTAGACGGGGCGAGTACGACGGCAGAGAAGATCCTCCCTAACGGTCGGCGGCGGCGGAGGCTACATATTACAAATGTCCTATGCAGTGATGACCGTGGAAGCCCCTTCGAGGACAAATTTGGATCATCCCCAGTCCTACCCAGCCGCACAATGACGTCCCCATAACAAACAAGCTGCGCAACTGGGTTTCTTGGCATATTATCGACATGGAGATCTAGGGAAGGGAAGAAGGGGAGGGGAGGGGGAGGGGTATAGAACTACGGTTTTCGCTTAGAGAGCCCAGGGGAAACCCGAGAGCGCATTACTAGTCTACCGACACTCTCGAGCTGAGGAAATATTTCAAAGCACACGTCACGAGATGATCCGTCATTTTCCCATGGGCAACACCGAGATACGTGTTCGATAATCAAGTGTCGGTGCTCGGCGCAGAATGATCTCATTTCATTATCATGCAGCGCGCACCGGCCGATGGCCATCTTTTGCCTATCTGCCGAGAGAGAGAAACAACCGTTCCGTTCGCCCAATCCGTGAATGCAAGAGAAACCCCACCCCTCCCTGTTTTTACTATAGGCCTACTTGAGAGGGATGAATCGAGAAGAGTGAGTAGCACCGATACCAGGCCTACCGTGCTTGACGGGCTTGCTGTAGCACTAGTTAGCCGATCCGAATACTACCTTTTAAGAATCCGTGTTCTCATCCCCCCCCCCTTCTTACACGCCCCATGGCATCACATCGCAACGCGACTGAACGCAACGTGAACGAAAAGGGGGTGGGTGGTACATGTGGGGATCATTATCGGGAGAGGCGGTTCCCGCGGAGTGGACGTACTATGAGATGGAGAATTCGCCGAGGTAGTGGCCGACCATCTCAGGCCGGATTTCGACCTGGTTGAACTCCTTGCCGGAGTAGATGCCGATGACGCTGCCGATCATCTCGGGCACGACGATCATGTCGCGCAGGTGCGTCTTTACGAGGTCGGGCTTCTCGTTGGGCTTGGCCTCCTGCTTGGCCTTACGGAGCTTCTTGATGAGGCCCATCGGCTTCCGCTTCAGACCTCGGTTGATCCGGCGGCGGGCGCGGGCGTGGACGACATCGCGGAGTTGGTCGGAGCTGAGGTCGAGAAGACTGTTGGGCGGCGGATGGGCAATGCACACGTTAGCCTCCTCACGTACACGTCTCACGCCCCTCTCTATAGAAATGGTTGCCCGTCGCATTCGGCCGTGGGGGATGGGGGGAAATCGGCGCCTGGACGGTGGTGCTTCGGAGGGAAACTCGACATTCGAGGGGGGAAACGTACGCGTCAAGGTCAATTCCTCGGTAGGAAAACTTGCGGAACTGTCTCTTCTTCTTGAGCTCTGCGGCCTCCTCAGCGTTCTACGCGGTTCAAGTCAGTCGGCTTCTCCTCCTTCAGATCGATGTCCCCCGTCTGGAGATCGCTCAGGATAGATGACATACGTAGTCGGGATCGTCAGCCATGGTTGCGGATCGGTATGGTGTCGGGGAATTCTCTGGCTGGTGCGGGCTGTCGTGGACGAAGGACGGTTGCTCGAGAGGGATGGAGTTGGGGGGTAGGAGGTTGTTGAGATGGGCTTCGCAAGAGCGGCTGGATTGATTTGCAGAGAGGGTTTCGCTTAGTTTGCGCAGCCCGCGCTAGGGCGAGTGCACGAATTTTTTTGTGTGAGGGGCTAGAGGGCTCCGGCCCCGAAACGCCACAGCGACAAGCCAGAAGGGTGTGGCGAGTGGGCAACCTATTAGGTAATCATTTCCCTTCTTGCCAATGTACCCGCCCCGGATATCTGCCCGGTACCTATACGTGTATGCAGAACACGTCGTAACCGAACAAGACTCCAAGTCGGCATGCCGGTGCATACAGTGCTACCCATGTCGGGTAAGCTCCAGGTTACATGCTTAGAGATTCCCCATGGGAAAAAGGATGGAGTACGGCTTCTGCATGCGACGGGGTACCTACCTACCTACCCATAGACTTGTGGGGAGTACCTAAAGTGCCACCTACTTCTAGCCTCTAAAGGGCCACCTACAGGCACCTCCCTACCTTCGAATAGTAGACCGACAGATTAGGGATCTAAATACCTACGGTTACGTGCTTCGTCAATCCCATCCATTAGGTAAGGTCGCGATGGCGTCGCTTGCTTCGCCCTGCCTCGAGGCTCTCTATCTGCGCTTATATAGTGTACAATTCGTCGACTGGAGAACGATCGGGGTGTGGAAGCCGGACGGCACCCAACTGTCCACCCCAGCTCAGCATCCAGAATCCTCAGTTCAGGGATATCACTAGCATAAAAGATAAGATAGAAAAAAAAAGGATCAAAAAGAAAGACGTCGAGACACTCGTAAAATCGCCGGGGAAAACACTCCGGGGCTTTTTGTTTTCGGTAGATGACGGGTAACCCTCCCTACCCAACGCCAACCGCCTCCCCCCGCCCCTCCCTTAGTAAAGATGAGTCTGGATGCCCCGTATGTTGTGATGGTGATGGCGACTATGGTCCACCCTATGCGCCGTACATACCAAAGACGCCCTTCGCTCGGATCGTACCGCCTAGCTCAGTTGCTGCCGTTAACCGCGAACGGTGCTGCTTCAATTGGACTTATCGACCGCCGTCGGATCCGCCTTGATCTCGACCTGGCCCCGCAGGACGGTCATCTCGTCGGCGAGATAGGTTATCTTCTCCTCGTGGGATCTCTCCGTCGCCTCCAACGCTTGCACTCTGTCATTCAGGTGTCTCACCTGCTCCTCGAGGCTATGGATGTAAGCCCAGATGCCCTGGTCCGTTGCGAAGATGTTATTGCTCGAGCTGTCCCCGCTTCCGTTCTGGCCGTGTCCACTTGACGTCCGTGAATGGTCAGGTCCGGTATTCGCAACTATCGATTGGCTTGAGCTGCCAGACACCGGTGGAATGGTGATGGGATTCTGTACGTTGGCTGCGGAGGCGGCATACCGAACTGCGTCGGTCGGGGGGAACCCGGGTACTTGGATTGGTTTCAGTATGACAGCGCTCAGTAGGTGAGGAGGGGGGAAGGGGTAGGAGGAGCTACACCGACCTGGTGGGGTGTGTCGATCTGTTTGGTGGCGAGCGAAGTGTTGGAGCTGGACCGTCAAGCTCGGCGAGCGCTGCCGGTTGATATTTGCAGAATCGTGGCCTTGAATACCAGAGGGGCTAAGCGGCTTAGGGCTCTCGGTCATGGTGCTCTGAGCATACATGGCGGGGTTACTAGCGCCCATCGGAAGAGACGGGATACTCGACCCCGGAGTTTGGGATGCATTCGAGCTCCCGGAACCGCGATCCACGTTGGGCGGATAAAGTCGACCAGTAGGACCTAAAGGTGGGCCTGTTAGTGGAAATGACGAGGCGTACATCCGCAAAAGCGATGCGTTACCTTGAACATGTTGGGCTTGTATGCTGGGTATGCCTAGCTGTCGCCGGTCATGTCCTGTCGACTCACCTTCGCTACCATTATATACAACACCGGCCATGGCGGAGTCGTCGCCCTCGAGATGGCTCGACCCATCCACCTCTTCTTCACCAAGGAAACTCCCCAGACTGCTTCGTCGGCCGACGCAGCCACCCGGGCCTTTACTGTGCCGCGCCAACGCATCACCACGCGCAAACTTTCGATCGCATTTTGGACATACGTGGGGCTTCTCTCCAGTATGCAGCTTCGTGTGGCGCTTGAGGTCGTGGAGGCGGCGGAAACGCAGGTGGCAGGTTTGGCAAACGTAGGGTTTCTCTTGGCTATGCGTCAAGAGATGGCTCTTCAGGTTGTGGTGTCGTGTGAACTCGGTCTCGCAGTATTGGCATTTGTGCCTTTTCGAGTTTGGCGAGCGTGGCGTGGTCGGCTGGTTCGGGGTCACGGGCATGCTCATCCCCCGGGTCGGGGGGGCAGGCATGCTGGAGGTCGGAGGGAGAGTGCCGGGATACGACAACGAAGTGGCCTCCTTATCGTCCATTGGAGCCGGCGGTTGCGTACCAAAACTTGTCCTATCGTCACGGCCTTCGAGCTCCATAGGACCAGGGCTAGTCGTGACGGGTCCGATGGATGCGCCACCCAGGCTACCTAAACTCGTCGCGCTCTGGGGACTGACGTTTTCCGACTTGGGCTTGGGGTCTGACGTCTCGGGATGTGGTATGGAGACAGAAGGCAGCGCAGCGGACTGCGCGTCGCCCGACAGCGGAGCGCCCTGGGGTGTGTCCTGAGAAACACCCTGGGAGACCCCCTGAGAGCCGTCCTGAGGGATATCTTGGGGAGCATCCTGAGGAGCGCCCTGTGGGATATCTTGAGGAACGTCCTGAGGAGCATCCTGCATAGCTTCTTGAGGGATATCCTGAGGGGCGTCCTGCGGGCTGTCGTGAGACCGGCTCATGGCGAGAGCACTGGCGGACATTAGCGCCGATTGCGCCTTGAATGCAGGGTTTTCGCTGGTGCCGGTAATCTGGGCTTTATACTGGTCCTCTTCGCTACTCCGCTCGTCCTCGGCGGCCGCGGCCGCGGTCATGGGCGTGGGAGAGTATCTCGAGGACAGGCCGATCAACCGCGCCGTCTTCGACGGCGACAGCTCCCGATGGAGTCCCGAGAGAGCCGAAGACGGGGAGGAAGGAGAAGATTCCCGCTGCCTCTTCAGCGACTGCGTCGCACGGGTGGCCTCGGCAGCCAGAGCTTCGACGGAGACGGAATCCGCGGCGATGGCCGGCTGGGAAACGGTAGGCGAGAAAGTCGGGGCTTCCGTTGCGACAGGGCCCTTCTTGGAAGCCATGAATGCGGGCGGCGATGGCCAAGAACGCGATTGAAGTGGCTATAAGAAAATACTCGGGGTCGACTCGCAGGACAGGCAGACGGAGCTTAAGCGCATGAACGGCGCATCGTCAAGCTCGAGGAATAGCAAGGGCTGGGTGTGTGGCTGAAGGGAGTGGCTGCTGTGCGGAAATGAAGGTGTTGTTGATGATCGCGCGTTGCCGCGTCCCGATGCTGATCTTTTTTCTGGGGGGTGGGAGGGGGGCTTCTAATTTTCTGGTCTACTTCAAATCCATGCAGCGGTGCATCAATCAAGGGATTAAAAATATGGTATTTTACTTGGCAGGATAGAAAGAAGGAAAAGGGGCAGGATGGAGAGGGCAATGGCCTCTCGGTCGCGCGCGGAGGGAGGAAAGAAAGTTAGCAGGCAAGGTAGGCGAGCAGGCCGGCAGGTCAACAGTGTGTAAGTGGACGACTGAGCCTCAAAAGGGACAAGATGGTTGTGGATGAGCAGCAGAGAAAAAAAAAGGTGCCAGGCGCTTGGGGGGCGACGTCAAGAAGTGTGGTGGTGCAGGCCCAGGTGGCAGTGGGAAGGGTGAAAAAAAGAGGCGGAGGCGGCGGCAAGTCCCAGTTTATTGGGCTGATTGATGATCCAATGCGTGTCGGAATTATTTTGGCTTGGTCTTGCTGCGGTCCAGTGATTCGGCCTGTATGTACCCTTCCAAGTACCTTTGCACCTCGGGGCACGCGTTCGGTACCTGGCGCGCGCCGGGCCAGGTACGCCGTCAGACAGCCACCCTCTCTTCCTCGGTGTGGCCACCCACATACGGACCTGGGCTTACCCCCAGGAGCGGATATATACCTCCTAGGTAGGTATACATCGATCAAGGTACTTGGAAACGCTCTAGGGACCTCCTCGCGAGCGGGTGGCACAAGCACCGCGCGACAGGTGTCCCTACGACTACATCTACACATTACTCATAGGTACCTAACATTAAGAGGTCAGGTACCTGCCGAGGTACTCGCTTCCTAGGGTAAGACCTGGCGATATAGGTAGGTAGGTACCTATAGGAGGGAGGTACATCCCATCGATGTAGGCCCTAGGAGGTCAGAGACAGCGTTAGCTAAGTACGTTAGGTACCTCATTGACGTATAGGAAGCGGGCACACGCTCATTATACCGGGAGGCAGAGAAACATTGTAGAGGTACCTAGGTACATGATGGGCGCGGGTGCGGACCTGTCCCCGTCCACACAGGCGGTCGCGCCCGGCCTGGGATCTGATTCTCGACTTGTGAATGGATTAGGTGGGTACCTAGGTAGGTTAGGTTAGGTACCTAACGTCCAATACCCAAGCGGTACTTCCTCCTCCTACGGTACCCAACCTCGTGTATCGTGTACCTACATCCGTCTTATTGATCTGGCCTAGGGCAACTGTGCAGCGGGAGGCTTTTGCGGTCTTACCAACGTCGACAGGACTGCCCAACTACGTGAGTGTTGGCGGACCTGATAGGTCCTTGCGCCTTGACGTCCGGCAGTCATGTGGTAGCATCCAGGGAAATAGAGCCGAGCTTGAGGCTTATCACCAGAATATTGTGTGGCGGTACCAAGTCAACGATGTCCCGGCCCCAACTGCGATCGGTAGATAGGTAGGTACACGCCTACACGCCCACATTCGTACCTAAATTTGGGCCAACAGCATAGCTGATATGGACATATTGGTGTGTATATGTATGTGTGAATTACAGGTAAGGTCATAAGTCCGCCTAGCCAGACGAGGGGGGGACCAGGTTATCTTCCTTGTCGTTGCCGTCGTCGTCGTCGTGAGGCCGAAGACAACGGCACAGCGTCTTCGCCGAAGAGGCATCGAGGGCATATAGCACGGCGTTCCTCCTTCTCGACAAATCCAATAGAGACGGCATTCGCCGCCAAGGCATGTATATGTAGGTATGTATGTCGGTAAGTACGTACGTATTCAGCTCGAACAAAATTGTCCAAGGACGGGTCAGCCAGATAGCCACACGCACACACCCACACCCAGTCACCCAGAGGCATCCAGCGCAGGATGATGCGCATTCCATGTACCTATATTGTACCGTAGTAATCAGGAAGAGCAAATTATTCAAAGATCTGCGCGCTCCTAGGACTTCGGCGCCCTTCAGTCTAATATCGAAACGCATAGGAGAGCACAAATCGGGAGACATCCAGGCCGGGTAGCATCCAGGCCCGAGACGAGAGGTGTAGGACAGGCAGCGAACGAGGCAAGAGAGTGAGAGGGAGAGAGAGGCCGATTCTCGCAATCCTCGGCATCCTCGTCCTCGAAACCCTTGCAGCAGAACCGGCCGACTTCCCTGGACCGCCAATCCGCTCAGGTAGCTATCGCCCGGGCCCCCGGATGGCTCTAGTCGGGTGTAAAGCAAATGAAACATGACTAGGTATGTACTGCTGGCCGGGCAGGCTCCATGGCGCGCGGCTTGAAGGGGGGGGGGAAGGCGAGGAAACTTGGGGCTGACGGGTGGACGGACCTGGACGGACGGGGAGTGGACTTGGATGCCCTTCTTTCGTGGTGGCTTGATTTGGTCTCAGCCAATGGCGACTTCGGCCCAGATGAGGGGAGCACACAACCGGCGCTTCCAGGATGTCCAAGGGCCCTGCACCGTCCCTGATGTGGTAGTGAGTGACATTGCCAGTTGTCAGGTCCCCTACCAGCCTGCCTAGGAACCCAGCCTAGAATCCTGTGCGGCGGACTTCGGCTAGCAGAGATAGGACGAGGGGGGTCTACCTGTGCCCATCGCAGCGCCGGACTTGCAGCGAATACCACCACATATATGTAGGCGATACCTACTCACATATGTCGTACACGCATAGCAGGTCACCGTCCACTCCATGTCCACAACCTGCTCCCGCCACCGCCGACCTGCCGACAGACGCCGACAGACGCCGACAGTCATCGGGACGCCCAATCATCGGCGGCTGGAGTTGCAAGCCGCCTTCGTACCTCTGGTCTGCTAAGGAGGACCTACCGCACGTAAGAGGTAGTAAGGAGTAGGTGCTAAGGCAGGGTCCGGGAGGAGGTATGGACGGATGTGCCCATATGTAGGTAGGATATGCCCGTAGACGTAGGAATCTATGTAAGGTGTGCTGGCCTTCACTTACTCCCCACACACATCCCGCGCATATAGGTCCTGCGAGCATGTAGTTTTTCTTTTTTCTCTCGCGTCTTGTGAGTTCTAGTCCATCTCAGAGCGTCCGTCGATAGATCGACTTGAACGGCACGTTGCCTGCTGTACCCTCCTGTCACGCGTTGTCAACGTCAACTACCAAGAGGCAGGTAGGTGAGTAGGTAAACTCACTACCTACCTTAGATACCTCGGTAGATAGCATCTTCCGCAACCTTGGGCCCCTCTTCTTCAACTATTAGAGTGCCTCTTGAGATATTCTACCTTATGTTTAATACTACGCGAGGGTTAGGCGTTGAAGATGGACTGCTCCTTGAAGAAGTACATACCTACCATAGGGATGTAGGTATATATGGAAGATCAGTATACGGTAGGTACCCACGCCTCCCTCTCTATGGAGATCGTGACAAATCACGGCTTCGAATCCTCACCCGCCGAGATCGTCGTTACTAGCGCCGACTTCGATTCGAAGATACATCCGCTGATTTCGTCACTGTCAATCAGACGCGACCCAACCATCAATCAACGTACGTAGGTATGGATGTACAATGCCTACATACCTACCTACCTCTGGCTCATGGGTTACATACATGTCTACATAGGTAGGTAGCTAGGTAGGTATCTCTGCTACCGATGTAACGTGCCTGTACCTAACTCAGACAAGGCGCCCGATTGTTGATTGTAGGCGGCGTTATGACGAAGGATTCTATGTTAGATACCTAGGTACCTAGCTACTATGTAATACCCAATTGCAGTCAGAGTAATTACATAAGATGCTCTACAGGTAGCACCAGGTGCGCCTAAGCAGAGGGGAGGGAAGGATGTACCTATAGGTGGGTAGGTACCTACCTAAGTCGGTATGTAAGTATGTACCTACGTACCTACATACCTCCCACGCATCGTCTCGGCGGACACGACTTTCTTTCTCTCTTCTCCCTCCCTCCCCCGCGACTCATCGTCGTCGTCGTATGCATGGAGATCTTTCCCTCGTCTGCGACCCAATTGCAGAAGACCCATGTCTGTGTGATACCTCGAATTCTACAACCACGCCTGACTAGAAACCGCAACCGCACAACGCCCAATTTCCTCTCTAGCCACCCAAAGAGGCCGTGTGCTCGACGGGCTCATCCAAATCAAGACCTCGACATGTCATCAATGTCGCGATAGCGGAACCCGTCATCCATTCTGCATCTGGTCAGCTACCGGGCCCCCTTTCCCCCCCAACGGTCGAAGAGCCCGGTTACCGGTCCACGCGTCAGTCCGTCGTACCCTAAATGGCATCACTGAACGGCATCGTCATATGGTGGTGTCCCGATCGGTGACGAATATGAATCCTTCGCCTGAGGGGAAAAGGAAAAGAGGAAAAGGGGATCAAGGAGAGGACTGCGCTACACAGGGCCCCGGTTTGGTATGAGCCGCCGTGACTCCGAGGCCATTTCGTGATTTCCTGCTGAGCCGCAGCTCTGGGCAGCTTACCTGAGCTCTAACCCCCGTTCTCCTCTGTGCCTGCGAAGCAAGGCGGGTGTGTGTGGGATGTACAATAGACCAACAGGAGAAATGTCGGCTCGTCGCGCCTCTCCTCTTCCAGTCTGTGATAGGTATTGTTGGATATATCAGCTTATTATTGTTGATCAAGCCAGCGTGTTCACGCTCACTCCCTTTATGATTTGACTGGTTCCGTCGACATCATCTCATCGTCGGTCAACCCGGCTGGGAGCGGAGAGACAATTCAGTTACACTAGGGCAGCACACTGAACTCGGCAGTAGATGAAAGGGATGGGAGAGGCAAGCGAAAATAGAAACAATAATAAATAATCATACCTAGGTTAACCCCACTTGAGTAAGCGATCGGACTAGTCCTTCGGGACATCTCCGAGCGACGATGCATTTCGATATCGTCTCCGCGTGTAATTAGTAGCTTAAGCAGCACCGAAGGACCTCCTCCCTAGACACGCCACGAAACTCGTATCCGCGACCTATAGGCGTGCTTACTACATCCCCTAACAGGTAGATAGGCAACAGCCTGCATTCGTTGCCTGCTGTGTAAGATTCCGGCTATGAGGTTTCCTCAAACGGCAACGCCAAAGAAGGCCACGCCCACCACATTCCCCTCTCCCGGGAAGGACACGATACTTGGATCTCCTGATGGCATGCAAATATACCTATGTATGCAGTCTAACTAACCGCATCTGACTCCATCTTTCGGACGACTGAGCCGAGTTCTCGGACGGTCTTCAGTTAGGCGTATGTGTGGGGTCGGCATGTGATATTAGGACGTATAGGCTCATCAGTCCTCTCCGAGGTCTCCGTCGAGGTTGACCTGACTATTTAATACGATGACGAGGCCGTATATCGGACCTATTGCTAATACATGATCCCATCTCAAGATAGAGGCCACGCGGGAAGTCATAGGAGCACACACCTGGGCACCTAGAAGACATCGGTGGCATTCGCAGACCTAGAAGAGGGTAGAGCTTTTTATTACGGAGCTGCTTGTTTATGGGCTCGACGAGGTCGACTTTATCACGTCATATGAACGGCGCCGCGGCACGGCACGGCACGGCCTAGGATTCCCGAGACTAGCGGAGCCCGGAAGGACGCGAGCATTAGCGCCGGAGCCCGAAGATCGAAGATCCCTAGATACTAAGGAGCACCAAGAATACAGCTGGGAATCGCCCCTATGCAAAAGACTGTGATTTCGTGGCGGTTCCGGGTATGGAGTACTATTGCTACGACTCCTGCTCTAATTACAACTGGGAACTACTATTACATCAGACGTTGCGGCGATACAACATAGTCCTTAACGAAATTCTACTCTCCAAGAGGCTATCGTCATAGCAGCAGGGGGTAGTGTGAGATAACTTAGTCAGACTTTTCCCAGATGGGATAGGATTCACGATGTCCCTCTCCATCTAGATCCCCGAACCTCTCTGTTCTGCGCTTAATATCAAATCAGCATCCGGATGGCATCCCATAAACAGAAACGCCCTATCTGGTTTAGGCCGCCTAGGAGAAAAGCTGTTTGAGTGTGCGTAGCTCTAAATGGGCTCTAAGGACCTAAAATAGACTTCTAATCACGCATCAGTCTGTCGTCCCCATCCAGTTTCTCGAACCGACGCGAGTATACGTGTGAAAGCGTTTACAACTCGGGAGATGTTGGGATATGGCAGGTATTGTCCTATATAACCTGCCTACTAGTCTAAAAGCGTATTTATATGTGCGTATCCCCTCGCAGACAGAGAGAGTGTGCCTGAGGGCACGAAGATCATTAGGATGCCGAGCTGACAACATGCCCGACTTCCTCTCCGAAGACCTCCGTCTAACATGTACGCAGTCTTACGTGGACCTGACGCGCCGTCCCGCGCCGTCCCGCGCCTCGGATTCCAGACGTCGCCGGGATACCCTATCGGAAGCACCTCTTAGGCTTCCAGCATGAACTAGCCCGACGGATGGGACGAGTAGGCTGATTCGGGCACGGGTTCGTGCCGGCGGCTAGATGGGTCCCGTTCCGCGGAATCAGCCGGGTGCGTTCTCTCTCGCTTCCTTACCCTCGGCCACAACTATATCTGCGACCTATGTCAGAGCTGCCTCAGCCGGGCGGAATCGACGTCTAACTCTAACCAACCCTGCCTGTGACGAATATCTCGAGGCGCGCCTGCCTCTTGAAGCGAGTGCGCGCCCCGAGGAGAACACGGCCTAGACGCCAGCAGGAGACCTCCAGCCGCGCGCGAACCCGTACGCCTAGCTTGAGCCCCTGCGAAGACGATGCTGAGCCCGGCAACGTTTCGCGCCGGTCACCCGTCATGGCCGCTAGGGTACGTATCCCGTGCTACGCCGCCGGGGGAGGAAACTCAGCGCGCGTCGCATGCGCCAGCCCGGCGCGGTCCAAATATACACGTGGGGCGAGAGTTCTGGACCCGAAGGGACACTTATGTTACTGCCGGGCGCTGAAACCCTGTCGAGAGATGTCGAGCGGGTGCCTGCGTGCGCGGCATCCCCCCTCTTTGTGCTCCTTTACCTCCTACAGGCTCGAGCCGGGAAGCGCCGAGGCGTCCCGGACCGATACGAGGGGTGGGAGGGGAGTGGAATAAAATGCCACCGACTAGAGAGAGCCGTGAACTGTGTAAGGCGCGCATTGGCTAGATGAGTGTGCTGGCTGTTGAGGTGAGAAAAGGGAGAGGGCAAGCACCTCGAGACACTCCAAGATAGGGGGGATGTCTTAATTCACAACTCTCATATCCCTACTCCTCTTTTTCTTTTTTCCCTTCTACCTCCTTTCGCCTGGTAGACCAGGACGCGGGAAAAGGAGAGAGGAAGCCAAGGGGGTGGGGAAGGGGGGGAGAGGGATGGAAACAACAAATGCTTCCGAAAAGCAACCAGGGAACGACGGAGAACCTGACCGGAGCCGCAACTAATGACTAGCTAGATGCCGCCTATCTGCGTGTACGCGCGCCGCCTACTACGCCACGTACGCGCGGTTCCGCTCGCGGATCGCCGCTAGGCACACGGAGTATCTAGGCGGGATACAGATATTGCACACACTTACGAGTGGGGATTAGAAGACTACTGTGTGGGAGAGATTTTACGTGCTCTTCAGCCACGAGATCCAACCCGTTCTCGTTCTACGTGGCCAGGGCCCGGGTGGCCGACAGGGTATCAGGGGTAGGGGGCTGGAGGGAGAGTATGATCGTGAAATAGGTAGGTGTGTTTATATATTATTACTATACAACGCTGCCCGAACCCATGTTGACAGAGTGTACTACCACATAGAAACGAACCCTCCTTTCCCATCGCGTCGTCCAGGACCCCGAGTTAATAACGTGCCGCCGGATTTTTCCCAACCCGTGCCACTATACCCCAAATGAGCCCGAGGTACGACCATACCGACCAGCTGGGCTGGGCTGGTCTTCCGGCCGACGACCGAAGAATGCCCATTCGTATATGGATATCTAGGATAAGGGGGCGGCTTCGGGCAGGTTCCCCACCTCCCTAGAGCCAACACCATCGGCCAGAGGCGTCGTGATTTCGAGTTCGTCCCGCGGCTAGGCGCAACGGAGCGCGCAGGTGCGGTTACGCGTGGGCGCGCTGTGTCTTACCTGCGCCAACCTAACACGGCACGGACGAAGACGCCGTTGCTAAACTAAGGTTGGCTATGGATTGACGGCGGGAGATTGGATTTGCTTAGGCTCGGAGATCCGATGACCAACCTACATATACACAGACATGCATGTGTGTAGGTGTTGGATTGCTGAGGGGGGAGTCGTGCACGTACGGCTGGTGCTGCTTGAAAGCGCGAGCATTTTCTGTAGGCATCGCAGACTATAGACGCTAACACGTCCCCCCTTTTCATATTTGGAAAGGAAAAAAAGGAAATTCAAAGACAATCAAAGGCCGGCTCGATGAGTTTGCCCTCGTCTGTGGAGTGAGAAGTAATAGCGCGGCGCCATACTCATATAGTCACCTCGCGCATCCTCCAGCTCCCGCTCTGAAGGAACGCAGCAAATCTTACGGACTTGTTCCTGTGATCTCTCCTCTCCTCCTCTCCCCCCCTCTTCTCAGGATGAAACGATCGAGGGCGTCGCGTACGGATACATGCGATGACATCCCCCCCGCAGGCTGCCCTGCTACAATAAGAATAAATAATAAGAGTAATAAAAAATGCTGGGGCGACGCGATGTCGCGGAGGTGGCCTGCCACGACGATGCCATGCCGGGGCCCGGGGGCGCGCCATTGGTCCACGACACACGTCTGGCCGTGGGCAGTCGACGATATTTACCGGCTTTCTTGCCCAAGCCCCCCCCTTCTCACCTGCCCCGTCTACCGACGTTGGGCGGACCTACCGACGCTAAGGGACGCTAGATGCGACCGTGCCTTGGTTCTGCCGATCTGGAGAATCGCGCGCGGATGTGCGTGTGTACGTATACCGAGGCAGAGGGGAGAAGCAGCAGAGAGGGCGGGACGCGGATGGGTTCGTGACGGTGTGGAATGAGGATCATCGCGCGAAGTCGATCGCGTAGCGGAGAGCCAAATCGAGCAGGAGATCAATAGGAGGGGGAGCCATTACATTACCTAGGCAGGTATGTACCCATATATGTACGTGTACATCATCCATCATCGTCGGTCGTTTGCATACATGAATGATGATGAGGTATATACATATAGGTAATATTAGATGCCGGTTGATTCATATTGTATGCTCCATACACAGTGTTACCTATCTGATACCTCCTATCCAATGTCAATGCGCGTGTGTGATAGGTATATATATGTGAATTACCTAGTAGCGAATATTGTATTCAGTATTAGTAGACATAACACGTACACACCGGGTGTAGGTCGAGATTTAGGAACAACGCCAGCCAATGGATGCCCCCGGTCGCCGACCCTGAAATTGCAGCAATTAAAGTCAGGGGAATGGACACACAACCTACCCCCATGTGGCATGTGCCTAGGGAGATCTGGATCGGGGTTTTTTTCTTCTTCTCTTCGTCCTTTTTCTTGGAATTTTTTTTTAATATTTAGCCCAGAATCCCCACGGAGCGGGTGTTACTTTTATTATGTACTAGTTTGTGTGTCCGCCACACAGCCTCTTCTCGTGCTGATCGTTGCTGGCCGGCTGCGAGCCATCCGGGATTGGGCTAGACAGCGGAGGGGCAGTCAGGATCAGTACCGTTCGCAACCTACGTCGGTACGTATCCATGGGAGGCAGATTGTTACGGAAGTTGTCATGTGGCAGTTCAGAGACGCACGCGTCGCATCCAGGGCCAAATCGAGAGAGATGGCACGTTTTGTTCGTTTTGAGGGTCGGGGAAAGTAGTGGGAGGAGGGAGGCCAATGCTGAGGATGATGATGACGGGATGCAGAGGAGAAGACTATGGTGTATATATAACAACAGAAATTCGACAGATATATACATGCGTGTATACCTGTTTGGTGGTCTCCTGCCATATCGGAACGGAAGAGGAATGAAGGTAAATATGCCCGGGGGGGGAGGTGGTGAATCGAGAGGAATGCAAGACTCCCGCTATTATCCTGCCTTTGTTGTTCCTGACCGGTTGGGTTGGTAGCGATGCGTCTGGCTTCCCTGCCCCTTCGCCGGAACGGGCACATATGTGACGTATCGTCGCTTTGAGCGGAACTCGCTAGCGGAAGCCTATAACTCTGGGCAGGAGGCGGTGCCAAAGATGGCCCTGGGAAACTGGATAGGGTCTTTGCCTCTGGCTCGCGGACGAGGGCCTAGAGGTAGGTAATGTCTTGATGAGAACGGGTGACGATGAGAATGATATGGACGGATGTCATTTGGAGAGGTACTCTGAGCAAAGACTGATGAGTACGTGTAGAGGAAGGCAACTTGAGAGGTGCCCAACTTCAACATCGGCCACACACACACACATACACACATACACACACACATCCCTCGGCCAGGTTACCTTCCAACTGATAGCAATTTCAGCGAGAATTAAAATAGCGCCGTACCTTGCAGTATCGTTGCAGTACCTTTTACAGTACCTTGCAGCGGTAGGCGGCACCGATCAGGCGTTGGCTCTCGACGGCCACCCGCCAGCACGCTAACCGCACCACTGCTGCCCGTTCGGGTTAGCCAGCTGGACGCATCTCGTACAAGGCTCGGCGACAGGATCCGCCGTCGACCCGTTCCTGGACAAGCGGGCAGCTCCCTGTAGAGGGGGGTGTCCATCCTGCCAGCCAGGCCCTGCCTGCCATCCCCCCTAAACGCTGGTCTGCTTGCAAACAATTAATTTCACCCTTTTCCTCCCCCCCCTTCGTCTTTTGTCTGTTCTCCTCCTTACACAATCCACCCTCGCGCCGTGTCCTCCGTCCAACTGAGAGTCTGAACGCTCTCTACCACATTCATTTGGAACCGCGAACCACGCTCGTTACGTCCGTTACGAACTAGAAGCACCAGACAATCTCTCCGTCAAAAGACACGCCGTTGAGACCACACCCTCCGAGCCGCAAGGAACCGAACACATCGCGACCGGTAAGTAGGGATGCGGATACATACATACACACAGACACCTCTCTATAACCACCGCAAGTCGCTTGGGCACCGGCATTGGCGAAACGTACACCGCCTTGTGCTGAATGCCCTCTGCTTCATGGTGCATATACACAGATGCACACACGGGTATACACACTATGTGTATATATATAATAGCGGGAGCAGTGTTTCGCGATGGCCTCGCTCTTTACACCTCGGCCTCCCGTTCCTCGAGATGCGGGGACTCTCACGTTAACCGTGAGCTCTCTCCAGCTTCGACCAATTGGGCTAATAGGATGCTTTCCTGCAGAACTGCGATCTTGGATCACCACCGCCAATTCTAATCTCGCCAAGCCTGAGCGACTGTCGATCAAAAGAGTGGCCTCCGCCTCCCAATCGATATGAGATCTTCAATTGTGAATGTTGCCATTGCGGCGTCTTTTGCTGCCGGCGCCGCCGCCCAGCCTCATCACCACATCCACCATCACCACAAGAAGAACGACAGGTCGCCGGTCGAGAAGCGCGATGTCGAGACCACCTATGTTCCCGCTACCGTCACCCAGTACGTGCTAGGCGATGAGCCGGTGTCCCCGGAGGAGGCCAAGGCTGGCTTGGAGAAGGGTCTTTTCATCGTCGTCGGCGAGACCACGCCCACTTTCACCCCACCTCCTCCCCCCGCCGTCACCAGCACCTCGTCCAAGGCCGATGCTGTCTTCATCCAGAAGGTCACAACCTCTTCCTCGGTCCCGCCGACCACGTCATCGTCTGCCGCCCCCGTTCCGACTTCGTCGAGCACCGACTACAGCACCGGTGCCACCGGCATCGACGCTGATTTCCCCAGCGGTAAGATTAAGTGCAGCACCTTCCCCTCCGATTACGGTGCGGTCGCGCTCCCTTGGCTCGGCCTCGGCGGCTGGAGCGGCCTCCAGTTCACCCCCGACTATAAGCTGGGCGACCTGGCGATCAGCTTTATCGAGACCGGTGTGGCCGGAATGGCGCAGAAGAGCGGCTTTTACTCGTACGCCTGCCCCGAGGGCTATGTGAAGACTCAGTGGCCCGCGGCTCAGGGGGCCACCCTCCAGTCCGTCGGTGGTCTGCTCTGCAATGCCGATGGTTACCTCGAACTCAGCCGGCCGTCGTACAAGAAGCTATGCGAGCCTGGCGTCAGCGGCATCACCATCCAGAACGACATGAAGAAGAACGTCGCCATCTGCCGAACTGATTACCCCGGTAGCGAGTCCATGGTGATCCCGGTTGACGCCCAGCCCGGCTCGACCCGTGCCTTGGCCAATGTCCAGTCTGCCCAATACTACAAGTGGGACGGCAAGGACACGACTCTGCAGTATTATGTTAACCAGCCCGGCGTGTCGGTCGAGGACGGTTGCGTGTGGGACTGCGACCAGGACCACGACGAGTGCGGCAACTGGGCCCCTACCATCATCGGTGTCGGCGAAGCCGCAGACGGCAACACGTACATCTCCATCTTCCCGAACAAGCCCACGAGTGTCGCGAAGCCCCGCATGAATATCGAGATTCTCGGCGACGTCAGCATCCCCTGCTACTTCAAGAACGGCGAGTACGCCATCGGCGAGAATGGATGCACCGTAAGTTTTGCCTCGCCTGCCGTGGGTGTTTGTGTGCTTTTGCTAACCTGCTCAGACTACCATCCCCAAGGGTGGCAAGGCCGTGGTTAAGTTCAGCGATGCCTAGCGGACGAGGGCGGTGCGGAGGTTGATTTTTGCGATCAGGCTCGGGTTTGGATAACTATACCTACTGCTTTCTAATGGACTTTTTTTCATCTTTCACTCCACGGGGACGGACTATCAGGCCCGCTCGTCATGCGACGGCATGAGGAACAACCTAATTTTTATTGTGTATACTTGTGGCATCGCGGATACGTGGTAGCAAGCATCTCTTTTCGTATTTAACCGCGCGTCAAACGTGGCTTGCATGGGCATCGAAGGCACGGGGGCGTTTCGCGAGAATATCTGGGTGGCGGGTCTCCGAGTCGATGTTTGATGCAATATAGCCGTGGACGTGCCGACGACCCGTATCCGCGCGGGTGCGGAGAGGAAAGGAGAGCCGCGATTCTAGGCGAGTACAAAATAGGCCGAGTTGGATGGGAGAGCCGCGGCGCGTACGTTGGGTCGAGGCGAAGCTAGAGAAGAGAGGTGGGGAGCAGCTGCACCGGCACCAGCACGGCGGCTGGGTTAGAAAGGAGCGCTCTGCCGCCGGATTAGAGCTAATCGCGCATCAACGTCGACCAGCAAGTTTTTTTTTATCCAATTCCATTTGTCATTCTGCGCCGTCCCCAGTACCCTTCTTTTTATGATTCGTGCCCCGAGAAGCCGCGGCGACCGGGGGAGGCGGCGGATATCTATCTATCTGATCGCCGGGGCCGAGCCCGGTCGGCGCGGCTTTTTCGTTGCTATACGCAAATTCACTTTTTAAATCTTCTCCGCGTCGTAGCGATGAGCGGCCAGCCAGATGAAACCGTGCCCGTAGATGATGGTCTTAACCTACGGCGTTCTCGCCGGATCGGGTGCCTTTTTCTCTCGCCTTGTCGGTGCTGCCTATCTGAAGACAGGAGGGAGCCGCCTGCGTAACACACGTAACACACACCGTCTTTGGCGTGCAGTACCAAGGCTGAGGAGGACGGGAGAGGTGCAGGGATGTCGAGCCCTCTACGTACGGACTTATTGGGGTGGGAGAGTGAGACACCTGCAACTGGAATAAGCCGGCCGGGCTACTGTGGCACCTAAGGGTGTTGACATTACACCGCCAGACATGTGTGTGCTTCCCTTGCCTCTTCTTTTCCCCGTCTTACCCCGCTGGTTTGAGGCTCATATCCTAATATGCTGGAGGTAAGTATCTAACGTAGATATACACGTGTGGGTACTCCTCCCCTCCTGTTCCCAGGTGTTGGGCTAAGGTTCTGATGTAAGAACACCGCATCTAGGAAGAAGCCGGCGGCATCTAACCAGAGTTACCTATTGAAGAAGAAAAAGAAGTCTATATATGCCTGTACTCGTTGAATTTATCTGTGCATATACCTACTTGTATACCTGCCTACCTGGTCGGTAGGTAGTACCTATATGTTGCCTATGCCAAACCGCCAGAACGATTTACCTACGAGACGGGCAAATCTCGGAGGGGAATCGGCTGGGTTGGATCGATCCATCCTCGTCTTCGTCTCCGCAGAGCCACCCCAGGTCTAGACGAGACTTATCGTCTCCTTACGTCGCCTCCACGCGCCGTACTCACACACGGCGATACCCTTGTCCGCTATGGCGCTCTTATCTACGCGCTATTGCGCGCTACCAGGCGCTAGAATCGCCAAGCTATCCTCGTAATCGGAGGCGCGTTCTTGAGACTGTGAACAGTCGCCGACGCTTCGCCCATCCGTCCTTGGGCTGCGCTCGCTCGTCCGCGTCCCTCTACATCGTAGACGAGTATTGTGCGCCGGGACATGAGTATCGCTGCTGGCTGGGTGGGACTACTGTTCGTGCCCCCGCTGTCCCGAGGTGTATTACAGCTAAGGTCAGTTCGTCGGTACTGACTCGGACCTCCTCCTCTTGGTACCTTTGGAGCTTCGGGGGGTTGGCTGCCATTGATCTGCTTTCGGCTGCTCGCCGCCCTCGCCTAGGGTTAGAGTTGAGTTGGTTATCGCGCCCCAAACTCGATTTCCCAACTATAAGTCTGCCGACCCTCCCTGTCTCGGAGACGCTCCTGTGAGAGCTGCGGTGGCGTTTTTTCCCACTTCGGCGCACGCAAAACGTCTTAGTGGGCTCTGCCCCCCTCCCCTCCATCTCCCCTCTCTTACCTGACCTCCAGCCCGGCGTCCTTCATATATACCCAAGTCGTTTCCACCGCGGCGAGGGCCTCGAAGCCATGTCGCTCCAGCGTGTCGCCTCCCTCGAGACCTTCGTCAACGTTCCCGGCGAGAGTCAGCGGCGGTCCCCCCGGGGCTCTGTGTCTTCCGCGGTCGCCTCCGAGAGAGCTCGTAAACTCACATTCAATCCCCTCCCGGAGTCGTGGCATCCCGTCTTCGATGACGACCAAGATCAGCATCTCACCCAGCCGGTCGGCGCCTTCGAGGTCCCTCAGTGGAAACGAATACGTGAGTGCTCGCCCCGGCTCTGTCGAGGTCTACGTCAGGTAGGATACTGATACCCGGGCCCGATGTCCAGTCCAGGTCGTGGCTGCGGTCATAATTTGTCTTCTCGCCTCTGGCATAGTGTTCGGATATGCCGCTTTAAAACCAGTCCTTAAGGACGAGGGTGCATATCGGGAAACCTGCAAAGGCGAAGACGCATGTGTAGAAATCCGTCTCAATCTTATGTTTACCGTCGCTGCCGTCACCACCAACGTTGCCGCCCTACTTGTTGGTGCTATCCTCGACTATTACGGCCCCCGGGTCTGCGGAATTCTCGGTGCGATATTCCTTAGCACTGGTGCGCTCTCCGTGTCCTTCGCGAAGCACCTCCCCTTCGATGCGTTTATCGTTGGCTACTTGTTCCTCGCTCTGGGTGGACCTTTTACCTATATATCCTCCTTCCAGCTATCCAACGCCTTCCCCCGTCACTCGGGGTTGATCCTAGCGCTCCTGACAGGAGCGTTCGATGCGTCGAGTGCCCTCTTTCTTGTCTATCGTATTATCTACGAAAGAACCGAGGGCTCCTTCGGGCACCACCAATTTTTCCTCGCCTACCTCGCGGTGCCACTAATAATACTGGTGTTCCAACTCACGCTCCTCCCCAAGCACTCGTACAAGACGGTGGGGGAAATGATCGAAGAGATCGAAGCGCCCGCGTTCAACGGTCCCTCTACTATAGACGTCGCTGCCCACAGCGACGATCAGGTCGACGAGCATACCGCGCTCTTGCGCGAGGAGCAGCGTGAGAGTGTCGTGCGCGGCATAGAAGAGCTGCTAGGCCCCAACAAGACAGACGTAGACAAGCAGGCCCGCGAGGAGGAGGCCAAGAACGACAGAAGCGGCGTATGGGGCGTCATGCATAACCGCTCGGCGCGGGAGCAGATCTGTTCGCCGTGGTTCGTGCTGATCTGCCTGTTCACCATCGTGCAGATGACGCGGATCAACTACTTCGTGGCCACCGTCCGGGAGCAGTACGAGGTGATCTTCGGGTCGGAGGCGGAGGCGGCCGCGCTCAACCACTTCTTCGACGTCGCGCTGCCGCTGGGCGGGATCGCGTCCGTCCCGCTGACGGGGGCGGTGCTGGACCGGACGAGCACGGTGACGGTGCTGGCCGCGCTCGTCGGCCTCGCGGCGCTGATCGGCGTGCTCGGCGTGCTGCCGGACGCGCGGGCGGCGTACGCCGGCGTCGGCCTGTTCGTCGCGTATCGCCCCTTCTACTACACCGCGGTCAGCGACTACAGCGCCAAGGTGTTCGGCTTCGCCACCTTCGGCCGCGTCTACGGCGCCGTCATCTGCCTCGCCGGCCTCTTCAACCTCAGCCAGAGCGCCCTCGACCTCCTCCGCCACCGCGCCTCCGCCGGCGACCCCGTCCCCGTCAACCTCCTCCTGCTCGCCGTGGGCCTCGTCGTCGGCCTGTGCCTCGTCGGGTATGTGGCCGCGCAGGCCGCGCGCCTCCGGGCCAAGAGGAGGGCACGTGAGGGACGCGGCTTCCGCTAGCTAGGGCCCGTCCTTCTTTGCTCTTCTCTTTCTTTTCCTTCTCGATCTCTGTCTCGGTCCGGGTACCGCGCAGCAAACCACTCGTTGGTACGATAGTGTCCGATCAGTTTCGAGGCAGACAAGGTGAGTGGGAATGGGTTTCTCTTTTCTGGATCCTTACGCAGCATGATATTCCCCTTCACATACCGATAACGTAGGTATACGTCTCTTGGCGTTACGTATTTCTCGTGGTCTGGAGAAGGGGTAGGTTGGAAGGCGGGCTAGCATGGGACGACTGTTAGGTAGCTTACCTACCTATGCGTAGCTGCGTGCGTGTAGATATCTATGCAGGTAGAGGTAAGACGAGTGGGAATGGACGTAACCGGGTTAATCCGTGGGTTGTTACCACATGTCGGCTCGGGGAGCTCGTTACGATTGCACGCGAAGCCCCTCGAGCGGGCCAGTAGCCTCAGTATACAGTGGCCCCTCTATATCCTGCGACCTTTAACTCCGGTTCCATGAGAAAGGCAACCAGGAAGCGCTCGCTACGACGAATGACTTTCTCGGAGCAAGCAAAGCATTTATAAGCTTTTTATTTCTTCTCTAAATTCGCGCCATGTTTCTCCTCAGCAGGCCTCTCTACCCGCGGCGCCGAAGACGCTGTCCCTATGCTATGCCACCACAGCCGCCTTCTATACCCGAACTGCCTGGCCCCCGGTCCCCCCTGTCTAGTCGCTGTCCGCCCGCAAGGACGCAAGTAGTTCCCTCCGCGGAGGCCTTTTCACACGGGCCCGCTGCTTCCCCCCCCCTCTCTCTCTCTGCCGCCCTCGGCCTCGCGCCGGCGTTTCCGGGGGGGAGGGGGGAATAAACGCTCGGCGCCGCGGCCCGCCCGTGCCGGTTTGCTGGGCTCGCGGGGTAGGGCAGCCCTGTTGGTGCTGGCGTCGGGCCGTTCGTCGCTAGTACGTGTGCGCCGAGGCGGCGCGGCTGTTTCCCCCTCGGCGGAGGGGACACCTGCATACGTGGCGCGGCGGCGAGCGCGCGGCGCAGTGGCCCCCAGTCGGGAGGTACTGGTTCCTGACAGTATTCCCGTTTCCGTTTGTCTCTCTCTCTCTCACTCTCTCCCTCTCCTTCCCCTCTCCCCCTTTCTCGGCTGTGTGCGGGGGAAAGAGTTCTTTTTTATTGATTGAAAAAAAGGAGAATAGACGAGGCAAGACGCCTCACCCCTCCTTCGTCGCGGCCGGCGGCTTCGGCTCCTCGTCGTCGACGTCGAACCCGAGGGCCTCGAGCTCGCGCACGAGCTCGTTTATCTTGATCACCTTGGCGATCTGCTCCGGCAGCAGCGCCTCGCCGCCCTCCTTCTTGCTCTTCAGGTCGCGCGCCTGCTTCAGCTTCTTGCGCAGGTTGCGGGCCTTCTTCTCGCGCTCGACGGCGGGGTCGACAGGGGCGGGGGTAGCAGCGTCCTCGGTGTTCTTGTCCTCCCCGTCGGCCGAGGCCCCCGCGGCCGACTTGGCCTTGCGCCGGGCCTCGCGGCGCTTCGCGTTCTTGCTGCTGGCGGCGCTTTCCGCCGCGTGCTGCGCCGGCTTCGCGTCCCGCAGGCCCTCGGCGCCCGGCACGCCCCCGCCCTTGCCCCGGTTGCGGAACGACTCCGCCGTCCGGTTCTTGTACAGCTCGACGTCCTCCGGCGGCCGGTACCCAGGCCGGATCTTGATTGCCTTGCGCGTCGTGCCGTCCGCGCGCACCGACTCTGGGATGTGGCGCTCGCCGCTGTTCTCGTCAGTGACGATGCCCGAGGTTGACGGCTCGGAGGGCATGGCAGGCGAGTCACGAGGGAGGGAGGGAGGGAGGAGGGGCGGGACTTGGGTCGACGCGGGATGGGGAGGGAGTTCCCGCGCTCGTTTGTTCTCGCCGGGCGGAAATGGACGGATTCGCCGCGTCTAAATTCAGAGGTTCTATGTAGAACCAGGGAGACTGGTGGACGGGGAGATGGCGAGGTTCGAGAGGCGGGCAGGGCACGGCGGTGCGCCGTGTAGGAGGTAAGTTAGGTAAGTAGAAGGTAGGTCTTGGTTGTTGGCATCAGCCACGGAAAAGATGGGGGAGGTAGATACTTTGAAGCCTAATCGTCGACGGGGCCAGCCGGCGGTCGGATAGGAACCTTAGAGAAGAGAGGTACCAGGCGTGTTGGCAAACGGCCCCACCTCGCGTAGGTATGAGATACCTGTACATGGTACACAGCAATATGCACCTCGGGTGGCACCTCTTCAGGTACCTGAGTACATAGATACGTAGTACCTGACAGCTTGCTCCATTTCCTTCATCGGCGGATCGGGAGTCGGAGACAATCGCAGCCAATCACGGCCCGCTATTCTCAATGCTATGGGATTTGTTGGTGAAAAAGGTACTTGGGTACTTGGTGCTGCCCCTTCCACCCATCTTCCTCCCTCCCATTCCGTCTTCCCACCTCATACGAGAAAAAGAAGCCTTGCTTTGGCGACAACGACTGCAATCCTCCCTTCTTACCGTGCCTCGAGCTCTCTCCCACGCCCTTCGTATCTGCGTACGCGCTCGCACAGAATTCGCCATGGTATGGGCCTACGTCCTGTCTTGACCGCTGGTATGATGGCGACGGCGCACATGAACTAACCGCGCAGCAGGCCGGCCGTCCGATTTACAAGCAAGTCGTCACTTCGATGCCGCGGCCACTGGCCCCGTGGGACTGACCGTTTCTCGCGCAGCGCTATCTTCCGAAACAACTACACTATGCTCGGCGTCGTGTTCGTCTCGGCCTTCGCCTTCGAGACGTGCGCGGCCTGAGATATTCCACGCGACAGGGTGCAGCTGCTGACGGGGGGTGACAACAGGATATACGACAGCACCATGAACAGGATCTGGGATAACATCAACAAAGGGGTATGTGTGTCCATTGCTAGGGCGCCTAGCCCCCGAGACGGCCGTCTACTCACATGCAGAAAGCGACAATGGAAGGACATCCGGTCCCGATACGTCGACGAGGAATAGATGACGCCGGTCGAGCCGTGAGGTGGGAAACGGGGAGATAAGGGGCAGCGCAGAAGTCAGCGGCGGTCGACGACGGCGGGATTGCGCACTGCGGGAAAATCAAAAACTGCACGACTGTATGTTACCGGCGGAAGAAGAATATGACGCAGCCCACGCCAATCTGCATGGATGATGTACGCCCGTCCCCGCCCGCGATAGTGATTTGATAGACCGTATCTAGGGGCATTGCACCCCGGACGTAACCTGCCTGTGGTGATGATCGATATGGGTAAACTCCTGGAGTAAATTCTGCACTCGTACGAGATCCTACGCTACGCATGTAGGCTCGGAGGCTTCATCATGGCCGGCGTCGTTTGTAAGCAGCGGCGGCATTAGAAATCTAGCACCCGGCCTTTCTCGCTCACCTCCTAGAGACCTACCTAGGTCTTGGAGACGAACCGCCGAGGCTGCTGACACATGAGGGGGGAAGGGGGGGGAGAGATATCTACCCGTTGATAAGTCGCATGCCGGTCGGCCAGCCTACCTACCTACTTACCTACCCCTAGGTGCGTATGCACGAACGGCCTTGACTTGACTTCCGCGGGGGAGGGGGGTATAGAGGTGATGTTAGGTGGCACAGAAGGCCGCCTAAGTTAACTGGGTAGTATTGTTATTATCATTAGTTATTATTATTATTTGGTATTTCGGGCACCGGACATCTTGCGTGGACGCTATGCGTGCATGCAGGATACCTAGGTAGGTACCTAAGGTTATCGTATGTGTCTACCTGCCTACCTAAGGTACTTAATATCCGGTTAGGTGCCTATAGCAGGTATAAGTAAGTTACGTAATGTACATCACGCTACATACAAGTTCCCTTACCCTCCACAGGAGGTAGGTACCTACCTAGGTGGTAGGTTAAGGTAGGTTAGGTAGGTACCTAATTATAGGTGTAGCAAGATGGGTTATCTGCCTATCTTGCCTCATACCGGGCTAGGAGGGGTAGATAGGATCCTTGGGGGGGCCCTCGAGGGCGGCGTACCGACATCCCTCCATCCCTCCCTTTGTACGAAGTGGACAGGGACGTGGAGGGAATCGTATCGCGACCGGGTCCAATCGCGGGCGTGGGGTGCCTGAGTCATCAACGGCAATCTCAGCACCTCCAGAGGCACAGGGCACCGTAGGAGCAGGATGCAACCCAGGTTGACGCGGCGTCTGCCTCCGGGCGGACGGGGTAGCATACGGAGCGTAGCGCACGGGAGCGTAGCGCGGGTAACAGAGCGGCCGTAGGTGGTACAGGATGCCTGTGTGACCTCCCTAGTTGGGGAGGTAGCGAGGTTGCGGCACTGGGAGCGGACTGGAGCGGACTGCGAGAGCGGCCGCGGTGCGCTGCCCTGCGCTGCCCTGCGCTGCCCTACCCCATGCCTAACCCATGCCGAGTGCACCGAGTGCGTACCGGGCGCGTGCCTCTCCTCTGCGGGCTATGACTTGCGAAGTTGGAGAGGCGAACTAAGCAGGGTGTGACGACTGGCTGCAGGAAGCCTGACCTCACCACCACCTTATCGCCGTCGCGATAAGGGACCTCTGCGAAACTGGGGGCGTTGGAGGGGGAGATGTAGGTACCTTATTGGGAACACCAAGTCACTCGTCAGGTCAGTTCAACCCGTCAGGCCGCTTCGTCCCAGCTCACAACTTGACACCACAAACCGCTTCCCAACCTCCGCCAGCCTGCCGAGCTCGCCTTGTCCTGACGCTCCTATAAAGCCGGCCCCTCGAGTCTCTCGCTCTCTCTTTCATCCTACATTAGACGGCCCTGTCCGTCTTATCGCAGCCATATATACCCAACCCGAAGCCGCGCGCGTGCACGCACCCCTCGTACCTCGTACATCCGCCCGCCCTCGCATAGGTAATATTAACCTACCAACCCCCTCCCGTCTTGAGCACACGGCACGCCACATACCGACGTCTAAGGTAGAGAAACGGCACAGCTCCCCACACCTGTCGCCACCGACCTTGCCTCGCTGAAAGTCGAGTCCACCGCTTCGAGGCGGGCCCGCACCATTCTTCCTTTCCTCCTTCGGAATCCGATCGCTGGCCCCCGACTGTTCGCACCCGCGAGACCACCTGACGCTAATAATGATAACTCGTCGAGCCTAACCATGGACACCGGAATGTCTACGCAAGAGCTGCAGCTCTGCCAGCACCTGATAGAGCTGCCGAGACGCTATGGGTACCGATACGATGAGTCCGCCTGCCGAGATCTCTTATACAACCTCTTTTGGTCCATGGCCGGTGGCCGCCCCGAGCACATGCGGTTGTTCTTCCCGGACGGTAAGCTTACCCCCAAGAGCGCCTTGAAGCTCAGAGAGGCCCAGGGCGCTGTCGAGGGCGCCGAATACACCGAGGCTGCCCGGGGCAAGGCCTGCGGCCACATATTCAGAGCCGGCGAGGCCTCTTATGGCTGCAAGACGTGTAGCACCGATGAGACCTGCTGCCTCTGCAGCAAGTGCTTCAACGCCACCGATCACACGGGCCACATGGTGAGGGTGTCCATCTCCCCGGGCAACAGCGGCTGCTGCGACTGTGGCGACCCCGAGGCTTGGAAGACTCCCATGTTCTGCACCATCCACAGCGAGCGCGAGGAGGACCGGTCGAAAGGGAAGGGCAAGGAGATTGCCGGGCTCCCCGAAGAGGTCGTCTCCAACATTCGCATGACCATCTCCCGCGTCCTCGACTTCATCTGCGACGTCATCTCCTGCGCCCCCGAGCAGCTTCGGCAGCCAAAGACGAAGGAGTCTATCGAGCAGGACGAGAAGATGTCCCGGCTCGCGTCGACCTACTGCGGTGGGGACGTCGACTCCCCCGAGGAGTACGCCTTGCTGCTCTGGAACGACGAGAAGCATACGGTGAAGGAAGTCCAAGACCAAGTCGCGCGAGCATGTAGCACCACCTCCAAGGAAGGCTACAACCGAGCCGTGGAGACAGACTCGATTGGCCGGAGTATCTTGAAATACGACACCAACATCGAGAAGCTCCTGCGATGTGCCACCATCCTGGAGCACATCAAGATCACCGTCACCATCCGGTCCTCGCGGGATACGTTCCGGGAGCAGATGTGTGGCACCATGATCGATTGGCTGAATGATATCTCGGGCTGCGTCGTGGGCAGCGACCATAATATCCTCCGCATGGTCGTCTGCGAGGAGCTCCTGAAGCCTTGGCGAAAAGGAAGCCCCGGGACGCATGCCATGCCCGGGAAGGATGGCCTCGAGGACGAAGCAAGGCTCGAGTACGACCCCCTGGAGGCCCATACGGCCACCATATTCATACAACGGGCAAGGTTTCTTGCCGAGGCCGGTAACACAACCACCCTGAACGAATTCCTCGATTCCGACGGCGACGAAGATGACGACGACGACGACGACGAAGATATGGATGGTGGTAACCGAACTCCCTCGAGCGGGGATGAGGACAATGACGACGATGAGGATGATGACGATGATGTTATGATGGTAGATGCGCGCCCCGACCCAAACGTAGATGCAAACGTGCCGGAGTGGATGGGGCCTGCGGTCGAGTCTCTCGAGGAAGAAGAAGCCACGATAGCTGGGTATCCGCCGCCTCCGCCGCCTCCGCCACCTCCGCCGGCACCGCGACGAGCGCCGCGAGACAGAGACCTCACACCGTCGGACTCGGATACCGCCGAGCCGTTAATCGCCCAAACCGTGTATGCGAAAGCGAACCTCGAAATCCCCAAAACGCCGGGCCTATCCAGGGCAGGCAGGTCTGGTCCTCCGCGGCCGGGACGGTACTGGGTCGAAACGCCGGCGGCCTACATGGAACGCGATAGCGTACACCCCTTCGAGGATGTTTTCCAACGAGTCCGGCTCGACTGGCTGATCCTCTTTGATCTGAGGATGTGGAAGAAGGTTCGCAACGACCTGCGCTCGCTGTACATCTCTACGGTCGTTACCATCCCCGAATTCAAGAGGGTCCTAGGCCTTCGGTTCGCGGCTCTATATACGACCTTGGCCCAGCTCTACCTAATCGGGGACCGGGAACCAGATCACTCCATCATCAACATATCTCTGCAGATGCTGACCACGCCTTCTATCACGGCCGAAGTCGTGGAGAGGGGCAATTTCCTGACAACCCTCACGGCCATCCTTTATACCTTCCTGACCACTCGGCAAGTTGGACACCCGTGGGAGGTCTCCTCGAGTGCCGTGCTTGGCTTCGACTCGGGTTCGGTGACGAACAGGCGGATGTATCATTTCTACGTCGATCTGAAGTTCCTCCTCGGCTCACCCCACGTCCAGGAGCGCATGAGAACCGAAGAGAGATATTTGATGCAATTTCTCGACCTCGTAAAGCTTCATCAGGGCATCTGCCCGAACGTCCGGGCGGTCGGCGAGCATGTAGAATATGAGACCGACAGCTGGATCGGCGCCTCGTTGATGACGCGCGAGATAAACAGGCTTTGCAGGCTTCTGTCCGGCTCTTTCCGCAACCTCTCGGAGCAGGATTCGCTGTATCTGTCGAAAGCGATCAGAACTACGGCCAAGAGCGTTATCCTCAACTCGATTGGAGCCGAGCGTGCGAGGTTCACCCAGGCCGAGATCAAGGATGAGGTGCGATTCAAAGCTCTGAGCGACTTCGAGTTTGCTGGCGAAAGCACGAAATTCGAAGTGGTCAAATTCAACGTCGAGGAACAGCCCATCAGCTTCCATCACGCACTACATTACACGCTGTCGTGGCTAATCGAATGCGGGAAGCACATGTCCCCGCAACAGATGAGGTCGATCTTGAGCTTCAGTCTGCAGGAGCTCAAGATGAAGCCCAGGTTGATGGGTCGGAAGATCATGCCCAGGCGCGACTACGGTCCTGAGGATTATCTCATGGCCGCATTCGACTATCCCTTAAGGGTCTGTACCTGGCTCGCCCAGATCAAAGCTGGAATGTGGGTGCGCAACGGCATCAGCCTACGGCATCAGGCGGGGACCTACAAGAACATCCTCCACAGAGACGTCACCCACGCCCGGGACATCTTCCTACTCCAGACCGCGATGGTAGTTTGCAACCCGAGCCGCGTCCTCGCCTCAATTGTCGATCGTTTCGGGATGGAAAGCTGGGTCAAGGGATTGTTCGAGGTTACTTCGACTGCTCAGGACGAGATCCAGCACCTGGACGTTGTCGAGGACATGATCCACTTTCTCATCGTCTTGCTGAGCGACCGAACTTCCCTTATCCCCGTCCAGGACGAGCAGCAGACGTACCTGATGGCGATGCGTCGGGATATCACTCACGTCCTTTGCTTCCGGCCTCTATCTTTCAGCGAGATATCCGGCAAGCTTCCCGAGAAATTCCACGAGCAGGAGGATTTCCAACGTGTCCTAGACGAGGTCGCAACGTTTAAGGCTCCCGAGGGCGTCTCGGACGTGGGCACATTCGAACTCAAGCCGCATTTCATCGAGGATATCGACCCGTACATTGCCCACTACAATAAAAATCAGCGAGAGGAATCGGAGACCGCCTACCGCAAGTGGATGGCTAAAAAGACGGGGAAGCCGGTTGAGGAAATCGTCTACGAGCCCAAGCTGCGGCCGATAGAGTCCGGTGCCTTTGTAGAACTGGGACAATTTACTAGGACGGGGATGTTTGCGCAGATTATCTACTACTGCCTCCTATACCCCCTTGTCGCTGCTAAGCTGACGCCCAAAGTTCCGTTTACTAGAATAGAGACGTTCTTGCAAGTCGTGTTGCATCTGATTCTCATCGCAATTTCCGAGGATCAGGCAGGCGAGGGCGAGTACGTGGCTCGTAAAGGATCTTTCGTGTATATTGCCTTGAGCGTACAGGCTCGCAGCAATTTCATGCAGGATGCCCCTACGCGAAAGACTATCGTTTCTCTCCTGGACATGATGTCGACCAAAGAGGAGTTCAAAGCCTGCCATGCCAAGATCGGCCTGATTCTGAAGAGGATGAGGCAGAGATATCCGATCCAATTCGATATAGCGTACTCGCTACTGGGCATACCCTTGGATCGGATCGACACGGCCTCTCCGGCAAGCACCCACAACGCCGAAGAGGAGCGCGAACGGAAGAAGAAGGCGGCACTAGATCGACAAGCCAAGGTCATGGCGCAGTTCCAGCAACAGCAGAAAAGCTTCCTCGAAATGCAAGGCGACGTTGATTGGGGCGAGGAAGAGTGGGACGACATGGACGACGACAAGCCCGCGGAGGAGCAAAAGAACTTTTGGAAATACCCGAAGGGCACCTGCATACTCTGCCAAGAAGATACCGACGACGGCCGCCTCTACGGAACGTTTGCGCTCTTTACCGAGAGCAAGATACTCCGGCAGACCGATCTCCAAGACCCCGACTTCGTTAGAGAAGCGGCGAGCACGCCGGCGAGCCTGGATCGTTCGGCCGAGTCGATACGCCCGTTTGGCCTCGCGCACGAGAATAGAGAGATGGTGGAAAAGATCAACGCACAGGGACACACGTTCCTCTCTGAGAAGCAAGGGCTTGGCAGGGGCTTTCCGGCCAAGCTCTCGCGGTCGGGGCCCGTATCGGTGGGATGCGGTCACATAATGCACTTCAGCTGCTTCGATGTGTACATTGACGCAACCACCCGCCGGCACGGACACCAAATTGCTCGCCATCACCCCGAATCTCTGGAGCGCCTAGAGTTCGTGTGTCCTCTCTGCAAGGCCCTCGGCAATGCCTTCCTCCCTATCACCTGGGACGGCAAAGAAGAGTCTTACCCCGGGATTGTACAGTCTGACTCCGACTTTTCCTCCTTCGTGGATGCGTACTCGAGCGGGCTCCATTATACGGCAGCAGTGACACACGATCAGGCCCAAGCTGCGTTCGTCAATTACCTACGGGTGAAAATGCCTACAAGCTTGCTCGATAGAGTCGGCGCCAGCTCGGTGTCCGTCAACGTTTGGGATCCCGCCAGCATACGGTCTGCGCCGTCAGTGCCTTCGTCCGCCGGTGATACTTTCTCTCTCATGACTACCCCTGGGTCTAGCATCCGGTCACATTCCCCGCCAGAGACCCAATCTGGCGACAAGGAGCTCATGTCGATCTATCGGCGCCTACGCGACACACTCCGCAAGAATAAACTAGCGGCACCAATCTGCACCATCGACAATAGGGATGACGAATTATATGCTAGCGGCACGTTGACGCGATCGGTTGGCTTCTCGATCTCTGCGGCCGAGATCCAACAGCGTGGCCTCGAAGCCCAGTACGGTATGACGCTAATCGAAAGGATGCCGGAGCAACTTCTCGTCCAGCTTCGAATTCTTTCCGAGACGGTTTCGTCTTACATCGCAGTCGGGGGCCTTCGGTCTGCAGGGGACAACCAGATCGAGAAGGAGTTCCGGAAAGCTAGCGAACGCCAGCATTGCCAGCTCTTTGTATCGCAGCACTTCGCCCAGGAGAGAGGGGTGGGCCGCCAGCTGTATGACGAACATCCGCCATTACTAGACCAGGATATCTTCATCTTCTTATGCGAGTCTATGTTTGGCCTCTCCGTCGCGCAAAACGTGGACCCGATGCATCTGGTTCGACTTTGCTACCTCGCCGAGATAGTTAAAGTCGTGTATCACATCTCTAGAAACCTCCCGATATCCAAGTGGCTCGAGTACAGGAGCAACCGGAATGTGGAAGACCCTGCGATGGGTAACTTTGCCAACTTCTTTCATTACATTGCCGTAGCTTGGATGAACGTCCACCACGACTCACTCCCGCTCGAAGACCTACCTAACTTAGGATTCGACCAACCAGTTCTGAACAGCTTAGAGAGCCTCCATTCTTTTGTCAAGAAGTACGCGCTAGTGTTCTTGCGAAAGGTGACGGTCCTCCTCCACGTTCATCATGGCGTCGACTTCAACAATCACATTTCGCCTGTGCCCGAGGCAGACGAACTCACCCGCCTGACAGCCGCCCTGAGACTGCCATCTTTCGACGAGATGTGCACATCCCTGACGTCCCTAAGCGCCCAGTTTGGCTGGCCAGCACGAACACAAGCTACCGTTGACGGCTGGCTTCGCCACCAAATAACTTGGCCCATGGCCGGAGGCAGAGATCTCGCTGAGGCGCTGCCTAGCTCCGCCCGCCTAAGCCATCCTGGAATCTTCGAGCTTGTCGGTCTACCCAAGAACTTCGACACTCTGATCGAGGAGTGCGCCAGACGAAGGTGCCCGAAGACTGGGAAAGATTTGGCAGACGCCATCGTCTGCCTCCTGTGTGGGGATATTTTCTGCGGGCAGACCATGTGTTGCCTGATGGAATATCAAGAACCGGGGCCAGACAAGCCTACGATGAGGATCGGGGGCGCGCAGCAACACATGCTGTTCAAGTACGTTACAGACAGTTTTCTCAGCCAAGATGTAAAATTTACCCGATTACCTCTGCTAACACGTGTAACTTTTCATCAGGTGCCAGGGCAACATCGGGCTGTTCATCAACATCCGCAAGTGCACCATATTCTACCTGCACCGCACGTCGGGCAGTTTCAGCAACGCACCGTACATCGACAAATACGGCGAGGTAGACACCGGACTGCGGCACGGGCGGCAGCTCTTCCTCAACCAGAAGCGCTACGACTCCATGATGCGCAACATGTGGCTCAGCCACGGGATCCCCAGCTTCATCAGCAGGAAGCTAGAGGCGGATATCAACAACGGCGGGTGGGAGACTATCTGAGTCGAGACTGAGCTAGGGGCCTAGGGTAGCAGAACAACGGGCGGGAATGAGACGGGTGGGGGGGCGGCCAACTCGGTGCATATGGGAAAGCCGAGAGGAGGTAGATATACAGCCGTAGAGGAGGATGGTCAGGCAGAAAGAAAGAAAGACAGAGGGGAGAAAGGAAAGGAGTGTATCGCACTAGTGAGAATCGGCAACGGCGTCGCGGATATTGTATGTATGTATGGTTTCTGTCCCCTCTCCACCCCTCCACCCCTCCTCCCTCTCCTTCCCGCTATTCTCGCCGTCTTGCTCGACGGCGCCGGGAGGGGAGCCGAGAGAGCTAGCTAGCTAGCTAGCTAGCTTTAGCTCTCCCTTCTCCCCGACCACGCCGCAAGAGGGAAAAGGAAACCGGGCCCGGGGGGAGGAGGAGGAAAGGAAACACACGAGGTCTGTCCTGTATATGAATTATCGCAAGCACTTGTTTCCCTCGCGCCGCCGCGTTGCTCTACGCACGCGTGCCGCTATACATAGGTACTGCCTGCCTGCCTGCCTGTCTGTCCGTCTATCTACCTGCCTCTCGTCGAGAGCGCCGGGGACGTGACCCGGCACGGCCGGCCCCGCCCCGTAGAAGTCGACGAGGCTCTGGGGGCCCGGCTTGGCCCGCGTATGTGTCTGCGCACGGTCGGGCTGCTGTTAGTTTGCTAGTAGTAGTGATGACGCTCGTCCCATCCGTCAGCCGCTCCCTAGAGATCCTGGACGCCAGTCCCCGGCCGCGCGTGTGGGCAGGTTCACCGGTTTGCCCCGGGCCCTTCTACCCGTCCATCTGTCTACCTAGCGCTCTGCCGCCCCGTCCCCGCGCAGCTGGTTGCTGCCTCTGTTCCGTCCCTTCGCTCGCGAATTGCCTACGTAGGTCTGCTCCCTCCCCGTGAGGTTGACGGAGCGAGGGAGCGAGACAAAGGGGGGGGTTTAAGACGCTGTGTCCGGTGGGCGACGGGTCAAGTGCTAGGACCTCCCGCGGTCTCGTTCTCGTAAGGGTGGGTCGGCTGCTATCGGTACGGATGCATGCGTGTGTGTAGTTGGTTCTTGGGTATCTGCCCGGCCCCGGAAACTAGGTACCTATGTCTCGTCTACTCCACGCTACCGACGCCGCCGCGTCTGGCTTCTACGAGGGGCCCGTCCCCCCCGGTCCTCTTGTCCTGTCATTTCCTATGCATTTATATCGCCCCGACTACCATACAGTCGCCCCTCGACCGTCCCGTGTCCCCTACTACCCTTGATTTTTCTTAGCCCTCCCTTCCTTACGCCACTTACTCCTCTGGAGAGAGGGGACTCGCTACCGCTCTCCGCCCTCGTCCGCCCTCGGACCTGTATCGACGCCGGCCCCGTTAACCTTCTTGCTGCCGTCGTCGAAATCGCCGTCGACCTCGACATCCATACTGCCCCCGTCGGGGCCGCCACTGCCCGCCCCCGCTGCCCCGGCCTCGCCTACCGCCGCGTCCGGGCCCCGGTGCCGGTAGACCTTGATGCGGCCGTCCTGGCCGGCGCTCACCATGGTGTCGCCGTGGACGTCGACCCAGAAGCAGACGCCGTCGTGGGCGCGGGGGATGCGCTGGACGACGACCTTGGTCCGGACGTCCCAGAGCACGATGTCGCCGTCCTCGCTCGGGGCCGCGACGAAGGCGGCCGCGGTATTGCTGGTATCCGTGTCGGCGTCGGCGGTGGCGGAGGGAGGGGCGGCAGCGCCCGAGGCGGCGCCGAAGCAGCCGCCGATGCTGAACTTGGAGTTGGTGTGGCCCTGGTACGTCTTCTTTACCGTGCCCGACACGTAGTCCCACAGCCGGATGCACGAGTCCATACTGAAGGCCAGCACGTACCGCCCGTTCGGCGCGAAGCACACCGACGTTACCGGCGGGTTGTCCTCGTGCACCAGGGTCCGCAGGCATTGGCCCGTCGAGGTGTCCCATAGCCGGCTTTTACATAGCACGAAAGGTTCGAGTTAGTGTACAGTTTCGTAATGTGACGAGCTCACATGTAAGGGTAGTGGCGTAAGGGAGGATGTAAGGGAAACAAGGGAGGAGGACAGGGCGAGGGGGGTGTAGCGAACTTACGTCAATCCGTCGGTGCTGCAGCTCACGACGAGGGTGCCGTCGCAGCAGAAGTCGATACCGCTGACGGGGTCGCTGTGGGCGGGGAGGCTGCGCATGAGGCGGCCGGCGCGCACGTCCCAGAGGAAGACGGCTTCGTCGTAGCTGCCGCTGGCGAGGATGTTGCCCTTGGGCGAGAAGGCGAGGCAGTAGACGTAGTTGTGGTGGCCGAGGAGGGGCTTGGCGCGCGTCGGGCGGCCGGTGACGCGGTCCCAGAGGCGGATGGCCTTGTCGTCGGACCCGGACGCGAGCGTCTTGCTGTCGGGGGCCCAGGCGACCGCCGACACGCCCGCCATGTGGCCCACGAGGGTGTCGGCGTGCCGCCCGGTCGCGGACTCCCAGATGCGCACGGTGCCGTCCGCCGACGCCGACGCGATCCACCGCCCGTCCGGCGAGATGCGCACCTGCGACACGGCGCGCGCGTGGCCTGTCAGCACGAGCTTCGGCACGTAGTTGGGGCGCGCGGGCGACGACGACAACGACGACGAGGACGACGACGGCCGTGGCAGCGGCGTGTCACGCGGCGATTGCGAACTCGAACGCGAGTCGGAGGGCGAGTGGGTGTGCGAGCGGGACGCCGATCCCGATCTCGACCTGGACCTGGACCGCAGGCGCGACCGCAGCGAGGAGCGGCTGCCAGAGCTCGACCGCGACCGCGACCGCGACCTAGAGCTCGACGGGGATCTGCTGCGGCGCGAGCGGTCGCTCGAGTAGTAGTCGGTCTCGCGACGGTCCTCTCGACTGCGGCTGCCGCTGCGGGTCCTGCTCCGACTCCGGCTCACGGATCGGCTGCTGTCTACGGTCTTCTCGCGGATCGACACGCGCAGGGTTGGGTTCTTGGCGGTCGCGATGGCGGTCTCGTCATCTTCTTCTTTAGGGGTGTCATTGTAGTGCTGGGGGGCCGGCGTGGAATCGGCGCTATCGTCGTGGACTTTGCGGCGCTTCGTGGGGGGTTCGGGACGGGGACGGGGACGGGGACGGGGGCGGGCGGTGGGATCGGCGCCAGGCATGGCGCGTAGCTGGCACGTCAGCGCGAGTATGAGGCGGCGGGAATCGTGCGCGCGGGCGTTACGTGGTTTGCATCTGCCGGGAGGGTTGTGTGAGATGCAGGTGGTGAGGGAATACGAGCTCGACGAGACGGGCAAGCGGCCTAGGTAGTGCGTAGTAAGTAGGTCAGTTAGGTTGTTGGTTCGATCACAGCCTCGCGACGAAGGAGGTAAGGACGGGAGAGATGGCAAGGCTGAATGAAAGGGGCTTGAAATTTCGGTGGGTCGGAAGAGCGGCAGCTGCTGATTGGGGGGTTGCCTGGCTTGACCGCCTCTGTTCCCAGCAGGTGCCTAGTCAGGTACGTATACCCGGGTATTTCTGCTATAGGTCGTATCATAGGTACCTAGGTATACAGGTAGGTACATAGGTACATACGCTACGGCGCATTGCAAAATGGAAAAGTACCGTGCCTATGGTTAATCCGCCGAGCCGCTTGTCTTAGTACTCCGTACATGGAGCTTAGCTGCGGTTCCTTTGTTCTCCACAAACAGCACAACTGCTACGTAGGTTACCTATACTTGGCCTAGTACATTACAGCACACCGTATCCGGTTTGGTTACCTGACGGCCCGTAAGTCACCACTACTGCGTATAGTTATACGGCCATTTCTCTAAACGAACAGTATATGTGTACAGCATGATGACTCAAGAGGTATTCGCGCAGTATACGTAATTAATCAGTGTCTCAGATAGGTAGGTATATTTGATATATACATATATTTATATATATCGCGTTATGCCTCTATAGAATGTGCATTTGGCGGGAAATACTTACATAGGTACATAGCACGCACGCATACACTTAAGTATGCGGCATCCCTGTGATATCCGATCGTAACCACATTCCTTTCCTTCTTCCATGCCTCAGGGGGATTGCGACGCTGGCCACACCAACCATGTCATGGATGCGCGCGAACAAACCCCCCCTGGCGGCGAATCGACATCGCTACCGTCGCTGGCGTAGCACTGCTATCATAATGCCTTGCACCGTCTAGCATGGGTCTAGTAAGGGTCCCCGGCTCTCCACCTGGCGCGGATCTCTAGTGGTCGACCGAGGCTTCTTAATTTCCCACGATCCTATCGTTCGTAATGCAAGGCATCCCCCATAGTCCCTCACCACGTCGTCGGCCTTGTTTTTCTTTCTATTAGACGTCCCGAACCAGTTCTCGCGCCGAATTCCCGCTATGCCGAAGAGCTAACTAGTTCGTTTTAGCACTCGCCTCGCCCGGGAAGAGACGCGTTCTGGTACTCATGCCAGCTCTACTGCCTACCTCTCCTTCGCTCATCTCTCTTCTTTTTTCTTCTCTCTTCTCTCCTTCTTGCTCTCCGGTTGCGTTGACCTACATATATCTCTATGTAAGTCGGCTGACTGGTCGGTACCTGGGTAGCGGTCTACCTCTAAATGCTACGCGAGCCGTCTTTATGTTTTGTCCTACCAACATACCTCCTACACACACGTCCTACAGACGCACATGCGTACATGAATACCACTACGACGACACAGTGGCATTACAGGATGGCATGAGCCCATGCCGTGCGACCAATAAACCAACCTTGGCCGATTCCAAGCCACGGCCGGATTTCATCACTGATCCTTTGCTTATTTATGTCTATCCTACGCACGCGCACATCTCTTTGCTAGAATTATAACCCTATATATCGGACCTTAGCTCTCAAGCCCCACTACCTCTCCATACAGCGCCCGGGAGCCCCGGAACCCTTTTTTTTCTTCTTTTTTCTCCCACAGTGAGTTCCTGAGGGAAAGACACGCCTGCCAATCTATATTCACTCATATACACCATCCAGGAGCAAGAAGAGAAAAGAAAAGGGTGGTGAAACGGAGAGCGGAGATAAAATAAGGCGCATAGGCGCAGCAGCAGGGGTGGCTAGGATATAAGTCAGAAAGCGGAGAGAACAGAAAGAGAACTGAAGAGAAAACCGCAAGCCGATCAAGATGGACGAGCTACCCACCGAGCTCAACTTCATCACCCTCAACTGCTGGGGCCTGCGGCACCTCAGCCAGCGCCGCTCCGAGCGCCTGACCGCCATCGGCCGCCAGCTCGCCGCCGCCGAGCCCACCCCGCACATCGTCGCCCTGCAGGAGGTCTGGACTCAGGAGGACTACCGCAGTATCCGCCGCGAGACCCGCCTCGTCCTGCCCTTCGGCAAGTACTACCATAGCGGCACCCTCTTTGGCGGCGGCCTCGCCATCCTCTCGCGATGGCCTATCGAGGAGAGCACCATGTTCCGCTACCCGCTCAACGGCCGCCCCACCGCCTTCTTCCGCGGCGACTGGTTCGTCGGCAAGGGCGTCGCCTGCGCCCGCATACGCTACGGCCCCGCCGAAAAGGACGTCGTCGAGGTCTTCAACACTCACACCCACGCCGAGTACGAGCACCCGCCCCGTCGCTCCGACAGCTACCTCGTCCACCGCATCGCCCAGAACTGGGAGATGGCCAAGCTCGTGCGCGGCGCCGCCGAGCGCGGTCACCTCGCCGTCGCCCTCGGCGACTTTAACAACGTGCCCCTGTCGCTCTCCTACCGCATGCTGACCGCCCACGCTCCGGTCCGCGACGTCTGGCGCGTCATCAACCCGGACTCCTCCCTCGGCGACGTCGACGCCGAGCTCGAGCGCGCCCGCCGCCGGCCCATCCCCGGCGCCGCCTTCAACGTCGCCGAGAACGGCGTCACCAGCGACAGCGTCTACAACACCTGGGCCTGGTCCGGCGCCGACCAGCGCGCCCTGCGTTCCGGCAAGCGGTCCATACTCGTCCCGCCCGACACCCCGGACCCGTGCGGGAAGCGCATCGACTACATATTCTTCTCCCCGCAGGTGACCACGACGGTGGAGCCGCCCCCGGCAACCGCGGCGCCCGCCGGTCCGGACAACCGGGCCTCGGGTGGCCAGGGGCCCCGGGACAAGAATCCGAACGGGTCGGCCGAAGCGGGCACGAGCCGCCGCTTCTCGGGCGAGTACTGCACCCGGGGCTGGGTCGTCAAGGACGCGCGCGTGGGCATGCTCGCGCGCCACCCGGAGCTCGGGTGCTCGCTGAGCGACCATTTCTCGGTCGAGGCGACGCTGCGGCTGCACACGTACCGGTCGGCGACGCCGTCGCTGTCGTCGCGGCCGCCGTCGCTCGTGTCGCTCCGGCGGCCGGCCAGGCCCGACGGCGCGGCCGCGGCGGCGTCGGGCGCGCGGCCGAGCGACGACCACGCCGCCTCGCTCCTCGCCCTCGAGGGCACCTACCTCGAGTCCCCCACCACGTCCGAGTTCCGCGCCAGCCCCGGCGGCCGCGGCGGCCGCCTCCCCGGCGACGACGACCTCGGCGCCTCCTTCGACGACCAGCTGCGCGACTGCGCCCTCGGCACCGCCTCGCACTCCTCCACCGCCTTCCTCTTCCCCCCCGCCACCGCCGCCTCCGACGCCGACCCCCGCCAGTCCCACCACTCCGCCCCGCCGCACCACCACAACCACCACCACCATAACCACCACAACCGCTACCGCGGCGACGGCCTGCCCCGCGCCGTCTACGACGAGGTCCTCGGCCTCGTGCACGCCTACGCCGCCCGCGAGCGGCGCCAGCGTCGCCTGCGCGCCGCCCACTTCGCCGCCTGGGCCGTCGTCCTCGTCGCCTGCTGCGCCGCCGTCTGGCCCGCCTCGGCCCGCGCCCCCTCCTCGGGCGGCCTCGTCGCCTTCCTCCTCCTCCTCCTCGCCGGCCTCGGCTTCGCCGTCGGCGCCCTCGACGGCCTCACGGCCCTCCTCTTCTTCGGCGGCGAGCTCCGCGCCCTCGACGAGTTCGAGTGGGAGATCATGAACGCCAAGGCCACCCTCGCCGCCGCCGACGGAGCCGCCGCCGCCACCGCTACTACTACCACCGGCGCCCACCACTCCGACGACACGACTGAGGGCGGGGACTACGAGAAGGGTTGGTAATTTTTTTTTCGTAAATATATATCTATATATATATATTACCCTCTTTCCGTCGGCGAATATTCCTCTCAGTTCCACGAAACGAGAGATGCTGGTGGAGGGGAAGCGAGCGGGCTGCGACGACGATAAAGCATGCATACAACGACGCCTACCCTTATGCTTCTCGCGACACGAGTTTTGCTGTTACCCTTTTTTTAATCACCAACGGAAAATCACGAGACGGAAATGACTTTCGAAAGGACGCACGTTACATGAGGAATGCGAGGAGTGTATGGAGAAGAATACCTGGGGAGCGGGGAGGGCCGGCTGAAAATGATACCATCGTGATAGCTAATACCTATAGGTTTCGTACAATGCGGACCCTGGAGTATGTAAGGATACCAAGTAATTCTGAGGGTAATTCTGAGGATAATCCTTCTTTCACGTACGCGCGCATGTGTGTGCGGGCTACGCGACAATCCTTACGTGATTCCTCGTAAGTGGCTTGATCCCTACCTCCGTTGTTACCGTGACCGCGTTCGCCCGGGCATGTATGCAAGCTTCGCGACGATTTAACCGAGCCATCCACGCTTAAGCCCCTCGTGCGTGACACAAAGCCCGGTAGGTAGCAAGTTCGACTCCTCCATCGCGCGCCTTTCCGCTCCCACTGCCGCCGCCGCCGCCATCACCGTCGTCTCCCCCCTCAGAGGCGGCGCCCCGGCCGACGACTCCCTGGCCGCTGTCCCTGATGCGCCGGTACGTGTATCCGAGAAAGGCTGTCTGTTTGCGCACCTCGAGCACCGCTGCCTTCGTGCTCCGATCCCGCAGCAGCCTGTCCCGCGGCCGCTTCCTCTCGCGGCACCCAAACGCACGCACAAATGCCTTCATCCTCTCGCGCAGCTCCGCATCGAGGGCCAACCCCTCAATGTCCCGATCCATGCGCTTGAGCTTAGACGAGTTGTGCGGCGCCGATATGAACTGCCCGAGCCTGGTGCGGACATAGCGGGGAAACATCAATAGCTGGGCTTGCAGGGCTGCTATCCTCTCCGGGTCCCGGTGAAGAGCAATGCCGCCGCGTGGAACCGCCGCCGCGTCGAGGAATCCGTTAAGGGCGGTTCCCGTTATCAGAGTCGAAGCAACGTCCTCGGGCCTAGATGACGTCTCGGACTGGGATTCGGACCAGTCCGATATGGGTTCCTCCTCGTTGAAGTAATACGTGTCCTCGCGACTCCCGAGACGTGGGACAAACGGCGGGATGACCTGGTGGATCCGATCCCAAGGGATGTCGCGGAACCACTTGTGCGCTTTGATGTCCTCTGCGTCGTGGGGATATACCGATCGACCGGCCCAGTTCTGGTGTCCCCTGGTGTGGGACCTCCCGCTGCTATAAGGTCCCAAGTTCATGTCTCGGTAACGATAACGTCTCGACGAGAGACGGCTCTCCTTCTCGCAGATGAGGTTGGCAATAAGATCAATACACCGCCTCGACACGGCGGGGCGAGGTGGGAAAGCAAAGGTCTGCTTGTGGTTGACGATGTTGCGCTTCGTCTGCTGGCGCCCGCCCTCCTCCGACAGAAACGGAGTATGGCCGTATAAACACTCATATAAAATGACGCCGACACTCCACTAGTCGCATCTCGCATCGTAATCGCCCTCGCGGATCACCTCCGGGGCCATGTACTGGCTTGTTCCCACGCAAGACCTCGCCGCACTGCGACTACCACACCGGTTACGCCAATTCAGAAGTGGCTCGTCCAACGCAGCCGAAGACGAGCTTAGATATGGTGTCGGATAGCGTTCGTGTTTCCGAGTCGCCTGCGCCACGCCTTGGGCCCACTTCACAGAGCCGTGTAGGCCCTCAGCGCGGTCGATAGCATCTCCCTCCACCGGTATACCGAACCTCTGGAGCAAGTTATATCGCTGGGTATGGTAGTAATTGGTGTCATGCGACCAATGACCGTCGAAGGCCAGGCCAAAATCCGAGATCTTCAGGTGGCCGGATGACGAGATGAGAAAATTGTCCGGCTTGATATCGCGATGGATGCAGCACAGCGAGTGTGCTTCTTCGATACACAAAATCATCTCGGCAACGTAGAATTTAGCGACGGATTCGGTGAGGATATTCTCACGAATAAGAAGGCCGAGAAAGTCGCCTCCGGGCATATAGTCCATGACGAGATAAAGGTTGTCGATATCCTGAAAGCTGGCGACCAAAGGCACGATCCTAGAAGCGAAAAAGAGGAGAGACAATTAGTATTGTCGGCGCAAGACAGAAGGATATGCTCAGTAAAAATAGGGGTACAATACGGACCATCTCGCGCCCTCCGAAGCAACTAGGAAATCTCGTTCGGCACGCAAGTGAGCCTCCTGGCTCGTCTTCAGCATTGCCGACTTGCGAATCACCTTCATGGCATATACTTGGTTGCCTCGGCCTATATCCGTACCACCAGTAATGGCCTTCTCACGGACAAGCCTAACAACACCAAAACTCCCCTTTCCGAGGATCTTCAAAATCTCATAGTTTTCAGCAGGCCGGTTGTGCTTTCCCCGCAGGGCGCCGAGACTTCTCGCTTTCAAAGCGCGGGTTTCGCGAAGATTGTCGGTCTCTCTCCGGCAGAACACCCGGCGTCTGGCGTTCTTCTCTGCCTCCGTGAGCCCGTAGCTATAATACAGCTCTCCCTCCAGATATCTTCGGCGAAGGGAGCGCGGGCTTGGCCTAGAGAGTTTCTCGTTGAAGTGGGTTTCGAGATATATTTTTGCGGCAGCCGCCCGCTCAATGGTCAAGACAGTGGGCGCCGTCAGATCCAGAGCTGTCTCCCGAATGGGAGAAAAGTTCGAGTCCGGAACAGAAGTAGCATCCGAGTCTCGTTCGTGGATGACACTCCCGGGTTTCTTGTCTCCGGAGGTGTCGCCCCTGCTCGAGATTTTGGATTCGAGAGAGGTCTTGCCGGTGGTGGCACTGCGGCTAGTGGGACCGGACGATTTGCCGCTTGACGTTGTGTTGCTATTACTGTAGCCATTCGAGTTACCATCGGGATTTAAGGCGGCGGCGGCCTCGTGAGGACAGGCGGGGAAGGGCTGGTTAGGAGTTCCATCCGTAGACGCAGGAGACGCCTCAGATCGAGGCTTGGACTTGGACTTGGACTTAGATCTAGACTTTATGCGACGGATCGCGACGACCGACGCACTAAAGGGACTTTGAAAGAGTGACGAGGATATCCTCTTGAGGAACGGGCATGGTTCCGACGATCCTACGTCAAGAGATGGCGAGGGGTCTTGGGTTTCTCTACCTCGAGCCCCAGAGGCTAGTGGTGGCGTCAGAAGCCGTATTCTTTGCCAAATACAACCGTATCAGAGGGGACGTACTACTTTTGGTGAATGAACGTATGGCGGATAGAATCCGCGACCCCTCACGCTTACGTTTCCGAGGGGTCTCGCCTTGCCCAGGCATAGATAAAGGAGTACCAGGCTGAGCGGGCAACGGAGACGGCTCGCGTTCCACCCCAAGGGCCGGCGTGCTGTCCGCCATTGGCAAATCATGCTTCATGATGCCGACAACCCATCGAGATGGCGTGGTATATAGTAAAAGACGAGTTCCCCGAGCGGGGGTTTCCCATAACAAAGATGATATTTAAACAAGTTGCCGGTTAGCTGAACGGATGTCAGGGCTCCGGCCACCCTCTAGAGGTTCTAGATGGCGGCGATAGTAAGACTACATACGGCGGCCCGGGACGAAGTTGGTGAGCGACAGACATAGAATATGGGTGGGAGAACCAGGAGGGAGGACGAACGGGAAGGTTGCGAGACTCGAGGGTCATTCATGCCCGGCTTGGAAGAGGGCGCAAAAGCACCTCGTCTGGCATTTTCCGGGGGGGAAGTCGGGAGGGATGCCTTCATCGGCTGCCTCGACTCGTATCCGTATCCGGCCGGTGCCTCCCTACGCAACTTCACTGTGAACTTGACGACCGTATGGCAGGTGGAAGGGATGCTTCATGCCATGTCTGTACCTGACGTAGGTACCTCCTAGGTGCCTTACATACTACCTACCTAGAGGTAGGTACCTACCTAACCTACCTACCTCATGTAGGTACGTTTTACCCTAGAGGTAGGTACTTTGGCTATGTGCCGACCTCGGCCGCGGATGTATGTGTAGGGTCAAGGTGCTGATACCACATCGCACATCGGCCTCCGCGTCGACGTGTCCGCGCGTCTGCTATCGCGGCGGCACGGAAGACCCCCTAGAGGAGGAGGGAGGAGAGGGCGTGGACGCGGTAGCGCGCGCCGTTCACCGAACCACGCCATGCACGCGCGCATCCCACCATACGAGTACAGTCACGCAAGTGCCCGGGCGACGTCGCACGCACGAGCTGGCCCCCCGAAGAAGAGTAGCAACAAAACCCGGAGCGCGTGGCCCATTTGGTCAAGATTCGCAAACACCTATACGAAGTTGTGTAGTAACAAGACAGCGGCGTGACAGGACCCAATCCCCGAAACACGCGGCTCTGATCTCTTTTTTTACGCCTGTAATGCAATGCAGACCTCGTCATCCCTTGTGACGTCGTCTGCTTCCCGCGCCGAGTCGGACGCCGGATCCTCGCAAACCCGCGCAGGTCGGAGACCCCACAGCCCGACACACAGGAGCTCTCGCCGAAATATCATGCCGGAAAATCGGCTCAGCCCCGAGAGCCCAAATAGAGTACAGTCAGAGTGGTATCTGCAGGCAAAGGAGATAGACAAGAGAAATAGGCAGCAAACGAGAACAACAATGACAAAAGACATCACGCGCGACAGCGCACTGGCGGCCGGCTTATTTGATTGCTAGCAGCTTGATATCGAAGCTCAATGTGCTGTTCGCCGGGATCCCGGGCTGCGCTTTGCTGCCATACGCGAGGTTCGCCGGGATGATCACCCGGCGCTCTCCGCCCACCGACATGCCCTGGATACCGATGTCCCATCCCTTGATTACCTCCCCCTTGCCCACCGAGAAGCTGAACGGGGTTCCCTTTTTGTTGGCTGTCCTCATGTCAGCAAGCTTGCACACCCACGCGCTGCCTCCGCCGCCGGGACTTACCATCGAAGACCTTGCCGTCTTGCAGCTTTCCGATGTATCTGACTTCAACCTTGTTACCCTTCTTCACGACACGGCCAGAGCCGATCTTGCGGTCGTCGACGGTGACGCCCTGGACGACCTTGACGCCGAGCGCGGCGCCCTTCTCCTTCGCCGCCGAGCCGGTAGGGCCCTGCTCGAGGTTTTTAGCAAACTGGACCTTCTTGTCGCCCTTGGTAGGCGTCTCCTTGGTCGGGGCCTCCTTGGCGGGCGCGGCCTTAGCCTCTCCCTTGACACCTACGGGTTCGCCCTTGTTGTTCTTCAGCTTCTTCTGCTGCTTCTTGCTGAGCTTGGTCTCCGGGGCCTTGCCAGACTTGGCAATCAGGTCATCAAGCGTCTCGGTCTCCTCTTCGGCCGGGCGCTTATTCTTGCCCTTCTTCGTCTCAGCCGCCACCAGCCTAGGAGCCTCCTCCTCGTCGGTATCCACTTCGGCGACGCGGGGATCCTGAATATCATCGAGCACGTCAACCTCGGAGTCGTCATCATAGGCCTCAATGTCCTCCAGATCATAATCTTCATCGACCGCCTCGTCGTCAGAGGAATCGCCGTCGCTAGGGAGGACAACATAATTGCCCGTCAGGTGAACAGCGTGGGTGCCCTTGACGACGAAGAAGACCTCCTCGTCGGCGCCAATGGTGATGTTGAGTGGTTGTTGGTAGTTCTACAGGGCGGTTTAGCAAAACATGGGAAGCAGAGCAGGAATAGTACGGGCACTACTTACGCGCTCGGTGTCGAGGGTACACACGACTAGCTCCTCGATCTCCGGGGACGAGCTGATGCTCTCGTCGTCGTCCTCGTCGTCGCTCGAAACTGCAGGTTCCTTGCCCTTCTTGCTCGCCTTGGCGATGCCGTTAGGCTTAGCATTGCCGTCCGCCATCTCCTCGTCCTCGTCCTCATCCTCCTCCTGGGCAGCTTGGATGAGCTTCTTCAGGGCAGCTTCCTGTCTCGCCTTCTTTGACTTGGAGGGGTCGCTAGGGCCTCCGTTGGGCTCGTCGTCATCCTCCTCCTCCTCATCAGAGGAGTTCCCGCTCATCAGCTTGCTCAGATATTCATCGTCAAGCTCATCACTGAGAGACGGTCGCTTGCGGATGAGCTTCAGGGTAGATCTAGGGAAACCGGGAATGTTGCCATCCTCGTCGGCCTCCGGCGCCTCGGTAGGGTCGAGAGCGGCCATGGTGATATGAAACTACGAGTTCCACATTAGTGGTCAACAATGGCCTCGAGGACATTACCAAAAGGGGTGGGGGAGAGGGGGGGAGATGGCAAATGGAGGCAGGGAGAGGGGTGAGGCGGGAAAGGAAGGCAGAGTTTGCGTCGCAAGCCAGTCCACTTAGGCAGATGCAAAGATAGATGCGAATTGTGTACGGGAGAGGGGCACTCACAGATGCGTTCGGAAGGCTGTCCTCTTGCACGGCAGGAATCATGACACCTTGCGGCGGAACCTCGAGCCCATAGAGGGCAACAGGTACCATCGCCATCGCAGAGGTTGACGAGGCTGACGAGCGGCGAGACGACAGAAAAAAGTGCGATTGACGGATTAGGATGGGATCTAACAATCAATCGCCACGGCAGACAGGCTTGGGAGACGGAGGGCGGTAAACAAGACGCGGAAGAAAAGGAAGAGAAGAGAGAGAAGGGCAGATGGGAGGAGGAGGGAGAGTTGGATGCGCGACTCGAGTCGAGGCAACTGGTCGGAAAGGAAGAAAAGGGAAAGAAAAAAAAAGGTTATGGGAGCTTTTCACTTGGTCGAACACTGTAACGTCCCGCTAGCTGGTGCAGAAGTGTGATGCTGGGTGCTTGCACTGGATTTTTTTTTTTTTCCCTTCTCCTGCTAGGACACAGGCCACCCGTCGAACACCCCACTCACCAGCGAATCCTTACCGCCTGCCCTAGCTTGCCGATAAGAGAGGCTAGGACCAAAACAAGCTTATCTATGCCTCCGCAGGGACCACCTACAGGACGATTCGGCACCATGCAGGGCCTTACTACGTAGGTACGTAATAGGTAGATGCCTCCAAGTGTGTTCCAATACTGCTACTGCTACTGCTACTACCTACCTGTACGTACCTGACTATGCCTTCTCCACCTAAAGTAGGTACAGGCAACGGGCAGTTACCAATGATGTAGGTAGCTACAAGCCGCACTATCAGGTTCCTGGGATAGGTACCTAGCGTAGTGAGGTACCTACCTAATATACAGGTAGGAGTGGGCGTTACCCTATTAGTGCGTAGTACACACGTGGAGTCTGAGAAGGCAAGCCTCAGGTAGAGGTACCCACCATCAAACAGCCAGCCTGTCTCCAGCTACCTCCTACCTGTCGGTACCTTAGGTACGTAGGTACGTAGGTACGTAACCCTTCCAGCCCGGGCAAGGCTTTGTGCGACGGCAACAACAGCAGCTAAATACGTGTAGCGCACTACAGGAAAAGCAATTAAAATAAAATAAACCAGCGTAAAAAAAAAAACCTGGCTGCTTTTCCCCCTTACCTCCGTTTCAACCCCCCCAAAATAATCACCGATCGAGTCACCCGCCAGACAAATTTCTCTATCTATACCTATGCCACCACCGAATCTCCTGGGGGGTGGTCAAGCCACCACGGCGTTTTCGACGTCTTCGCACCTGCGGTACTACGCTCACATATGGATGCCCATATTGCCTGGATCCGGGCAGGGTAAGGCATATTGCGCGAGGGAGGGGGGGGGCTGGGGACGAAATGAAGAAAGCCAGCTCGACCTGCGGAAATTTACAGGTGCAAGACAAAAGTTGATAATAGGTACTTACTAAAAAGGCCAGACGAGCAAGAACCAAATGGTACCAAGATCTCCGACCGGTTCTTAGACCTGGCGAATCGTGTCAGAGCTAGAGCGTAAGCAAGGCGTACGGGACGAATACATCATTGCGTGTTTCTTCCCTGATATGCGAGAGTATATGTAACGATCCCAGCTAAACTTCCGAGACGAGACGGAAACGCGAGGCACGACAGCCCATCTGCGATCCGCTCCCCCCCCCTCCTCCTCTTTCTCCCCGCATTCCCTCCCAGGCGGGGAGGCGAGCGAGCACGGACTTCTTCCTTTCTATAACCTCGCCGTCCATCCCTTGGCCCTCGCTCCGCCTCTTCCCCCCCTACGCCGGCTATCTATCCGAGAGACGGCCTACGGCTTTGCGCCCGCGGTCTTCGAGGCTAAGATGTTACCCACGTTCTCCGTGGAGATCTTAGGTATGTTCGACGCTGCGGAGGGGGAGAAGGTGTTCGTCAGCCAGGCCCGGAACGCGTGGTACCTAGGTTATGAAGAGGACGAAGGCCGACTACTAACGCTGCTCGTACTCGCGCGGCCGGTCGCCCACGTCCGTGACCGCGCACGCGATCGCCACTAGCGCGTCCGGGAAGCGCGGCGACGCTTGGCAGTACGCCGCCACCATGTCGTTGCCGTTCGTGACACCGCCTATTCCTCGGTTTCGCACCCGGGAACCCGGGGGATACCTAGCGGTTAGCGGGGTGAAACCCAGCAGAGTGCTAGCTAGTAGCCCCTTTGCTACGGAGCCGCGTCACGTGAAAGGGGCGGCGGGGGGGCAAGAAACTTACCGCTCGACCACAGATTCCCGTCCTGGACCCAGCGGTACCGGTCGCCGACGAGCTCCTTGACGCCGTAGTCCTTGGCGCGGATGAGGTCCTGGGCGTCGCGGGGGCCGGCGGCGACCTTGCCCCGGAGCAGGCCGGCCTCGCCGACGATGAAGATGCCGGTGCACACGCTGAGGATGTCGACGTCCTCGCGCGCGCCGTGCGCCGCCAGCCAGGGCAGCGACTCGCGGTCGATGGGCTCGAACGGGTCCGGCCCCGGCACGATCACGATGTCGAGCTCGCCCGGCGCCACCTCCGGGTCCGAGTAGCGGTGCGTCGACACGAGCTTGCCCCCGGACGTCACCGGGATCGGCCCGCCCGCTGGCCCCGTCCCGATGTACCGGACCTTGACCGACGGCGCCAGCTCGACGACCGAGCTCGGAAAGATACCCTCTACCATCTTCATGTCTACGCGGAAACGGGGGGGGATGATATAAGGTTAACCCATCTATATCCGTGTTGCCAGCCCCAAAGGGGCCGGACGAGAAGGCGGAAAAGGAGGGATTGTCAGTATTATTCACGCACTGGTGGGACGTTAGCTACCCAGCTCCTGCGCGAGAAGGGGAGAGAGGCCGGAGGGGACTAAGAGGAATAGCAAGACCGAGGCTCCTCTCCGCCGCCTACCACGCCCGCAGACTCGCGCCCACTCACCATTCGTAGTCCATGGTCCCGAGGACGTCCACAGTCGCCGCGTCGAGCATCTGGCACTTCCGGGGGATGAAGACGCCGACTCGGACGGTAGGCCGGGTGTTGGTGACAGGGCTATCGTTAGCCATCGTGTCTGGATAGCAATATACCGATAGGTAGTGGAGGTAGGTAGGATTGATAAGTATAGAGCCGCAATCGATGCTCTGCAGATCTCTGTGCGGCGCGAGCGAGGGTAAAAGAGTAGATGAATACGTCGGTCGACAGAGCAGAACTGGTTCCGGATGGGCTCTCAGCAGACTATTACAGACGAGCGGGAGCGTGAGCAGGGTATTTATCCAGCGAAGTCCCTTATCCCCCTCCCTCTCCTTCTCCCTCTCACTCTCTCATATCCGCTCTCCGGCCCCCCCGGCCCAAACAAGGTTATCCCCTCAGATCTCTCTCTCTCTCTCTCTCTCTCTGCTTCTAGGACGTGCCCCGCCAGATCCGTGTAATGTGATTGGTCACCTTGGCTCCGACGTGTCTCGGGAGGAGCCAGAACAACGCTTCTCCCCTTCTCCCCTTCCCCCTTCCCCCTTCCCCCTTCCTGCCCCAACCGCACGCGGCGCCACGCTCGCGGGGAAAGAAGAGAGAGGGTCCTAGGAGGCTAAGCTCGGCTGGCTGGTAATAGCCGTCCGTCACGTGCGTGCGTGTGTCCTTGACCTCCCCCCTAGGCGCCTGCTTACCTACCTACCTGCCTGCTTGCGCCCGGGGAGTGTTCGAGTAGCCATCGTCGTACGCAGGGAGGGAGGGAGCGACACTGATTCCATACCGTCCTCCTTCTCTCTCCCCACGCCTCTCGCGTCGGCGTCTTTGTTTCCGCTTCTCGACTAGCTGCCTACCGTGGTAAAGGGGGTGTACGCGGCAAGGGGGAAAGTGGGGGAGGAGCGTGAAGGGGAAAAAGGAAGAAGGCCAGAATTGGAATCGCAATCGCCCGTCGTATCCGTCTCTCCCCATTTGTCTCGAGCAAGCAGGCCAATTGCGTCGTTCCGGCTTCGTGGCCGGCCGGCCCGGCCGCCTTGGAGCCCTCCTTTGGGGCTGGGGGGGGGGGGAACTTTGGCACTGCCACCATCCATTCTCTTTGTGGGACTCTGCTCTGTCCCCCGACGTGCTCCGGAGATATACAGTGATCCAAATCTGACAATGCGGTGGAACAAAGTCGAGGTCGCGGGCACGAACAAACAACGGACAATGCGGCTGGATGCAAGTTTCCTTAGCATCGCATATGATATTAGGCATCCACACGAGAGCAATGAGACGTATCATGTATTGTTGAAAGCTTCGTCAGTTCACTGCTTTACTACTGTCCTCCGCCGCCAGCGTTTTTTGAGCATCCTGGACCTTGGGTCCTTCGTGCTTCCTCGCCCGCTGGAGACAGACTTTTTCGTATGTACATCATCAATATTAGATATTACCGGGCCAGGTTTGCGCATTAGGTCAGTTCGGGTCTCCCCTCCATCGTAAACCCGTTCCTCGTCGTCCTCGCCGGGCTAGCCCGCCCCCAATCGGACAAATGCGCCTCGTCCGCCGACCGCGGCGAGCGTCGGCTTCACCTCTTCGACGCAGTCTTCCGCCCGCCACCCCTCCCCTTGCCGCGTAAACGAATGCCGGCAGGAACGTCGTCTCATTCCCGCGTGTGCTCCTAGAACTCCGTGAGCCCTGAAAAAAAAGTATCCCCGTTATCTAGAATGCCAATGCCGATGCCATGCATATCAACATCATGTCCTCTATTTACACACGCTCCTTGGAGCTATTCTTTCAAAAACTCGGAAAAGGCTGCGAGTCGGTCGTCAACGGGTGGACGGAGAATCGAACGGAAAGCGCGTCACAGGCTCGGCTACCAAGAGATAGCCGGCCTCGACGGATATTATTAAAGCGGCGACGGCCCCGGTCGCTACGCCATATCTGCGATTAGAGACTTCGCACGTTGGCGCGTGACCTTCTTGCTGACCGTGTATACTAGGTCGACGGTGAAAAAGTGCATAATCTGTGCCTGCGCGGTCGGGATGGCACCGTATAGCGGCGCGACGAGAGGGACCATGACGTAGTCGATAAAGTTCTTCTTGGCTTGCCGGCGCGAGAAACACATTCCCTTGGCCAGACCGGCCTCGTGCATCTCCCTCTCGCGCGCGGCCGCGCCGATCTTGTGGAACCGCTCGTACAGGAATAACAATAGCGCGACTACCATAAAGCCGCCCGTTCGCAAAAAGTTGCAGATGCTGAAGATCCAAGCCAGCTGGTGAGGGTCGGAGCCGCCATCGGTAACCCAGACATACAAGGTTGAGGCAATAACCAAGATGGTCGTCTGAAGCGGCAGGAAGTGGGCCTCGAAAAGACGGTGAAACAGGTATACTATGCGTGCCCAGTCGGGCTCCTTCAGAGTATCGGTTGTCACATCAGAGAAAATTCCGCTCTCCATCGTATGTTCGGGGTTCATGTCTAACTGGGTCTGGGTAATGAACGAGTCGGAAGGGTTGTTCCTATTTCGCGTTAATACACATGCTCAAAGGGGAGGAGGTGCATTTACGGTGAGCCTTACAGGGCGATGTGAAGGGGACGGAAAGCCCTCGACGTGTGCTTGCGCTCTTGCCAAAGCTCGGCGAACTTGCGAATAGCGTAGCCGGAATCGAGGCCTCCCCACATGTGTCGTAGTGCTTGCTTGTAGCGAGCGTTCATGTCATTGTACAGTCCTTGGAAGCCCTCACCGCCATTGCCCTTGACGTTGCTCTGGCTGACGGCGCTCATGATGGTCCTGACAGTCAGGTTTCCGTTCAGCGCGAAGAAGCACTTCAGGTACATGTGCAGATCCTCGCCGATAGCCTCGGGGTCGCAATCCCAACCACCGACACGGTCGACCAGTTTGAGAGGCAGGGAGTAGACAGACGTCGGTGGGGCGATAGTAGACCCGCGATACAGACCGGAAAGACCAGCAGAAGCCCACAGAATATCAGCGACGCGGACGATAGCCGGGACGTCGTGGGCATTGCGATCGAACAGAATCGGCGCGGCGTACAGCGTGGTGTGTGCTGTTTCGGGGTACGATAGGTGCATGTCGGTGAGCTGGGCAAAGTAATTAGATGATAGGTGGCTGTCAGCTGTATTGAGAAGCGCGTGTCAGCTTATTGGTGCGAAGTACGATTACCCAAAGAAACCCCCGGAAAAGCGGCGAGGTCCCAGTGTTATGTGACGTATATACGTACCATCAATTCCAGTAACGATAACATCCTTCCTAACGGCCATAGAGTACTTTTCGCTGAGCTTGCGTGCAGCCCACGCAACGTTGCTGCCTTTACCGGGGGACTCGCCAGGGATGTCGGAGGGGTGCAGGGTAAAGTCGATTGAGCGGAACTTCTTGACAAATTCCTGAATGAGGTTCATGGCCTTGAGCTCGACGTTGTGCTCCCGCTGCTCCATTGCTAGGTAGATCTGTGAGTCCCGGGTTAGCCCACGCTGAAAAAAATGGCCACTTCAGGCGCCATGCGCGAGGGGGTACGGAGCCGAGCCATTGCATCTTCCGCGCGACCACCAAGTCTAATTCAACCCGGCGGCGAGGGTAGGCTCGTGTCGAAAAAGCTACTTACGTCGTAAGAGTATCGGGCGGTCGGGTGCGATGCCAAGACGTCGAGCGTCTCCCGTAGGCTATCAACTTCCTCCTTGTAGTTGGGGATGATTATAGCGTGGACGATACGATCGTGCTCGGCATCCCCATTGTCGCCGTCGGTGTAGAATTCAGGCTCCGTATCGCCAGCTTCGCTACTCGTAGTCGAGGAGGGCAGGGAGTCCTCCTTGGAAGAGGTCAAGGTCTCGGAGCTGGAGAGGGAGGTGGAGGATCCGCGACGACGATGGGACAGCTTGATACCCCTCAGCGACTTGCTCTTTAGCGCCTTGCCCAGGGATTGAGTGATGTCGACCATTGCCCAGCAGGAACGGATCGGGAAAGCAAATACAAGCATATGGATGAGTAGGCAGTAGTAGGCGAAGATGATGGTCCATATCCCACCGCCCTCCGCCGACAAAGGCACGGTCGAGGGGTGGCTTAACGAATCTTGTTGCGCATACTTGTATTCGTACCGAGATGCAGCCGCTTCCTTCGAGATAACCCAGTAGCTGAGGGCCATAGTCATTAGCATCGCCAGTCCTCCCGCTCTTCTCGAGCACCAAGCGAAGAGCGACATGGTGACGACGTGATTAATTGATTCCCTAGAGCAGGCTTCAGGCCCAGACAGTAGAGGCTCAGTGGTGAAAACTAAGGAGCGGATTGACGACAGCGGCGTCGAGGAATGAGGATAAAGAGGAAGGAAAGGGAATAGAATAGGGGGAGTAGGTCGGGAAAAGATAACACAAGAACGTTAGGTGGGAAGGGTGTGTGAGTGTAGTAGCGGAGAAGAGAGAGGGGGGGCTGGGCGCTCTTAGAACGCGACGAGAGCGAGACGATCTTGCACAAGCTAACACAGGAGTACCTGGGTTACGCTCTCTCTTGGGTTACAACACGGCCGGTGGAGAAGGGGGGGGGGGCAGGTGTTGAGTGGGCAGAGGAGGAAAGGAAGAGAGGAAAAAATTAATCTGGAGATGGCCAGACAGGGAAGGGAAACGGAAGAGAGAGAGGGAGAGAGAGAGAGAGAGACAGCTGGGAAAATTACTAGGTTAGACCTCATGAAGGTAATGACAATTAGGGAAAAGGGGAGCCTTGTTTAGTATGACGAGAAATTAAATGGGTAGGGATTCTGCGCCCCAAAGTGGACAGTACCTAGCTCTGACGACGGGAAGGGGTTTCCAGTTGCTAAGGTATTCCAAGCATGGGCCCAGACAGCTGGTCTAGCGGCGAGATAATAAGTAAAATTATGCATATGACGGTTATGTACAAGCGACCGGGGAGGTACATGGAAGTGAAGGGATACCCCTGCGCGTATCGGTGTAGATACATGTCTCGTATACATGCACACGCGGATTGGGGATTGGCGTATGCACCTAACAGGGGCTGTAGCGGACAGGGCTCTTCTTTTATGGGGCGGGGACAGGCTCAGGTCCCATCGTCAGAGAGAAAGTGCACCCCACCTGCATTGCGTATGAGGGTACGAATGTACGGTACAGGTAGATAGGTACATCCTAAAGGTAGGGGCACTCTGTGTCTACGTACACACGCTTCCTATGTACCCGTATCGATTAGGTACCTTGGTGCCCTACATCGACCCATTCGTCAATCGCCACGGTGGGCCTGGACGATGCTTGAGTTCGTTGCTTGGGTCCATGGGTCAATAGGGCTTATGGTGTCTACGGCCTGGATAGAGCAGGCCCTGGATGGAGCAGGCACCTAGCGGGATAAGGCATGATCAGATAATTCGATGTTCTCCCGGGGGGAGGGGGGCTTGGAGGATACGGCGTTTCGTCTACATACGGATGTACATGCTGATTTCTTAGGAGGTAGTGCTGAAGCTGCCTTAGAGGCAGGTAACTCGCTCGAAGCACCCTTATTCATTTAAACCGTAGGCAAGCGTTACTACCGCTAAGTTAGGCTACGTAGGTATTTTCTTTTGGTTCACTTGGTAAGGCTCGACAGGCAGGGATACCAAACAGTGTGCAGTGTTGGTACATACCGTACAGTTACAACCATGCACATACTATACCTACCTATCTACAATAACTGCATATATATATTGCTTCCAATGCAGTGATAGGCTATAGGTAACTTTAGATCCCGCTTCCATATAGCCTTAATGTACCTACTTCCTACCTCGTCTTTTAGTTCTACACGCGTTACCCTCTATATAGAGAGAATAGATATGGTATATTCGCTCGCTCTTCGGTATCTGATGATGACGATTACCTATACAGACTGGAAGTTTGCCTTCAAATGCCCGAAACAAAGAGATACTCTGCTCTTCCTACGCTCACATCCTCTGAATAGACTTTCGAGCCTCATCCTCGACTCTTTAGTCGGAGTCAGATCAAGTCCATTTCAAACCACTGCGCGTACGTGCCTAAGTGCCTGACTTTTGAGGGAGGGCATAAGAGTGTGTTTTTTTCCCTTTCATTTTTAAGTATGCTACTTCAGACACCACATAACATCTCCATGCAATACACTACCTAATATAGTCGGCGCATAAGGAATTGATCCGCTGAACACTTTGTCCTCTCCATCCTGTTAGGTGGTAGAAATTCATTACTATGAGTAAAATCCTCAAGTACACATATTAGAGGTATGGCGTATTGTCCTATTACCTGAGGTTCATTACGTACCTAAGCAATTATAGGTGCGTATTATAAAGTCCTAGCTGTAAGCCGGAGACGTAGATATGTAGGTAATTAACGGAGCCTACAATATATTGCATAGGAGCCTAGCTGTCAAAGGGACTGGGTACCTAATGTATGCACACCTCCTATATGCCCATCTGTTGAAGGTACCAGTTAAGGCAAGGTACGAGACACATTTAGCTTGACAGGGCGAAACTCGCATATAGTACCCTATATGGTGGTTAAAGAATGCCTAGTGGGAGGCATTGCCTATTCGTATATGTATGTAGGTGCGCGTACGCAGTATTGATGCTTCGATGCTACCTGGCTCCGCGCCGGTGCAGCTCCTCTGCCCCTGTAAGCGTAGTCTTATCGCCGTCATTTATCACAGAGCTGAGTTTGCTGACCTACGCACAGGCAAATGGACACTCGAGCTGGGTGTAGGTAGATAGTACACATGCTACGTTTATCTTTATACTTCCACCGCTGGCTTCAATCGCCTCATCACTGCTGAGTTAATGCCTACGTGTGGCTTTTGTTACTTATTTTACTGCACGGAGGATATTTGAGCTGTGTACATAGGTACATACCTATGTAGTCGTCATCCAAGGGTTCCACATGCGATTGTTGGCTGAATCACACATACCAGGTGCTTGGCGAAGCAATGAATCGATTCCCTTACGTACATATACGTGGGCGTCTGTATATGTCTATTTATATTCGTATATCGAGGCACACGCTTTTTCAGAAGAAAAAAAAAAGAGCGTACGTCCACTCTGAGGTACCTACTACCTGATTATGTACCTATCTTCTATAACAACACAGGTACCTAACACACGTCGAATGTCGTCCAGTTGGAGGTATTCAGGGCAAAAGGCGGGGCCAGAAGGAGCAGTTGCACGTGTACATAGACAAGTTCGACACAGCCCATTCCGCTCAAGGCTGACCCGCCGGTCTTGATTGGGAGGTAGAGAAAATTGTATCGATTCTTGTTGGCCGAGCGGGGTGTGTCGTTTCTTGGCTTCATCCATCTCAGCCTCTTTGATCGTAGAGAACGGTTGGAGAGACGGAGGAAACAAACGAAAAGATACCTACCAAGAAACCGCGACGCGTAAGATGTCTTGGATTCGGAAGAGGAAAGAAATATCTGCCTATGTCTTGCGGTGGCCGTCGATGCGCCATAGGTATATACCTAGCTCGCTCCTCTTGGTTTCGTCGGTTAGCCAACTTCGACTTCACCCTCCCGTAAATTGCCTAACACGCCTACGACCTCCTCGGCGAGGTTACAGTAACAGGCGCGCTATATGTCTGTAGGTGAGGCATATGACTCCATATGGGCACGCCCGCCCGCACCCACCCTACTCTCTGTCCGTCGTCTAGTTTGACGCCTCGTGCTAAACCCGCCTAGCCGGTATTTGTAGATAAGTGCTGGCGGCCTTCCCAATCCCAGCCACTGGTCTCGGCTTAGGGTGACCGGTATCACGGCTCTTCTAAAATAACACAGCGCCGACTCGCTGGGGCCGAGCCAATGCGACCCCTCAGGCCATGCCGCTCCTGGCACTGGACGTTATTCGCGTGCCTAACACCAGCCATGACACCATCCAGTCGATCCTTCGCACGCACCGCACACGCTCACACACATACGTTATCACTACGATGAGTACCTAGCACACGTGTGTACGCGCACCGCTGCAGGCCCAACCAGTGCGGCCACACATGCGGAAGCCAGCTATACGTAGTACTGACGTTGTTGTTCCCTATAGCCCACAAAGCGCCTCGTCTTGTTTCGGGCCGCTGCGCCACAGTATGACAAGCTAGAACTCGAAGGGCAAGAACAAAAAAGCGAGCGAGAGACCCTTGATTCACAAGAAAAGGAACCTCGCCCCCTCTCCTGTGGACAATGGCTGAGCCGAAGGACGGCATTATGAGCAGTTCCAAGCTTGTCCCCCTTCCGTCTCTCTGCCGCACTCGTACTTGGACTATATACTGCCTACACGCTAGTGCGCACCGGACGATTGCTACGTGTGCCGGAGGCTTTGCGATGTCAGACGTGCCGAAGATGTATACACTACCTACATGTAATATATGCTACACACCATCCTTATCGTGCACCTCGACATCACCATGTGGCCGCTGATCGGGCACGCGGGTTGCGTAGGCGGTGGCTTGTTTCCCTGTTTAGCCACGCACTGCTGGCCCTGGCCGGTCAGCCGCCCTTCGCCCTTCCCCTGCCGCCGGCTTCTGCATGCCATCATTGGGCGGTTCGACGGTGAGATTAGTATGTACCTATGGACGAATCACACAGACCGCACGCTCCCCCATGTCTCTCTGTGGCTATTATTCCCAATCTCGTCCACTTTTTGTTTCTCATCCAGTTCCAACCACAACGGAAGTTATCACACCGTCAACGCTATCCGTTGTAGGTGCCCTACATACTGCGTACGTGCGGGGCCCGCCTGAAGGCGAGGCACTTTGTATACCTAGGTAGGTACCTAGGTATTGCGCACGACAATACGGTCAGTACCTAGGTACCTAGGTACCTACCTAGGCAGATGTCAGAGGACCACCGTACTTATTAGCTGCAATTGTTCTCTTTGGTCGACCAGGCCGGAAGATGTACCGCATGTAGCATTGGAGGTATGCAATTAGAGGCTAGTTGGCTCGTTAGAGATTACCTAGGTACCCTTGTCGTCTTGTCGAGGTTGAACCCCAGCCCTTGCCACGGGAATCGTTCTTAAGGTACCGACATGCCGAAAAGAGTTACTCATGAGCCCTGCCCCCGAAGTTCACATTGCCTAGAATGACTGTCACACTACACGGGGAGAGAGAGACGGCAAACACAGCTGCTGAACCGCGTTATTTTAGGAGTTTATTTCCCGAGGCAATGCGAAGCATCACGCCCTGCACAGTCCTGGCACAGTGTCTACATAGGCTACGTACATTAGGGGGTACTGCCGCCTTTATGCACCCCCACCCTGGTTCCTCGATTCCTCGATTCCTCTTTTCTCCCTCCTGTCATGTCCTCCCTCCGTTCTCCTGCGCCCGTACTACATGCCTTACACGCTCGTGAATGGCGTCGTGTCGTTTGGGGCCGGTAATTACCAGCAGAGACCTCTCGACGCCTCCTGCGATGCCAAGCAACGTCTCTTCCCCCTCCCCCTCCTCTCTCTCTCTTTTCCGGTTTAGCAACTCGCGCCTCTGCCCTGGCCTGCCTCTCAAGCGATAACCAGCTTGAAACACGCCCGGAACCTATCCCCGTTGGTGTGATGGATGGCAACAGCATCGGTTCCGCATCCTTTGATTTGCAGACCTCCCCTTCGCATTTCTACCTACCCGCGTACATGCATATATATACACGTATGCACATATGTGAACATGCTTGTACACGTGCATGGGCGGGGATCGGACGGGTCACCCACAAGCACACCGTAGGACGCACACTGTACAGCCTCGGAGGCCGCCAACGACGTCGGTCCTACGCAATACAGTAAGGTACTGGCCTGCACGCGTACCCTCGACCCCCTTGCCTGCAGGTATGGAATGTGTACTACCTACATAGGTCCCTTCCTACGACTACGACTACTACTACTACTTCTGCTACTGAAATCCATCCCGCCCTAGGCGCCCTACCAACCGAACCTACGGCGGCGGCGAGGACGGGGTGGGACAATGGACATATGATGTCTCCTCTTCCTCTCCCCTCGCGCCGTCAGTCCATCGGTCGCCGTCGTCCTGCCTGGCCCTGCCCGTGGCCTGTCTCGTCTCGTCTCGTCCTTGGCCTCGGTGGCATCTGATCCCTCCCCGGGCCTGGGTTCTTCGCGCCGCAAGCAGCACTGCGGCCAGCGTCGTCGTCCGCTCTGATCGCCCGTGGGGCCCAGCGCAGCAGCTAATTTACCATGCGGCTCGGACAATTCTCATTGGCCTGCCCCCAACCGCAAAAACCCACGTTTATTTGTCGGTCGAGATTACTGGCCCACTGTGGCCGTCGATCTGGATCCGCCACAGAATTCAGTAAACAGCTCCCGCCGCCGTTGGCTGCTGTCGTCGTCGTTGTCGTCGTCGTCGTCGCGCCGTTGTTGCTGCGGTCTCTTGCCCGTCCGTCCTGTCACTTGGCTCTAGCGTTGTACTAGTTCTCTGTTCGCTCTCCTTCTCCCCTCTTTTTTTTCTTCTTTTTCTTCTCCTTCTCTTCTTCTTCCCGCCCATGCACACACGCGCCATCAGAAGGTCCGTTCGCACGGATACAGACGCCATTAGGCTGGGGGAGTTGAGTTTCCCCAGGTACGGGGTTTCCGCCACGGCACGGGAATTATCCCTCGACCGACGATGCAAAATCACCGCCCTACCGCCGCGAAAAAGAAAGCCGGGTTGTGTGATATTTGATGATGCATACCTCCCTCCCTATCTACCTGCCTACATTGCATACATGCTATATGTGTGTGTGGGTGTGGGTGTGTGCGGCAGGGGGAGCTGCTCCCCTCGGGGCTCACTTCTCGGGAAGGATTTATGAAGGAGCGAGGCAATTCCAATATTCAATTGGGCTTTGTCGAGCTGCTCCCTTTCTCCTCGCGCTCTCTCCCCGGGGCTCTGCCTGGTTCCATGTGGGTGATGCCTAGAGTATACTCCTCCTCCCTCCCTATTACGTACCCAATATATGCGTGATGTGTGTCTGTGTGAAACGCGTCTTATATTTGGGGTAAGGTCGTACATGCCTACGTACACGTATAGTAGTATGCATAGCGTGTATGCATCTTGCCCTCGAGGCGTATGTATGCACATACGTATATCTAGTAGACGGGAAAAAACGCGTCATTGCCCGTATGTATGTCAGACTGGGCTCGCCCTCGTAACATGTTTTAACATGCCAATCAACGCGTCCGCGGATAAAATTTTCGTCCGAACCACGCGTTGCCGTCGAGGGTCCAGTCCGTCGTCCATCTGGACCTCTTCCCCCCCTTCCACCCCTCCCTTCCCCCCCATGCAGGTCTCGATACGTGAGGTTTCGCCGTACGAAGCCCCCGTCGTATGTATGTATCACATCCCACCCGCCCAGCGGCAGGAGGCGGCGTGTTGGAGCTCTCAGCCGGCCTGCTTGTACCCTCTCGCTGCCCTGTTCCTTGCCGGCTAACCGACCACCAACTCGCAACTTGCATCTCGCCTTGGTCCCGACTCGGATCAGGCTGTGCTACCCGCGCGTTCTCGATCTCCCCCCGCGGCGAGGTCGAGACGAGACGAGACGTGCAGGCGTGCACATCAGAGAAGCCAGATGGGCGGCTGGGTAGGACTTGCTGCTTGGGCTGCTCTCTGGATATATACCGCGTTTAAGCATAGATGCGTGTTTATTCATGTGCAAGAGGGTAGTACGTGCGTCAGACCTGTGGAGGCGAAGGCGCCGTCGGGGAGAAGAGGAGGAAGAATCACTGCGTGTTTGGACGAGTGCGACCGTCTTAAATCTATATTTGTCTCTTTTTTCTCCCCCGGCGCCCCGTGGGTTCGTCACACCCCAGCATCCAAACACATTCCTAGGTCGAGCGCGTGCTGACCTAGGGGGATTGGCGACTTGAAGCCGTGGTAGGGCATGAGAAGCAAGCTGCATCTTAACCCATACCAGGTGCCCGTAGGGCTGAATCGGATCGGGTCCGCTAACCGTAACCCCTTCTCACAGGCATACACACAACCCTAAACCTACTTCGCGCAGCTGGGGGATGACGTGGTGCATACGGCGTAGTACATATGCGATTCACAAGGCGGGCTGGACCAGTCCAGGCCTGAGAATCCTCCAACATCTCAACTGAGGGGCGCTCGATAGCCCAGATCGTTGGTCGAACGGCTCTCTCCTAACTCGTTCGTCATCAATGAGCATAGTCGAGATGCGTTCTAGGTATAATCCATCCGTCCCGTTCACATGGCTTGTGACCACCACCACTTCTCCGTCGTGGAAATTAGAAGCCCCTCTCTCCGTAGACGCAAGGTAGACACGTCATCTATCGCGGCATTGTACTGTAGCCTCTATGCGTAATGGATTGATTAGCTTTGTTTGCGACATTAAGGAAATCCTCCCTAACCTTGTAGCTTCCTTCGTTAGGCCTCGTCAGAGCTCCCCTCGGTTGAGTTAGAAATCGCCTAAGGTGGGTTTACCCCAATCTCACGCCGCCGCGAGGACACTCGAGTATGTCGGCGAAGTATATACGCGGCGCAGCCTAGACATTCTTGTCGAAGAGCTTCTGGATCGGTTTCGCGGCCTAGTATCATGTAAGCGGCAGCACGGAGCTAGCCCACCCTCTGAAGAATTGACGTACGTCGATGAACTTTTCGAGCTCCTTGTCGAGGTTCGCAAGGTCATCCTTCCTCTTCTTGTTGTCCGCGATGAGCTTTTGCTTGCGCTTGAGTAGCTCCATACGCTTCTGCTCTAGCGACTCGCGCTCGCTGCGCTCGTGCTCGATCCGCGCCACCATCAGGGTGTTCTCATCGTCGTTGGCATGCTCCGGTCGCTGCGCGAGAAAGTCCTCGACGGGGATCAGGGGTAGTTGCTGGTAGGTGTGGCTGTCGGGTTGGTGGCGTCTCCGGTTAGCACTGGCCGCGCGGGTCCGGTCTGGGGAGGAGGGGAAGGGGAGCGGGGGAGGTGGCTGCTGGCGACATCGTCGTCTCGAGGCGGACGGAGCGCGTGCAGAACGGGGGCCGAACCCCCCTCCCCGAGGGCCCGCTGAGCAGGTAACTCACTCGTATGACTCGCAGGCCTTGATCTCGCCCTGCAGGTGCCGCTGCTCGTAATATAGGTTCTGTAGCTGCAGGTGTAGGCGGTCGACCTCCTGGCGCGCCTCGGACGTCTGGGCCTTCGTCTGGCGGGCGCCGAAGTAGGCGGCGCGGTGGAGGCCGCGGAGCTGAGCGAGGTTGGTTATGAGGAGCTTCTGCTGCTTCGACGTCTCCAGCTGCGCCTCCGCCGACGCGCTCTCGGCCGGCCCGGCCGCCGCGAGCTGGTCGACCAGGCTCAACGCCTGCACTCGAGTATCGCGCGAGGCATCGAGCACGGTCAGCAGATTCGGGTCGGTCACGACCTCGTCGACCGCCATCGCGGTGGTTCGGAGGGGGATAGTTGATGGTGCGCGAGATAGAAACCTGGAATTGGATACAATTGGGCGTCGGAGGTAGATCTCGTCGTTGTTGATTTGATGTTGGTATGGGGATACCTCCTGATTGGACATGGATACGCAGGTACCTCCCCTGACTCTCTCGCAACGTCACAGCCAGGAACAATCTTGATCCGATCCGTGGGGCACGTCCACGGCGGGCTCTCCATTCCCGAGATGGGTGGGGTCTGCACGTACGTCAGGCCGAGCTGCCCAGGTCGTCGGCAGTCGCGCTATGATTGGCGGAGGAGTGCGGTGTGGGCACCTGCGCCCGCCCTCTTGGCGCTATCATTTCCGCGATGTCGCAGCTCTGCTACATTAGGCAGGTACCGAGTGTAGTAGTACGTAGTACCTACGATACGCCTAGCGTAATGCTACTACTACTGCTGCCCCTATATCCCCTAATGTTGGAGCGCGGAGAGCATGTTGGGTACTTCATAGCGCCGGGCGCTCGAATCCCCCTACAGTGTGTCCACACCAATACGGATAGATCCTAGCCAGCTAAGATTGAAGCGGGAACATAGTCGAGCGTGCTCGGTGCGCCGGTGCATAAATAACACACGTTAATGGATCCATCTCTGCTCTACTGGCTTTTAAACGAGTTAGAAATAGGTGCAATCTACGCGCGCACCCGTATCGGAATCCGTTAGGAGGTAGGTACCTGAGACACCTCCCACCACAATACGGGTGCCTTTAGGGGGTATCTAGATACCTACCTCTACTATGGAAGTTCCGTGAGCGGGGTCGAGACAGTTCACGCTGCGTACCATCTATGAGTAGAGGCAATTTCCATCACCTTTCATCGGCCGTCTTATGTATCTCCTATGTATCCGCCCGCTTAGCCGATGACAAGTGATGCCCGGGTCCCGATTGTGTGGAGAGGGTGGGTCGATGGATGCCACCCTCAACGAACTTGTACATGTGGTTGCACTCATACATTTTGCCCTGACCTCATTTTTGAGATATTATCTAAGCTACCTCCCCCCCCCCATTCCCGCTCTCTCCTCCCCCTTGCATCCCTCCTCAGGCCAATAGTCTTCGTCGCCTCCCGCATGTGAATCTCGCTCTCCTCCCATCTTGTGTCCCTCGTTCTCGCTGTTCGGCGACAAGAACAAAGCCAATCTCACCGCAGCGCCTCGCATTCCTGACATCCAACTGGTCAGCCGCGTGCTGGTTGTCTTGTGGCCTCCTCTAGGGACTGGAGACCTCCGTCTGACGGCTCCGAAACGCCCAGCCCGCATTCTGCTCAGCCAGCACGCAACCCCGTCTCCCCCCAGCTTACGCCTCACTTCTGCCACCATGTCCTGCGCGCCGCCCCTCGTCTTCGAGTCCCACGAGGATCTCTCCGGGGCCAGAGTGTCTACTGCTATTGATCGAGACACCCTACTCCGCCGACGCCGACGCCATTCTTCTTTTATGCCCCAGCGACGACATTCGCTAGTTCAGCAGATCATGGACGGCGAGGAAGGCTTACTGCTCAAGGTTCATACTCCCCCTCGTCTCCTTCCCCTCCGAGCCGGATGGGCCGGGTTCTAACGAAGACAGGTCGACTTGTTTCTCTCCGAGCTGGAGAGGAGACTCGAATACCTCGAGGGCTACGGCGAGCTGATCGATCTCGACGCGAGCATTTCCAAAACCTTTTCAACCCTCCAGACAGTGCGCGAACGATGCTCCCAGGTCTCGGAGGAGGTCATCGGCGCCGGTCGGCGCCGACTACACGTCATGGTGGAAACCCTGGACACGAGATACCACGAGGCCCTCGACGCGGCCGAGTCGATGAACGAGAAGGCGAGGGTCGGCGTCGAGCTGCTCGACGCCATGCTCACTGATTTCGAAGCCCGCGTCCTCAAGTTCCGAGACCAGGGGCTTGCCGGCGCCGCCGACGCTGCCGAGAGCCTGATGGGCGAAGGCCGGAGGGTCGTCGACGAAAGCCTTGAGCGTGCCAGGGGCGTCGTGGACGACGGTCTCGAGCGCGCCTGGCGTGCCGCTGAATCCCTCGAGGAGCACGTCCAGAGCGCCATCACGCGTGCTAGGGAGAAGGGGCTCCTCAAGTATGAGGAGCTCCCAATTCCTTGGAGAGTCAACCCCCATATCCTCAGCGGCTATCGGTTCAGCGAGTCCAAACTCGGCTGCGTTCGATCCGTGTTCGGCGTCTCCAACGAGATGGTGAACATCTGGTCTCACGCGCTTGGCTTTGTACTCGTCTTGGCCGTCGCCTTCTACTTCTACCCGACATCGGCCAACTTTTCTCTCTACACCAAGACCGATGTTTTTATCGCTGCCGTCTTCTTCTTCGCAGCCTGCAAGTGTCTGGTCTGCAGCACCATCTGGCACACCATGAACTGCGTCGCCGATCAAACCCTGATGGAACGATTCGCCTGCATCGATTACACAGGCATCTCCTTACTAATCGCCGCGTCGATCATGACGACCGAGTACACCGTCTTTTATTGCGAGCCTATCAGCCGGTGGACCTACATAACCGCCACCGCTGTCCTCGGCATCGCCGGCACTATTCTACCATGGCATCCTAGATTTAACGGCCAGGATATGGCATGGTTGAGAGTTGGTTTCTTCGTAGGCTTAGGCGCCACCGGCTTCATGCCCATTTTCCAAATCGTCTTGACGCGAGGATCTGCCTGGGCATTTGAGTTCTACACCGGCTCCAACTTGCTCAAGTCCCTCTTGGTATATGTCCTCGGAGCCTGTGTCTACGCCAGCAAAGTTCCGGAACGATGGTTCCCCGGGGCATTTGACTACTGTGGAAACGCACACAACTTATGGCACGTAAGTATCGAGAATGCATTTGCCTTGGCGGTCTCTCACTAACATTCTACACAGCTTGCTGTGTTGGGAGGCATCTTATATCATTATGTTGCGATGCAGGAGTTCTTTTCCGGCGCTTTCCAACGCGCGCAAGAAGGGTGTCCGAATTATTAAACAGAGTCGCCGCTGGCTCTAGAGCGTAGTTACCCGGCTATCTACACCTTGTCCCCCCTAGAGCTGAATACAGGTATCGAGACTACATATAGTTCATACCCAAAGCGTCACCCGGCCACAATACCCTTCAACAAGCATTCCGACACATATTTTCTTCCCACGATACAAATTCAAGGCGATGTAGCCACAACGCCAATCCTCTCACGTATGGTCGGGGGACCAGATCGAAACACGCGCACCCCCAGCCGCGAAGTCACCCCGCTCGTATCCCATATCTATCCCCGGCTCGACAACACAGCCAAGGCTGGAGCCGAGGACAGCCGAGAAGAGAGGGCACCTTGGTGGCGGTGGGGGTGACACCGAGTACGCCGCGGGGAGGCAAAGCCGGCGTTTCAGGCGGACACCTCTAGGTTCTCTGCCTCGTCTGCGCTATCAGGCGAACAAATGCTCCGGGTCGATCCACCCTGAGCGAGCACATACCTCTGAGACAGCGGGTATGATTCATCACGACGGATAGGGAAAAAATGTCACTTTTTCCCCCGCCCCTATTCTCTCTGGCCGGGCTCCCCGGTCATCAGAATTCCGGCGTGACGGCGTCCCATTTAGCTACCTCCTACATAACGGGCAAGACGCGGACGTATTTCCCCCGCCCGGGCGCGCATCCTTTCTCATTTTGATTTTTTACCTTCCGGGCTACGGGGAGAGCGTTTCTCGCTTTCGTATTCGGAGTTTCCTATATAGACGCGTTGGCGGCAGCGGGGCAGGGGCGGCGGCGGCAACGGTGGTGGGAGCAGTGTAGGCGGAAAACGAGCGTCTCCGTACCGTGCGGGCGGAACGTGCTGCGTGCGCGCCTCGCGAAGCGGCGGGTACTGTATATACTGGTCGATAGGTCGAAGAAGGCGAAGAAAGAAAGAAGGAATAGTTACTCTTCGGGGTTGGCGGCGTGGGCCGGCTTTGGCTAACTACACGACGTGGGTAGAAGGAGAGGCGGCGGCGGGACGCGGGCGGCCGTCGTGCCCTCCGTCCGTTGGACAGGATCAGAGAGAGAGGGCGCGCGCATATAGACTAAACCGGGGTAGATCGAACGGGGCGAGTTGGATTGTTTTCGCGTCGGAGGAAGGGGAGCGGCATGTAGATACGAGGCTTACCCGGTGGATATGGAGATAGATATATATCTATCTATCTACATATCCATATATTCGCCCCACGGACCTTGTCGGAAACGCTACGGCCAATACCGTCTTCGCCTACCTAGTTTGCCTCGCCCTAACCCCCGTGCCTCTGTTCTCGCCTCTCTCCCCCTCGCTTTCGTCTCCTCTCTGTATCTTCCCGCGGGGGAGCCGACCGGAAAGGGGCCCAAGTCAAGTCGATGCCTACGGCAGCGTTTGCGGGCCCTTGCGACGCCGCGGCAACCGCATCCAGCACCCGCTGTCGAAGGTCCCCTCGCCTAAGCGAGGAGAACGAGAGAGAGAGAAGGGCGGAGAGTGGGCGACTCGGAGAGATAGAGACAGAGAGATGTGAGAGGAGAGCCGGGCGAGAGGAGGACAAGGGACGCGATACGTGGGAGCCTGCCATCGACTCGCCGGCGGGGAAGGGGGGGGAGACGGGTCCTGCACACACGCATAGGCTGGGCCGAGGGCCCGCCGCCCGACGGACGGAGACGAGACACGCAATCAGAACGGGGGGCACAAGGGGCCGCAGCCAATGGGTCTTGGGAGCCGGATGGTATATCGGTACGCGCAGCCCGCGTCGGGCGCGCTCATTAAATAGGGGTTTGTGGTGTAGTAGTAGCTAAAGTAGGTAGGTATCGTCGTGCCTGTTCCATCATGTGCGTCGCATTAAAGCCTGCCGTCGTTCCCTCTCTTCCGAAACGAGATCCTCTTCCCTTCGTGCCTCGTGAGATAGAAAGAAGAAGAAAAAGGAGAAATACATCCGAGAAATGCAATGCGTACAGTTACCTATTTCGTAGCCTCGTGAAAAGTGGAAATAGGAAGAAACAAAAGGCGTGACGCCGTGGTCCCGTACTTGAGCCTAGGCCTCTCTTTTTTTTTCCCCCTCCCCTTCGCGCCAGTCGTATTCATGTTCGTATGCATGCGTGTCGTCTAATATCATACAGATTTTGTCGTCACCGTTGTCGATTCTCGCCTTCTATGCATCATCAGTGCTGTGTGTTTGGTTAGGTGTACAGAGAAGTAGCGTTAGCTTCCCTCCTTTTGGGCTGTTTCATTCCCTCCCTGATCCCGCCAGAGATCTCTAAATGCATGACGGCGTGCTTGGTTATCCTATTATCCAAAGAGAAACTGCGTGTCTTTCGCTTTCCTCGGCTTCCAGGGTATGTATTATGCCGGGATCCCCTAGTGCCTTTGGACACAGGAGAGAGATCGCTATTTGTCACGAGGGGGAGGAGGGGGGTCCCGAATCGGAAGCAGCGGCTGTTTTGTTCAGCCGGCATCCTACGGCGTATAACTTGCTTTGCGTCAATGCTATATCATAGAGCATGCTTGACGATCTCTTCGTAAACATCGTCCGGGATCATCTTGATGATGGCCAGTGCGGTTCGCTTGATTACTTCTGCCTGCAAAGTCGGAAACGAACGGAGAAGCTTGTTAGGACTATCTGCCTGTTAGCATCCCCGTGCTGACGACTCGGCAGCTAGTTTTGGGAAGCACAAACCTCAGAGAGCTGAGGAGTTCATTTCGCATCATGATCAGCTGGGCGACGATGCAGATAATGTTCAAATGCGGCCCGTAGGCGAACAGGAAATCCCAGTGTTTCAAGACTTCGGGGAGAGGAGGGGTGCAGGCACAGAGGGTCAGGACGGACGGGAAGGCATAGATCTCGGCCGACAGACCCTTGGAGGTCAGGCGGTGGCTAAGCTTGGGATCCACAATCGCCAATACTTTGTCAACAAGGGCTAACCCGCGATGGACACCGTCCATCGCGCCCCGGATGTATCCTGGACACTCCTTGGTAAGTAGTCGGTAGAAGGCAGAGAAAGCCTCTGCCTCGCTACGGGCGGCGTAGAGGAAGGGAGCAGCGAGGACGTTCATCCCCTGCACGTAAGTTCCCGGCTCCGACGCGGTTGCGCTAGAGTCCTCGGTGGTAACCGTTAGGGCGCGACAGCGTCTCCTGACTACGGAGGAGGAGGTATCTGTCTGCGACATGTCGCTGCAGAAGCTGCTAGTGCTCTCGGGCGGCGGGGGGGATAACCTGCTGCTCGAAGGGCGGCGTTCTTCCTTCGCGTCATGGAGCTTCCAGGCGATAGCATTCAGAAGACGAATCAAGCTCGCCTCGCTCACGCGACGACGGAAGAGGGGGTCAGTGGTCAGAGTTCGGAACGTGTCATTACGGATCTTGGAATACGCTGGGGAGGCACCCCGATGAATGAGTTCGAGGTAATCGTTGGTCCTGACGATAGGCGCGTCGAGGAAGATGAGCCATACGTAGATTCTAGTTTTGGACTGGACGATGTTAGCTTCTTCCGTTCCGATAAAAAAAAAATTTTTTTCTCGCCGGGACAGCCGCACCATGCCATCGCCATCGCTCTTGATGCCCTGGTCTAGGACCTTCATGCGCGCGCTTTCCAAAGCGCTTCCGACATCGCCATTCGGAGGACCGTCCCGGATCAACCTGTCGAGAGACACGACGTCTGCGGCTCTCACCGTCCTGCTCAGGGCGGATCGCTTGCTGTTGAGGGACAGGAGGATGTTGTTGGCCAGGGCGGACGGGCTCATCGCGTCGGAGTTGGCTCTGTGCCTCTGGGCCGATCGACTGACGGGAGGGCGAGAGGAGGGCGAGGCGACATCGCCTTGCTGGATGTCTCGAAAGAGCTGCTGGGATATCAGAGACGGCTGGTTCCCGTTTCGAGCCATGGCACCGAGGTTATGTGCCGACTGTAGCTTGCGCAGTACTCTGTGGGTGTGAGGTGAAGGCGGGGAGTGGGTCTGGGTGGCCTCGGCGGTGTTGAAGGGCTGCGCATCGAGGGAGGGAAACGCGTCCCCCGTTGGGCTCGACATGGCGGCCACCGGTGGGCTTTAATGGCAGCGGGTGAGCTGGCGAAGACGAATAGGCTGGGACTCCCGTGGTCGACAAAGGATCATGTCGCTGCGTTGTCCGCGTACGTGTGTGTATTTGTGTAGTGGACGGTGGTGTTGAGAGGAGGAGGCGCTTAGGTAAAAGCATTAGGGCAGGAAATGCGAAAAAGACGGGTTTCCAGCCAGCTGCTTCGTGGAGGCGTTCCCCATCTGGCGGACAACAAACAACTGGCGGCGCCGCAGGAGGTTGGCCAGCCCGCAGCTCCCCCCCGGGTACTAGGTACTAGGTACGTACCCGATACCTGAGCACGCCGCCGGGGGGAGGTACCTGTAGTGCAATTACCTCGATGCGTTCGGTACGGAGCTACGGAGTTGGGTACCTGCACGGGTACTTGCGTGTAAGTACCTGCCCGGTGTCTCCCAAGGTTCCTCCGCAGGCTGACCCTTTTGGGAGATACCAGCATACCTATACCTTTGGGCCGTCTCGTCTGCACTCTGCCACTGCCCAATATTCTCGGTCGGTACGTAGGTATCTGGCCGTAGTCGGCAGCGTCGTGCAAGACTCGGGGTATGCACGCTGCCGCTACACGGTTCGAGCTCGACCTGTCGGCTCAAAGCGCGCGGCGCCTACATCGCAGGGCATCTCTATTTCAGGGTATTATATTCCAAGGTACCTCCACTTCCGGGTGTGATGCCGTGGTGCCATTGCCCTTGTGCACCCATTCCTCAACCTGGATGGGTACTGCTAGGTTACCTATACCAACGGAAGAGGTGTAGAGTATACAGGCAAGGCGTGTAATGCGGGCTAATCTGCAAGATCGTCATAGCACAACCCGCTGTATAGGTACTTTATAAGAAAGACACATGTGTGGCATATCGTCGTCCGTAGTGTCTGCCGGCAGGTCAACGGAAGCGGCCGGCCACCTCCCTCGGGTCTCCCAAGCTGTGTGATTCGTGATTCGGTCGCGCGCCCCTATTCAATATTTATGGTCTCCGGGAGTCTGCAAGGCACGGCTGCTCCGCAAAAAAAAAATAATTTTTTTTTCTCTTCCCTCCTTCGTCCTCTTCAGGTTTGTGTAGGGGGATGCCGTCATCGGTCACCGACCCGAGGAGAAGGACCGAATCTCCATCGGTATTCGTTACGGAGATATCGGCACGCGGGCCTTGTTTTGGCTGCTGCGTCGAAGCTTTTTAGCTGGTGGTAGCCGTCAGAACTGAACGGATAATTAGGTTAGGTAGTTAGCGGATGCCGTTCCCACCTCCATCCTAATGATATGAGCACGCTATTCCAGAAGATTGACTACCGCGCCAAATATGACGTATCCTCTGGCGGTCATACTTACACATATTCCCCCCCTCTCCTAGCTAATTTGGTCGGTCGGTAGGTAGATAAGACGAGAATCTGCCTGTGGTAAGCACGTAGGCCGGTAGGCACCTGACAGGACCGTCGACGCCATCTACGAACTAAAGCCGAGTGTAGCTACCTAGCAATGTCATCAGACACCGACGCGGTCACGTCATGGAAGCTGAGATCACCAGGTGCTATTCGCGGGCTCCCATTGGCTGTGCGCGCCGCCTTTTTGCCTAATTCGGCACCTGCTCCCCCCACCCAGCAATACCTGGGTGCCTCCTACCTAACTACCTACCTCCTACCTACCTTCGTTACTTTCTATAGGTACAGAGGAGGCAGGTACCTAGGCAGGTACGGTAGACTCACGACTCTGTGCCTATCTCGAGTCCTCTCTTTTCTGCTCCTATCCGTCAACATCCGGCCAGCCGGAGGCCAGGCCCACGCCTGTGACGAACACCTCCGATGCTCAGTGCCGCTGCACGCCGTGATCGACCCGTCGTGCTTTTCTACTCGGTTCCTCGCCGCCGGTGCCCTGTCGCCGCTGGGTCTATGTGTGTCTCGAGTCTCCGCAGTGCTCCTCCCCTCCTTTTCTCGTTCCCACGAAGCTTCGGGTGCTAGGAACCGAGGTCTTTTTGAGAAAGACCGCATCACGAGTCTCGGTCTCGCACACAGAATTGCTGCTATATACCCGTCATAGATGTAGATGACGCATGCCGTCCGACATTGGACGGACGCCTTTCTAGCATGTAGCCGCAAGAGGTGAGAGTCCTTGACGCAACTAACGCTCTTAGCCGCGGGCCTAAGCTGAACCGCCGCCCTCCTTTCCCTTCGCTAGATGGGACCGCTTACGGTACCTCGTGTAAAAAGTACGCTGACCATGAAAAAGGACACAACTTTAGTTAGATTCCATGCGGTATAAAAATTACCATTGCCGCCTCCTCTCGTTGAGCTTCGCCCGCGGGCTTAACTGCGAAAGCGCTGTGAGACTCGGTTCGTACCACGGAAGGCCAGGCCAACCTGCAGCTCTCCCTCTATCCTTTGATTCATGCCGTATCGAGAGAGAGATCACCGACTGATGAGTATAGCCACCTAGGAAATTCACTGGGATCGAGGGATCGCGACGTATGTGAATAGCTAAGCAGCAACATCTCGCCTATCTGGGCTGCTAACTTTACCTCTCTCGACAGTGCTGCGTGTACACGCCGTGTCTTTGCAGCCTCGTAGCTCCGGGGCCTCCTCAACTCTATACTACCTAGGTAGCTATACACAACTTCTCCCCTTATGCCTGTTTATCCAAAAGTCACGGTGCCATCTGCCGACCGCCTTAGACGTAGCCTCTGTTCGACAGAAGCTGGTGACATCAGCCTCTTATCTTCCACTGGAAGTCTTTAATAGCAATGCCTTCCGTAAACCAACTAGGCCACAATTTGGCTAAACTTCTAGGCATAAAGCTCGAGGATCCTGAAGGCGAAACCGTAACCAGCGGAGAGTCGATCCTTTCGGCCAACACCGCCGATGGCTTCATCGAGCGGCAACCTACAAGTAGAGAATGGCTGGCCGATATCGCACCGTCGAGGCGCGATCTAGCCGCCTACCTCCGTTCTCTGTTCCCATTTCTGTCCTGGATCTGGTTCTACAACCTGCAATGGTTCATTGGCGATCTCGTCGCGGGTACATCTTCCCTGCCATACCACCACTGTTCGCACCGTAACTAACTCCGTGCAAGGTGTCACCATCGGTGCCGTCGTGGTGCCGCAAGGCATGGCCTACGCAAAGTTGGCTAGCCTCCCAGTAGAATTTGGGCTATATTCGTCATTCATGGGAGTTCTCATCTACTGGTTTTTCGCGACCTCGAAGGATATCACCATCGGAGTGAGTGGGGGGCTGCCCGTTGAGACTGCAAGTCTTGCTAACAAATGACAGCCTGTTGCCGTCGTATCCACCGTTACTGGGAATGTCGTCGCCAATGCCGTCGAGAGGCTTCCGCAATATACCGACACTCCGTGGGTCATCGCGAGCGCGCTCGCTCTCGTGTCTGGCGCCGTCGTGCTTTTCATCGGGCTCATCCGGTGCGGTTGGATCGTCGAACTGATACCGCTGGTGTCTCTCGCTGCCTTCATGACGGGATCGGCCATTAATATTGCCGCTGGCCAAGTCCCCACGATGATGGGCATCACCGGCTTCTCCACTAGAGATTCGACGTACCTCGTCATCATCAATACCCTGAAAAACCTAGACAAGTCGGACTTAAACGCGGCTATGGGCCTGACCGCGCTCGTGATGCTCTATCTTATCCGGTTTTCGTGCTCGGGGGCGGCGAAGAAGTTTCCCAACCATCACAAGTTATTCTTCTTCCTATCCACGTTGAGGGCCGTCTTTGTTATCCTGCTGTACACCATGATCAGTTGGCTGGTCAATATGAACCGCCGCAAAAACCCGGCTTTTGCAATTCTGAAAGATGTTCCCGGAGGTGAGGATCATACCCAGGCTTTATCAGCTGCTGGCATTCTCACACTCGATAGGTTTTCGGCACGCTGCCGTTCCCACCCTCAATTCTGACATCATTGAGTCATTTATTAGTGAGCTACCTGCGACAGTTATTGTTTTGCTCATAGAACATATTGCCATTTCGAAATCTTTTGGTCGTGTTAACAATTACACGATCAACCCCTCACAGGAGATGGTTGCCATCGGCGTAACCAACGTCCTGGCCCCCTTTCTTGGCGGCTTTCCGTCGACTGGCTCGTTTAGTCGTACTGCGATCAAGTCGAAAGCTGGTGTCCGGACCCCCTTTGCCGGTGTAATCACCGCGATCGTGGTGCTGCTGGCCATCTATGCGTTGACCGCCGTCTTCTATTATATCCCTTCCGCATCCCTTGCCGCGGTGATTATCCATGCCGTCGGAGACCTGATCACGCCCCCAAATACGCTCTACAAATTCTGGAGGGTATCGCCTATCGAGGTCTTTATCTTCTTCGTCGGCGTGATCACCACCGTCTTCTCCACCATCGAAAACGGCATCTACGCCACCGTCTGTATCTCCTTCGCCGTGTTCATATTTCGAGTCCTAAGATCACGCGGCAGATTCCTTGGCAGGGTCCAGGTGCACTCGGTGCTTGTCGACCGGCTCATCGGCAGCGACAACAGCGTGGTAGGCAAATACGGCACCTTCAATGTGGCCGATTCTAGCCTGTCGCCGCCCACGCGCAACATTTTTCTCCCTATCGATCACGGGGACGGTTCAAACCCCGCGATTAAGGTTGCCAGTCCCTCCCCCGGCGTCTTTATCTACCGCTTTTCTGAGGTATTCAATTATCCTAGCGCCAGCAGTACCCTGGATTATCTGACAAGGCACATACTTGGCCATACGCGGCGCACCGAATCAGATGTCTACTTACGCCCTGGCGACCGGCCGTGGAACGATCCGGGTAATATGGGGAAGCTTGGAGAAGACAGCCTGCTGCCGACGTTGAAAGCCGTCATCCTAGATTTCAGCTCGGTCAACAACGTCGATGTTACTTCGGTGCAGCAGCTGATCGACGTTCGCAACCAGCTAGACCGGTACACAGCGCCGGATGTCGTGGACTGGCACTTCGCATGCATCAGCAATCGGTGGACGAAGCGGGCGCTCGTATCCGCCGGGTTCGGCTACCCGACGCCGCGGCCGGATGGCTTGCACTCGCGGTGGAAGTCTATCTTCAGCGTCGCCGAGATTGGCGGCTCAGACTCGGCCGCGGCCGCGGCCGAGTACGACGCCAACGAGAAGGAGATCCGCACACACTCCCTACCTACCACTGTGCCGAGCTCGACCAGCCTATTCCACGCCTCTCTGGGCACGAGCGCAGCCTCAAGCATCACCAAAGCTGTCCCGAAGTACAAGGGGATTGAGGTAGGCAACAGAGGGGAGTCTAGGCGGGTAACCGTGCACGGGCTCAACCGCCCGCTCTTCCACGTCGACCTCACGAGCGCGCTGCAGAGCGCCATCGCGAACGTGCAGGCCCGGGACGACATCGAGGCCTCCGGTGGGCCCCACGTCAGCATGACGGTATGAGGACGAGATGGGGTAGATGGGCGCGGGCGCGACACAGAACAATTACTACTTGGCTGCGCTAGAGGCCTCCACAAACCGGCGCGTACTTGTCGAGATGTCGACAGCGGAGCAGCCGCCTGCTCGACGTGCCAACCTAGTAAAACCCTAGGAACTGGCCATACGTACTTACATGCGACCGCATATCTACTTACGTCCACCCCGGAATCTCCTTTCTTCACTCACTCTCGGTGAAGACCGATGTGAGGAATGAGGCGCGACGGGCGGCGCTACCCGCCGAAGCGGCACCGGGGGGGGAGGTGAAACGAATTAGCGCGAGAAGGGAAGGGGAGGGTCGGGGCCGGGCCGGGCCTGGGGCGGCCAGATGTGGTCCCCCCCCCCCCCGGCGGGAAATTATCCAGGACGGGGCAAGCCTGGGGTGTGATAGGTCAACGAACTTCCCCTACTTTGGCCGCGGGGCTGCCGCCGCATCGTCGAATTACCCCCCGCCCCCGAACCGCTGTCGCACGTATACCTGCCCACCTCCCACATAGATTGGGGTCAGGGAGATGAGCTGGACGGGCACGTTACGCGGGCGACGACAATACCAGACGAGCCGCACTAGGGTCGCCAGCCGGGGTTTGATAAATTTCTGTTTATTGGGTAATTAATCAACCTGGATACGCAGTCGCGCTGCTCCCCCTCCCCCAATAAGTTCGGACGACCGGCCGCCTGAGAGGCCATCGCAGGAGTGGGCGCGAACGAGCGAGGTTGCCTCCGTGGGGCGAGGGGAGTCGGGGAGCGGGCGTCCAGGGCGTCACGGAGAGGAGAACGAGGAGGAGAAGCAGCGAAAGAGGTGGGATGCGCAAAGGGCTAATAGACATTGTGCTGTATTGTATCGTATCGTAGAAGCAAGGCGCGAACTAGAGATCTATCTATCTAGCTATATACCCCGAAAGGAGGCGCGAAAGGGAAGAAGAAGGAGAAGAAGAAGAAGAAGAATAGAAAGCAGCTAGCTCTAACGAGTAGGCGTTGATGTAGCTGTAGTGATTTCCATTTCTAGTGATATGTTTTGTCTCTTTTTTTCTTTTCCCTCGAGGGAACCACCAAGATCTAGGCCGGCAGGTAGGTATAACGAAGCGTCCGCTTCCTCTTCTCCGAAGAGCCCCTCCCCTCGTAGCGATCCCGCATCGCACGATAGGGGGAGGGAGAGGGGAGGGGGAAGGATAAGGAGGCGCTGGCGCCCGAAGCAAAAGGAAAGCAAGCAAAGCCGAACGAGGCCCGCCCAGCTGTCGAAGCTGCGCGGGACGCGAGCGGCGGGGGAAAAAGAATAAGAATCAGAAAACAGAAACCTGTCCGTGAGCGGCGAGCGGATCGCCCGAAAGAGAAATCTAAAAGTGTGTGCCCGATTCTAATTCCGATCCCGTAGCCCCCTTCCCTCCCTCCCGGAGGCCGTGTGCTCCCTATGTAGTGGTAGTGGAAGTGAAGTGACGAGGAACTAGCTCGCCGGTGAGGGGAAAAAAAAGAAAGAAAAAAGAGACAGGAACAAGAGAGTAAGAGGAGGGTAGGTATACGCGAGCCGCATCAGTCTTCCTTGCCAACGCGCTGTTGTCCCGCTTCAACTCGTACCGCCTCGCCACCCGGCCTCGCGTCTTCCTCTGCCCCTCGCCCTCCCTCTCCCTCGTCCTCGTCCTCTGCCTCTCCCCCTGCCCCTCGCCCGGCCCCGTACTCCGCTACCCCTCTCCGCGCCGCCCGCCTCTGCTGCTGCCGTTGCGGCCGCGCGCCGCGATCTCAGATGCTCTACCAGGGCGCGCAGCCGCGCGCGGTACGACGCGGGGGCGCCGAGCGCCGCGACCCGCGCCTCGACGGCGGCGAGGTCCTCGATCCAGGGCGCCAGGACCTCGGGCGGGATCGACGCGAGCACGTCGACGACGAAGTTGCCGTCGCGCGCGCCGACGAGGTGCCAGTAGAGGTTTGCGCTCTCGCGAGGAGCGGCGGGCGCCTCGCCCTCCCCGTTCGGCAGCTCGCCGCGGTCCGCCCTTGCGTCGGCGTCGGCGTCGTCGGCATCGTCGAGGTCCGCCGCGAAGTCGAGCACGACGCGCTGCAGCACGCGCACCGCGGCGCGCGCCGCCTCGCGCAGCTCGGCTGCCTTGAGCGGACGCGCCGTCGTGTGGATCGCGGCGTAGAGCTGCCGCGCCACCGCCGTCAGGTGCGAGGCGCACCACGCGACGTCCTTCGGCTTGGTGCTGTCGCTCCCCCACACCCCCCCCTGCCGTACCGAACGCCCTCTCCGGGCGTGCTGCCCCAGCCCCGCGAGGGCTGCCTCGGCGCGTCGCAGCAGGCTCCGGAACCGCAGCACCTGCCCCGCTCCGCGTCGCCGCTCGTCCGCCTTTACCGCTGTGAGGAATGACTCGAAGACGTCGTCGTTGCGCAATAGCATACGCGCGACCGTCTGCTCGAGGTCGCCTCGTCGAACAACGCGCCCGCGCCCAGCGCCGCCGCGGCGGTTGCGGTCCCAGTCCCGGCGGTCCTGGTGTGCGCCGCGATAGAGGCGTTGATGGTTGTTGTCGTTGTTGTCTTCGAACAGGTCCGGGCGGTACGCTTCAGCCGGCACATCGCTGAGCGTGGCGAGCAGCTCCCGCGTCTCCTGGACGCGGCGGGGGCTCGGGCCGTCTCGGCGTACAGCATCGTCGTCACTATCGTCGTTATTATCATATCTGTTGTCGTCACCGCCGTCGTCGGGGGTAGGGCTGCCGACGATGCCGCAATGTAGGCAGTCGGCCAGCATATCGAGGTGGAAGGCAGCGATGGCATCGTAGGGGTTCTCACCGAGAGCGGCGGCGTGGCCGTGTGGGGAGAGGGGTAGGAGCTGCGGCTGGTGCTCGCCGAGGACTTGGGCGGCGATGCGGTCGAAGAGCCAGAGGATGTGACGGCAGGGACGCTCGTCGCCATCGTCGCCCTCGCACGTGCAGCTCGGCACGCCGTAGCCGCTCTGCGCGGTGCCCGTGCGCACCGTGTACTCGACAGGCTCGGTGATGAGGAAGAGGCAGCGCTCGTCGCCTGGCTGGCAGCCGCGTAAGGCGAGCTGCGACGGCACCTCGACCGCCCGCGCGACGTTGTCACGAGCTTGCTCGTCAAGCAGATCTAAAGAGTACCGGAGCCCCGAGGGGGAAACCATGATCCCGTCTTCGTCGATGTCGAACTCGGGCTCGGCGTCGGACTCAGAGAAAGAAACGCTCGAGTCCTCCATCTCCTCTTCTTCTTCACTCTTTATTAGCTGCCCCTGGAGCTGCTCTTGCTCCTGGGCTAGCGCTTGCGCTTGCTGATATTGGTGGGGATGTTGTTCTTGCTGCTGCTGCTCATGCCTCCGGCTCTGGAGGCGGGTGATGGGCGGCATGCTTTCGAGTGCAAGCTCCCTGAAGCGCTCCGTCGGGGAGGAAGACATCAAGGAAAAGAAGACAGAGATGAGGGGGGGGGGGGAATGAAACGAGCACGGTACCCGAGTATGGGGGACTCTCGATCGTTTCATTATGTATCCGGACGCGATTGGACTGATATATATAAATTTGACTTACCACAGAAGGCATGCGTGGGGCGAGGGAGGAGTCCGCCTGGTAAGATTCGGCTACGATGAAAGGAGGCGGCCCGGCATTCAGACCCCTCGGTCTATGTTGGTTCGGCGTGTGTCATGCTTGCACCTATTCGGCCCAAGCTGCACACGGGGGAATAATGGCGGCAGGCGCGGTGAGAGACGAGCAGGGTGAGAGATGGCGACGAGGCCATCCCTAATGCGCGTGTTGCCCGGTGCCCAAATCAATCGAACGACCAGAAGGGGAGAGGAAGAGACGGCACGTTGGCCGGCGGCGTCCCATCGTCGATGTGACACGCAGAAGCCTGCGAGACGCATGCTCGCTTCGCATCCACTCCGGCTTGCTTGCCTTGCAAACCCGGAAGCAAGTTTAATGATCGAGGCGCAAAACCACGCCGCCGCCGCCGCCGGCGGTGCCCTGTCTGCAGATCTGACGGTGCCACGCTAGTCGTCCTCCAATGACACGGCTCTGCGTCGCGCAGTTTGTCCCGAAGAGGGATCGTAGCAGACCCGAGGGAACGGATAGCTGTGGCGATTCCGAAAACCGACACGTCGGTACGCATCTGTCGAGAGGGAAGAAAGACGGCGGTCGACGATGATGCCTGGAGTTGCAAACGACACCGACATGGCCGCGCGAACGGGCCGGGTGGGTCGCCTTCAGCCACAGGCGACGACCGGGGTCGTGATTGGCGCCTCGAGTGGCAGTTCTTGGGGGGAGAGGGACTCTCTCGTCAGTGCCATTCGGCTCTGCTATGCCCTTTCTGCCTTGGAGAAAAGAGGGACGGGGCCGTTGCGGCCTTGGACAAGCATATAAAGTTGGATCGTGGCCCTCGATGCGGCCGTCACACAGTTGCGGCCCAGTTATCCAGTGCTTGATGCCGCTACGGGCCTCATTTACGGCCTCAAAGCCTTCGAACTAGGCCGGGCTTGGCGCGGCCCTGTCGTCAAGGCGGCCAGCAAGGCTTCTCACTCTCACTCTCACTCTCCGTCTCTCTCTCCCTACGTGCATCCGTCTCACTCTTCCTCCATCTTACACTCCTTGCACTCCCACACACTCTTCTTGCACACGTCCTCATGCTAACGTGCACGCTTACACGATCTCGCGCCCCCTCCACCGTCGCTTTCTGCGAGTCAATGGTTTCGGGAAGGAAATCAATGAGGGCTCCCACCCCCCCCTTGTTCGATGGCCCCAACAACCGAAATCTACCTAGGTTGTCCTGCCGATACCTATCGTGCTATCGTGCTAACATGTTTCCTCCAGCGCATAGGTACCTAAGTGGTGCCGTGCATATCATCGGACTTGCGCATCGTCTCGATATCAGGTGATGTCTTCATGGCCGAGTTGGGGGTTCTCTGACATACCCTGGGCGCCCATGTTACCTATTTGGGAGAGGGGGTCGAGGGGATGTGGAGGGGACACATACCTAGGTACCTACCATCCACCGCAGGACTGGCGACAACGCCCCGGAAGCATCCTTTGCGCGCGGCCCCCAACTCGCGTCACTACTTTTATGCCCGCTTACGTCCCCAAATCTACGAAATCAGATCTCCAGGGGCTGTAGAGCCCCCCGATAGAAAGAATTTCGGTATGTCTTGGATAATTAAAGAACAAGAGCTATAAAAAAAAGGTAGAGAAAAAAAGATATGAAAGATGAGGTACGGGAAAAGAGAGATAAACACCGCCCCGGAAGACAGAACAACTCAGGAATTGCCTAACTCATCTCCTTATCTACACCCCTCCCCCCCCCCTTCCCCTCCGCCTTATTCCCACCTAGCTGCGATGCTGTCTAGCCTCGGTGTGGAGAGCATACACGTATGCTACACCTACACCTACGCCTGCACATACACCTCTCCGTGCGCAGAGACAGGTGATATGCGTATCCACCTCCACCACCTCACGTTACACGCGCCGTGCCCCGATTCTGTATCTACTACCTGTTAGCAGCTGGGCCCTGTCCCAACCCGGGTCTAGTCAGCGACTCCGCCCCCGTCGCCGGGCCCCCGGGAGAGGCCAGCCAGGCCAGGTTCCCTCGTGTCCCTTCGATCCCGGTTGGGAGGGCGGGGAGCGCGTGCCCCCAGCGTGAGGACGATTCTAGAAGACCCGTTGCTCGGGCGTGAACCGTCGACGTGCTGCTGGTGCCGGCGCTGGCGCTGGCGAGCGAAGATGGGGCGCGCTCGGGCAGCGAGGCAGTGGTGGCAGCCGGCGTCGATCCGTTCGGGAACAAGCCAGCAAGCGAGCAGGCAGGTCGCCGCCGCCGCCGCTGTCGTCACTCCCTGGTCATGCTGCTAGTAGACAGGCGGGGAGGCAGGTAGGTGACGGGCGCTGCGCCACCTTGCTCTACCGCTCTCCCGCCCCGTTTTCCCTTTCCTCCTCCTCCTCCCCCCTCGCCCTGTTCCTTCTCCCGTTTCCCCTTCCTCTCCTCCCTTCCTCTCCCCATCGCTTCTTCTTCCCCCCGTTGCCTCTCCTTCCTCCCTCAAACACCCGCCCTTCCGGTGCTTTCCTTACTCGTAAGCGGCTCACTACGTCACTCTCACATGTCATCACATAAGCCCAACGTGCCCATTCCCGATACGCAATGAGGGTAAGGCGGAAAGGGGTCGTGGGCAGTCGCGACGCGGTGGCACCAGACCGGCTGTCCTAGGCGATCGTCCTGGGTCCGGAAGGAAGGAAGGGTGGGGGGGGTGTCGCACGCGTATCCGGACGAAGGAGCAGCAACTAGCGCAAGCAAGCTACTACCTACTGCCTACCAACAACATCCCGCAGACCAAGGACGCGGCTGCAGCTCTTCGTCGCCGTCATCCAAGAAGGCGGCGAAGTCTCTTGCTCACCGTTACTTCTCTCTCACTCGCCCCCCCCCCCCCCTTCCCTCTTTCTCACGTCCACGCCGCTTCCCAGTTGGGCTACGCTGCTGCTGTTGCGCAGCCATGATCTGCCCAGACGTCTACCCAACTGCCCATACCTCCTACCAGGTACCTAGGTAGGTATGTAGACGCCTGCCTACCTGTACGGCCGTCGAACCCAACCTGTAGAGGTAGGTTAGGTACCCGTCCTCGAAAGAGAGCAACCCGTAATCCGCAACCCGCAGATGCCTCGCGCGCGCACGCGCGCCTACCTGCCTAGGCACTCGCGTCGTCCGCTCGTAGAAGACTACCCCTTCCTCTCCCCGCCTCTTTCCTCTCTCTCTCTCTCTCTCTCTCTCACCGCCACGCCGGAAAGGCATCCACGCCACTTGGCATGTGCGTATGCGCCTGAGCGCGTGCGTGCGCGTGACATACGTGTAAGCCGTAAGCCGTCGGCCCCAAAGTCGCGCTCGGCAAACCCCCCCATGGCATCGGGTTGCCGACGCGCCCGTGTGCACCACCCGACGGCCAACCAAGTCAAGGGGGGGCAAGAGAGAGAGAGAGAGAGAGAGAAACCTCAGTAGTAACCACAAGCGTGGTGACGACTTAGACACGTGAGGCTAACCACTGTTATGCTTGACTCGACTCGGCTCGACGGCGTCTACCTACGTGGCTAGCAAATCGGCAATCTGCTGGATACCTTAGAAAGCGAGGCAATACCTAGAATGGTAAAAATGTCTATAAAGAGCGCGACTTGATAGCGGTGGAGACCACACTACTCTGCTAAATAGAATACAACCCTATAGTATACCCTTTGACTGTTCGTCGTCGTCGTCGTTTTGGGGGCTTTTTCTCTTTTCCTTTAGAAGCGAGCGGTCTTCCTCGTGTAATTCCCGTATAACCCATTATCCCTCTCGAAACCCTATAACCGAATGGAAGAAGATAAAAAAGGACCCTAGTTCCACTTCTCCTAGGGGGCCTGCTCGATGGGCGCGCATGTCCCCCTTGTCGCGCTCACGAGCCAGCAACCCTTCAGACGCAGCAGTTTGATGCTACTCTAACCTTGGGCTCCGCAGCAAAGAAGCAATAGCTACCGCAATTGCTGCCCCAGACAGGATAGACTCGCAGTCGGAGAGGGATTATAATTCCCTGTTTGTTTGTCGTGACCAAAGAATGTGGAGGCGGTCTAAGCCGGGTAGTCTCCCTGTGCGGGTTTCTTCCTTTACAAGGAAATCGTTCCCTCACTTCAGCTACCCGCGTATGCTGATAGCGTGATCTCACAACGTGCTGTCCCGAAACGCCTCCAAAGCTTCCAAGACCTGCTTCAGGCTCGGGCGCCCGTAGAAATTCTCGTTCCGCTCCCCCGTCAGACGTTGCGATTCTCTCAGATCGAGAAATTGCTCCGCCACCTCGATCTCAGTTGACCAGAAGCTCCTCGCAGCTTTCTTGACGTCCTCTGCCGTCTGCTCGTCGACGTCCTTGGAGGTCAGGACGAGCTGGCTATGTCGTCTCGCAATGGCATTGCTCAGCGTCCCCCTCCGGCCGTTCGTGCAGTCGTCAATCAGCTTCCTGATCGCGGGCGGGGTCCTTCGGTACTCGGGAAACTCGAGGTCGGATTCCCATCTGTAGGATTGCCATACGGCTGCCTTTTGGGGGCCGCTCACGCCCTCGAAGATGCACCACAGCACCCTCCCAAGCATGTACACCTCGGCAGCCTCCTGCTCCACGGCGCTGAGCGCGATCCAAGGCAAGTTGAATCCGAATTCCGGGTTCGAGTACCGTTCGTCCTCCAAGCTCTCGAAAGACGGGACCAGCCTCTCCAGCAACTTCTTGTATTTCTCACCCACGTGTTCGGGTACGTTCTCGTCGGTCGCGAGCAGACGGACGTATTCGATAGCGTTGACCTCCGGGGCGGCAAACTCGCACCAGACGCCCCTCTGCTCAAAGTCGATCATGATGATATCGGACTGCTCGGACAGGACGATGTTGTCGAGACGTAGGTCTGGATAGTACGTCTCCGAGCGACTCTTGAGGTGCTCGAGAGCTCGAGCTAGCTGAATTGACCACTTTAATTGATCCTCGCGCCGCAGCTGGCCGTTGGCACGCAAGAGGGGCAGGACGTCCCGAAGCGTGCCCTTGGAGTGGTAGAACGTAGTGAAGCCGGCGACAGCTCTCTTCGTCCCGAAGTTGCACTTCTTCGTGACGATGTGGATGGGCCGAGCGATAATGTTATCATGCGGCTCTAGCGTGCAGAGCGTCCTCAACTCGTGATAGAGATACTTTGCCCCGCTCGTCAATGCCTTGAATATGTATAGCTGGTCGCGGATCAAGACGAGACAGACGCTGTCGTGCAGGACCCTGACGACGTGCAGGTCGAAGAAGTCGACGACTTCGGGAAACGGGAAATCTGACCCCCAAAAGTAAGTCAGCCTCGAGAGAGGCAGCAGCTTCAGTTCCAAGTTATGATTGAGGCCGACCTGCACCCTGACACGATGCGTATCGAGCGACATGTTCTCTAGGACGAGACGCGAGCCAAAGGGCACACTTCTATAGAAGCTCTCAAAGGCCTCTAGGCTCGGGAAGGCCTTCTCCGTCCATATCTGCAGGATCCGGACGATGTGTCTCGCGATGGCGAGTCGGGGTAGTCGGACGGAGTCCTTCGTGTGGAAAGCCTTGTGGAGGTCGAGCTGCTCGCGGACGAGAGAGGGCTGGTCGTCGGAAACGAAGACGTCCATGCGTATGGGAGGGACCCGCTCGAGGAAGAGCGGGATGACGTAGTACTGGGTTCCCAGGCCGGCGCAGCCGTCGACACGCCATAGGGGCTTGTCGGGGAAATCGAGGCTGTCGATGCGGTTCTTGGGGTTCAGCAGGGAGCCGTCCCACGAGGGAGCGGGATCGTAACCAGCGACGGCGCCGGAGCCGGACCCGGCTTCGGGCTCCGAAGGCGTCTGGTAGAAGGCCGCGGTAGGGTGGACGACCTCTCCTATCGCTTTCGACGAGAGTTCCATGTTTCTCTTCTTTCCCGCGAAATCGACGTTGCTCTCGAAGGTCTGGACGGGCTCGGACGTTCGCGGGAGAGGGCGTCTGGGGTGAGGTGGGCGGCACGCGTACGATGGCTGCGGAGAGGTGCGAATCGAGGCGATCCCGAGCTGCGTGGGTTCAGCGATGCAGAGACCGTGCCCAAAGCTGCCCAAAGAGAACGAACAGGCTTGCTCGAGCTGGCGCGGCTGTATTGGTATGGAGGAAAGGGCCACTTGACACTCTTCAAGCGGGCCGTAGCACGAGCCATATCCCCTTGATTTTCGTCTGGATTTCCTCGATCCGAACCCGCCAGGGTGTCGAGGTACCGACCGGTACCCCGTTGCTAGACCTGTACATGCGTGTATGCATGTATGTATCTCTACCTGGGAAGGGGCCGTGGTTAGAGGCGGCAGAGCGTGAGGAAGGAGGTAGGTACCCGACGGGCGCAGGCACGATAAGACGACACAGCGGCGGCGCGCGAGACGCACATGGCGGCACCGCTGCCTCGAAGGGAGTACCTGGTTCTTCGCCCTGCTGGGTCGGCGAGCGGGAAGCCGAGAGTCGCACGACGCTCCTCCGCGGGCATCTCGTCGACATCCTGGGGGTCACTTCGCCACCGGGGAGAACTAGGACTTACAGAGAGGCGTGACCGTGGGAGATGTCCAATACGACCCGACCTGCTATTTCGGCAACTGCTGGACTGCCCAAATGCGCCCCGGGCGGAGGTAGACGCGACGCTCGTGGCGGTCATGGGCGACCTGGCGGGTAATTTTAGCGACGGAGCAGGCCCAGCTAGTGCTTCTCTTCCGCCGTATTTAGTCTCTCCCCGTCCTGAGATGTCAGCATCGGCCCAGGTCAGTAGAGTCGTCCCAGGGTAGGTCGGTGCGAAGGCAGTCGTGCACGATCCGACGGCTCAGCAGAGACTGCTGGGGACGAAAACCGGGTGGAGGATAGGATCGCGATGAGCTCGAAGCCAGAGCCATAGAAAAGAGAGCCTGTGCTGACCGAATGCCTGACCGGATGCAAGCCATCCTTTTTTGTTTTTGGCGCTCGCGGGAGTCGGCCCTTAAAAAAAGAAAAAAAAAAAAGTCGAGGCAGGGAAAAAAAGCAAATATAGGGGAACGCAGAGAGTTTCCAGGTCTGATTGGATGTAGACGTCGCTTTAGCTCCGCATTTCTGCTCGTGCCTATACTCTCCTCCTCTCCTCCTCCTCTCCTCCTCTCTGTCTCCTCTCCCACCTATCCACCGCTTCCTGTTCCCTTCTCGCTACCTGTCACCTACCTGCCCTGCCCGGCCGCCCGCCTCCCCGCCAATCTACCTGTAGACACACGGACCTACGCGAGCTGCTGAGGTTGGGGAGTGGTGGCGGGCGTCCGACGTGGGTATGTATGTATATGTGTAAGTAGCATGTAGGTCGTGCCCAATGTAGCTAACCTGCAAGTATAACGGGAAAAGCACGGCGAGGTGTTGGTGTGGAGTTGCTGACATCGCCGCTACTGATGCCGCCGATATTACTGAGGCTGGCGCGAACTCGATAGCTCGGACGGTATCCATGTAGGCAATGCTTTTCTCAGTGGGAAGAAATGTCCATTACATAGGTATGTAAACAGGCCGGTAAAAACAAAGGGGGGGAGGGCGAGAGGGGGGAAAAAAAAAAGGAAGAGCGAGAGGGTAAGAGGTAGGCTGGAAGATAGTAGTAGGCAGGGTGTTGCTTCGTGGGAGGTCTTACATAGGTAGTAAGGTTCGTCAACGAGTTGACTAATAGAAACCCCCTCCGATGCCCTCCATCCGCAGTCAACGGCGGCGCGCGGATGCGTAACCTCCCCCCATTACCGCGTGCGGGCGCGGGGGAAATTCCGGATTACCTAGACAGTTCAGCATCCAGTCAAAGGGTGGTGTAGAAGTCAGTCGATGGGTGCCCTACCTAAAGGTTATGTGATACCCACGCCCCTATACCTATGCGTGTATATACACATACACGTGCATATATATAGGTACGTATAAACAGAAGATATAGAGACAAGACATGTGCCGTGTGATTTATCGGTACACCTAGAATGTAAAGTCCCAAGCAGTCAGATTCGTTAGTCTTGAGTGCCTAAGGCAAAGCGAGCTTGGGCCGTGTCTCCTCCAAAGCACGTCCACCCACGGATAGGGAAGGTAGGGAGAGCCACTTACATCTAGGTATACGTCGTTAGTAGGCACTTGGCTTCCACCGGACTGCTTTGCCATACCCTTGAAATGGCATCATCAGACTCGCCTTGACCAGCTTTGTATAACTTGCTTCGACATCTCTCGCCCTCTCCCTGTCTCTATTTTTACGGGGATCGGAGAGGCTACCGCCGATTCTGGCGTCGTCGTTGTCGTCGTCGTCGTCGTCGTCCTAGAGTGAAACGATAATAAGGGCTAACTACCCGTAAGGTATGCCTACCCGATGCTCGGTCGAGGTATGAACCTGGTGGATTTCATAGGGCTGATAGGCGGAGATGGGGAGGAAACATGTAGGCAAGTAGTACTGGATGTGGCTTGGCATTTCCCCAGCTCGACATGTACTCGTGGATATGGCTCCCGTCTCCGTCGTTTATGGGAATCAATCATGACCGGTATGTATGGGTATACGAAACATGGTAAACTGCAATAGACCCCTGCGCTTAGGTATCAAGACCGGTCGGATTCGGGGATGGTGGGGCGACGGGGGGTCGGGGAAGAAGTAGAGTTAATAGATAAATAGAAAAAAGACACTGAAGATAAAAGAAGAGATCAAGACAAGACAGGTGGTATTTTAAGACAGGTTAGATGTATTATTCGGTTATCCTACTAGGCGACCTGACTAGAAACAGATGCATGTGCGACTGATGTTAACAGTGCAGGAGGGAGATAGATATCTATCCACACCACGCTCGAGAGCAGCATCCCTTTTGACGTCTCGAACTCGGTTCCTCTCGCACGAGTCGCCGGGTGGCTTCGCGGAGACTAATGCAAGTCGAGACGAGTCGTCGAGTAGAGAAGGGAGAAAGAGAAAAAAAGAAAGAACGCGGCTGCTATCGGCAAGCTCGTGAGTGCGAGGAGAGATCGTATCGTGCATGAGCATCGTCGTTTACTTCTGTGTGCATGGGTCCAGCTCGTCGGTAGCTCGCGCACCACACTCCATGGGCGTTGTGGGGAATGCGGGAGGCCGTCGGTGCCGGGAGAACTCGAAGCAACACGTCGCAAGGTTAGAGGATGCTGCTCCGCTAATATAATATAAGCTGACCCGGCGGAGCAGGAAGAGGAGGATAAGAAAACCACCTCTCTCTTAACCAGTGCGTCGCTTCACGTAGGCGATGCTCACAAGCGGAGTTACTAGGCAAGTAAGCAAGCAAGCAAGCACGCGCGGCACGGCTCGACTAAGCGGCGACGTGTGAGGGAGCTACCGCAAGATGTTGCGAAGTTGGGGTAATTAGGGCGGTAGTGTTCTCGTCGTCGCCTCTCACGGCTGGCCATTCACAGGGCATCCTTCGAGGTCTCGAGGACGGGAGATGATTGGCGCAAGGGAGGAGGACAGGTACCTACGTATCGCCATACACACAATTACCGCGACGCGAACTGAGCCCTCTCACGCAATTCTCTGCCTGAGTTGTTCGTGTAAGTGAGGCCCACGTGGCGGGTCATTTTAAAAATATTCCCCAAACGGGAGAACATCTAATGCGGGGTGGGGAGGAAGCGGGAAGCGGGAAGCGGGATGGGGAGGGAGGTTGCCCACGGTGGTGGTAGTGGAGGGGGGGGGAGGGGGAGAGGGAGAAGGAGGAAGAAGATCTCCGACTCGGTGAGCCGAACCTTCTCCCGCCCCTCGTCTGGTCCCATTTCCCCCGGCCGATGATGTCAGTGCAATGAGAAAAAAAAGAGCGAGGGAGAGGGGTTGGGAATGACAGGTCAGCTATCAGCAGCATACCGCCATTGTGATATTGGGACTTATGTACATGCCTGTAGGGTGCGCAGTAGACGGTAGCGGGCGAGGGCGGTTGGGCCACGTACCGACATACTGCGAGGTAGGCGGGCGGCACATACGAGACGTAGGTACCTGGGTATGCATACATACCTCCCGGATACCTTAGGCACCGTGAGCAGGTACCTAACCTAACCTCAGGTAGTACCTAAAGCAAGCGTTGTGGCTAATCACGCCGAATTGATGAAATGGAGCTGGACTTCTGTGGATATTAGGCAATTGCAAATGGGCCCCGGGCCATCCACCACCTCCGAGTTGCCATGCGACGCTATATTGGAGTCGCCGTCCTCGTCCTCTGTTTACCGCCTCGGCTTTATCTACCACGTATGTACGTGGTTCCGTCGTATTCCGAGACTCCTCGTTGGCTTTTTTGATGTTGGTGCGCACGACCCCTGGGGGAAAAGGGGGGGGGGGGGTTCTTTTTCCCTCCTCACACTTCGGTCCGGTCTGCGCCTCAGCTAGTTTGTTTTACTACGTAGGTAGTGAGTTGAACCCTGGCAATAACAGCCGTCGTCGTGATAATAATGCCGATAGTAAGAATAGCAGAATGCCTGAAAAACGGATGTTCCTTGCACTCAGCACGGATGTAAGCACACCAACTCGGTCGATTTCAACCGTGCTCTGGCGAGGGTTGGGCTTTGCTGGAGGATGCTGCTGCGCCCATACATTCCATACATTCCATACATACCGTACCATACGCACATATACATATGTGTATGCATGCGTAAATATGGCATTCACGGTCGCGATGTGCCTGGAAATGCGTCTGCGGATGCGACTGGGAGTCGGATGCGAAGAACAGATTCATCGGTCACCGGGCACCCGTATGGGCCAATGTGGCTTCGTGGGACGCCGCGCAGATCTTGCAAAGTGGGCGCATCAAGACTTGGATCGCCCAGGTGCCTCCCCCCCGGCCCGTGAGAGCAGGAAAAAAACGGCTGGCCCGAGGGAGAAATCGTGCGACCGTGTGACCCCGTCGAGGCAGGGCGAGGGGCCCCGTGACTGGCACCGCTGGGTTTGAGAGCGCCCAGGATCGCTTACCGGTGTCTAGGCGGCACTATTCTACGTACATAAAGACGGCTATACTCGATTGCCTACTGGCGTCGTACGACTTAGGTCTCGACGTAAGCTAATCTCTCACCGGTCGATGGGGGCGAGGGATTACTACTCTGGACAAATCTTGAATCTTGAGGCGAGGACGCGATGCGTGCTCGAGTTAGCTCGACTAAAGGTCCGTCCCATCACCCTCTCTCATTGGGGGAGCCGGGGGCCGGTGAGGCGGGTATGGCGCGCATCCTGGGCTATCGCGTCCTCATCGTGGTATACGCATGCATACCTACCTGCCTTACTTACATGCCTCTATCCATCGACGTGTGTGTGTATGTAGGTATGCGCATTAGGCGGTGGATTATACGCGATCATACTACGGAGCGGGAGCTGAGCCCAGTACCTGGTAGGCAGGCACCTACCTACCGGGGGAGGAGGTGATGATCCGAGGCAGGCGGACGTACGTGACGAGAAAAAAAAGACACATACATCGCAAGGCCGCTTGTTGTATGGGCACATCTGACGTAATACCTTCCATAGTGGGCAATGTGTAGGTGAGCGTTTATACACACATTCCTGTCGGGATCCCGAGGATGTATTGGTGCCCAAAGTCAAGCGCGCCAAAATCCGGGAAATTGGAGAATAAGAGAGAGAGGGAGCGAGTGAGGTCGAGGCAGAAAGAGAAAGAGAAAGAGAAAGAGAAAGAGAAAGAGAAAGAGAAAGGAGACGTGAGAGAGGGAGAGGAAGAGACGGAAAAGAAAAGAAAACCCCTCAAAGATAACCCTCCCCCCCCCCCCCCCCCCTCACCAAAAATTCGCGGTATGTATAATCATCATCATCGTCGATGGCAATCGTCAACTTCGACCTCGAGCAATTGGTAAAGAAGGCTTGTTAGGGTTGCTTATCTGGCTGCCTGTCTATGTATGGAGGGTTGTGGTAAATTGAAAAGCGCCGTGCGTCATGTAGGTCCCTTGAGTTGGGTTCAGAGGGATCATGTATGGCGTGCCGGGAGCAGCCATGTATCCAACCTGTAGGTACCCTCCCCTACCTGTAGGGGGAAGGTTAGGTAGGTAAGTAGGCAGGTATGTATGCGCAGAACATGTGTATATGTAGGGTATAGACTAGGTAAGGCCATGTAAGCTAAGGTAGGTATTTATTTTCCTCGAGTTATGCGCGCGAGCAGCCTCACGAAGCGGCCCCACCTGCTGTACGCTTCAGTTGTCAAACACGTGTGATGTCCAGTTCGAGAGCCCTTTAAATTAACTAGCCTTTTCCTGTCTGTGTCTCGTCCAATGTCGCCCTTCCCTCGGAGACCCCCAGGTGACTCTTCACACCGATATATAGTAAGAGCGCAACTAAGGATGCACCACCCTCCGCCTTTCAAGTTGCCCTTCATGCTGCCGATCATGGGAACCTCTGGTCAGCAAGGCGTGTTTTCTTATCCCTGGAATTTTTTTTTCTTTCTTTCCTTCTGCTTTGCCTCTTCTCTCTGTACCTCTAACTCCTCTTTTTTGGGTCTGATGTTTTGGGTCTGATTTCGTTTGATATCCCATCTGATCTATTGAATCAATTACTTAAGCAGATGTGGGCACCACGTAGTATAATTTCCCAATTCGGTAGGTATCACTTCGCTTCCCGGCTTAAGCTTATTAATAGGGACGGGGTTTGTGGGTAAAGACCCGTCCGTCCGTCCGTCCGTCCGTCCGTGGTTTATAGTTCGTATTTTTCTATGAAGGTTCATATAGGTAGGTATGCCATCCACGCGTGGCCCTCCAGCTTGGATAACCGCCGACCACGCGATATAACTCACGGTCCCCCGCGCGTCTTGAGCCCCTCCCCGTTGGTTGTTTCACGTGAACGCTTCGGGAACCCCTGTAGCCATGGACCGCTACGATGGATAAGGTAACGGTAGGCAGGCAGGCAGGAAGAGCTGGTGAGGCTGGTCGGATATAGCGTGCACCCTCGATTGAGATCCGGCCCAGTGGGTCCGACAAGATGACAATGGCATACGTACATAAGTATGTACATGTTGCGTGCCTCCCCCCCAGAACGGTTGTAGGGACTAGGAACCGCTACAGAAGTACGACTTCGGTCCCCGTCACTGCAGGCTGGCTCGCCAGGCTTTGTGTATCCCACACAATAGTGTTCAAAGTGTACGGATTCGCTGGCATATAGGTCAGTTGACACGGCCAAGATAGACATCATCGTTCCTGATTTGCCTGTGCTTGGCGAACAAACTCCACAATCCGTCCGACCTCATGTTTTGGGCCGCCGCAATTTACCCACGAGATAGAAGCTTTCCTACCGAGGAGGAGGTATGGATGCAGGTATGGATGCGGGCATAGGTGCAGGCATATAGGTGCAGGTATATATGCATGCATGTATGTATGTAGTATGTATCTACGATAGGTACATGCCTCGAACATGCCATAGGCATGTAGGTATGTAGGTAGGTATGTAGGTATGTATATAAATACCATCCTTATTAGGAGGAGGTATATAGGCACATACATACATACATACATACCCTCATACATCTAAGCATCACATTGTGTTAGGAAGAGGTAGGGTAGAGTAGGGTGGTATGTATATCAAGGGGTGGTAAGAGGCATGCAGGTAGGTACCTAAGGTATGTACCTCACTGACATCTACCTAACCCATAAGCTTGCCTACATCCATCAACCAGCATGCCTATCTATGACCAACACCACCCCAACTTTCTTTTTTGTAACCGCCTTTTTCCCTTCCCTCCCCTTTAGGCCTCGATTGGGCTGTCATTGATTATCATGATCGCGAGGCATTTTCGGCCGGTTCCGTCGCCTAAACGGGCTGGCTTCCCCCTTCTGTTGGTGCTCTCTACCATGCTCGTAGAAGCTATCGCAAGGTAGATTTGGGGGGTTTTAAGCCTCAAGAGGAAGGGTGGGAGAAAGCCAGGACACCCAGCAGGGGTTATGGGATGCTACAGTGTTGTATTGCCGCTGCTGCTATTGCTGTCGCTACGCTCTGTTACTGGTGCTGCTTCATCGTCGGCTTCGTTGGCACTATCTCATCCCATCTCATCTCATCTCGCGACTCTCGCCCTCGCTCTCGGCCACCCCATCCAAATACACACATATGCACTTATCTCTCTCTCCTTTTCTCTCCCTCTCCCTCTTTCCCCCTCCCCCCTCTCTCACCGTCTCTGCATGTGTGTATGTGTGTGTATGTGTGTGTCTTTCTCTCTCCTTCTCCCTCTCTCCCCTTCTCTTCTCTTCCTCCCTCCTCCTCCCTCCCTCTCCCGCTCACACCACACACACACACACACACGGACACACACGGACACACACACACACACCCGTACATACGCGCGCGCACGCACACACATACATACATTCCCTCTCTTCTTCTCTTACGTGCATTGACTTACTTATTAGACTGACCACATCCAACGTAAGGTAGCATGGCAAAGTAGCACTAGATCCCACCGTCATCCGAGATTTCCTTATCGATATAGCTTACAAGCCCATGCTATACCCTAACTGGGCCGGTTCCCAGGGCCGCCCTGCTCTATTTTCTTGCTATTCCCTGTCCTTGCTTGCCGCTTCCTTCGAGGCAGACTGTCGGGAGCACCTCTTTTTTTTTTCTTGAATTCTTTTCTTCTCGGGGGAGGGGTTTTTCTATTATTTTTAATCTTTAAACCCTCTAACATTCTTTTTTATTCCATCTTGTAACTGCTGGTGAAATCGTGCCTGATCCCATCCTACATCCATACCGCATACCTATAACGGGTACTGAGTTACCTGGCTACATTATCTTAGATGTGCCCATCCCTAACGTCCCGACGATCCCCCTTCACGCTATCCTATCACCGGTTCCAACTCGTCTCCACCCTTGCCAATAATTAACCCCCGGTCCCCGTTGGTCAGCACAGATTCGGATTGCCTCATTTGCACTCATTTACTAGGTCCAGACGAGTCGTACAAGGACCATCCTCTGATTATTTCCCCCCTCTTTAAACCGGTGAAGTTCTCCGGCTTCAACGGCCGCCCTGAGACTTCTCACCGAGTTGTCTTCGCACCAGTGCCGCGCTGCTCGCTTCCAATCATCAACCCTCCCGCGCACGTCGTCGGGCGGCGGCATACACCCGCTTTTCCTCTTGATCTTCCTTCTGGGCCTTCTTCTCCTCTTTTCCTAGCTCTCCACCTGCTGCTGACTCCGAAATTCAGCCCCCTTTTCGAGAGTCTCTTCAATGACCTAGATACCTAGTTGCGCTCGTCAACCGCACGCGCGCAGGCGAAATCTCATGTCCATATAGCCATTTGCACAACACAGCACAGCACAGCACAGTACAGCACAGTACAGCACAGTACAACACAGCACAGCGCAGCTCCTACGCACCGCGCTGCTGAGAGAGTACACGGGCACGGCGCCGCGCCGCGCAGCACACAGTACCGCGCTTTGCACACGGGCTGCACAGCACAGCACAGCATAGCATAGCTAATACAACGCGACACACCGGCCGCAGTCGCATTTTCTGCTTTCAGATGATCCCGGCAGTCTCATTAGCGGCAATGACGCTCGTGAGACCTTGACGTACGGCGCCTTTCCAGTACCCCACAGACTCATCTCGTCTGACTGACGCCCGGTGAGGCGTAAAAAAGATACACACGCGCACCTACCGCTGCTGCTTGCTGCTTGCTGCTTGCTGCCGCCTGCTGCCGCCTGCTGCCGCCTGCTGCTGGCATCCGCTGCCGCTGGGCTGCCGCCGCTCTGGAGGACGGCCTTCTTGTTTCGTGTACCTACACACAACCACAAACCTGGCGAGGGGAGAGACCGTCCCGGCAGCGCCCCAGTACATACCCTGTTTTGTCGTGCTAGCCTCTTGTCTAACACACCCCTGCGCCCTCATACGCTCATAGACACGAGCGGACTGTACAATGGTAAGAGCGTTTTCCTTCCATACCATGTCCCTTTTTCTCACCGTCCCCCTCGGACGGCGACGTAGTGCATTATTGCCTTATCGACCTGGTCCCCCAACGTGCAGTCCGTTGACCTGCATATAGAATAATCCTAATATCAGAAAGCGCCGGCCCTATGGCCACGCGGATCTCCCTGAGGTGCCACCACCTCTGGATCCCGCCTACACATCTTTTGCCTCTGCCCCTTCGTCTCGCCCAGATGACCTCTCTGTCCAGGATCTACATATACTCCAGCAGGCGGCCGCTATCCTGAATTGTTCTGTCTCTCAACTGCTGCTTCTTAATAATAGAATCCCTCCCCCGCAGCCTTACCTCGCCTCCCCTGTGCCTTATCCAGTTTCCACCAAGAGGCCGCGGCTTAGTGCAGACATGACGCCGGCATCTTCTCAGGAGAAGTCGTCCCCCCCTACGCCGTCCGCTCCCGACGGCTCGGAGCGCCCTCGCGCCCCGGAAGCGCCCGGTAGCAGCTTCTCCCTGAGCATAGAACGCTCGCGCTTAGCCCAGTACCTGTCTAACTTCTCCGTCTGTCCGCCATGTACGACCTGCGAGCCTCAAGGTTGGCCCCCCTCCTCCCCCCCCTTTCCCCGTCCCCCTGTATTAGTGAACAATACTGAATGTGACCTAGTCTACGCCCCGATCCCGGCCACGTCGACCTACACTTACGCCCCGTCACGGCAGTATTATGACGAGAGGCAGCCGTCTCCCAATTCGGCGTCTGGAACTATGCCTCCAGACCAAACCCATTTATTTACTTCTAATGCCCCCCCTACGGCTTCGCCAATGATGCCTAATTATCCCATTCTGCAGCCTAGCCGGCCCATGAATATCCAACCTTCTACCAGCGGCGAAGGGATGGTGTATCCGGAGGCCCTGACCCATCAGCAGTATTTTAGCCAACCGGACTTACATCATGGTCTGCCACAGATGGAGAACCACGTGATGGGTGCTCAGGCGTATAACCCCCCTTCGTCGAGGCAGTACGGGATGTCTGAGGACATCTCGCCTCAGGAAGTAGATAGAAATCGGATTGCTAGTCAACCACGTGAATTAGACATCGCACACCCGAGCCAGCGCCCCCCTCCCGCGAGACGCGGCCCGTTCAAGACTAACGACGCACGAGAAAAGACAGCCGAGACTAGGCGGATCGGCTCTTGCATTCGATGCCGGATGCAGCGTATTCGCGTAAGCCTTCCCTCTTACCGCCACGCTTCTGGCTAAATCCCCGAGTAGTTTTGTGAAAGCTGTCGTGCTTGCTAACCGAGCTGCCTTTTTCTAGTGCGAGACCAATCCCTCAGACAAATTTGGTGCATGTCTAACGTGTCTGAAAATGTCGAATGTGAAGGTGTGGCGGATGCCCTGCCTCCGTTACAAGATCACCGACGTAAAGCTCTTCAAACCCGGGCAGGTCAAGGGGTACGAGTGGACTCGGAGATGGGTAGAGGGCATCCCGGACGACATATCGCAGTGGGCGTCGTCGGAAACGAAAAAGGTCCAAGTCACGGAGGGGTACACCGAAAAACCGGTGGAGCTGAGTGTCCGTCAATTCGTCCCACAAGAGGGTGATGCGCTGGAGCGAAGTTGGGTTCACAACGGGACCAGGAGGCGGGTCAGAATTCCGCCGTATGCAATCGTGAACCTGGAGGAGACAAAAGGCAAATACACCGACTATATCAAGAGCGGTTTGCCCGAATGTTGCAAGAAGGTCCTCTCGAGTAAGGATAGGCTGATCTTCCTGACGTACGGCGCGGCAATCAAGGCTTCCAGGGATCCGTCGATCGACCCCAAAGAGAGTGCGCTCCTGAAGAAGGCGCTTCAGCTATGGATGGCCATCCGCTTGACGACCAAATCGACCATTATCGTCGGAGAGGAGACGTTGGGTATGCGCCGCGACATCATGGATGAAACGAGCCCCCTTCGAGGGTGCATTCCCTTGCCACCAGTGATGGGCGCGCAGATCGAGTTGGTCCTGATCCACCAGATCCAGTCTAGCCTTCGCCGGGAGATGTTAGAGAATCTACAGTCTATGACGCAAGCCAACAAACACCAGACCTGGTTCACAACATACCTTATAACGTTCATCTTGCTCCATAACGTGGCTCTTCTCTGCCAGCACGATGCTGGATATGCTCGAAAGCATGGCATCAAGGTGTGTATCGGCGACTCATCCGCTGGCCACGGGGACGACCATCCGGCCATTCATCAACATGTATTTCCCTGGCCCCTCTTCCAATCCTCTCTTTTCTCCTGTGTATATGTGTACGGGGACTGGGATACGGTTTCGGCTGACTGTTAGGCGCTGCAGGGCCGATTCGCGAGAGAGGAGATGGTGAGAGAGTACCAGATGGGTAAGTGGCAAGGGGTTCGGTGTGCGAACTCGACTCCTCACTCCCTTCACACCCACCCACCGATGGTGAGATCTCTAACGTGCAATTGTATCCGACAGGGGCGAATATCTTGCTGGCATATTTCCACTATTGCAACAAAGGTGAGCTGATCCGCGTGTGCGAGATCCCCCGACGACCATTTTGCCGGGCTGACACACAAATAGGCGTATACCCATTCTCTGCCGAGTGCAAGGAACACGACCTGGCGACATTAGCCGAGCTGGACGACTCCAAGGTCAAGTTTGTCCAATTTACGAGAGCAAACGTCGACAAGCAGAGTAGGCTATGGTTTTCTTGCAGTCGTGTCGGATTCCCAGGATAGTTAGTATTCGACGTACATCGGATAGATCACTGACGGATCCATCTTATAGAAAAGCTTTGGGCGAAGATTCGGCAGACTGACGATTATGAAAATGACTTCTACTACATCAGTCAACTATATGAGGAAAACTGGACTCCGCAACCGACAATCTAGATTCTGTTGGCCATTTCCGCGGCGAGACCCCAGGGCGAGAGACGGACAGGCTTGTCAAGAAACACAGCGCGGAGAACCGGATATACATGTTTAGGCGAGGTCCTGCAGACAGCCGAGGCTAGGATACGTGCATCGAAATGCGCGCGGAAAGGGAAGCCGGCGCCAATAGTACGGCGGTATCTTATCCCTTAGCGGCGTGGCGGCCCCCGGATGAGGACGAGGCCCTTAGGGCAGCCAAGCGCGGATGTCTCCCCGCTCCTAGATATACATGGGCAGAGGGACCTGGTAAGTTGGAGCCCTGGTCGCTGCTGGTGAGAGGGTGCGGGAGAACAGGGCAGGAAATGTGGCTTGCCTTCCCGCGGCAACGCAGGTTTCGCAGCGTCTATCCTTGCCTTGCCCGAGACATAATCTTCGGCTGACGTTCAGCCCAAGCCCAAGCCGCCCTGTCGCGGCCCGGGCCTCCTGCTGGTGGGGACCATCCGGCTTGAGCTATGGCTGCGTGTTTAGGAGAGGGGTGGAACATCGAAAGACGTGGCATCGCCATATATTGTCGAATTCGGACTTTTTCCTTTCGGGCTTACGGCGAAACCTGCGTACCGAGGGTGAGAGGAGAATTTGCGTCTCGACGACTCGATATGATTGATAGGGTCGAAGGACCGGTCAACCTAGTGCCTCTCGCACGTTCAGATTATAGCATACCAGTGCCGCGGCTGCGTCCCGGCGCTTTCGATGGCGGTGGCTCCCAAAACAACCTCTACCGACAGTCTCCACGAAGATTACCGGGGCGCGAGTGAGGATATGCTTGTTATATAGGCGCCAAGAGGCAGGCCTGTCGCAGCGAGAACAGGGCTGATCCCATCCATTTTGAGAGCCGGCTACCATGTAGGGCGCACTAGCGGATTCCTACAGCACGGGTCTACCAAGGCCTACCAAGATCTACCAAGTGCGGCTCGATTTGTGGACTCAGGAGAAGATCGCGAATCCACGAACCGGGTCGCCAACCCTCGGCGGGCCGTGAGGCGGGTGTAGGGCCAATGGGGAAACGACGACGAGACAAGCCAAGGGGTGGGAAAAAAAGAAAGGCACCAAAAAAAAAAGCAAGGGGATGAGAGGCTTGCCTCGAAAACGGCATGGGAGAGCGGTGGAGGGAGGGAAGAGTGAATGGGTGGATGGTTGAGGAGAGAAGGAGAGAGGGAGGGAGGGAGGGAGGGAGGGAGGGAGAGAGAAAGAGAAAGAGAAAGACAGACCGACAGAGAGAAAGACAGACAGGGAGAAGGGCAGAGAAGGAGAGGGAGAGAGAGGGAGGGAGGGAGAGGGAGAGAGAGCGGGTGAGAAGGTGAGGGGGCGAGGAATGGAGAGGGCGAGGGAGAGAAAGAATCACGTACGGGGATGCGTTAGGTATGAAGCAGTTGTTTCCCGGCGCCCGCAGGGGCATTTCTACACTATCAGGAAGTTAACAGTACGACATATGTGCAATCCCTTGATGGCGACTCACTCCCGAGAAGATCACGCTGTCACACGCCTTCCTGGCGAAAACAATGCATCACCTCATCACCTCATCACTTCTACACGTAGTCCGTGTTACCCTGCTCCGTATCCGTATCGCTGCGGTGGCTGCCTCGTACCGGTCGGGTGCCTTTCGTTCTCTCCTCTACTTGAATAATGCGGCCTGCTTGCCTCGTCGACACCTGCCTGGCTCAAGTTTCTTTTTATTTCTCGTTGTTTGTGTTTTATTTTTTCCTTTTGGAGGAAGGGGGAGGGGGTTTCGGATCCTAAGCAAGCCTGCCTGCCTGCCTGCCTGCCTGCCTACATATGAGGCGCAAGCACACAGGGCCTGCAGCTGGTAAGGTAGGTGCCTCTACCTAAGCTACATAATGCGCGAGCTGGTCTCCCTTCGGATGGCGGCTGCTTCGTTATGTATAATCATATAAGCCGTCTGGGAAGTGTAGAGTCTTGTGTGTCTGGTTGTGGCTGCCTATGTGTTCTCTCTACCTTAGGTATTTATGAGAGCTCCTGGCTCCAAGCCCGTCCCCGTCTTCTTAACCACAACACACACTCTCTCTCTACCACAACACCCACTCTACGTCGTTTGGCATTGCCCAGCAACCTCTCTCGGCGTCGTTTCGCTTATTCCGAACTTGTCCAGACCCATCAGTTCTGTCTCGTCTACCAGCGAAGCGGCAAAGGACGCTCACGAAATCTCTCGGCATCCAGACCTCTCTTGGGGCTACCACAAGGAGTAAGTCTATGGATCGGCGTGCCATTGGACGTAGCCAGCAGACTAACGACGACACCCACACACCCACACGCAGACACACGCACGTCGACAAGCAGCCATGGACTTCAAGAGCGCTGGCCCAGTCGTCACTCCCACCCTGGGGAACGCTGGCCTCCTTTCGCCTGAGTATGGCTTGCACGCCAACTCTGCGTCGGACGGTTTCACTGGCCTTCCCGCAGGCTATCCCACGCACATGGGTCGGTCATTTGCCTGGACCGGGAAACACTTTGACGGCCATGAGCCCCGCTTCGTCCACAACCTGTCCGAGACGGAGCTGGCAGAGATACGTTCCGCCAAGGATCAATTCAAATGTATATCCTCTCAACCGCCTAGTTCTATCGTGTCCATTGCTCTTGTGTTTTTTTTTTCCCCCTCTCCCCCCTCTCGTTGCTCTCGCCGTTTTTCTTCCGTGCTGACTCCTAGACAGCGTTGGAATTGGATGGCGACCAAGTCAACCGAGCCAACTTTCCGCTTCCCACCTTGGGCCCCGTCTTGGACAAGTTCAGTCAAGATGTCTACAACGGCACGGGGCTCTGCGTCATCCGCGGAGTCAAGCCAGAAGACTACTCTGTCGAGGACCTGACGATTGTCTGGCTGGGAATCCAAGCCTACATCGCCGACCAACGGGGCTGTCAAGACCACCGAGGAAATATGCTTGGTAAGTCAATAGACGGTGACACAAAGGTTACTATAGTGGTTGACGTCGACTTTTAGTGCATATCGTGGCCGACAACTCCTCTGAAATCAAGCTAGGTCACCACCGTCATTCTACCTCCGCCATTGTAAGCCACGCCCGCTGAGGGTTTCTTTTGTCACTTTGACATCATTCTGGTCTACTTTCGCTAAAACCCCATATAGTCATTCCACAACGAAGAAGCCGGCGATGTGGTCGCCTGGTTGACTCGTAGCACTGCAGCATCCGGTGGCAAGTGCATCGTTTCCTCTGCTTATACGATCTATAATATCTTGGCGGTCCATCGACCCGACATCATACGCACACTTGCGAAGTCGGACTGGCCATTTGCCCTGTAAGCCTCCCCTGCGCCTATTTCATTTTGGAGTACGTAGGAGCGATGCTGAACGCCTCGAATTTAGGCCGCGTTTCCAGTGTCGACCATTGTTGTTCTATCATGATTCGAGGCTGGTCATGAACTTCGGACGTACACCTCTACTAGGAAACGCCGTCCACCCGCGTCCGGACCACCTCCCAAAACTCAATGATCGCCAGCGCGAAGCGCTAGACGTGGTGGAGGCAATTGCCCAGGCGGTCCAGCTCGAGATCCAGACCCAGGCTGGCGATATGCACTTCATCAACAACCTGGCCGTTCTCCACAGACGCGAAGGATTTGTGGATGGAGCTGCTCCTCAGGAGAAGCGTCACCTGGTCCGCATGAGACTACGCAGCTCGCGGCTAGGGTGGGAGATTCCGAGCGATCTGAAGCAGGAATGGCACGACGCATTCGACTCAGATACCCACCAGACGTGGCACCTAGAGCCGATGCCCGGCGACGTATTCCCCCTTCGCAAGTACACAAACTAATGGGGATGGAGCCGGGATACGCCGCGGTGCGGTGCTCGACCCAACCCACACATTGGCCTTCGGAAAAAAAGCATGGGATGAGGATCACCAATAAGGTTTAGAGTTACGGGGAGTTTACTAACAAGGACAAAAGGGGAGTTTAGAAAAGGGGAAAGGTTTTCCCTATTCTCGAGAAACAAAAGAGGTTACATCTGGGCTCCTGCTATGGCTCGCGCTGGCCTACCTAATAATTATTGGCAGATGCCGGGTTTGGCGAGGGAAGTGTGTCTGTCCTATGCTGTTGCGTCCTACCCTACCACTCCTGGGAAATCATGGCTACGAACTGAAAAGGGAGAAAGAAAAAAGTCTGTTATTGTCTGTTGGGGTCGCCTAAAAACAAAACTGGGAAAAAAAATGTCGAGTAGTAGATCGCCTAGAACTTGCCTGGAAGTCCAAGCAAGCGAGCAGGCATAGCATAGCATGGCTCAATATCACCTTACCCTACTACTGCTGCTACTGCTACCACACCTTTTTGACTGCCTGCACGTACATCGCCAAGTTCTATGAAAACGTATATAAGCACTGGTTTATTCCGAAATGGCGCATCGCCTCACTCAGATGCTGCATAGCTAGTAGGGTTATGTATACCGGGGATTCGCCCCTTATGCAAGTCTAAAGCAGTTGCTTGGCACAGACACAATACGTCACCCAGTCCGCCTTCGCCCTTGTGACGGCGACGCCGAGGGACGAGATAGGGTTTGCAGCCGTTTATCTAGTTGGGAAGAGGAGAGGGCATAGAAATCTAGAATCAAAAGGGGTGGGGGGAAGGGGGGGGCGGAATCATACCACGATTCACATGCCGTGTTGTGGTAACAAGATACCGGGACCTGTCGCATAGGCAAGCGAGTCCAACCGGCGGCATAGGGTAGGATGGGATTAATGGGCCACCTACCGATCCGGCCGTGACCTATCGCGTGTAGGAGTTGGGGGGGGGGGGAGGATGGGGAGCAGACAGAGGGAGGGACGGGGGGGGAGGAGTTGGACGGAGGGACGAGGTGGTTCCCCGTGGGCTTGCGCCGGGCGCTGTGCTGCACGCGTAGTGCATAGAGATACGCACATCCATACATAGTTTGGCTTGGAGGAGGAGCCAAGGAGAAGCAGATGATGACGGATCAAGGGTGGCATTTCTTATTTTTGATTTTTGTCGTTTCTTTTCTCTCTCTCTCCCCCCCCTCTCCTCCTCGCAACCAGGTAGGTGCTGCGCCATCTCTCTGGTTCTAGGCGACGACGCACTGCACACCCAGACGCAGAACTAGAGCTCCGACTGTGGGCGGGTGTGCGTCTGTGTGTGCGTGTCTCTGTATTGGTTTCCCTCCTTATCCATCTTGCATACGACTACTACATCAGACGTAGCCTAGTCCATTGCGTAGGAATGGATGGAGTGAGGGGGTGGGGAAGACCAAGGGGGCGGGGGGGGGCAGAGAGGGGCCAACGAGAGAGCGGACCAGTTTGATAGAAACGCTGCCGGTTGCAACCCTGGCTCGCCCTCGAGGCTAGCCGGCCGGCCGGGCGGCGGCGGCGGCGTTGCTGTCAGATGCCGTCGCATCTATAATTGGCGTCTCTGGCCCAGGGTGCCCTGGTACGCTGGCTCGGGGCAGTGTCTGAAAAGAAGCAGAAGCAATTTGGCTGTGTGTATTAATTACCGGGCGTATGAGTAAGGCGCGCATACGTGTCCAGGTAGAAAAGAAAATGGGGGAAAAAGAAAAGGAAAAAGAAGCCAGGAGAAGGATTCAACGGTGACGGCTCGCTTTTGCCACCTCGGTAGGAGGAAAGGAGGGCTTCGGCAGACATGCAGGTGTTGTAGGTCGGCAAGGTAGGTAGGTAGGTAGGTATTATTGTATGCATATACGCACGCCCGCACGAATTGCGTTGGCGAGTCGACGCGGACGAAGTAGAGGTGAGGTGGAGGTTGCGTGCATTACTTATGTCATCGTGTCACAGCGCCCGCGTTACATGAGAGTATGCAACTCTCTGTCTCTTTTTCTGTCTCTCTCTAACGCTCCTCTCGATCCGTCCATCGATCCGTCGTCCCTCCATCCTTTTTCTCCACGGCTGACACCTTATCGCCCGCCTGCCTGTCTACCTGTCTACCTGCCTGTCTACCTACCTACACACATGCAGTGCGCCCGCGCAACAAGACGAACCAAGGAAAAGAAGGAAGAACTAGAACAAATCACACGTCCGCCACCTCGAAATACAAATTACACGCTCGTATGCGTAGGTTGGACGCGGCGGGTGAAGGCATGTGTAAGAGTGACGGACGGGTGACGCCGTGCTGACGCGGGACCGGGCGGGCGGGCGGTCGCGCGAGGCGAAGGCGAGAGACGAGACACAAACCGACGGCTGTAAAAAAAAAAAAAAAAAGTCCACAAGCCCGCCGCGCCCGCGCCGCGCCGTACCAGCACCCGATGTCTTGGGTTGTCGCCAAAAACCACCAAACCCGCACCCGCACCCGCACCTCCTCCCCTCCACAAACCCCACCTAGTTTGGTTCCCTTTTTTTTTTTTAATTTTAACCTACCTACAATTTTTAATTCTCCTTCCGAGGCGAGCGAGCGAGCGAGCGATCGAGGATCCCGTCCCCCCCCCCCAAAACGCCCCTCCTCCCCTTTCCCCCTCCAACCGCAAACCCACGATTTGTCTCCGACGCGCTGGGGCCGGATGATGGATGGATGGCAAACCCCCCCGCCGCGGCGTTACGGGAGGGAGGGAGCGCGCGGCGGACGACACGCCAGCAACGTTCTCGCCCCAAGCCCGGAGGCGCAACCGCGACGCCAGGAGCCAAGCGAGCCTTTCGATTCGTCCGTCGCGAAGTCCGATCGCTCTTCGATTCGCCGTCGCTAGTCCGAACTCCTAACCGCTTCCCCCCTCCTCCTCGGCGTGCAGCAGAATGTCACCTAGGTAATATTCGTGTGTTCGCTGCTGCAGCGCATGTCTCGCGCGTTCGGCCGCCGCGACACGTAGTTACGCACGCACACGCACACGCACACGCACACAACACGTAATACCTGCCTACCTATACACTGCGCCGCGCTATAGGTAGGTATAACGTACCTACCTGCTGCATCCCGGACTAGACCAGGTCGAACATTACATACCTGTGTATATTATGGCTTGTTAATATCCATCCACCGCCCATCTCTACACGCGTGCCTATGTATATACCTACCTCCCTACCTACCTACCTACACGTAGATTATATACCACACCTGCGTAATGTCGGTGTGATATTAGGTATATTACGCCTGCCATTATATACCCATGTATATACAGGTATAGCGTCGAGTGCCGGCAGCATGTTGCATGTCGTACGCGGGCGTATTTGCCTCTTCCTACCCAATCCCGTCCCGCGCTAGCGATCGTGGCGGCCTCTACTAGTGCCGCTGCTGTAGGTATAGCAGCCACCTAGTCCGCGCGGATCTGTACAGATATACGCAACGAGGTTAGCGCAGGTGCATAGCTTCGTCGTCCGGAGAGGCGGCAGAAGACAGCACACACCGCAGCCCCGAACCTCTTACCCCCTACCCCTACCTCTTCCCCTTCCCCTTCCCCTTCCCTCTCTCCCCTCTTCCTTGCGCCGCTTGGCTCAGGAGTTTACTCCGTGAACCCACACCCTTTCGCCATGTGTGCGCGTGTGCGTGTCCAGGCACCATCTTGTGAGAGTTCGGCTTTCTAATAATATCGCCTCCCGACGCCATAACTACCTAGGTAAAATAAAATCAAAAAAAGTTCCTGGCTATTAGGTATCAACTGCTCACCTCTCTCAACTCGCATATCACATATTAACTTGACGCTGCCGTAGCGTCGCCACTTCTGTCCTGCTCAACAGGTGGTCGCCTGCTCGAGAACCGACAAGAACCTGCCTACCTACTTAGGCAATTATTGGCGTGCGTGTATCTACGTACCTAGGCATGTAAGGCAGGTGTCTCGAATGCCCGAAATCTCCAGATCGATCTCCCACCGGAGATGATCACTTAGCCACACAGGGGGAGGGATGCTGCTGCACCGCACATGGATCATCCCCGGTCCGCCGAAAATCAGGAGCGGCTGCTCTCCCCAGAGGCCAAACTGTGGCTCAGCGGCTTTCTCCCGTCTCCCTCTCCCAGTTCGGAGCAGCATATCGTGTCGCACAAGCCAGCCCTCCGCGTCGTCTATCTGCATAAGCGAACATATCAGCTGTAGGCGGCTGCAATTAAAGCAGATAGTCAATAATGACATCTTCTTAAGCTGCATGGTATTTCATACCCCGTGCTACCTATCCAGCAGCCGGTCCGGGCCCGCGTACCAAGATCTGCAAGCCAACACGCCAGCGATAGGATAGTCCGAATTTCTGTCACACGTTGCTCTTCACTCACGTGGCTCTTCTTACATCGTCCCTACTTTGCGCCGACGCGGCCAACCCACGGGGCATACGAGGCCGCAATCTCGCCAGCGTGATATTCTCCTAGTTTTCTGCCGCGTCCCTAGCACATCCAGGACCTGGTCGGGATTTGATCGCGTCTCGCCTCGAGAACTATGGCGATGATCGGCGAAACGGTGTCGATCGACCACACAGGATGCAGGCGATCGCGGCTTGGATTCTCGTCCCGTCATCCGAGACCCACGTATTTCCGACATCAGAATTCGTCAGGTCGCTGCTCAAGACTCTAGCTACCTCAACCTCCGACTGCGAACTCGACCCTCGTGGCTAAAGTGAACCGCTATCGGATCAGGTCTCGCGGGACGGACGCGCCGACACCCTGCGTGGTACGCGCTATTTGCTTCAAGCCCCAAGCCACCAAGCCAGCGAGTATGTGATTTATCATATGTGCATGCGTCTGTTGAGGGGGTTGGGGTGGTAGCCGTGTAGAGAAAACGGTTCTGGGCTGTTCCGCCGAATTCAAGCATCACAACTCAGGCTTGGGGGCATCGGGATCCTGTGTGTGAAGCTCCGCTCCTGCAGCGCCGCGGCCTGCTAGTCTCCTCTAGATCCTCCGACGCACCTGCGTTGCGCCGTTTGCGAATGGTCCGCGAATGGCCTCTGAAGCCGAATTCCCCAAGGATTGGATAGGGACGCCGCACTCCCGGATAGCTACACCTCCGCCAGCCAATGCCAGGGTACGAAGACGGCGCAAAATACAGCTGACCCTTGCTGCGCTGGCACCGAACGCCTCTGTGGATGGCGTATGTATTGTGCCGCGGCGGTCCATACCTGCATACCTGGCGCCAGTGAGCAGCCAAACACTCCCGAAGGCCCCATATCCTACTGGCTACGGGCCCGCATCCACCCCCCCAGATCTGAGGTATGGGGTCTAGGCATGGGTCTAGGCATGGACATGGGGATGGGCGTTATAATGAATATTGCTACGGCTGTAGCAGATGGGTATTGGGGTGAGGGTCGGGATTGGCCTGGACGCCGCGGCAGATGCCGCTAGCGCAAAGACGGGCAACCGGGCTTCGAGGTGTTGCAGAAGAGACGCTGTCTCTCATTCATGCACAGGCTATCACTCGCGCTGTGGTCCCCCGGGATGCAAACCTCCCACCTGTCGTATGCATAGGCGAGGTAACATGGTACGGGTCGACATTGTACTACAGACCGTCGCACCGTTACGGGTCGGACCAGGCCCGCTGCGTCGTCGTCGGGAGACACGACACGAGACCAACGAAAACCCACAACGAACGGGAGATGAGATATGGCCGATGGTCGTCACTCGACTGCCACGCGGCCGCTAGACAGAAGAAACCCGGCCTTCCTACCTGGTTGGAATCTCGACGCACAGCAGCACCTAGGTATATCCGAGGCCGAACAAGAGCCCGCTCCCCCGCCTCGGCGGCAGGTGATCTCGATCCGCGGAGCCGATCCTCGCCCAGCACATATTCGCGGGCACTCGAGGCGACGCCCGTCGAGGTTGGGAGAGGCGTGGCACGGCAGCGGGCTCGTCAACCACGCACCATGTCGCAGACGGGGTTTCGGGCGAGAGGGGACATTTCGAGTATGGATTTGCACACGCCCATCCTGGGGAGTCGAGTTGTCAGAATACGATAGTGCGAGAGGCGCGCTTGGGGGGCCAGTAGCAGTTGGCGAGACGACGATACGACGGCCGTCGGACGACTCGTCGCGAGCCTATGCAGAGGGAGTCCACGGATGCAGTTCCGAGGGAACGGCCTCTGAACCGTTTGGCGTCGCGACGAATAGAGCCCGTCCAAGCGCTCGCATTCGCTGTGTAGAGGAGAAAAGCGAAGGGAAATATGACAGTATTTCTTAGGGAGGGACGGGGAGGGGCGAGCCGGACAAACGGGAGAGAGAGAGGACGGCCTGACTACTGCCCAACCTAACTAATTCCCCGAGCGTCCTCTGCACACGGTGGCTTGGGGGGGGGAAGAGGTGGGGGGGGGACGTACCAGCTCTTGCCAGCCAGCTCGGCGGCTGGTTTCAGCGTCGAGGACGTCGCATACATATGCGTACGATAGGTAAGGTACCTCCCTACCCCCCTCTCTCGCCCGCGCTCACGCCCCCATGCCGGACAACGCTGCCGGAACGCACCAGCAATCAGGAGCCGGCGACATCCACCGATACCTAGCTCGACGTTAGTGCGTCCAGATATGTAGGCGGGGAGGCACTTCCCAGGGTAGATATGTATGTTAGGTCAGTTTAGGTATGCGCGTATGTAGGCGTACAGGCAGCCACTCCCAACCGACATACGTGGACGGGCTGGGAGGTAGGCGCCACGGGGGTAAAGGGAGTAGGCGGACAGGCGGGTAGGCGGGTAGGGGGGCCTACATGGAGGCAAGTCCGAGGCAAGCACCTCCTATGGGTGCCACCCCGGGCGCATGTGCAGCGGCCAGCAGCCATAGGGGACATGCACTCGACGCAGAAGGTGCCGTCCTCAGATGCCTGGCTCGGCACCGTCCCCCCGCCTGTATACGTCTACGTGCAAGTATACCGCCTACCGACCTTCTCTTATGCCTATCACCTGTGCCCGGTGGATCCGCTGGTCTCAGCTATGGGTACGCGTGTGGGCAGAGCGCAGACCAGGTGGGTAGGCATAACATACCTACCTGGGTAGCCGGGGGGCTGCCGTCCTCAGGCACGGCGCGGGTAGGTAGGTACCCAGATGTAGAGTACATGCCTACCCGCCGCCATACGGGAAAGGCACGTATCGCAGCGGGTAAGGGGGAAGGGAAGCCTAGGGCAGGGCGCGGAACAGCCCTGGCGGTACCTGACTTGCTCCCGACCTGGGTCCGCGGTCCCGTCCACGGATGTCGCAGGTGTCCATAGTTGCTGTTACCTAAGTAGGGTACCTACATGCCTCCACGCCGCCCCCCCGAGGCGGATCCAAGGTACTGGTAGACCTGCTGAGCCCGTCCGTCGTCCCTTCGATGTAGGGGTTTCGCCTGTCGTTCTGGAAGGGCCGATTCAGGCTCGAGTCCGCCCGTCGCTCCAATGGCATCGACATCCGCGTGTCACAATCGAGGTCGGAAACTACATCCCCATGCACCGGGGGCGCTTCGGGTATGCACAGCCGTCTGATTTCCCGCCCTCTTCTCGTATCCCGTCATCTTCAATCCTCGTGTTGGTAAGCGCTCCAATGGCCGATCCCGGAGACCTCGACACGAGGAGGCGCGAGAGGGCTCGTGTTCGGGCAGGCCAGTCGGCAAAACGACCAATTTGCCTCTCGCCTACCGGGTCTGGCCTGGGTGGGCTTCGAATCTCGACGCTTTTCGCTGAACTCGTGCCCGGCGAAGGGGCTGCCTGGAGCGATCGCGTGCCGTGCCTGGGCGAGATCCGTCAGCATCGTGCCCCCGGCGAATATTGGTGCGGAATGTCCTCGAGAGCGACCGTGCCAACTTAGAATCGACGTTCGGGTCGAGCCTCACTCTCGCTAGGCGCCACTCACCCAGGGCGATGACGGCTCGCGTGGGCGTTATGCAATTCGGCCGCGGCAATTCGGTCGGGAGTCGCCTTGAATTGGTGGTGGTTCGCGGTATAGAGGTTTCCCCTGGCCCGTTCTCAGCCCAACTAGATGCGAGCGCTGCGTTCGCTAGGACGCGGTGGGAGGAAGGCCTTGTCGGAAGGGGCTAGGCTGGGCCGGGTCGAGCATCGGAAGCGCGTAAGGGGTGTCGTCGAGACCGAAAAGTCCGTCCCTGGAGGCGATATTGGTGTGCGACCAAGACCCGCTGGGGACGTCCCATACGCCTTTTTCCGGTGCTGTAGCTGGAAACAGTGATGACAGACACACCTGTGGGTCTCTGGGGACTTTATATCGAGTCAAGCGCGGACCTGGCTGTTGGGACGGTTGCTGACGCAGGGTCCGTCTATCTCGCCTTGTGCAACAGCCCCATCTAGACCATCTAGATCGGACCTCGTCTGCGCTCGAGATCAACGACGTGTCACGGCATAATGGCAACCGGCCAAGAATAAGCGCTAGAGGACACTTATATAGACCCTGGAGACACGACGTGGTCGTTGAGCCGCACAGTTTACAATAGTGGCATGCGGCTTGGGCGATCGAACACGTGGGCTCCCAGAAATCGCATAGATCCGTCCCAGACGTCCGCGTTGCATTGGAGCCCAGGGTTAGGGCCCTGGTTCTAGGCTAGCGACTACAGGAAGGCGAAAACTGCGCGGGCTCGGAAGAGGCGAGGGTGCTTCGGCAGGGCAGATCGTGAGGTCTACGAGATCTCGGCCGCACGGGTAGTCCAGTTCTCTGCCCGGCATCCTCTATGATGTATCCTCCGCTGCGTGCATAACCGGATGAAAGGAGAGGGAGGCGGACATTATGACTTACAACTTAGACTATTGGGGTATTCTAAAGGCCTCAGGGGTAGTCCACCCCTTTTCGGCTTCGGCTGCAGATAGATAATAAGGGCGTACCATCAAGCCTCCACGTTGGCGATGCCATGCCACTTATCCGGAATCATCTGAGAGGGGTGGGTTGAGAACACGGAACAGCCACTGCCCCGCCGGTGCAATTGAGAAAATGTTTATATTAGCAGAGGGCCCCCAGGCGTATTCGAAGGCCGTAGATAGTTACCTGCTATTGAGCCATTTTCTCCTTGCCCAGCAGGGTTCGTACCGCGCCGGATCGTGTGCTCATCGTACCTATACAACCGTCGTAGTATTACTATAACGTATCCCTTCAGTCCCTGTTATAAGTCGGTGGCCCCAATTCAAACGAATTGAGAGTGCTGTTCCATTCGTCCCCGGGGTTGCCACGGTCGGCTGCGATCAATCAGGTTGTCCACGCAGCGAGGTTATAGCGGGAATAAGCCGGTAGCAGCAGTACATACGACCCCTATTCGAACCGGTATACAAGGTCCTTTGTCGCACCTACTTTCCAAATGGAGAGATATTGCGTAGCCAGGGTAAATGCTTGTTACCATGCCTATCGATATTCAGCTGATGTTGATATTCAGCTGTACGCTGCGTGCTATAAGCCCACAGCTCCACACGCCGTAGTTAATCTAGTTCTTCCTGACGCAACAACCTTTCGCCTCTCCGCTACAACGAGAGAACTTCTAGCACTCGGGAATATGGCCGACACTATGACATTGGCTGTTGGTCCAATGTAGGTAACTATCGCGGGGTAAATGGGTTAGAATCAGATACTCAACCGACGGACCCTCCTGCCGCAAGAGGAACTGCTGATAGCAATATAATCCTCATAGTCGGTGAGCTGGTGTGGGAGGATGTGTACATATAAGGGCAAGTCTACATACCGAAGCCTTTGATAATCTATCCCGTAGAAAGTACAATCTTCGTAAACGGAACGATTCGCGAATAATTCGATAACATAAGTTACGCGTCTATAGAGCAAGCATATACCCATACATACCTTGTCGGGGATCCTGTGTAGGTAAATGCCGGTACTTCTCCGCTTGCTCCTACGTTGATATGCGCGCGTCAGAGTTAGGGGGCCATCAAACACGGCGAAATAGAGGCAGCACGGAGGGTATTCTTATGCATACGGCTCTCTCGATACAAGACTACCGGTGGCTAACGGGGCTAAAGCGAAGATCTAGGAGGGCGAGGGGAGTCAACGGCCATAATTCGTTGAAGTCACCCACGCCCATCGATAAGCATCCCGCACAAGGAGTGGGGGAAAAAAATACGGCTACCGTAAATACTCTTGGGTCAATGAGATTCGCACGACAGACGTGGTTATTACCGGGGGCCGGCCCTAAACAGTCGGGAGATGGATGCAAACGCGTGCCGGCTACGACACCGTGAGGCTCGGAAACAAAAGCTCTAAGAGGCGAGTGAAGAACTCTAAGAATGATGTAAACCGGAATTTGGGTATAGTTAACGAGTTATGAGGAGACGGTCGCGTAATTTAGAAGACTGGTGTCCTTCCACGACTGTGAAGGGTTCATTTTATGAGCAAGTAGTAACCCCAAGATATTTATCTCTATTTTACGCGTTAACGCCCATAGACGTGTTCGAGAGTAGAATGTTACGGGCAGGAAATTGATGAGTTTTTGGAAGTTGCCAGCTTTTTCGTCCACCAGTTTGTCTGTGTTGCCTAATTGTATTTCGTAAATAGCCATAATATTCTGGTCACTTTTTAACCAGGCTCTGGGAGGATTGGACTACATTTTTTCATTGCGAAAACACTTCGAACGAGAAACCTTTGACAAAGCTGTTAATAAGGACATCGTGTCTGATTGATTTATCCGTAAAATGCATTACCCCTCTACGTATACTGCCACGTGAGAGGAGCCGGACTTGAAGCAGCCCGAAGCTTTCTATCTCTAGGTATATACGGGCGGTTTTCATCATGAGATCGCAGCATGAACTGCAGGAAAGCCTAGCCCATAATGATAACAAGCTCTATTTACCACATAGCCTATATTATAACCTAGTTTGCCATCCTTATTAGTTCAACTCGGAGTTGATACCTGGTGGCCATGATGCTAGTAAAGCTTTAGTTATAGTATTGAGGCAGTAATCGATAGGATGGCTGTAACGACTGCGTTGCGTTGCATGCTTAACCTAATACAAACATTACTGAAACAAACAGCGCTTTATTTAGACATAATTGTGGCCCAATAAACAGTTACTTGTTTCATTAGGGACGAGTAGTAGTTTTAAAAGTCGGTATCAGGCCCCACAACGGACTTCTTGCTCTTGTATGCGAGCTATCGGCTGTCTTATCGTTCTTTCCATTCATCGACAGCAAGCATTACTGGAACTGGGCAGATGTGGGTAGGCACAGAGAAGAAATGAAATCTAACAAACCAACACCTACAGAGCGAGGGGAGAGGCTGTTATTACGAAGATAGAAACATTGAAACATTGCAACTAGGACTTAATATTGAGAAGATCGCAACTCGTGAGATGAGCAGCCCTTAATCCTTTTGTTTCGCAGGCTTAAAGCCAACCCTACGTGTGATTATACCACCATTACCCAGAGCTGCCTCATGCTTATGCTGCTGCATAGTGACTCTAAAGTCGTAGCTAACCGTGGTATCTAGGCCATGCAAGGGCGCCCTTGCTCTCCTCCTGGCAACAGGACGGCGAGCTAATAGACACTTAATACAAGACGGCTTGAGGAAATGCCACCAGATGAGCAGGTCTTAATCAGACGTTGGTATGTATGGGCTCGGCCATTACGGTTCGACACACATTAGGTGCCTGTAACAGATGCCTGTAGGTACTTAGGTCGGTATGCGAATATCGGTGGCCCACACACACGGACAGCAGTCAGAGGTGATGCTGACGGTAGCACCTTGCAAGCTATGGAAGGGGTTGATGTAGGTACCGTGGAAGGTACCGGATGACTCCCTCCAGCTGCCTGGGCTAATGTACGCAACGTAAGGCTAACGCCCCTGGACTTGGACTGTGTCCAGCGGCAGTAGCACCTGCTTTCGCAGGTCTTGCCTTGTGAGACTGACACCGAGACGAACTTGCCCCCAGAACCTACCTTGGTGAGGTAGGTACCTACATCATGTCGTGTAAGTGGAGCTGCCATACCTAGGTGTAGGTACCTTATTAGGTAGGCACCTAATTTCCCTATGGGGCAAGGCCGGCAGGTGAGTGCAGGTGAAGGCAGGTGAATGCAGTCTGTCAACAATGGAAGGCGCAAGACGCGCTTTGCCCACTTTAACATGCCTGCCTCAAGTACCTACTAGTTAGGTAGGCCTTCAATTGTTTTGGTTGGTGGGATTCTGCCGGGAAGTACCTGCCTGGGCATCTGCGTAGATTTGACGTCCCATGGATTGTCTCATCATGTAGGTAATGCCCGGTTGGACTTTCCGAACCCTTTGATGAGCCTGCAGAAGGCATGTAGGTACCCCATGTAGATGCCAGGGAATGATTACGAGGCCATCGTACTGCAATTTATGCCTGTCTACCAGTATCCTGTCTACTACAGGTACTTAGGTACCTATTCTCTGTCTTAGGTACTTACGTGTGGGATGAGAGGTACTTACCTACGCTGTAGGCGTTGCATGTGTTTGCCCGAGTTGGGGCCCCGCAAGGCGTACTCGCGTACCGGTACATAAAATATTTGCCGTATCCCTGCAAATGGCGGGGTTTCCTGCCATTGTATAGTTCCTCTGTGCCTCCTCACGCAAGTCCTCGAGATGGAAAGTTCGACCAACTGATGAAGCAGAGGCACATATCCGCTTAGGTTAGGTGCCGACCTGCCCTATCGCCACCAATGGGACCTCCATATTGCCGTTATCCATATATGACATACTGCCCAAGTGCATGTCCGGCCTGCATATGCTGTTAACAGGCGTCCAACTCTCAGGTACAACCTGCCCGCCTCCGGCCAACCTACTTATGTATAACCTCAACAGCAACCCAAATCACGCTGTCTTGACCTAACAAATACTACCAGCCTTGGGGGGGGAGAAACTATCTCGTCTGCACCCTTCATCCGTTACACTTTCCCCCATCTCCCCGTGCCTGTCTATCTACCTATCCACCCACCCACAGACCTGTCGCTGGCTCCATCTATCCTAGCGGTAGCTAACCATCTGGGGTGCCATGGCGATGGATTCGAGCTCCGAGGGGAAGCTCCGAGTGAGCAAATGCCACTATGAGACTGGTCGCAAGAGAGTGAGCATTGCGTGAACCTCGACAACTTCATCGCATCTCCAAGCCTGTTCGCTACTGACATCGTTGTCTACGCAGCACCGGATTCCGAAGTCGATACCGATTCCTTTCGAGACCTCCCTGCCCATCCTAGCACCCGGCCAGAGCCACGATTCCGAAGATGAGAGCATCGAGAATGGCGCCCTTTCGGACGAGGTCGACCAGAATGACGAGGCAGACATGGTTGACGATGCGATGGTTGACGCTGATGCCATCATGGTAGAGGGCCTGCCGTTTGCTTTGGTGGTCGATAATGACGATCAGTGGGCAGACGAACCGTGGGTAGACGATTTCGTAACCGATACAGATTCGGGGCTTAGTGTCGACCTCGATGCCGAGATGACCTCCTCTCCTCAGGAACAGGACGGCGCATTCGAGGCTGAGGTTCCTCCGCGCGTCGCCACCTGGAGACTTAATCTTACTGCGCTGTCACAGATTTACAACATGTATATCGTCGCGTACGCAGACAAGATCTACATCTCTCGGCCGCGCAGCTGCGTCACTAACGCTCTGCCTCCCGAGCCTGACCTAATATTGATGCCCCGGGCGAGCAAGATGGGTCGCGAAATCGGGGGCTTCTTGGACGATAGCTTCCCGCATCAAGTCAACCATCTCCTGGTCGGGGAGCTTGGAAACGAGGAAATCCTATTGCTTGCCTACGACGACGGTGACGTTATCGGCTACTATGTCCGACATATTGAGCATGAGCTCTTGCGTCGTGAGGACGAGAGCCGGGGTACGAGGGCCGTCCCCGAGCCCTTCTTCCACGAGCATGTCGGTAAAAGCGCTTGGGGGCTTGCGGTGCATAAGCAGTCGCGTATCATCGCCGCAAGTTCCAACACCCACAATGTCTACGTCTTCGTCTTTGCCTTGACCGGCGAGCCATACCAACACCATACCCAAGTCGACGCGCTCGAATTGTTTAGGAATACTGGGAAAGACGAGAACGGCAGAATCCTAGCATCCCCGACAGATGCGGCCGAGTACGACTTAAAAGCTGCTCAGCAAGAAAGTGTGATCCGACGTCGAGATGCCAACTGGCGGATTGTCCTAGAGACCGGCTCTGGCGGGGCCAACATCCCCAATGTTGCTTTTAGTAGCGACGCCGATGGGGAAGCAGACAAAGTCGTAGCAGTAGATATTCACGGCAGACTCTGGCTAATGGACATCTGGAACTTCACCCCCGGCCCTCATGTTAAGATTGGGGGTCTTCACCGCGCCCATCCGGCCCCCCACGGACCTTTCGGCGCTTTCCGTAGGTAAGTATATACTTACCCCGCCTCCGCATGGCTGCGGAGACACTAATCGAAACCAGGCCCAGGGGTTGGGGCGTGCTCGTGTTGCCGGAAAGCAGTTTCTTGCCGACGGATGATTATCAAGATTCGATCGGCATACCATACGGGGACGTCAAACACGCATGCAACGAGAGAATTGGACAGTGGATGGATATTAGCAAAGGCCTCGCCAACGTGAGGAATAACTCGACGGTTCATCCGTGGGTGAGGTCGAACCACACCAATCGGTTTAGCACCAACCCTCATGAGCCGAGAAGGTCCCAATTGGAAAGCCCGTGGTTCGACTTTGGACCCAACCCGGCACGGGCGATGCCGGCCGGTCGCAAGGCGAGTCGGGGAGGGGTTTCTCTCGGGACGGCAGACGCTCCGCCGCCCAAGACGATCCTAGGAGACGGCAGTAGTATCATGCGCACGTACGAGATCGACATCGAGCTTCGCAGTTTTGAAGAGGGCGGGGTTGGGATCATGTTTGAGAAAGCCATCAGTCAATCCCGGCCTCCGCAGGCGGTGCTTCCATCCATGAGGGTGTCGCACGAACGGCTGGCCAACCTCATCCATGTCCCAGAGCTGTCGTTAGTCGTGGCTGGCTCTCTTTGTGGACGGGTGGCGCTGCTGACCCTCACACGCCCGAAGCAGGATTTGAACTTCAAGCGAGGCTTCAAGATCGAGGCCATCCTGCCAACGAAGTCGGAAGAGGACAGGCAGATACGACCGATCTGCCCATTGCTGGGGGTCGCAGTCGCGCCGATGCCGTTCTCGGGAAATACAGAATTAGCCGAAAAACCTCTCGGGCGAAGGCGGTACCGTCTCATGATTCACTACTACGATCTCCGGGTTCTAAGCTACGAGATCTCGCGGAGCTCTGCGACGGGCGGTATCTCAGTTGTTTGACGGACTCGGTTTCCTCGGCTCCCCTCCCCTTTCAATAACCATCTTGATACCCTAGGCCTTGCTGGCCACTTGAGATTGACGCCGGGTCAGACTGGCAGGCGTTACGGTTGCATACATCGGTTGGGTGGACGGTAGATGAGGAGGATTTGATGAGTATTCCTTCTGTCCTTAGCTAGTTCGCGGTTCCAGCGGCAGCACTGCGACACTGGCCAGAGAGGAATGAGAGATGTGGTCGTGAAGCCACGACGAAGTATTATTATACGCTCACTACCTACGTAGCAGCTCCTCGTCAACTATTCTATCTCTCCTAGTGATAGTTGGGAAGAGTAAGAGAGTCGGAAAAATCACGTGCATCCCCCATCCCCCCTCCCCCCTCTTGCATCTATGAGTAGGTAGCTGACTAGGATGCCGATACAGGGTCGCGTCTGGCCAAGATTTCGATATTTTTTACTCATACGTACAGACGTGGATATGGGATGCCAAGGCGCGATTTGGTGGAGGAATGATAAATCGATCTCTCGGAGGGCAGCGGCTGATTGGACGATGATCCAGAGATAAGACCTTGACTTGACGGGGTGCGAGTCGCAGCTTATTTCCGGGGGAGCCATGGGGTTCCCTGGACGTCAATTAGACGCGGAGGTACGCGATATGTGTGCCCTAGACATTTCAGCTCAGGACCTTGCGTAACGTCGTGGAGGACATGAAGGTACCTGAGCAGCACAGGCCTGCACCGCTCCAGCGGGGGCCACGGATGCCTGTAGCAGCAGGAAGTGCCATCTGCAGGCACAGCAGCTGGGCAATGCCGAAGAAGGGTGCTTATACAAGGTGCCTAGACGTGTAGGATACTGGCCGATGTGCCTGAGGTACGAGGGGGTATGGAGGGGACGACGGCAAGTTGACATCATCGTGCCCGGGTTCGCACCTCGTATGTGGTATGTGATATGTACATGAAAGCTTTGGGTCAAGATGCCAAGCAGACCTGGTAAGGGGATGGGATGCCTTCTTCAGCTGCTTCCCGTGCTGGGGCCAATGGCCCAATTCAGCAATTGGCCTCATGTCGATCCCGGGACTGGTGGTCTCATTATCAGACACTGCTTTGTTGCGCCATGCCGAGGGCTTACAGAGGTGGAGCAGGTTAGGAGTATACATATCGTAAGTACCTATGTACTTCGGACCACTTCAACCATTGCGTACTACTATTTATGCCTCTTCCCGCCCGTTCTCGTCCTCAGTTACCGGCTCTTCGATTACGCCGCGATTTAGTGCTCAGCGAACGCTGGCACGGTCTCAGAGGCAACACCCCCCCCACAAAAAAAGGGAAAAGGAGAGGAAAAGTGAGAGAGAGAAAAGGGCTCTCAGTGACTGACCTACCAGCTTTAGGGAGCTCGAGATGAGATGGTGTGTGGTCTTAGCTGGCTGGCCCGATTCAGCCCCGTGGCGCGCACGACTCGACGGCGATAAGGGGAGGGGAGATAGGGATCGTTCGGGGTGGAAGCTAAGGATGCCATTCGCCTGCGGGAGCGGTTGCAAATGGATTGCAGGGAGTCGGACAAACTATTTCGTAACGAATACGCCCGTCCCACGCGATCCGGACGGGTCGAGGCTCAAGCTTCTGCCAGCCGGTCTTGGGGGAGGCCTTTTCCCCCTGCACCCAGGGTCCCCCCTCGGTCGTGGCCTTGGCCCCGGGTTTTTCCTAGGACAGGAACACCTAATACCTAGCGTTTCCTCCATCTTAGGTTCAGCTGGCTCTCGAGCTGGAACGCCTAGGCAAGATCATTCTAGGTTGTTTTAGAAAGGAAAAAAAAAAAAAACTTTTCCCTTCTCGTCGCCTTCGATGCGCGTCGCGAAGGGAGCGGCGCCGAGGCGACTACGGCAGATATACATCCATCCACCCGTCCATACATAGGTACATACGATATTACGTGCAGCAACAGCTCTTCCGACAACCCCTAGAGGTCCCTACGGGGCTTCTCTGTTTTGTATAGATATCTGGTATTACCTAGGTCCTTCTGCACAGGTACCTTTGCGGTATCTACATGCCATCTTCGGCTCTCAGGCACGACCTTGGGTACGCTGGGTAGGCGGGCACCTGAGTGCCTACCTACCTAGGTGGGTGGGTAGGTACCTAGATATGTGAGGCTATCTGACGTACTTGTGGGTGCTTAGGTGCCGGGCGTGTGCCTTAGACGGCCCTAATCTAGGCAGCTTTAGTTCCTTGGGTATTCGTACGGACGGGGCGGGCAGGCATACCTAGAATAATACCCCCGTAGGTATACCCTAGGTACCTACCTAGGTACCTACCTAACATACCCCAGTACATACCTAGGTACCCAGGAGGTAGGCTGGTGGTCATATGAGTAGACATGTACACATTGATTGATGTCAGCAAGCCTCTTTATCGGGCGGGCTCGCCTGCGGTGCCTCAACCACCACCAACTCCAGGTAGCGTGTTCCATGCCGCCTAGCAGCCCCCCCCCCCCGACCCCGACCCATGGGGGTGCTCGGTGAGTGTCGGACGGCCTGGAAGACGTTGTTGTACCACTACTGCCTCCCTCGCCGCCGGCAGGCACAGAGGCCAGGTACCTGCACGTTCCCGTCGCCGGAACTCTGATTACACACAGTTACACGTACAGGATTTCCTCGATCCCGGCCTCCGTGATTGGCTCGATAGCTGCCTCCTTCTATCTGGCAGCCCATTCCTTTATATACCTCTCTACGTCAGGCCGGACGCTCGAGAAGGAGAAGCCCGGCTTCGACCCTGTCTCGCTTTCACTTTCTCCTCTCCTCCCTCTCCTCTCTCGGCGCACCGTGTCGTGTCTCTTTCTTACATTGGGCATACTATCATCCTGTCCACACCCACCGGAGGCGTCTGCTCTACCACCTCCATGCCAACCTGTGCGCGATACCCATACGTGTGTATACCGCCTTCTGTCCCTTCCCTCTTCCCCGGCGTCGTCAACTCGGAGGCGGCCAGCTAAACACGCCTACGCCTACGCGAGCACAACCACACCCACCACGTCCGACCAGACTCTGGCCCCAGAAACCGCCCGCCGAAACCAGCCATGTCGTGGTCGCCCTCCTACTCGTGGACGGGCGCGCCCGCCGAGTTCAACGGCACCGATCCCGAAACTGGCGGAGATTCCAGTAGGTCGTCCCCAGTCCCAGAGGCTGCATGCACCCCCCTCCCCTTTGGCGGCCCGAGGCTGACACCGCCGTCCCCTCTCGCGCAGGCACCGAGAACCTCAACCAATGGTACCAATCCGGCGACCAGGCCTTCATCATCGTGTCCGCGTGCATGGTGATGCTCATGGTCCCCGGCATCGCCTTCTTATACTCGGGTTTGTCGCGGAGAAAGTCGGCCCTCTCCCTCCTCTGGGTCGTCATGATGTCCTTCAGCGTCGTCATCTTCCAGTGGTACTTCTGGGGCTACTCGCTGGCCTTCAGCACCACCGCCACCAACGGCTTCATCGGCAATCTCCACCACTTCGGCCTCATGAACACCCTCGCCCTGCCCTCCCCGGGTTCCCCGCTCATCCCGGAATTGCTGTATTCGTTCTACCAGGTGAGTTCTTACCAATCGGGGACGAGGGGGAAGATCGGCAGGAGAGGGAGAGATAGAAAGAGGGAGAAAAGTGAGAGAGTGCAAAAGAATTTGTTGTATTACCCCACAAAAAAAAAAAAACCTGCTGACGGATATCTGCGTGGTTTAGATGATGTTTTGCGCCGTAACCGCGGCCCTCGTCATTGGCGCCGTCGCTGAACGGGGTCGCGTGCTCCCAGCCATGGTTTTCGTCTTCATCTGGGCCACTCTCGTCTACTGTCCTCTCGCCTGCTGGGTCTGGAATGTGAACGGGTGGGCCTTTAACTACGGCGTTCTCGACTACGCCGGAGGCGGGCCCGTCGAGATCGGCTCCGGGTTGTCCGCTCTGGCTTACTCGTGGGTGCTCGGACGGCGCCACGAGAGGATGATGCTCAATTTCCGACCTCACAACGTTTCCCTGGTTACGCTCGGCACCATCCTTCTGTGGTTCGGCTGGCTCGGTTTTAACGGCGGCTCCGCCTTCGGCGCCAACCTCCGGGCCACTATGGCGTGCTGGAACTCTTGCCTAACGGCCGCGTTTGCCGCCATGACATGGTGCCTGCTCGATTTTCGCCTCTCGAAGAAGTGGTCGATGGTGGGATGGTGTTCGGGCGTAATATCGGGGCTCGTCGCCGCCACGCCTGCGTCCGGATTCATTCCCCCGTGGGCATCTATCGTCCTGGGCGTCGTCACCGGCGTTTGCTGTAACTTTGGCACCAAGAGTAAATCACCCTCATGTCACGTCTCTCGGATGACACAAGCTGACGCTTGGAAATTTAGTTAAGTTCCTGGTTCGTATCGACGACTCCCTCGATGTGTTCGCCGAGCACGGCATCGGCGGCATCGTCGGGCTCATCTTCAACGCGCTCTTCGGTGCGAACTACATCATCGGCCTTGACGGTGTAAACAACGGCGCACTCCCGGGCGGCTGGATCGACCACCACTGGGCGCAGCTGTACATCCAGATCGCGTACATCGTAGCGGCGAGCGCGTACACGTTCGTCGTGTCGGCCATCATCGCGAAGCTTATCGACCTCGTGCCCGGACTGCATCTGCGCGCGACGGAGGAGGCGGAGCTCATCGGCATGGACGACGACCAGCTCGGCGAATTCGCGTACGACTACGTCGAGGTGCGGCGTGACTTCCTCGCGTGGACACCCATCAAAGAAGAGCCGATGGTCGGCGGCGGCCACCGCATCATCCCGCAGCACGGGATCGAGGAGCACGCGAACATGGCCAACACCAACGGCATCGCGCGCGAGCAGGAGAAGAGGAATGCCTCGGCGAGAACTCCCGCTAAGGAGAAGGTCGAGGCGGCGGTGGCAGCCAACGGCGACACTACCGAGAGATCGACCGAGAGGTTAACGGAGGAGGCACCAAGCAGATAACAAAAAAAAGCAAAATTGGTTGTTTAATTAGCTCCGCATTTCCTCATTTTTCATATTCACGAAGGACACGGGAGGCATTTCTGCAATTCTTTTTTTTCGCGGTTGACGATTCTCGCGTCTTCAGCTGATTCGCATATATATTTCTGGCAAACACAATACCCCGCCTCACCCCGCCGCGCACGTCCACTACCAACCCTCATCATATTCACACTACCGTCTTCTCTCCCCCTCTCTTTTCCCACACTAGCTTCTCGCTCACCTCTCGCTCACAAACCACGCCTCGTCTTTACCTCGACTCGCAGCATAGGAGAATATTAAGGTGGGGAAGAAAAGTGTTCCTTTTCGTTTTCGTTTCCCGGGGTCGTCAGGGCGGAATGGGGCAAGAGAAAAAAAAAGGAGAAAAGACAAAAAGGAGTAGGGCTGAAGGGACTGCTTGCCTCCTGTATCTCGTGCGTGCGTGCGGTTTTTTATTATTATTACCGGCCGGAAATCGGGTGCGCTATGGCGTTTGCACGGCGCCGGAAGGGTGTTGATTTTTTTCCGTTTTTCTTATCGTGCATGTGCGCATGCGGTGTGCCGGTTTGGATACACGCGCAGCCCGGGCTTACTGCGGTGGGGAGTAGCGAAGACATCACAGGGTTAAGGTGTTCCCCCCTCCCCTCGCCGCCCCCGCTCCTCTGGCTACGGCACGGCGGCAGGGCGTCTGGGGAAGGGGAATCTCGCCGTGGTGGCCCTTCGGGAGCTAGAGAGCGGGTTGGGAAGGAAAGGTAGGCCCGTATATATAGAGGTGTATAGAACATAGGTATATAATCAGCATCGTACGTCGCGGCAATTCGCTAGATTACGACCGACTCTCGCGCTGCCACCAAATTAGTTGCTGCGTTCGGAAACGAGGCTATGCCCCCCCCCCTTTGTGTCTGTGTAGGCGTATGTATGTTGCTACGAGTTGTTACAGGGGCCTCCTCCTTCTCCCCCCTTTCCCTTCTCGGGTTCCTCGCCCTTACCTCCCCCCCCTTTCCTCCCCCCTCCCCCTTTGGGGCCCTGGCCGTGGCCTACTCGAGCTTCAGGTCCTCGAACTGCTTGATGGTGCCCTCGAAGCCCTTGGCCTCGGAGGCGAGGTCGGCGAGGCGCTTGCGGTCGGCGTCCTGGAGGGCGGGGGCGACCTTCTGCCGGTAGGAGGGGTCGTCGACGAGCCTCTGCTGCTTGGCGAGGGCGGCGCGGGTCCTGGCGAGCTTGCGGGCCGCCCGGGCGATCTCGTCGTCGATGTCGACGCGGCCCTTGACGTGCAGGAACACGGCCGCCGCGCTCGACACCGGGAACGCGACGCAGCCGGCCGGCCGCGCGTCCGCGCCCGAGAGCACCGCGATGCTCCGCACCCCCTTCCCGCTCAGCGACCTGATCGACTGCACCTGCTCCACCGCCGTCGCGTGCGCCGTCGCGTCGTACGTCTGCACGAAGGCTGGAGAGAGAGAGGGGCGCGCGCGCGCGCGCGTCAGCTCGGGGTTCGCAAACCGTGATAAACAATACCTATTACTACTACTCCTACTCCTAGGGAAAACGTACCTTGAGTTTCGTCCTTGAGCGCGTATTCGCCCATCAGCGACCGGATGCCTTTCGAGGCCCCGATGACGAGCTCGTACGCGGCCTCGGCCGCCGGGTCGTCCAACCCCGGGTCGTACACGGGGTACCGAGCGAGCATGATCGACGGCGTCTCGTCGCCGGGTCGGCGCGGCAGGCGCTGCCACAGCTCTTCCGTCAAGAAGGGCATGAAGGGGTGGATCAGCCTCAGCGCGTTGTCGAGCGCGGTATACAGAGTGTCGACGGCCGAGCGCTTCTCCTCTTCCGTGCCGTCCTGGATGAGCGCCTTCGAGTTCTCGATGTATACGTCGCAGAGATGGTTGTACCAATATTGGTACACGGTGGCCGTCGACTTCATAAACTCCCGCTCGGCAAGGCTCTCGTTGATCTCCTTGGCGGCTATGTTCATCTTGTGGAGGATCCATTTTTCGGCAAGAGACTCCTTGCCGGTGAGTTTTCCCGTCTTCTGGGGGACGAAGCCCTCGTCTATCTTGCCGAGAACATATTTCGTGGCCTGGTAGATCTTGTTGCAGAATTTCCTGTAGCCGTGCATGACCTTGATGTCGAAGTTGATGTCTCCGCCGCCGGTAGTGTAATTCACCATACAGAAACGAAGGGCGTCGGCTCCGCATTGCGGGATCCCGTCGGGAAACGCCGTCTTCTGGTACTTCGTGGCCTTCTCGACTTCGCTCGGGTGGAGATTTCCTTGCGTCAGCTTCTCGTGGAGCGCCTCCAGGGGGATACCCTTGATGACGTCGAGGGGGTCGATGACATTGCCCAGGGACTTGGACATCTTCCTGCCCTCCGAGTCTCGCACGAGCGAATGGCAGTAAACCTCACGGAACGGGATCTGTCCGACCATCTTCATGCCAAGCATGATCATCCTCGCAATCCAGAAGAACAAGATATCCCAGCCTGTCTCGAGGATGCTGGTTGGGTACAAGGTTTGTAGGTCGTGGGTGTTGTTCGGCCAGCCGAGGGTCGAGAACGGCCACAAGCCGGAAGAAAACCACGTGTCGAGAACGTCCTCGTCGCGTTCCAGTGTGAACTTCTTGCCCGCCAGCGCCTTTTCAGCTTTCGCTTGTGCCTCCTCTTCCGTACGTCCGGAAAACCATAAACTGTCGTTGGCCGGATCGCCAGCCTCGCCCTCAACCTTGGCGAAATATACAGGACATTGGTGACCCCACCAGAGCTGCCGCGACAGACACCAATCGTTGACGTCTTCCATCCATCGATAGTAGCTCTTTTCAGCGCTTTCGGGCTTGATCTTGATCTGCCCTTCCTTGACCACCCTCACGGCCTCGGCAGCCATATCCTTCATCTTCATCCACCACTGGGGCTTCATGATAGGCTCGATGATATCTTTGGACTTTTCGCACAGAGGCACCTTCATCGGGTTGTCCTTCTTATCCACATAGAGGCCACGTGCTTTGAGATCGTCCTGGATGGTATACCTCACATCGAATCGCTTCTGGCCCTTGTACGGCCCAGTGTTTTCGTTCATGAAACCGTCGTCTGTTAGGATGTTAATGAACTTTAGATTGTGCCTCTGGCCCAATGCAAAATCGTTGGGATCGTGAGCCGGGGTGATCTTCACAGCGCCGGTACCAAACTCCTTGTCGACATAGTCGTCGGCCACGATCGGCATCAGACGATCCTTGATAAAGGGGTGGATGGCATTCTTGCCGACAAGGTGTTTATACCTCTCATCCTGGGGGTGGACGGCGATGCCTGTGTCACCAAGCATCGTCTCAGGACGCGTAGTAGCAACCTCGATGGTCTCTTCAGTGCCTTCGATGGGGTATTTAAAGTGGACGATGATTCCGAACTCCACCTTTTTATCATATCCGGGCACGTCGAGGAGCGTCCGTCCTGGTAGCTCCTTGTTGATGACCTCTAGATTGGAAAGCGCCGTATTCAGCTTCGTGCACCAGTTGACGAGACGGTTTGCGCGGTAGATGACACCCTCCTCATGAAGCTTGACAAATGTTTCGGTTACGGCGGCACTGAGGTTCTTATCCATAGTGAACGCCTCCCTACTCCAATCGGTCGAGCCACCCATCTTGCGCTGGGCATTGTTGATGCGCTTGTGGTAGTCGTCTTTCCACTCCCATACAGTATCGGTGAACTTTTTCCGTCCGAGGTCATGTCGCGTCTTGCCCTGCCGTCTCCACAGCCTAATTCGCAGTTAGCATATAGGAGTTCACAGGTAGCCCCCACAGCAGGTGACGACTGACATGTTTTCGACAACGCTTTGAGTGCTGATACCGGCATGGTCGCAACCCGGCAACCACAGAGTGGTCTTGCCATGCATTCGGTTCCAGCGGATCATGACATCCTGCAGAGAATTTCCCAAGGCGTGGCCCATGTGCAGCGCTCCCGTCACGTTCGGGGGCGGGATGACGATGACGAAGGAGCCCTCGTCCTTGACCTTGCCATCTTGTGTGAATTGCGGCTTGAAGAAGCCTGACTTCTCCCACCACTCGTACCAGGCGCTCTCGACGGCGACGGGGTTATAGGCCTTCAGCTGGGGATCATCGAAGGACTTGAGTCGCTTCTTCTCGCCCAGCGGGGTATCTTCAACATAGGGGGCAAGGGGCTCCTCCTCGACCTTAGGGGCTTTGGCCTTCTTCTCCTTCCCCTTGCTCGAGGCAGCGGTGTCGGCTTGGACGGCGGCGGCCTTGGCCTTCTTCTGCTCGAACTTGGCAGCTTTCTCAGCCTTCTTGCGTTCGCGCTCTAGCTCCTTCTCGGTCTTGACCTTGGGAGCGGCGTCGGCGCCGGCCGAGGCTACGCCGGCGTCTTGGCCCGGGGCGTGGACGCCGGCACCATCCAACTGCGCGACAGCTTCTTTCACGGCGCCTGCGACGTCGGCAGCAAGGGGAGAGGGCGTGCCCTCGCCGGTCTTGCTCGGGCCTTCGGATGCGTCGACTGGGGGGAAGCATCGCAGCGGTTAGTTAGTCAAGAAGCGACGCGTTGGTCCGGCAGGCAAGGAGAGAGAGAGGGAGAAGAGCTAAGATGCGTACTGGGGTTACCACGAGCGCTGTTTGTAGCCATTGTGGCACGAGTGAAGCGAATAGTTGGACTGTACGGCGGCCTGCACGCCCAGAGTGCTCGGATGAGTAGCCTAGACAACTTGACGGTGTTGAAGGCGGGATTAGGGGGAAAGGGTTCGTGACATTGGGATTGGGATTGGGTGTCTTTTTTTGTCTGGCAGTCGATGTAGGTAATTAATGGTGCTGGATTTCCTGACTCACCCACTCACTAGCGAGGACTCACAGGCTGGAGGGGTCGAGCGAAAAAGGGGAAGCGGGCAATCTTCTTATCGATAGGCCGGCCGATAGGGAGTGGGTAAACGGTAGATACCTACCTAGGTACCTAGGTAGATTCTTGATGCTCCGTGCAGCGGGCACTATTATGCCCCTCGCGGTACGTACCTACCTCCGGCCGGGTGGACCATAACCCCCTTACCTACGTGTGACTCTTAGTTGGCGGCGTATTGTATCGGGGGCACCTACATTTCTCATAGGGAACGGGTGACTCGGGAACATGGATATGCTATTATTATAAGGAAAAATGGTAGGAAATTAGTTTCTACAATGCACACGGCTCTCCGGTCTTGCCATTCCCTTTAGGTGAACACTTGGGCCTGTACCTAGGTCTGATGAATCCCCCATTAGGTGCCTACTTCACAGTCCTATGGGAAACACCGAGGCCGCCCATGCTCCACGGTCGGAGCGAGTAGTGCTAGGCCCGTAGCGATAACGAGTAGGCAATAGGTATGATATACACGGCGTAAGTAACACACGAATGTCTGGATTCCCTCTTAGGCAGGCCGGTATCCCAGGTAGACATGTCGAGAGAAAAGACGCCGACAGACAGCAACGCTACTTACGCCGCGCCGACACCCTCCTGTCCCCTGACCTCTCTCCCCCCCTCCTCCTCTCCCTGGGCTCCGTCCTCCTTCTTCTCCCTCTCCCGCCGCACCCACGCCAGAAACAGCGGGACGTCCTTCCAGATCACCGCCGGCGTCGCCATGCTCTGCAGCCAGGCGGGCAGGACGCCGCCGGCATCGCCCGCCGTCGCCATCAGCCACTCGATCCGGGCCCCTCCCCCTGCCCCCTCTGCCCCCTCTCCTCCCGCTCCGCCGCGGATCCTGCGCACCCTCTCGACACTCACGTACCGCGCGACCTGGGCGCCGCGCTCGCGCGCCAGCTCGCTCGCGGGCGACGCGGCGCCGAAGTCGGGCACGGGGATGCTCACGACGAGGAACTCGTCGTCGCCGCGCGCCTCGGCCTCCTCGCCGCCCCCCGCCAGCGCGACGCACGTCATCTGCAGGACGGGGAACGTGCGGTCGCGCAGCACGGGGCGGCCCACGCGGTGCCGCATCTCGAGGAGCTCGAGCGTGAAGCGCCCCCACGTCGTCGTCGTCGTCGTCGTCGTCGTCGGCCCCGTCTCCGCGACCCGCACCCCCGCGCAGTCCCACGCCAGCGCGCGCCGCGCGCCCACGCACGCCGGCGTGAAGGCCCGCTCGCTCGCCGCGTGCTCGTCGCGCAGCCCGCGCGCGAACTCGCCCCAGCTCGCCGTCCCCGGCCGCGCCGCGTCCTCGTGCACGCTGCGCCGGCACACCCACGTCTCGTGCGCCCCGCCTTCTCCTCCTCCTCCTCCTCCTAGCTCCGCCGCCCCGACCGCCCGCACCGACACCTCCACGCCCGCCGCCGAGTCCGGGTGGAAGCGCAGGAACCGGTGCTCCGCGCCCCGCGCCCCGCCGGCGCCCGGCTTCTTCCGCCAGAGCGCCCTCGTCTCGGGGCCGCGCGCGCCGCGCTTCGGCGCCGCCGAGTCGATGAAGGGCGCCGCCTCGCGCACCGCCGCCGCCAGGAGCGGCGCGAGCTCCGCGCCCTGCGTCCCGGCGGCCGGGAGCTGCGCCGTGCGCAGGCCGCGCAGGCGGAGCAGTGGGGTCGGCGGGGAGGGTCCGGACGCGTCCGTGGCCATCGTGTGGTCGACGGCCTATTCCGCAGGCCTTCTTTTCCGTCTGAGTAGTGCGAGTATGGGTGTGTGGGCGTGGCGCGCGACGCGCTTTCGGGGCAGGTTTGGTGTGCGTAAGTACGTAATATGGGAGGAGGGTACGGTGAGTAATTAGGCTGGGTGGCTGATTGGCCAAAGCTGCCTGCTGAGCTGGGGTGGCGCCGAGTGATATAGCTGGAGCATGAAGTGACTACAGGCTAAGAAATGAATGAGCAACTCTGAGCCGAGTAAGCGGATCCGGCGTCCCGGGTTGCGTAGGAAAGAAGAATCGCAATCTATCAATGCATGCGGGAGAAGGCAAAAGAGGAAACCCGAGTCACGCAGCGAGAAGCGCTAGGGGGGGTTACCATTGTTATCTATGTGACATGCTGATGCAATGGGCGACTTGTCCGGATGATCGTCGTGTTTCTGATTGGAAACAAGGAGAGAGAAAACCCTACCCCCCCTTGGACTGATGCGGATTTGTATGCTTCGTAGCATGATTCTCAGCCATCCAAAACTTCACAGGCAAGGGAAACGGGTTGAGCGCTTCTTTCTGATTATTAGGATTACTATTCTAGTATCTTGTTTCTCGTATCGTGCCCAGTCGAGACCTTCCTCTTTCTCCGGCCTCTCATACCCGTGGGCGTGCGTGATCATTAGCTAGATGGCATGCTGTATGTATACAGAACTCCAGGTTGGAATATATAATGCACCTCACTTCTATCCCATCGTGAGAGCCCCCCTCTACCCGGTCCTCTTCTCCCAGAAGATCTTGGCCGGCTCAATCGGCCGCGAGAATAGAGACGCGTAGTCGGTTCCGATGACGTCGTTGCTGCCGTCGACGTTTCTGAACTTGAACAGGCGTACAATCATGGCGTTAATCGTCTGCAGCTGCACGTTGGCAAACTGCTCGCCGATGCAACGATGTCGTCCAGCACCGAACGGGAGGTAAGGAGAGCGACCGCCCTTGCTAACCAGGCCATATCCGTAGTCGATCTTCTCGTCGTCGTCGTCGTTCACTTCATTACGTACCACGGACGGCGCAAGCGGCGATTCTTTATCCCACCGGGTCGGCTCCCACAAGTCAGGCTCGGGGAAGTAGGTGCCGTCCGTCGCGCTAACACCGGCAGCGGCTAGTAGAGTGTGGCTGGGCGGGATCACATATTTCGTGCCGGGGATGGGGAGGTGGGACTTGACAGCTCGCATGATGGAGTGGATGGGCGCGTGGAGCCGCAGCGTCTCCTTGATGATGGCTTGGTTCAGAGGGAGCTTCGCGAGATCCTCATACTTTAGCGGGGGTAGGTCGGCACCGAGAGCCTCGACTTGTTCGCGATACAGGGCCTCCATGATGTCCGGGCGCGAAGCCAGACGCAGCATCATCCAAGAGCTGGTCGAAGACGAAGAGTGCTGGCCAGCCATGAGCAGGGCGATTAACATGTGCGCGATCTCGTGATCGGGGACCTGGGTGCCGTTCTTGTAGGTCGAATTCATCAGATGCCACATCATATCCTGTGCGTCGGTCTTGCCAGATGCTCGGCGTTCCTTGATAGTATCCATATAGATCTTGGCGATAGTCCTTTGCGCCGTGTCTCGTCGCGTGTTCCAAGGTAGAGGGGCCCAATGTAGCATGAAGTTGATGGGAGTAAAGCCCATGTCCAGATCGTGATATAAACTAGCCAGCGACTCGTCAAACTTGCTCCGGACTTCGCTGCCCTGGAGACAGTGCGAGGCAGTGAAAATGGTGATCTCGGCCATGTTCTTGGGGATGTTGGTCACGCCCGACTTGCCCTTGAAATCGGGGCATCGCTTCAAGTAGCCGAGGACCTCGTCGACGATAATCGGCACATACGATTGGAAGGCGGCCGTAGTCAGGGCGACTTTCATGAACTGATTCCCGACGATAAGCTTAGGATACGAGACGGGAAGCGATGGATCTTTACCTTCTTCTGCTCCATGAGCTTCGCGTTGGGGCAGTCGTAGACGACATCCTTGCCGAAGACAGGGGTGGTTAGGACGGTGTAGATGTCCTCGGCACAAACGTCCTTGATCTTTCCGTTGAGGATGAAGTCGTTGCCAGCGGTGCCGAGATAGACGGTCGTCTTCTTCCCAAGGAGGACGAAGGTGAAGATATCACCATACTGTCGCGTCGCGGTTAATATATCGCGCTGACAGGGGTGGAGATAAGACGATAGCGTGCAGCACGTACCTTAGCTCGCATCTCACGGAAGAAGCGGGGAGGATCCATGCCATAGGTGATGGTGCTCCCTACCAGGGGAAACCAGTGGAAGACGAGGGGGGGTTCGTTGGATTTCCTGAAGAGGATTTGCTGGAGGACATTGAAGAAGACGGCGGAGAAGAGGAGGCCGACGACGACGACGCCGACTTGGGAGGCGGGAGAGAGTTGGGAGAGATAGTGGGACACGAGTCCCTGGACGTCCTCGAGGAGCCCCATGGCAGCAGAAAACACTCGGGCGACGAATGTGGGCGTTGGTGGTGTCGTCGACTGGGCTCGGGACGCTTGGATGAGGAAAGGGGAGAAGAAATCTGGGGGAGGACGGAATAAATATGAAAATGACAGCTTAGCTGGCCAAGTGTGTATGAGTAGACTTCGCGTTCTCCCTTGGTAAAAGACAGGAGGAGATTGGCCAATCGATAGGGGGTGCCGACTGGAGATCGGCCCATCTGCCCTGATTGGCGCCGCAGAAAAAGCTACGGGAAGGGGTACATTGGTACCTCGTATTCGCATTCGAACTTGAGCCTTCGGATTTCTTCTATCCCATTTTCCATCTCATTTTCCATCCCGTTTCCTCTCGCGTGTAAGTGCATACAGCTGAAGTTGCCAACCCATAACCCGATGTATGTACATAGAGACGTTACGTGAGCTCGATGTATGTACAACATACCATCGCATCCGAGTAGACAGCTGTATTTCTCACCGCATAATAGCGTCCTGTATATGTATATCCCCTGGATGGCAACGGCATAGCCAAAATATCGCCTCTTCCTGATTCGTCCCGTTATCGAGCCGGGACTAGCATGCCGCCTCCAATCCCCTGCTTCTCTTCTCTACACGTATTTTCTTCTCGTTCTTTTCTCGTCTGGCCCAGCAGTAACATCGCGTATCCATGACACCCCCTACCGTCCCAAAATTGCCATTACGCGAATGGGGGAATGGGTATGCCAGGGACATATAAAATTTTCACTCCCGCCTCCCCTACCCCGTGGGTAAGGTAGAATCGGTGAGCTTTGCCTGCGCGGTAGATTGCGAACTACGATCAGGTAGGCAGAGCATGACAATGATACGATTTAGTATTACATGCCCACGAATGCCCTACCCTTGGCGTGTTCACCTGGGCGGAAAAACACACCATTCAGCAGCTCTCATTTCTAATCCAAACCACGGCCACCAGATAGTTCGGCCTCTCTTCCTGCCAACGCACACGATCTAGAATAAAGATCGCCAGGACACACGTGCGTGCGCTTGACCTACTCGAGCCTCCCGATGAGGACGGCCGAAACCAGTTAGGTAAACCCACCCAGAGATTCGGGTCGCGCTCCCTACCCTCCAGGACCCCTTATTCAGCGTGCTGCCACCGTCGAAGGCACATATGTGTACACGACGTGCGCACTTCGCTCCGGCAAAACCGAACCTGCCACTAGGGGTCTAACTCGGCATTGGCCGATGACAGGCGAGCCGGGTCCGAATAGACAGCAAGTGTATCGTGGTATCTACTTACTACGGACCTCAGGTGCCCACCGCTCTCCGGAACCAGGAGACATTGATCTGATCTATATGGCGATACATGCATATCTATAGGTGCATATGTGCACGTATCTAACACTACGTACGCGATAGGTTGATCCTATAATCTCTCAACAACACCTGTTCAACCCCTATCAGCAACCAAGCCCATTCGGTGAAACGAAGACCAGCTAGACTGCCTGCCCCTACCTACCTCGACGATATCGAGATGGTATACCTAGGTACCTACCTACCCTCTTCCTAACCCATCTGCTATGTACATAGATATAGGCAGTATACCCAAGGCGCCTGCTTGCCGTTTCGTATTCGGGATGCTCCCAACACCCGGATCGAGATCGAGACACGGCCTTGCGCAATGGCAGTATGATATCTCACCTCCCCATCCCTACCAAAACCCTCGTTGGTGGGAATGAGGTCGGGTTAGGTACTTAATGTATCCCATCCGCGTCGCATGAAACCCACCGCTCAAACGCAGCCACACTTGTCGCCCTGCTATTAAGCCGTCCGTCCCGCACATCCCTCTCGGGGCTCCGTCCGCAGCTCGACTGAGAACACCACGGGAACCCACCGTCCCCACCTCTTCCGCCCCTGCTGATTCGGCCTTCGCAGGCAGGCGACAGCTGGCGACGCCCAAGTTGCGAGGAGGGCACGTTGGTTCCCCGTGCCTTGTCTCGCGCATGCAAGCCCCGTCCTATAGCCAGGTGACCTACCTCGGGCGTTGCGACGTATGCTGCTCGAGACGCATTCCAGCGGCCCAGCGACGAGACCTCTTCGCCGTGCCTAGCTTGCGTAAAGGACGGCAATTCAATCCGGGAGATACTCCTCTAACAAACCGCCATACCACCTCGTAGGCATCCCCTACGAACCCTACGGGGGCGCAACCATATAGGACCGTGACGCATGCAGAGTAACGGGGGGGGGCGATGGGTTGTCTTAGCCCCCAACTAGGATTCTACAGCAGCGACCCGTTCGCTATGCATGAATCCTTTCTCGTCGAGGCTCCCGCTAGCGAGGACAGGCAGAGCTGGCGTGTCTTGCAAATAGGAAGAGGGACACCTTCGGCCGACCCACCGTCGCTGGCCATACTTAGAACAGAGATCGTAAGGAGCTCGGGAGGGCAGGCGGCGGGCGAAGCTAGAAGCTAAGCAAAGATCCGCCACAGATCGGGTCGCTCCGATGTGCCGGCGCTAAAGTAGACACGCCGCCTAAGCAGATACGGCTTCTCGAATAACGCCCACGCATCCCCAATGCAGCCCATCTCAGGGCCAGAGGAACCTCCCAGCCGGACCGGTTTCGCCGCCGATTTGCGCGAATTCCGGGCTTTGGATGGGGGGGTTCCCAGGTGAAGACGCCGGCTGGTCCAACCACCAGCGGCAGGACCCGTTGCATATACGTTAAGGGATAAAAGCCGACGATTAATAATAATTCTTTTACAAGGAGCTTTCATATTGTAGGGGGCCCTGGGACGCACCGCCCAGGACGTGTACCTCGTCGAGGAGCCGTCGTCTGGCATCCCATCCATACCCAGAACCGGGCACGCGGGCGCCGGTTCCGGCATGGACCATAGCGCGGACCGGCTCCAGTGCGGGTATATCTACACGACGGGATACATGGGAACAGGGAAATGAGAAGCAAACGGGAAGAGGACCAGAACTGGACCCCCCTCCCCCGTCCACCTTTGGCTCCACGCCACGGCGGGACGCACACGCGAGCCGACCAGCCTTACCACAAGTCTTAACGATGCGCACCCGCCCTGCTCCCCGTCGCCTTGGCCGCAGCTAGCCCTCGAGGTACGCCAGCGCGGGCCCTTCGTCATCGGGCTGCGCGTGGGTCGACTTCCTCTAGAGCCCCGCGCCGCGCCGCAGAGCCGGGAATACGAAGAGCCCCCCCCCCCCCCCGCCCCTGCCGCCGGGAACTAGGCCTAGCCGTGGCCGCCGGTGACGTTCAATCCCACCCGCGACAGCCAAAGCAAAGGGGAAAGGGGGGGAAGGGGGGGCGCTGGGACAGACGGCGGCCTCGGCCCGCGCACCACCGAGCGAGAAATTCTGCGCCTTCCTTCATTCCTGCTCTCACCCCTCGCCTCCCGCGAGCCGAGAGGAGAATAGGCGGCGGGAGGACGTGGAATTCGGGGGCGATGGCGTTGCCTGCCACCTGCGCTAACTAGGCGTGTGCAACGCACACATATGCCGGCAGTAGTGAACCGTATCGGAAAGGGTGTTAGGGGGGGGGGGGGGCTAGGTAAGGAGCGCAAAGACAGCACGGGGGAGGGGGGGGGGGGACAAAAGAGAGACTCGTGACGCAACAGCGACAGCCCGACTAGGCTACGGCCACATACCTCGTCAGCGGGCCCTGGGGAATAAGCCTCTGCGACATACTTCCCTGTCGGCCTACCTGAGCCATCACAAGGCCCTATGCATGGCATTTACAATTGCCAGGTCGGAGTGTCACCAAACTTACTAGCGTCTAAAATGAACAAGTGTCACCAGCAACATAGTAGTTGTTCATGCCCTCGCGACGTTAAAAAAAGGAATCGGATTTGCAGCCGATCCGGCTTGCACTGGCCTCGTTGGGGGCGTTGGCCTTCTCTCGGTTCAATATCAAACCCCCTCCCTTCCGTCCCTTTCGTTGCCCCCCTTGCGGATGGGATAGGCGCGTACTTCTTCTATCTAGGGTATGAAGCGCAACCGCTGATCTGTAATTCATCATACGCCAACCTTGTCTCTCCCCTATTGAAAGCTTCCAGTTTTTTTTATAAAAAAATGTACCGCGTCTTTGCCGCTGAACCGGAGTGAATCAACAATGAACCATGCTGTCCGCCTTCTATCCTATCCATCCAACCCAACGCCGTGATCTTGAAAAAAAAAAAAGGTATGTATCCATTGTACGCCACATGCAGGATATCCTTGTTTTATTCTTGCTGCGCCAGTTCCTGGGAGCGGGAAACTTGCTGTGAATAAAAAAAATCAACACCTGAACGCCGTGCCGAGTGCTTGTAGGCTATAATGATAATGCGGTCCACCGGTAGTCGGCGTCGATGTTGACCCATTTACGGTCCTCCATCGCCTTCTCCCACCCCATAATCACAGCCAGCAGCCGACATCCCATAGCGCTCATAGTGCATATGACGACGTCGCTGGCTTGGCCCAGGACAGCTAGATCAAGCATGTATGCCCGACCGATCAGCCCTCGAAGCCGCACGGTCTCTGGTGACGGTTTAAGCGACGTCGGGACCTTTTCAGCCGCGTTGGCGCTATGGAGGGCCGAGCGGCCTAGGTTCCAGAACATGGTCCCAAAGAAACCGCCCTCCCAACCGAACGTCTCGTCGACAAATTTGTGCATCACCGACTTGTCCGGGTTTGCCTTTTGTATGTGCTGCTTGCTCGCGAGCTTGATTTGCTCTTGGGCTCGGAAAGAGCTCGAGAACTCTTCCGATTCGTAGACGTCGGGGTCATCCGACGCAAGTATAGAGAACGAACGCTTCTTAGCGGCTACATCCTCGCTTCCCAGCGGAGCACTCGAGTTATGGTGCTCCTCGATGATCTCCTTAGCTCGCTGCGCGTAGATAGTCAAAGGGATATACGCCCCGTTGTATTGATATTCGTACGGGTGTAAATCGCCGTGTCGGATGTGTACGCCGACGATCACTCCGTTGCTGCGACTTCCCTCCTTCGTCTCGGCCATTGCTCTAAGCTGCTTGACACGATCGGTTACGTAGGGTGTGTCCTCATGGTTAAGGTGGAATAGAGCCTCGTACCCAGCTCGAGCTAGGTTATAGGTTGGTCGCTCTCTATCCACGTTGTCATAATGAGAATTCTCGTATTCGCGACTAAAGCGGTCGCCGAAGGTCTCGGGCGCCGTGGCGGCAGACACAACTAAATGCCGCGCGGCATGGGGGCACGGCAGCATCTCGTGGCGTGGTGGTGGGATGCAATCGGGCATCGGCGGCGGCTTGAAAATGGCGGCATATTCACCATAGGCCCATCGTGAGTCGTCGATAAAGAAGGCACGTCTTTCTCTTTGCGCGAGGCCGTACGCCATCCACAACATCATGAGCGTAGGGCCCATCCCAGCATCTGTCGATTCGAGGACGAAGGTGAGCGAGGTCTTGCAAACACTCTTGTCGGCCAATCCGTCCGCTGTGTCTCCTACCAAGTGACCCACCTGGGCCTGCGCCGTCACCTTCCACGCTTTGCCTTCTACACCGGGGAGAAGCCCCCGTTTCTCGGCATCCCGAACGTCCAAGAAGTAGGGGTCCTGGTAGTAATACTGTAGTTGAGCCTGTTCGGAAGGCTTTGTATAGCCGTGGAGCTCCCTGACATGAGCGGCTACCTCGTGGCATTTGGCGCAGATATCGGAATACTCCTTGATCGACAGGGGGAAGTTATACGTAGGCGGGATGGAAACGGTCCATTTCGACCTGCCGTTCCGGTCCGTTACGGCAATGGGGGTAGGAAAGTCCGGTAAGTCGTACTGGCCAACCATCTCGTACTCCTCGCGGCCCTCCAAGGCCCACCTAACCACGGGTACACGAACATCCTTCGTCAAGAAGGCCCTGACGACGAAGGAGAGCAGGGCCAATCCGATAATCCACGCGACAACTCGGAGGACCCGGCTTGGTCTTGGCCGAGACGTCGATTTCCGTGGTCGAGGCACCAGGGCGGGCAATCCGGGTGAGGGCGGCGGGGAGAACATAAGGTGGTTGAAGTTGAAGCGTGAGGAGGTCGCGGACAAAGGTGCCTTCTCATACTGGTAAGAGGCAGCCCTACGCAAGTTCAGTCGAGGTGGTGAGACAATCATCTTAGCATGAGTGCTCTGGGATAGGTCTAAAGTCGGTGGCATCGTTCGGGCAGGTGGGTTGGTGAGATCGGAAGCGACCTCACACGTACCGAAGGCGGTCAGGTGTACGGGATGTCGGGATTTGGCTCGCCTCGTCCTTGCAGCTGGCGAGCGTCCACAGGGGCGGGCGTATCAACCAGTCGGGGGGCTCAGGGTGTGAAAGGAGCGACAGAGGGTCAGAGGCGGGCGATTATCGTGTCGATTCGTCAGAGCCAGTCACCAAGCATAGGCGACGTCGGGTCCGCAACCACATACATACGTGTGTGGTGTATCGAGGGACAGACGAGGGGGTGACTCTCCACCACCCGACTTGCTGCAGATGGTGAACAGCTCGAGTCGCAGAAGGCAGGGAAACTCCGGGTGGTGGCCGAGGTTTGTGTGACGAGGTACTTGTATGCCTGATGTCTTTGACGCCAGAGGCGATCGTGCCCGGAAAAGTAGGTGATCGTACCTACGAAGGCGCTCGACGATTCAGGCCAGCCAATCTGCGGTGGCCACCCCCCCCTTCTCGGCACTAATACATAAATCGTATTGCTGTGGATCGTGCTGTGGGAGCACCGGGCGCTACATACAGCAGAGACAGCATTCCAGGAATTGGGAAAATACCGGGGTGAATGCAGAGCAGGGTCCCAATATATTGACCGCCCAATGCTTTTTCGTGGTAAGACGATGATCGCCGTCAAGCAAGTCCAGTTAAGCCGAGGACGGCGAGGGTGGAATTGCATACGAAGGGCAGCGGCAGGCTATTCAAGACGCACCTAGCACCAGGGACGACAGCGGATACGGCGTGCCCCACGCCGCGGGGGGCTGAGGGTGACCAAGGTCGTAGGCGCTGAGCGGTCGACAGGAAGCGGGAAATAGCTTGCTGATCGTTAGAGGGTGCGGCTGTTTCGAATCAGGCGATAACGAAGCCTCCTGCGCCTATAAAGAGCGAGGCCTCCTGGGGGTCGGAAAGGGAGAGACGCCCGGCCACGCATGTAGCTGAGAAGAAGTAGGGGAAAAAAGGCGCAAATGTGCGAAGACGAGAGGGCAACGGAGGGTGGCCCTGGAGAATTCTGGCGTGTGTGAGTTTCGAGTCTCAGATGGGCCGTGTTGGGAAAGACATGATACCGTCATGGGTGGGTTACTCAGGCCAGGCGGGATGATGTCAGAGCACGAAGAGGAAAGACGGAACAGGAAGAACAAAGACAGAAGGAAAGGGCGATTCCCATAATTCATCCCGTATCTGTCACTCCTTCCCTCCCGTCCCCCAGGAAGATCTGCCTGCCGTAATCTTAAAGGGGCTTGCTGATCCCCATCGACCCTGCCGCGGATTTACCAGGGGAACAAGCACCAGCCAGAATTCTTTTGCTCGACTTGTTCCCGGGCACCTCATGCATATACTCGACTGATGACATGACTGAAAGACAAGATATGACTCAACACACTCGAGTTCTCCTACGTAAATAGACGTAGACGAAGAGCGGCGGACAATCTAGCGCAGGGAAAGCGAACAAAAACGAGCCACGGGGCAACAAACGACGATGGCCATGCGCATCCATCCATGATCCATCCATCTATCCATCCATATGGATGTCTACTACCTCTAGGTAGGTACCTGACTTACGTAGGAGGTATGTACCCACATACAGGTTGGTATATACATCTACCTAATGTAGGCAGTTCACGATGGGGGCTCCTCCACAGCATCGGAACTCATTGCTTGCTCCCCAGGTGTTCACATACCCAATATTAGGTAACTATATGCCGTTTGCAGTTACATGGACCACCCATGCATGCTACATCTACAAATCAATAAATAGGGCAGATCAGGTAGGTTGGCAAGTACCATAGGGGGAGGGGGGTTCTATCGACTTGGTCCATCAATCAGACGATGCTCCAGATCCAATAGTACGTGGTGATATCATACCTACCGACCTTGGACAGGGCCTAAAGCGTGTTAGGTGGGCGTGGGAGGTGAGATACAATGTGCTTGTATCTGCATTGTGTGCATATACGTGTATGTATCTATATGTACACACGTTCAGCCAATGCTTGGGGAGGGGGCCCGGCACAGCTTGCCAGGAATACGAATTGCCTACCCCCATTGAGTGCTTACATATACATACCTGCATCCCTACTGCCTACCTAGGCAGGTACATGCAAGGTACGCGCTGGCAGAAATGTTCGGGCAATATCAGAACCCAAACACCATATACCTACGGATGCCTCTCCACGGTTGAAGTACGTGTGCACACATACCTGGGTACATCGACACATCGGTACATAGGACAGAGCCTTTTCCGTGGAACGGGGCCACCGTCTAAAGTGTCTACCTGCACCGTTTCTCACGGAGCTCCCATATAATTTGAGGCTCCCATTTTGAGTCAGGGTCTGTCCGACGGTGCTGCTCAGCGCCAAGCAAAGCGCGGTCAACGTATCCCACCCCCCCCGTAACAGCTGTGGCTTGGAGAGCGGCCGACGCTACAGCGCCTGCCTGCATGCCTATTCTCAGCTTCTTGCCAATACCCTTTTTTTTCTTTCCCCTCTTCTCTTCCAGATCCCCACACTATTTTCGGGTGACACGGTGCCATCGTTCGCTGTGTGGTACAAGCTAACGTGAGGAAACGGTGTTGAATGATTGGCCGCATTTGGACTGGAGGATCGCCATCTGAAACACCCGAACACCCCTGAGAAGTGTGTACGTGTACATGGGTACCGAAGTGGCTGCATACCTCCAACTAAGGTACCTAGGTATGTATCTTCCCGTGAGGGGAGCTCAACCTAGGTACATAAGTACCTACTAGGTACCTAGGTATCTGGTAAGGCGGGCAGGCCATTACCTTACGCAATTTGCTGGAATACCTGACAACCTTACCTTCTATACCACACCTGTACACATAGGTAGGTACTCTAACCACCGCACACATAGATGCACATGTTACTAACGGTAGGAATACTACAGAGAACCCGTTGGCTAGGTAAGTTGGGCATCAGAGTACACACGCAGACGGAGGCACAGCTATCGTTAAATCAACCCGGCCTAGTTCCCAATGCCAGTGCAGGAGGCTGGCTGGACCAGCGGGAAAGGGCACATTAACCATAAGGGGGAACGCCATAGGGTGATGTCCTGTTATGGCTCAGATCGGCCACCTCGTCGGGGCGGGTTATTACGGAGGGACTATGACAAGAATACCACTCTCTACCCAGCTGGCCTGGGCACCTCCCAATCCCCGTTCGACATCGGAGACACGAGGCATGCATGTGTGAATACGCCTGTGCGTATAAGAGCACCTTCACACCGGACGCTGGTACGCTACGACACCAGGAATGAGCAGAGTCTGCCTAAGAGAGCCAACGCATGCATACATACCTACATACCTACTTATCTTACTTACCTCCTCACGTCTATGTGATATACTCATATAGGTGAACATGCTTCTTGCTCTCCATCTCTCGCCCTCGCTCTCTCTCCCCTCTCGGCAAGGGTTCCCAAATATATGAAACAACGCTAGAGGTTATCACCACTGGGCACTCTCTTCCTCATTGGTGCCTCGGCCTGCCTGCGTACCTCTATGCGGGATGTGCATGTACTTTAGAGGTCTGCCAAAATGCACATGCATAGGTATGTACACTCGGTATATAGGTAGGTACATGCTTGGTACTGCCGAAGGCACCTACGGTCAGGTGTGATGGCGGTAGAAGTAGTAGACGCACCGTAGGTACCTAAGGTGGTATCTCGGCTCCTTCTCACCATTTTTCACGTCCTCGGGACTTTTGGTAGCTTCCTGGCCCCCCCGAAATCTCGGTCGCTTCTTCACCGCCCCACACGGAACCCCCCCCCTCCTCCCCTGACTGCTTTCCACGAGGAAAATCCCCTATGGGTATACATATGGACATAACTTACATGTAGCATACCAGGTACACGCAGCGGGCACAGGTGTACAGGTATACAAGGAGGTACATATCTGTGATGTGCAAACGAGAGACCCTGGGCCCGCCCACGCACCCTGGTGTAATACCCGGTTGGCTCCCCAAGGTCGGTCCCTCGGGAGCAAATCACGGCGAGCTGTCCTCCCAGAATCCACCACTTCTCTCTCTCCCCTACCGTCCTCTCACCTACTGTAATTCAGTCGCTAGGGTCTGTGCCAGAATCGTGCCGGCGATGACGTCCTCGACCCTGCTGATTTGCTGTTCTCCAGACCGGCCACCGACGATCTCGTTAGCAGCACCCTGATCATCCGAGATAAGCTCCTCTCACGGCTACGCATCAGAAGACAATCCATGCTCTACTGCCTATGTAGGTAGGTGGGAGGAATTGGCGGTCGCAGTCGGTCGCCATCACGACCCTCTAGAGCTCTCGCTGGTCTAGGAAGACCCACGGTAGGCATCCGACTCGACGCATGTGTCTCCTATTGGTTCTGGGTCTTCCCACTCCCACGTCCAGCTAACCAGCAGCGGGTAATCCGTAGGTAGGTATAACGTCGACCAGGGACGGGGGGCCTCACGCCTTCGCAGGGGAGCACAGAGGAGGCATGTTACGCGCGCAGAAGAAGACGCCATCTTGTTGTCCATCCGCTGAGGTGTCTCCTTCACAAACATCCCACGTTGCAGGAATGTGGCACAACAGCGACGAGTAGGCAAATCCAAGTGGTCACATTTCGCATCTCTCTTTGCCGTTCCTTGCTAGCTGGGCGAGGTGACATGATTCCCCGTCCAATTCTTCTCCATCTTCGTCTGCTTCTGCCTGGGGGTTCCCTTCCTCTCATCTCCCCTCTCGACAACAAGCTGACCTTGCCGTGTTAGTCGGTAAACCGCCAACACGAAAACCTCTCTTTCGTCTGTCTCCTGAAACACACACAACAGCAACGAAAAAAACAACCCCTGCTCCTTGGGTAGGTTTTATTCCTCTTTATCTATTCCCAGGGTATGAGTACGGGAGCGAGTCTCGAAAACCAAACATCCCGAACTCCACCGGTTAAATGTCACCGGAAAGAAAAAAATTAAATGACGATAGTGGCACAGAGAGGAGGGAGTGGCTCGGCCAGCCCAAAAATAGCAGTACAGTAAGTCCGCAATCAGTCTGGGGAGCGTTGGTTCGCTCGTCTCCCCTCGACTGCCACCTCCCGACAGATATTGCTGCCTTCTCTGCCCAACGTAAACGACCCCAGATATACGCAACGCATGATGATGTGCATATCGGCCTGTGTCTGCACTCGGGTGAGAGGACGAGGATGAGGGTCAGACACCAGCGCACAATCGAAGCCGCGCCTCTCATTTGGGCGCGTGCAGAGGAGATAAGCAACCGGGCCTGTAAGACGAACTCCCTACCCAGGATAGGATCGTCTAGATATCTACAGGGAGAGAGGACATCTCATCTCGGAGTAATAGGAAATACGCCTGCACCATGCGGGCGAGAGGCACCGTATCCGAAACCTCCAGCCGAATGGCATTGTCTCGCGCTATCGTGACGTGGTCGTCACGCCCCTTCGTCTAACGCTGACTACAACGACCGCACTCGCTCCGGCACTAGGGCTGCTGCTGCTTTCGAAGAAGCTGGCGCGGGGGCATATAACGCTGTTATACAACTTCTATCTTGAATATTTCCGCTTCTTGCCCTCTCCCGTCTCCATAGAAGGCATGCTCATGGTACGTACGTGTAGACAACTATCCTAAAAAGGGGAGAGAGCTAAGTAGGAAAGGCAGGAATGCCCGTGTTGAATTCTTGATATTGCCACTGCGTCGTATCGTATCGTGTAGTATGCCGGCCTGGATAGATGCCCGCCTAAGACTAATATTGGGATCGTGAACTCGAAATACCAACCAACCAACCAACTTTAAGCCTTCGAGCCCTTCTCTCACCACCCCCATCGTCCCTCCTTCTATTCCCACTACAAGTTGGTCTAACACACCTGGCATCCTCACCACCTCACGACAACAACGACCAACTCCCGCCCACCCGTACCAGCCATCGCCACCAACAAGCAGCACGCCGCCCGCAGCCTATCTCGTTCTCTAACGCTCCTATCGTTCCCCGTGCCTCCCCCCTGCCCCTCCCCCTCCTTTCTCCTGTCCTCGAAACGTCCCCGGGCGCCAACAGCTAACGTCACGTCCAAGCGCCGCGCAACCGAACGCCGGCCGGGCCGGGCCACCGAGCAGGTAGGGGCGGGACGAAGCGCGGCGAGTACGAGGGCAAGACTGCGACGGCGGCGGCGACGGCGGTGAAGCGACAAGACCCGATCCGCGGCCCCCCTCTATTTATAATTGCACGCGCTCGCACCCTTCCTCTCTCTCGCTCACAACTATCTTGCTGCCTCTGGCCGCCCGGCCCCCATGTCTACCTTGCCTACGCGCATGCAAATCCTGCATCACCACTCCCGCCCCCTCTCCCTCTCTCCATCCGGAGGGGCCTAGGCGTCTATCTCTTCTTGACATCCCGTTGGCCCGCCCGTCCCAATCTGCAAAATAGCCCCCTCCCCTCAATAAGAATAGGAGAGAGGCGCGAAAAATGCAGCCGGCCGAACTCCGAAAGCCTCTCCGCCCGTGCCCTCGCGGCCTTCTTTCTACCTGCAAGTGCGAGCGCAGCACCAACCGCCCCCTCCCCCTCTCCCTCTTTCTCTCGTGCTCTCTCTCTCTTGGCTTAGTGACGCGGCGTACATCGCCGAGGGGGGGCGGGGCAACTAGAAAGGAGACGTAGCAGCAGATAGTAGTAGTAGCAGTAAACTTAACTGCCCGCCTACCTCGATCCCCCTCTCCCTTTCTCTCCTACGGCACCCCCGCGCCTGACTGCGTCCATCGTTCGTCCACCCACTCGGTTAGCCTGCATTTGCGCCCGTCGTTCGTCCGCTGGCTGACTACCTCACCGCCCTCACTACCGCCACTGCCGATTAGAAATCGTGGGTCTTATTTTGCTTTTCTTCCGGGATCCCCAGGTAGGTTAGTCCGGGGTAAGTAGAGCCTTTCCCGGGATAGGACAGAGAGAGAGAAAGAGAGAGATAAGGACGTGGCGTGGAGGCGGGAGGCGACGAGACATAAAACTACTCGGCCTCCTCCCGCCCTCGGATTGGATGGAGGGGAAAAGGGGGTGGGGTGGCTCTCTATATATTCATATATACCGTTAGCCACTCCCGGCACGCACTCTATATACGTGCTTTTTTCCAGTCCGCCCAGCAGCCTTCTCCGGTCCGATCGGGGCAATCACAGGAGAGGGAGACGAGAGAGCAGCAAAGCGCGCGGCAACACGTATCATATTCACACTCCCCCCCCCTCCTTTTTTTTGCTGGCCAGGTCGAGCTCCGAGCTCGTGGTAGTAGTAGCTTTCAATAATATACAGGTCGAAGAATTCCCCTCCCCCCGAAAGAAAAACAAAATAAAACAGATGGGGGCTTGGGGTTTGGCGGGGGGGGAGGACACGAAGGGGGAGGGGGACGAAGGGGGCTTTGCTCTGCCACCGCGCAAGTTCACACACACACACATTTCCGTAGACTGCCATTAGAAAAGGAACGACCTCGCCCTTCCACCCTCTTCCCTTATCCTTAACCACCCCCCCCCCCTCCTCCCCGGCCATCATTTGGTACATCGGAAAGTGATAGAAAGCCTGGCCCGTTGTCCGACGCTGCGGCAACACTTTAAAATGACCTGTCAGCCTTCCCTCCTTCGTCAGGACATTCATGTTCCACAAGGCCGCCGCGTAGCAAACAGATGAATTCGATAGGGTATAAAAAAAACAAACAGCAGAAGCAGCAGAGCCCAACCGAAACGCCTCGTTAATTCGCACAGATGCCGCACGTCGTCGCTCCTCGAGCCGCGCGTGGGGACGGCCCCTACGCCTCCAGCGCGACTTGTTTCGACTCGTTTATTATCGGGGGGTTCCCTCCTAACCGCTCAGGGTCTGAACTGCTATGCCCTATCGACACCTCGACCTTGCCATCGTTGGCTACGCGGACGCTGCCGCGGGAGCCTCGCACGATGTGGCCCGCCTCGACCCTGTCCTGGATCATCTCGTCGAGTATCCGGCTCATCTCGTCGATGCTCTTAGTCCGCTTCCGGATCGGCGAGTCCCCTTTCTGACCCGGTGCGGGCGGGGTGGGAAGGCCTCCCTGCGGTGGTGGGCTTGCCGCCTGTTCGTATAGAAGGGAAGATCGAGCCTCGGTCCTCGTGGTGTCGATAGCCTCGGCGGCATCCCGCGAGCGGGCGGCGCTGCGCAGAGCCGACAGCATTCGATCCTTATCGTCGAGTCTCGCCCTCAGCTCCGCGATTTCGGTGTCTTTTTCCTTTAGCATGGCCGAGACGCTATGATCTTCTCCGACCATGATGCCCTTGTTCGGCGCTGAAAACCCGACCGACACCCGCGATGAGCTCGCGCGACGAGCCTGGAGAAGACGTTTCTCGAGAGTTGCGATGTATCGATTCTTATCCGCGAGATCTGCTTGCAAGGCCCGATTTTGGGCTTGGAGAGATGCGGTGCCGTCACCGTATTCGCCCAAGCTATCTTCCTCTTCGTTAGACCCCGGATCCCCCATGCTTGAACGCTGCCGCGAGATTGACCGCCGACCGATCGTAGAAGCAGACGACCCCATGGAGGCTGTTCTCTCTAGCGCCGGGCGGCTGCCAGCAGAAGTGGCGATCGACGTCCGGATAGAGGTCTGGGAGTATCGGGGATGCATCCCTAAGGCGCTGTACGTCCCTCCGGTGTTGACTCCCGTCGACTTGGAGCTGAGAATAAGTCGGTTTAGATGGTCTATGCGCTCTTTCAACGCTGTACGAGCGAGTTGCATCTCCAGCATCTGTTCCTCATGCCGGGCTTCGGCTTCCTTTTCTCGGGCGCGTTCTTCCTCCTCATCCCTGACCTTCTCCTCGTCCTCGGCCTTGCTAGCACCCGCCTTGGCTTGGGAGTCGAGTTGGCTTCTCAATTCCTGGATCTCCATCCTATATCGCTCCAGGAGGACCCTCGCACCACCTTCGCCCCCGGCGCCGAGCGCTTCTTCGGCTCGTTTAGCATGACTTACGATGCTGTTCTTAGCTCTTGACGCGAATTTGAGCGTGTTTATGGTCTCGCTGGCGTGGCTGTTCGCGGTGGCGGCGCTGCCGGCGGAGCCAGTTTGAATCGTGCACAAGATGCTGACCAACGAGTTTCCCGAGAGGGCCCCTTGGAGGAGTCGGGTCAGTTTGCTGTCGCGGTAGGGTAAGTGCTTCCCGTCCTTATCGGTGACCTTGCCATCCTTCTCCTTCTGCTCCGAGAGCTTCGAGATGACGGTGCCTAGGGTTAGCAGACTCTTGTTGATATGGGAACCCTCAGCTCGGCGCTCCTTAGATTCCGCCGCCTTTTCTGAACCAGCCAGATCGATCAGGCTCAATGTGGACACGCGGACGCCGCCAGGTAGTAGGCCTGAGCGCTTGCTCTCTCCGGCTGAGCCGCCGCTGGGGATGCGCTCTCTGCTCTCGACAACAATCTGCACGACCGCGTGACTGCGAGAACTCCTGGAGTTGAACTGTGTGCTGGCGGTTCTGCGAGCCTGGTCGCCGCGGGCGATCACTCGCAAGAGCTGCGTGGGACTTTGCACAATCTCCTCCTTCAATGGAGTAGCGTACACACCCCGCTTGCTGTCCTCCCGCAGTTTGATTTCATCTTGCGCGCCCGCCCCGGCCCCGTTCGCCGCCGGCATACTGAGAAGATCGTGGATCCTCTCGTTGTAGATTTCCAGATAGCTGACGCGGAGCAGGAATTCGCGGGAGGGAGTCTCGCGGATGTACGAGAAGATATCGGTGATGGCGAGCGGGATCACGCCTGGTGATGATGCGGTGCCCTGCATCGAAAAAGTCTTCCCCGTGCCCGTCATGCCGTATGCGAACACGGTACCGTGATAACCTTCCATAACTCGGCGAACTAAACGTTTGGCGCTGTGGTCGTAGACTCGGCTATTGTCATCGTGCGTCGTGAAGACGTTATCTATCGGCTTGTTAGATAGAGGGTGCAAGACGGACTGTCATTGGGCCTTCTCACCGTAATAGTAATCGCCCCCCTCGCGTCCGCGATAGGCTATCAAAGACCTGCGGCCATCCACCATCCACTCCCCTTCGGGCTTGTTGTTGGCATTGCTCCCGAGGTCTGGCCTCACCCTGACACTGACAATGACGTTTCCTTTGCTCCCCTCCGCCCCCCTCGATACGCGCTTATCGCTAGATGATGTCGCCATCGCATCGGCAGGGTCGTCGTAAGTGGTCGCCGAAGTCGAGTACGAATCTTGGGCGGACGAGCTGCGACTTTGGGGAGGAGAGGAAACGCTCATAAGCCCATCCGAAGTTCTCGCGCCGGCTCCGCCTAGCAATGATCTACCCTCTCCACTGCCGTTCAGTAGACTGGGTACACCACCGCCTAGATGGCCTAGTTTTGAGGCTGGTTGTGGGGGGCGGGATTTCCTGGTGGGTGTAAGGGACCCCGATAATGGGTTCGGGGGATGGCTGACGCCGCGACTCGGCGGTTGGGGAAACGAGTTTATGCTGACAGTTTTCCTGATGGTCTTTCCGGCGCTATTCACTCCATGTGAGCTTCTCGGGATGGGGAGTGCTGTAGTAGGTGCAGGAGAGGGAGGAGGGCCGGGGTAAAAGTTTGCTGACGGTGCTCGTAGACCGCTTTTAGGGGTCGCTAGGCCGCCAGTGCTCTTCCGAGTCTTTGGTACGGGTAAAGCAGGAAGGGAGGTGGCTGGTGGGCCATTCGACGCACGGGGTTTAGGTAATGTGGTGGCCATCATGATCCAAGCGTCTCGTCCTAACAACCGGGCGGACGAATGATTAAGATGCAGCGAATCCTCCTCGGGATGGCTCCGGGTCCGCGAACTGGGCGAGGGCGGCGGACTTATCGCAATCGACCCGGCCTCGGCGGTATTGGCAGTTATCGAAGGTGAGGTTGTAGCGAGGTCTAAAGCGGCCCTCTCATCTCATGGTGAACAACACTGCGCGCACGGCGATATTCGGAATAATCGACCCCAGTCTGGACAGGAATATTCGAGGCGCTGTGGCTACCGGTCTACCAAGCTGACGGAAGAGAATTGAGCTTGTGCTACGGTCAGGCCCCAAAGGTTTGCTACCCCTCACGGACTGGTAAGGTAATTGTCTCGACAGCGATAAGGCAGGAGATACGATGCGCCACAAGACTGATCACGACCCTGGCAGACTTGGCCCGGAGAACCAGATTAGTGCTTATCTAGAGGGAGGCGCATGTCAATATCAATATGCAACTCGTGGGCGCCGGCGTCCAAGAAGGTAGATGCTGGTCCGCTGTGCGCGAGCATATGCATTATCTGGGATCAACTTACTTGAGGGGTAAGCGAGGTGCGAGGTAGGAGGCAGTAGGGTCGGTATTACGGTGCGGCGGGAAATCCAGAACTGGGGGGGGAGGGGGAGAAGGGGGGGGGATGGTTTACTTTGCTGCTTGAATGGGGGTATCTTGGAGAAGCAAAAGAATTCAAGGAGAAGGTCGGAAGGCGACAAGACGGTATAAAGAGGTCGCGATAGTGGGATTCGCGGGCTGGCGACGGGACGACGCAAGGACAAATGGGAGGAGATCTAGGGTTGCTTCTTTTTGTGGCTCGTTAAGCTATTTGCTTTTTCTGCTCCCTGGTGTTCCCTCGTGGATGGCCGAGCCGAGACACTTGTGGGAGGTACGGCGCGTAGGGTCTCTGTTCCGGTCGAATGAGAAGAAGCGAGGGAGTGAGACGGGGAAGAGGCGGCGATGTCGAGATGGGCAGAAGAGAGAGGGAGAGAGAGCGAGAAGGCGAAAGAAGAATTAGGTAAGGCAAAGCGGGCAAGCAGGAAGATCAGCAAGGCAAACGAAGAGTATAAGTGAATAATGAACGACAGGCGCTGAGCTCGGGTTGCGTAGCCACCTCCAGCATCAACAATGAATCCTCGCACAGAAGAGGAGGAGCGAAGGTTGGAAACCGGAGTTCGTGGACCCAGTTGGAGGAGAAACTTGCAGGTTGCGCAGGTCTGGGACGGATGGGAGGCAGAGCCAGACGGGACCGTGGTGGTTGCAGGCGAGAGGTTGTTGGTTGGCCACGGGGCGGAGGGAGGGTTGCTAGAGAGAGAGGGAGAGAGAGCGCATCCACGTCCCGCACACCAAACGTCCTGTACTCTAACCAACCTTGGAGCGGGCTGGGTTCGTGGTTGGGCAGCTCTTCTGAAGAGGATGGAAGATGGAAACGTGTGGTGACACCCGGCCAGACGAGCTGCCCTCCAACCCTACCGCCTACTAAGGCAACCCTACCACCTATAGTGCTCAGGTCTAACGGTCTGCCGTCTGCGGTCTGCGGTTCTCGCATCCGCCAGGTACCTGGGTGGGTACCTGCCAGTACGCACTTTAGTGGGCGCCAGGTACTTCGTCCGCGCGCCGTCCCAGGCCAATCCCTAAGCAAGCCTCCCCCCCTCTTGCCGCGCATCGCAGCATCGCAGCATCACACGGCCTGGTATCGCCCCATCCCCGTGCATGTACCCCCCAACCCTGCTCCAAGTCCCCGACCTTGTATTCCGGGGTACCTTACATAATAAACGTCCGCGGATGGGCACCACGATGCGCTCGGTGGGATAGGTTACCTGCTGCCACCCACCCGACCAAATGACGGTCTTCGACCCCTTCATATGTTCAGGGACACAACCTCTCCCACCCATGACAGGTATCTCTCTCTGTCTCCCCCCTACCTACCTACTTACTTACCTACCTACCTACCTAACCCAGCCCGCCCCAGCCAAGGAGCTTTGCAATCTTGCCGAGCCGCGCAGCGCCACTCGAGACAGAGACGTAATAAATGAGAGACAGGACCTACGGCACCAGGCCCGCCTACGCAGTGCCGCCTACGCTGCTGCTGGGACCGACCGGATGACGGTAGAGAACTTCCAGGTATTGCGATGGTTGTTTTTCATCTTGCTCTCCTATTACTGCCCCCCCTATATCTGGACTTGACCCGTACAATGCCTGCACACCACTAATTAGAGCCAAGCTTGCTGGAGGGACATGCACAATCACCGGCCATGCACCAAGTCTGGTCCAGATCCAGGGATTGGACACTCGCACGCTCGTCGCGGCCAGGGCCCCTGCCGTGATGGACCTCGCTCGCGAATGTGCATTATGGATTCGGGGAGGGGCGGAGGCGATCCCAGGGTTGCGACAGAGGAGCGAGCCACTTCGCCTAGCACCTGCGTGCCTAGCTCTCAACCCTCCTTCCCCAAAACATTTGCCATCCGGCCTATCCTGTTCTCTTCTCTCTTAGCAGCGCAATCTTGCCAGCCTGCCTTTCCAGCCAATCCTGTTCGAGAGAGAGAGAGAGAGCAAAGTAAAATAGGAGATGGGGAGAAAAGGGGAGGCTCTGTCGCCAACCCCCTGTCTCACACGTGGCGTGGCAAGTCAAAAGAAAAGAAAAAAGGGCGAGGAAAGAAAAAAGAAGAGGGATGGGGGAAAAAAAGGAAAAATACGAAGGCCGTTTCGGCGCTGGCGGGTGCAAATTAGCTGGCAGACGAATGGGAGAAGAACGGCATTTTCCCTTTTGATTCTTCCCCCCCTTTTTTTTTCCAAAAACCCCCCCCCCCCCCCCCCAAACATCTGCTCCCAATGCTACCGTATCCTCCGCGCGGAATTTCTCAGAGCCCTGCTTGAAACTGAGCTGTGATTGTGAGGCCTGCACTAGAAGAACAGGGCTGTCGACAGAATCGGCGACTTGATTACCCAACCCTGCTCGCAATCCTATGCTAGCCGGGCTGTCGGGCAGTCTTAACCCCCCGGCTCTCTTTATCCGCCACGACGGATTGGTTTTCCCCTTTGGATAAAAGCGTGCGTATGGAAGCATCTCTCCATTGTATATGGATGTATATGAGTATTCGAAAACTCGGGTGCTATGGTAACCCGCATCTAGGGAGGGAAGCACAAAAAAAAACCCCCCTAATCGTCAATCTGATCTCACCCCGTCCTTCCGCTTCTCCACGGTCTGGGTCCGATATCGTGTGTGTGCGGGAGCGAATCGCTTACGTCGAAATGCTCTTCTGCTGACGCATCGATATCGCATACATGCCTACGCTGATCCGAATGCGTGATGGACCAGCCGGCCTGAGGTCCATCTGAGCCTACTGCACGAGCGGCAGTCATACAGAATCGCGCATGCGATGGGACCGCACCCACGCAGGTCCCCACGGCCATTCCTTTAGGTGCGCGCGGCGGATTCTGCGCCGTAGCGCGCTCCCGCTCTGCCTCTGTGGCCATCGTCTGCGCCTGACGTGACGGCGACCCCCCCAGCTCAACCGGGCCTCTCGTCTTCCATCCACGGAACAGAGCTAGCGATGCGAGCGGGAATTGATCGACATGTCCCAAGCAGAAAGAGAGAGAGGAAGAGGGGAGAGAGGAAAAACGCTGATCTATCACTGCCCTAGGCCCCTTTCTGGTTTCCCTCCTTCCCCCCCCCCCACGATTACCTGTCACCGCCGGCTAGGCATGGAAAAGAGTAAGGCCCCCCCTTCTCCCCCCAGGATCCCCATCGCGCCCATCACCAGCCTAGGTCTTTCTCATAACGTCTTCGTCATGCGGCACGTATGCCGTGAACCAATTGGCGGCGCGGGAGGTATTCAGACCTCCAACCCATGGAAGGCTGCTGGGAATCGTCATGATTTGCCCTGGCTCGATTCCTATTTCTGCGAGATTTCCTGTCCGTGCCCTATACAGCTACATACATAGCTAGCACCGTATGCGAGCCACCCCTACCCTACATGCAACCGAGCAATGGGCTGCACGGACGGTGGCGCTGGGGGTCCGGGACCCGTCGCCCTGTGCGCACGCATGTATGTATGAGTACCTACATACGTGCTTATAGAGGTATGTACGTTATGTCTCTTATTGCCTGCCGACCAAGCAGGATGGATGTACGGATGGATGTGTGGATGGACGTGATCGGTTTCTGTCTGTGCAGTAGTGCGCGCACCTATTTGGGTATGATAAAAACATCATACCTAACGCAATTCACATGTGGTTTCTCGACAGGCCCGACTCGCCGTAGATGGTAGCATCTGTACCTACAGCATCTGTACCTACCTATAAGTACGCCACGCTTGCGTACGAATGCGGCGAAGCAGCGCAGCGTGTCTCTCTAACGTGGTAGCGGCAGGGCAAGGTAGCAACGCCTAATGTAAGTAATAGATAGGATCACGTATTGTTATGACGGCTCGCGGGCGCGACGCGGCCATAACACGAACGAACGAGCTAGCCGTAGGAGCCTCGCCTTCGCACCAGAGAAGGGTCGATTCGTGTGGGTTTCAGTCTTCCCCGATTCGAGACAGAAGCCGTGGCCTTTCCTCCTGGGGTAGAAATCCCAAAAGAGTATGCATACTCCGAAGCCCGTGTCAGCCAACGCGCGCCAACATTTGTGGCGGAACAGGGAAGGGCGCGAGTGAGACGGAAGGGAAAAGAGAGAGAGAGAGAGAGAGCCTCAGCAACCATCCCGGATCCCAGTCTAGATCCTCCACCCCCCATATGCCTACATGGATGCGCGCATTGGAGGTACCTACCTAGCTAGGTATCTAAGAACGGACAATGAGGTACTCATATGCTTCATGCGAAGGGACATGGCGACCTCGCCCTACGTGCACGACGAAATGCGGATGCTAGAATAGGCTAGACGGCGACGAAAATTCCTAGTCGTCGGCAAGTTGGCCGGACTCGCGGCCTGTCAGACAGCTAGTATATGTATAATAAGGGGGGCATATAACCAACACGTCCAGGGTCAAAGGGGGAGGAGGATAAGTAGGTGTCTGTAGACGGAAGCTTCTCTGAAAAGAGTACCCTACTATATAGGTACTAAACAGATAGATAGATTTCCCGTATTCCCCTTTCGCCGACGCCGTTTCACAGAAATTGGGCTAATCGCGCTCCAACATACGATCGGCAGATTGCAGACTTTTGCCTAGCATGTAGTCGGGTTAGTTCTCTCTGGCCCCAGCGGGAGAGCTCGTATGGTCGTCATTTACGAGATACACGCAGTTAATGAGGATCAATCGCGGCCCGGAACGCCAGACGGCGCTGGGTTAGTTTCCATTCGATCTTACGGAGGCGGTGGTTCTCTCCTTTTTTTCGTTGACCGAATGGAGGTGTGACCACGCAGTAGAGAACATATATACGTATGTAGTAAGAAAATAGACCGGTCAAGGATTGGGGGAGAAATCCGACACCATATGACATGCCTGATATAGACAGAAGCCCGACGGATCATCCACGGAAGAACCAGAGTATGTACGGGTGCATGAAGCTGTTAAGCCACACCCGCGTGCTCCCACGCTGTCTCACTCATTGTACATACGTACATAACACGTACATGGCGAGTGAGACATCACGTAACCTGTCGACGGTCTAGCCATCGAAAGCGACTAGCCGCGCGTCGACTTCGAACCCGGCTGCGAATGCCGGATGCCGCGGGCGACGGCCATCATAGAGAAGCCCCGTTCCGCGATGGTGGCCACGAACGAGACTAATATAGCTCGAGGTAGCTCAAGTCGCGTATCCGATAGATAGCGGGTCGCGCATAGTCTCACCGCGAGACGTAGGATCTAGCCTGCCTAATATAGGTAGTGTATTGCACCGGTCTGTCGATCGCGCGGGTCGTCCCAAGAAGGGGGAACACCGATTTGATACTCGCCACCATCACCAAACCGTGGGTTTCCGGCATGGGCGCCACGAGGCGCGTCCTTAAAACATGCCGTGCGGAATCGAGCCTGACCGGGTCGACTTGCCACGGGAAGAAGGGGTGGAGGGGAAGCGGGAGCAAAGCCATTCATGCCTCCTGAGGATCGCTGTCGATAATGCCCGGGTGTGATAATTGATCTGCCGAGAGCCAGCACATCTCGCTGATACCGGCCCGCCGCCACGTTTCTGCTTTGCCGTTTCACATCCGCCCTCTCGGGCATGTGACTAGTGCGGGCGCTGCTGCGTGATGCGTTCGATCTTGGGGGTCGGCCCGAATCTCGTCACGCAGCGAGAGAGACAGGTGAGGGAGAAGGGAGAGACGGCCTGGCCAGACATGCCGGCGACTTCCCTTGGCGAGAATATCTAGAGCTGCTATTGCTACTGCTAAGAATACTGCTACGCCGCAACTATGGTGGGCAGTGCGCGGCGCCGTCGTCCAAGCGTACCGTTAGACGGCGCGGACTCCGCGACCGACGCTTCGGGTTTCAAACACCTCGACGAGGCCGGATCCGACGGCCTCTCGTAGGACCCAGTCGAAGGATAGCCCGTAGAACTGCCTCCACTTCCTCGTCTGCCCGGGAAGGATCCCTGCGAATTCCCCTCGTGAGCGCTTCGCGGCGTAGCGTGCCTCCTCCTTGGCAACGCCTCCGTCCCACCGTTCGCGGAGCACCGCCTCCGGGGCCTCGCGGAACTGCGACTTGTCGAGCAATGAGACCAGATGGTCAAGCGCCGGTGCGATCAGCTTAAGGAACGTGCCGCTCCCCGGTACGGCAAGTTTTAATTCGGTGGAACCAGTAGCTGCCTGGGCAGCACCAAGCGATCTTCCTCCGCTGCCGCCCGCCATGTGCACCACACCGTCGCCCCCAACCGCGCCGAGCGAGCCGGTTGCATGTCTCGAGACGGTCTCGAGTGACGTAAGTGTTCCCTTGTCTTCGGGCCGGAAGTGGAGGCTCATGGTATGCGATATCGAGCCGTGGTGGATTACGCCGGTGTGGTGGGACGTCAGAAACCCGGCCTTGATGAGCTGGTCAATCTCAGACGCAGCGAGCGCACCACGCTGGATTGTTTGGGCCCCGGCATTCTCTCTTAGGAACGCGAGGAGACTCTCCCTTGCCTCCTCGTTTAAACCCGTGGACTCCTTAATCATCCGCTCAAAGTCCGAGGCAAGGATCAGGGTCTCTCCTATGCGGCCCCGCCGGGCGATGACCACCTTGCGCACAAAGCCAGCCTGCGCGAGCTGCGCAATCTCCCGTTCTACCGCGCTCGGCGAGGAAAGTAGGGTCTGTATATGTGAAATCGTCACGATGGGGGGGAGCCTCTTCCGATAGCTCAGCACCTCTGCGATCCGCGTCGAGTTCATCCCCGCTGCTTGTTGGGGCATGGGGGAAAACATGTGGCTACGTATGTAGAGGACGGCCTGGGAGGTATCGCGCAGATTTAGATCGGTCGCCAGGGTTCTGACGAGCCCATAGTCGTCAAGCTTATCGTTGAAAAGATCGCCATCGTCATCCTCATCGCTGCGGCCGACTGGTGGCTTCCCGCGGTGGGCTCCCGGCTTGCGACGAGGCAGGGGAGAAGTCCACGAAGACGATGCCGGTGCCGAAGAGCCAGATTTCTTTGCGCCGGCTTTCTTGGAGGACTTCTTAACCCGGCTGGAGCCTCCTAGGATTGACCGTAAGCTCATTTCTGACAAGGCGAAACATGAGAATAGGTGGAAGCCCTCACGAGAAGTTGAGATGGCAGCCTGGGTTTAGGACAAGAGGTCGGCTCTGTCCCAGCTTCCATTGTGTACCTGCGCATCTCGCTTATCTCATCATCTCAACTACCTACCTGCATACATACATACGTACGTGCCCGTTATGTATGCGCACTCTATGCATATCGGTATGTTGTATACATGCATATACCTAACTAGCCTCTACCGGCTTGTGACGTACTGAGGACATCATAGATCGACATCGCTTGCGCGGGGGAATGCGTCCATAGGATTCTCGGCCATTGCCTACTACAGGTATCCACCTGGTCGTCAACCAATTGTGGCCATGCGAATACAGCTGCAATTTGCAATAACCGAGGCTGCTTCTCCCATATATACTATATAAGTGCATATGACGACGACAAGCTTCCCGGCTTCCGGCCAAGCTTTCCTACCAAGCTTCCAAGCTTCCAAGCTCCCCCCAGCTTGCCGGCCACGAGGCTCCGTTTTGTTCTGTACCAAGCTTGATTTCCGAGAGGGCTTGCTTTGGGCCCCTCTAGTAGGTAGATGTGAATTTTGCCTGATCCTGCCGACCTTCACCTAAACACAGCACGTTTGCATCAACCTTAGGATTCGTATATACCTGCCCGGTATAATGCATCAACCTGGAGGCATTCAAAAGGTCTCTGGTCTGGTTCGCAAAGTACCCTTCCGCCCCCCACAAACATCTAGAGACTGTGCCTAAGATGGCGCCGGTGGTTATCTTGATACGCCATGGTGAAGCTTTACATAGTAAGTATCTGACTCGAACCCTACCGAGACGAGGCCTAAGAGATCATAGATATTGCAGATAAGTGCCGCTAGATGTCCGTGTCAAATCGTTGGCGTCTAACGTAGCAGCTACATGACTGGGAGTTGCCTGACCCGGACCTGACCGAGAAGGGCGTAGAGCAATGCAAAGCCCTGATGGCAGAGCTGGAGCCAAATCTGCCCTTCGCCCAGGAAGAGTGTCGTATAGTGGTAAGCCCCCTGAGACGGACGTTACAGACTGTCCACCACGGCCTCCAGTGGCTCCGAGACCGCGGGGTCCCCGTCGAGGTCCGTGCCGAATGGCAGGTAGGGCATCACCCATCGCCGGGAGGCGCTCGTTCCGATGGATGCCGACGCTGAGTACCTATGACTAGGAAACCACGGACAATCCTTGCGACATTGGCAGAGAGCCCTCATCCATCATGAGCGAATGGCCCGATTTTGACTTCTCGGGCCTGGACCCCATTTATCCCCAGAAGATTGACTTGTACGAAAACTCAGAAGAGGCTTTTCAGAAGAGGGCGTCGCTTGTTAAGCGCTGGCTCTTCAGGAGGCCTGAGAAGTGCGTCGTCGTCGTCACGCATTCGGGGTTCCTCAAAAGGGTCGTTCAAGGACCCAAGTTCAGGAATGTGGAGTACAGGATGTATGAACTAGTCGAGGGCACGGAGGATCTGGAGCTCAGCGAGATCAGCAGAGGAAAGGCCTCAGCGAAGCAGACATAAAGGAAAGAAAGGATCCCATCCCGTAGTGAAAGTTTACGTGGGCACGTCCCAGACACGAACGTGGGATGGGTTCAGAGCATTCGACACATGTGGGCAGGTCAAGATGTTGGGAGGGAGAGGGGGACCATACGGCAATATGGAGCATTGGCATACACCACGGGGTGCTGAAGCGCGCGGTGCCTCTGTTCATAGTGGTTGCATCGCATCGCATCACTTCCGGAACGAGAAACCTGCAGCTTTTGTGCTCCAAGACGAATGCGACGAAACGAAACGATGCTTCATTCTCATGACTAGATCCATAACAGCCAAGGCGGCCCAGCGGCCAGAACGTTATCACGACAACAATACACCAGCCACTCGGCCTGAACATGAGAAATGCCGTGCGTTACGTGCAGTGGCAGACGTCGTCTGTACGATCTCGGATGCTACCTAGGGGGTTTGTGATGTCGCCGATATTTACCATGGGGACCCGATGTCAGAGTACAGGTAAGTATGTATCGAGTCCCCTCAAACGAACGGCATATTGCGATCTTGCACTAGACTCGGCTGTACAGACGGTGAGGGGAAAGCCGTCTCTGAGCAATCAGGTGATGTAGAGAATCGGACGTGCTGTCGAATGTGAAGAGGAGAGAACAGAGAAAGGGGGGAGAAAAAAAATAGGAAAAGAAAAGGCGAAGGGGTGTTGGATTACCTAAATTCGGTCTGGCGTAAAACAACCTACTTGTGTACGTGACATAAGTACTTGTACCACATACCTCCTTCTGTAGGTGTCTTGGGTGCAGGAACACAGAGATAGGTACTTGAGAGGTACCTTAGGCAGTATGAGTAAGCCCCGCGCGGTCTTGCCAGATAAGTGGCGGGACCTGTGGGGAGGCGGTCGGTAGCCATTGGTCGAGGTTATTTCCTAGGGGTTCGCCCACCCGCAGCCGACGAAGTACTAGATACCGGGTACGTAGTATGTGCTTAGAGCACCTGAGGTACCTAACCTCCTGATGTGCGCAAGTGCGTACCTATACGTCCCCTCATTGAGGGGATAGGCAGGTTACGAGGTACCTCAGGCGCACTTCCGGCAGCACATGCCAAAATTAGCTTATCATTACGCTTAGCCCGGCACACCCATGCCTTAGGCAGTTTAGCATTTGCATCTGCACCCAGGGTTGTGAAATTATTCCTTAGTTTTTTTAGTTAATTATTTATTCCTTAGTTAATACATTATTATTCCGGGGGTGGACTGGAATAAAAATTTTTTAGTTAGTTTAAAATTATTCTTTAGTTAATTTAGTTAATATTTTTAGTCCTTGTATTAACTAAGAAAACTAAAAATCTTTTTTTTTATTTTATATATTACGGTAATAAAATGCTAGTTTAATATATTCATTATATATATAAATATATATGAAAAAAAACTATTTTAATTAATTATAAAATTTAGAATAAAATAAAGAAGTTATATTAATATAATATATAAATATATCTTTTTAAACTTTATTCTAATAGTAAACTTATCTAACTTTAACGGTTACTGTTGGTAGGTATACGTACGTAATAAAGCAAGTGAACCAAGACAATATGAAATAAGTAGGTAAAACTAGTTATATTAAGGTATCTACCCTAGGAGGTATCTACCTATGGCTCGAGGTAGGAAGGCCATCCCTTATATGCTACATAGGTACGGGGGTACTTATAATATCCTCCGATCGCTAATAAACCATTACTTATTCTGTTTTCTTTTCGTAATTATTAGTTAATAATTATGAATTACGTTCCTAATTACGAGCTATTATTCCCGTTTTACCTATCCTTCTAATTTTAGGTTAATGTAATTTTCTTCTACCAAGGTCCTTATCGCCTTATTTAGCGACGCCTTCGTTATAGCGTTAGCCGGGTTATAGCTCCTATGAATCTATCTAATATCGTTAATCTCCCGGTTCTTATATAATTACCTTAAGGCCATTAGGTTAATCATTAAGCGCTTTTCGTTTATACTACCTATCTATACTAAGTATTAGTATAGCGATAAGGAGTTAGTATATAATACTAATAGCGCCCGGGGTAGCGCTAGGCGTTCTAGGATGGCGTTAATCGTACGGTAGATAACGTAGCCGACGTCGTATTCCTAAATCATTCTATAAATCTCGCTAGTAAATACGCTCCGGGTAACTTTCTTATACTTAATTAAAGACTAATAAATAACGTTACTCGTAACTCGGAATTCGTTATTACCTATTACTAACGGTTCCTTATTACCTAAGACGATAAGATAGCCGATTTATAAACTTATATCCGTATTATTAGCGAAAGAGCTATCTACGAAAATATATAGGCGAAGGTTACGCGGGTCTAGGGTAATATAATTAAGCTCTCGGTTCTTATTATTTATTTATTATTTAACTCTTACGTTAAGGCCCTTTACTTCCTTAGCTCCGGGGTTAACGTATTACGCTACCGTAGAGTAATCGAAGGCGGCTTCGGATTAATAGATCGAGGAAATATACGCTCCTCGCGCGCGTTACTTTACGAATTTCTTAGCTAAGTTAGTCGGAGGTACCTTTAGGTTAAAAGGTTCTAGCTTCTTAGCTTATCCCTTTTAAGTTACCGTAAGTCCGTACCCTTCGTCGTAAAGCCTAATACGTAATCCGTTGAAATCTTCCGTCGTTTCTATACTAAGTATAATGGGCTGCGCCCAGTCATAGAATCCTAGTTAGTATAGCACTAGGGTACGTAACCGCTTCTCCCGTATATAGCTAGCTTCTAAAGGCGCGGCCTTAGTAAAGCGTACCTTTCTTCCTTTTCCTTCTCGTATAGCTTTATTTCTTTAATTTATATCCTTTTACTTAACGAATAGCTCTTAAAACCGTAATAAAAAGCTATATTATCTTTTCCGTAAGGTTAGTACTTAGACTTCCGATATCCGACTCCTAGATAGCGGAAAATAAATCTAAGGCGTAATCGAGCGCTTAAGAGGCGACGCTAGCCTACTACGTATTATTATAAGACCCTTACTTCCTAAACTTCATAAGAGAATATATAACCGATTTCCTACGAAGTAACTCCCTAGTACCCGTATTACCGGTACCCGTACCCGTACCGGAGGTTATAGCTACCCTACCTACGGGCGTAAACGGAACTCGACGAAAACCTCTTAAGTAATACGAATAAAACGGGAAGGTTATATCGTTTTATTTCTACCTAGAAAAACTATAGGCGAAAATCCTAATCGACGCCTTAAACGGGTTATTTAGTAATAATAACGCGATATGGTACTTTATCCTCGGTACGATACCCGAGGATCGGTAGCGAAAGATAGAATACTTCTAGAGATCTAGCGGCTTAAAAGGCGGATTCTAACCTAAGGATTTACTAAGGCATATAAAAGAGACGTTTAATAATATTTAGGTTAAGGAGGATACGTAATAGAAACTACGGAAACTACGGTAGAAAGAGGGGAAGACCTTCGGAAGCTTCCTATCCGATTTCGAAGAGGTTTTAACGAACGCTAGAGGCTTTAATTAAGATAACGATAATAAGCTAACGTAGCTAAAGGCGGTATTATTTAACTACCTTTAAAATATACTAATCCCGATTTAAATGTCCTAGGATTACGATACCTTTATCGCCTAAATTTACTTAATCGCGTAACGCTACGAATAAACCGCCGAATTTAAGCGACTTACGAATTAATTAAGCGAAAATAAACGCTACTCGGCGACCCCGAGCTACGAATTAATATCCGCTATTTAACGCTCGGACTTCGCTCGGATAAATGCTTAGGGCGATACGATTATAGCGGGCTTTATTAGATCGTAAGAAAGGCCCCGCTAAGCCTACGGCGGGTTTAGTAGCGGGCCTAGTAATAATATCCGACGGATAAGGTAGGTATCCTAAGAAGAATACGAAAAGAGGAAGGTCTAAGGTAGCTACTTCCGCTACGGCGCTAGCTAATACTAGGTTAGGGACTACCCCTACTTACCGGTAGCTCGCCCGGGTAGCTAAAGGCGGTTCCCGCCCGTACCGGTACGGATAACGTAAGTTATCGAACCATTATTAAAAGAACTAAAGGATATATTAATTAATATAACGGCGGGAAAAGAGTAGTTCCGTTACGAAGTCGGGTAACGGAGCCTAGCTAGGAAGTAATAGATAAATAGAAAGCTTATAAGGATAAAATGAAAAGTAATCCTTCGTTATTATTAATTATAGTTAATAAAACGTCGCTATCGGAAGCCTTCGTAAACGAAGGTTACCTATATTTTATAGCTATTAATAAGGACCTATTTAAATTCCTTAACCTATCCCTTATTTCTATCCCTTCCCGTAACATTAGAGGCGCTTTAAGCGCTATAGAAGAAACGGTAATCTAAGGAATTACCTATATAGCTTTAAAGATTAACGGGTATACGTAGCTAATATACGCATACGTTATTCCGTTACTAGAATTCCTAATAATTCTAGGAAAACCGTAATAAATATATAACGAGGTAGTTTCGTACCTATACGAAAATCGATTATAGTACGGAAGAATACGAATAAGCGTATAATATAAGGGAAAGGAACGTACGACCCCGCTTATAAGGGAGCTAAAAGAGGCTTAGTACGTATTAGTTAATACGTTCGTAGGCTTAGCTAAAAGGATACGCCGCCGTAAGAGAGAAGGAATAAATACGGAAGGTATGTCGATATTCGCGGCTTTCTTAGTAGATATAAAGAAAGCCTTAAAGCCGAAACCCGTAAAAACGGAAGCGAAGTTATAAGAGATAATCCTACGGGAGTTCTACGACCTATTCCCGCTATAGAAGAAGGAAGAAGCTAACCGTCTCGCCCCGTATCGTCCGGGCGTTAACTATAAGATCGATATAAAGAAAGGATTAAACGGAAGGGAGAAGCTATTACCTTAGGGTTCCCTATATAGAATATCTCGGGAAAAGCTCCTGGTATTACGGAAAACGCTCCGCGACTTACTAGATAAGGAATTTATCCGGGCTAATAGCTCGGAAGTAGGAGCCCTAGTTCTTTTCGCCCGTAAGTTAAAAGGAAGCCTCCGATTTTACTACGACTACCGGGCGCTAAATCGCTTAACCCGAGGGAACCGTTACCCGCTCCCGTTTATCGGCGATACCTTACGTAACCTAACGTCGGTAAAGTGGTTTACGAAAGTAAACGTAATCGCGGCCTTTTATAAAGTCCGTATTACGGAAGGTAACGAATTTAAAACGGCGTTTAGGACCCGATACGGTTTATTCGAATAACTAGTAATACCCTTTAGGCTAATAAGCGCCCCGGTAACTTTTTAGAGATATATAAATAGCGTTTTAAAGGAATTTCTCGATAACTTTACTAACGCTTATATAAACGATATCCTTATCTATACGAGCGGGTCCCGTAAGAACTATATAGCTAAAGTACGCATGGTTTTAAAGCGCTTTTACGAAGCCGGCTTTTACCTAGACCCCGGGAAGTACGAGTTCGTAATAACGACCATTAAATACCTAAGGTTTATTATATACGCCGGTAAAGGAATATAAACGGACCCGGAAAAGATAAAAGTAATATTAAACTAGGAGGCCCTTACCTTAGTAAAGGAAGTTAGAAGCTTCCTAGGGTTCGTTAATTACTACCGTATATTTATCCCCGGATTTTCCGAGATTACCGCCTCCCTTACGGCTCTAATAAAAAAGAATTAAC